TAAAATGGGTGCAAACAAAAAGCCCCTCAGTGGAGCTTTAAATAAAGACGCAGTCGTGTTTAAAGCAGGTGAGTCACTCCACCTAATTTTGTCTCCATCCTCATGATTCATACGGACCTCAGAGGCCGCAGATCATCTTCCAGCTGATATATTTAACCAGCGCCGGGTTTCAGAGATCCATGTCAGTCAAAGGGGAGCACCCCTGACCTTTGACCCCCTGACCTCTGTCAGATTCAAGGCCTGTGCGAGCCTGTAGCTCCCTCTGAGTGTAAATCTGTCTGCAGGAGGATGTCGACTGATCAGCACACAAACGTCAGGAGGGTTCAGCAGCTGTTTGAGCTCTAGTGTTTTATTTTCTATGATTTTTCAGACATAAAACCAAAAATAATGAGAATCATGTCGGCAAAAGATTCAGATTTACCTGCTACAGAGAGACTTTAGCAGCAGGAGTACATCGGACAATCAACTAAGACCCCAGAGGATCTGCTGCCGAGTTTGTAAACCCTTATTAAAGAAAACACCTCCACCTGAAGTCTCAGCTGTGAATTAGGTCTTTATTAAGTAAAAGGGGTGAAAAAAGCAGGAAGTAAAAGACAAAAACTAACAATTATGTTAAAATGATCCCAAAGAAACGTGCAACGAAAAACTCCTACATAAAGATTATTAATACTCCTTTGAGAAACACCATGTCTGTGTGACTCTGGCGCCCCCTGTGGACGAAGAAATCCCTCTCACCCCTTTGTTGATCTCACTCTGAAGAAAAAACTCATCCTGCTTTCTTTTAAAAGTTAAATTGATCCCTGATGATGATTATTTTCTGTGGAAAAAGAACAAATCCTCTCATCTTTACCTCCTTTATCCTGACGTCTGTTTGTTCTGGAGATTTGTGTGACATGAAGAGTCTGCAGGCGGAGTTTTTAAGAGTACCAATGCATGATAGGTCGAGGATTTAAGTGTTTAAGACAGAATCTTTAGAGGCACCAGCAGGAGTAAGATAGATTTTAAGTGTATCTGACAGAAAAGTGATTATTGATGATGGCCTGTTAAACTGAATAATAACTTTAGGGGCTCTATGATTTGATAAGGTAAAGCCAAATTTTGCAATATTTTGGAAATAGTTGACAAGTGGCCCCTGAACACCAGGTGTTAAAATATATATATATATATATTTCAGTCGATGTCAGGAGTGCTGTTGTCTTTTGTGTCTTTTTCTTTTATCTTTTTTGTCCTTTTCAGCAAAGAGGCTGACCTGAAACCTGCAGGACTTCACTCTGAGGGGGGATATTTCTGGACTTGGTCCTCCAGCAGGGGCGTGTCCACAGTTTTCTGACTAAGGGGGACCATCCAGGGCACCAGTTTATGCAGAGGCGGCAATAAGTTTATATGCAAACATAGTTTATTTCTGTTCCCACATAGATGATACAGATTATGATAAAACCAGATAAAGAAATTAATATTAAGCAGATTTAAGTCAGCAGAGAAGTGGTCAACGATGAGGATAGCATGAGTCTGAGGGTGGGGACAGGCAGTGTGTTCATGGTGACAGATTGCATAACAAAGCTACACAGTTAAACAGAACCTGCACATTGCTGAACTGAGAGGATGTTTTCATGCAGAAACATTTTAAAACCAGACTGTGTCTAAAAGTATAACTTTGATTTCATGGTCGCTCTAATCTCCTCTGACCCTCTCTAATGTCGAACCGCTCTCTACATTTTGTCCTGAGGGTTTGAAACATGGACCAGAGAAATATATCCAACGCTTTCTAAATTTACTAACACAGGGAACAGCCTGCAAACACATTTCCTTGACCTATGACCTCTTGGTGGTAAGTAGCGGCGCTAAAAGTATTTTAGTCGAGGGGAAACAGGAGTGAGACCTTGGGATGAAGTTTTTGTGGGCCAGTACATGAAAATGAATTACCTTAATTTTACAGCTCCTTTAAGACTGGACTTAAGTTGGCTTATCTTTAAACTTAAGACCTGAATTTTTCCATTGTATTGTATTTAAACATCATTTTTCCAACACTTTTTGGACTGAGATGATCTGATGTTTCCAGGATGTCTCTCCGTTCAGCTTGTTCAGTCACTCTAAAGCATAAAAAGGTTAAATACAGGTCCACAGCCGACTGAACCGACCCTTGTTTCATGTGTTTTCTTGCATGTTTTTATCCAAACAAACATTGTGCGTCCATAAAAACCTGTTTACTTCTTTTTAAAGCATTATAACACCATGGATGCAACCTGAACTTGTGCCAAACCCTGAGAAAATGCAGAGATTTTTACAGGGAGTCTTGGTGAAGTCAGAGGATCCAGATTTAACTCTGAGGCGTCTCCTCACATTCCCTCAGAGACCCGGGAGGATAAAGTTAGCTGCCGAGGAAACTTAAGAGACCCCCACAGACTCGGGGCCCCCAGCAGCTCCAGAGTCAGGACACCATACAAGGAGTGTGAGGGCAGAGTGTGTGTGTTCATATGAGTGTGTGTGCGTGTGTGTGTGTGTTTGTGGAGGGAGGGGCAGTTCAAGGACCAGCTGGGAGTCAGATCATAACAGAAATGGAGGAAGTTTGTGGGCGAGTGGATTAATAATGGTCACTAATAAAGAGGCGTCGCTGAATGACATCATGAGACGACCTTTTGACCTTTCTTTCAGAGCCTCCGTCTTTAAAAAGGACGTTCAAATGATGCGATGAGGACTTTTTAAACACTTTAAGTTCCCCCCGTTACCGTGGACTGTGAAAAGGAAGTAGGCGGAGCTAGCATGATGTAATTCATCCATTCGTGGGATGCAGTTATAAAGCATCAAGTTTGTTTTATTTGGGAGCAGGAAATAACCATATTTACATGGGAGAGTGTAGCTAATCTGAAGCTTTTTAAAAATGTAGTCGTCCCAGAGGGTGTTACTGCCCCCTACTGGACTGGAGACTGTTGAAAACATGGACGTGTTCTGAAGCCCAAAGGTGGTGGACGCCATGTTGTGAAGACTGACTCTGCCTCAATTTCAAATCTATCTAAAGACAAGCAAAAAGGTGGAGAGGAGGCGGGCTTAAAACCTACTGGTAAACAGAAACAAAATGCCAAGCTGTCAGTCATCGTAGCCACGCCCCTTATCATGCATATGTATCATAACTCTCAGTCTCAGTCTGTGTTTTACAAATAAAAGATAGAAGGGAAAATAACTTTGTTTGTTTGTTTGTTTGTTTGTCTTGCACCAGGCTGTTACCTGTTTATTTCTAAAGTGAGCATTTTAAAATGGGACCTGATAGGAATCTACTCACTTTTGGAAAAAGGCTCAAGTGGACGCTCCAAGAACTGCAGCTTTTGTACCTCCTCATTAGCTCTTTTTTATGATCTCAGAGGTGAAGTGATGGCAGTTTGAAGAAACTGAACTTCCTTTTTTTCTCTTCCTCTTTGGTTTATTGTTGGGTAACAAACAAAATTAAAGGCACATTACTGCCACCTGCTGGAGTGGAGTGGAACAGGAGGGGATGGACGTCGGGTACGTTATAAATTCAGATACTGTGATTGTGATTGTGAGACATTTTGAAAACATAAGGTTATATTTAATTCAACTTTTTAAACTATTATAACTTTTAATTTGCAGGACTGCACTAAGACATTTAATTTTGCACTTGGAGAAACAGTGCGTTTATAAATTAACATAATAATGATTAAAAGAAGTTAAAAACAAAACAACTTAAGAAATAAACTGAAGAAACACTACAAATACATAAATATGAGATAAGCAGCATTAAAATAATGAAGGTTTGATACCACTTAAATAAAATAAATATATTTTAGATTTTACTTTAAAAAAATACAAATTAGTTTAGTCTATTTTAGTTTAAGGTGTGTTAAAGAGTCTTTATTGAACCTGTTATTACATTAACAGAGAAATAAAATTTTTAGAAACTCTTTATTTTAGTGTGAGAAAAGATGCAACAAAAGAGCAGAAAACTGGAAATTATGACACATAAACACGTTAAGATTAACCATAAGGTTTTAATATTTCACAGAAACACCTTTTAGTCTACAGTTAGTGCTCTCAATACTGATAAATATTAATAAGTCATGTTTTTGCAGGTGAGATTCAGAGTTTAGTTGTGAAATATTTGGATCAGTGAATCATAAGTTTCTTACAAGCACAAACCGCCTTAAAAATATTTATTTCTATATATTTATATCTTTAAAAAAACCTTAAGCTTTTTTTTCAGTCTCCAAATGAGCAAATTTGTTCTTTTTTTAAATTTCAAAGCTGTTTTTTTATTTTCTTTTTTTTTTTAGGGGAACTTGAAAAAGTAACTGAAAGTTTACTAAAGGCTAAAATTGAATCGCAGAATAAAAATAATCATTGGTTATGGTGAAAACAAATCTTTTTTTTTTTTAACACCAAAATGAAATAAACTCCAACCTACTCATAGAATAACATGTCAAAATTCAAAAGAGCACATTTTTTGGCTTTTTAAAAGTATTCTAAGATAGAATATTTGAAAATCTTTTTAACAAGAAATGAAAGCTAAATAAATAAATAAAATAAAATCAACAGAAATAATTTGAACTAGATACTTAATGCTTGCAGCATATTTAAACTTTTTACATAAATTCTAACGTGTAACGTCTCCTGTTGTAAAATAAAAGCCATTATAATTTAAGGGAAAATTTTTATTTTAATGTGTTAATTCAACATGTGAAATGAAGCTGCAGAATTATAGAGAAAAACAAATAAAGACACAGAAACCAACTCCAGACTTCTTGTCCTCCACATCTGACTTTATTGCTTCTTTATCATGATTCAGTTTGTGTGAATGTTTGTCTGAGTTTGTGGAGTTTTAAGACTTGGTGATGTGTGTCGGTGTGTGAACCTGCAGAAACTCTCCACACTCCTCCCTCTCCCTCAAAAAAAAAAAGAAATAAAATAAAAAAATAAAGTAAAATAAAATGATAAAATCCTCAATCGGAGTGACTCCCTCTCGGACACGCTAACCTGCTGTTGAAACGTCCATTTTCAAACCAACACATTCGAGACACGTGAAGTTCGTACAAACAGAGAAAACAGCAGCGACAGGTTTATGAAGACTCGAACATCTTCTTCCTGTCGGCTTTGTCCTCGATGTTCTTACGCCAGTCGCCGACTGCTTCTGTGGGCTGCAGACAAAGACGGTAAAACACAAGTGAGAGGAGTCATCCAATCAGGGAGGTGAATTACAAAGCTCGTTATGGCTCCATATTTCATCTTTTTCGCAGAGTATAAAATAAGAAGTTTGGCTAAAGTTTGTAAAAAGTAGTTGACAGTATTTGTGAGTTAAAAATCTAAAACATTCATAGTTTGTAAAGCAAATGTTCCCGTTTTCTCAAAACCCAACTGACTTACTGTGTCGCCATAATTCGCCAAACCAGCCAGAGCTAACATGTTAGCGTAAGTCAACAAAGAAGCTCGCCAACCTATCTTAGTGCCGTTATTCTAACGTAATGGTACATTTCTGAAATAACTACTGCATTGAACCAATCTGGTCGCCTTAAGTCACGAAAAGCAAATTGACTAATCTTGGTGCCTTCTCTATCCCATTAAACCTGATAGGCCCATCTTGTCACCTTAATATTGAACTTGAACTTCTCAAGGAACTTTAGAAAATGTAATGTATTAGTTTTATATCACTTTTATAGTTACGATGATACAATGACAGTGAAAGCACATTAAACTTTGAACAATAACATGAACAAAGTATATCATAGCACCAACTCTTGATCGTTTAATACTGTCTGAGAGTGTCTAAAACTACTAAACCATCACTGTTACGGTTTGTCGTTTTAATTTGAAATCCAAAGTTTGGTCTAAAACATCCACACACTGTTCTCTTTGCCTTCAGAAGAAAACGTCACCTGTGAGAGCTGAGAAGAAGAAAAAACGAAGACTCACCTCCTCTTTGACCTCCTTCTTCACCTGCTTCAGGTTGGCCCTCAGGTCCATGTTGACCGTGTGTTTGGAGCCCAGCAGAGCTTTCAGCATGGTGTCAGCGGACATACGCACCTTCTTCAGAGCGGGTTTCTTCACACCAGCCAGATCGACCACCTTGATCTTCAAGTCCTCAATCTGCGAGGAGAGAAAGTTTAAGTTTCCTCCCCTCGATGAAGCTCCTAATCCTCCCGACTGTTAGGATTTTTACCTCTTTGTCAGCCTTCAACACCTTGGCCTCGACGTCGTACCTGTCCTCATCAACCTTGTCAATGAGAGCCTGGAGCTTCTTGCAAGTTTCCTGAAGATACACAAAGATGTTTTTTTTTAATCAATAAAGAGACAATCTGCTGTTATTTAAACAGAAAACCAGAGATTTACTTTGCTTTATAAAATATTTGTTTTTGTGTAAACATGTTTGTCTGGTTGAAGACTTTTATTGTCACGCTCGAACAGGAAATCGACTTTTGAGGAGCTTACAGCACATGTAGAGATGCCAAAATAAGTACACAAGTCCAGTCGAGAGAAAAGAGGTTTGGTATAAGTTTGGTTTGCAAGTGTAGTTAAACGGCTCAGTGGCGCCCTCTACAAAATTTCAAAGATAGGATCAGCAAAACTGGGTATCATGCCTAAACCTACAAAAAAGTCTTTTGGACCCATATTGTAAAATCAACAGAAAGTCGCCAATTTCAGATTTGTAAAGAAATGACGATAAAAATTAAGTGTATTTTAACATCTAAGTTTCATTTATGATAAACTTTGTTTTTCTTCTTTCTTATATTCTTACATAAAGCATCTCTTTCTTCATACGAGTCCCTAACAGCAGGTCTCCCTGAATAAATAATCTGTCTTAAAAACATTTTTGAGGATCGTCTTTGGATGATTTGGATTATTTTTTCCTCGTCTCTCACCATGAGGGCAGCCTGATCTCCGCTCGTATCAGGAGTAGGACAGTTTTCAGCCATGTAGGCCTCCTTGGCTACAACGAGGTCCTTTTTCTCCTGCTCAAGCCAGTTCTGGGCGATCTGAAGGATCAGACTCTGCAGGACAACAGGGAAAAGTTCTGTCAGGAAATGAATTATCTCTTTTTTTATTTACGTTCTCCCAGACTGTGATTTTAAATTTTATCCAAAGTCCTACAAGAATAAAATAGATGATAAAATCAAGTTAAAACAACTTGAAATCCATTTTAAAGGCTCATCACTAACTTGTAGTTTCATGTGATGCTTAAAAGGATTTTTTCTATTATGATTAAAACTGTTGGTGAAACTTATTCACTTTAAAGATGAAAATAAAGACTTGATAGGTGTTTTTAACATTTTCAGCTCTTTATAGGATCAATTACTTAGAAAGAAAACATGAACCAGCTTTACAGGGAATTCTGTTACTTGTTATTTTAATGATAATAAAAATATCGGCTGTTAAAAATATCTCTGTTATGAGTGATTTGTTTACCTTGAGGTGATGCCTGCGGCTGGAGGTCAGCTTTTTCCTGTTTGAGAGGAAGTTTTGCATGCCAGTTTAACACGTCATTTTCAATCAAAAAGGGCATTTAAAGCAACGATGGACGTCTATTTTAAGCTAAAAATCATGCTTCTCATGCAGCAAGTGAAAATATATTTCTGTAATGAAAGCATATTTTGAATTTCTGACAGATTAAAGCAGATTTATGTTGAATATTCTCTCCTTTCTTCAAAAAACAAAGCATCATATTTTTCCTCTTACACTAATTTCCAGTTATAGACTCTGTAACATGAACTTTAAATGCTTGTTTAAGTCTAATCCTGGTGGTTTTCATCAGACAAGAAGCTGTTCAAACTTACTCAGACATCTTGGTGGTTTTTGCAGTTCACAACCTGCAAAAAGACACACATGACAGCCACATTTAACCATTTGTGTATTTTTGACCACTGCTGAACACCGTACTTGTGCAGATCAGAATGTCAGTGTGAGGATCTCTGAGATCAGCATGTTCTGACGAAGACGGACTGACGGGAATATTTGCGACGTAACGTGATCTGAGGCCACAGCTGAAGAGCAGCGACGTCGACTGAACTAAACTGGGACGGTCGGGATCGGATGTCGCGTTTAGGCGGTTTACGACCCGGGCCGGGTGAGGGGTTAACTCAAACAATTCTCAATTTAAAGATCATCAAATGAAATTAAAGTCTGATACTCTTGGTTTACTTTAGAGGTTCAAAAACTGCATCAAAACAAAGAGACACGATCCCATGATTGAGTAAGAGTCCATGCAAATAGTTACTTTAACAGCTTCTAAGTTTAGTTTTTGTTTCAACTTTTTATAGCAACTTATAAAAAATGTGAGACTAATATCAACCTCAGTTTAAAGTCATTGTTATTTTGTCTTTTAAAAGTTTTTTAAACAAGTTAGGACACTTAAACTCAAAAAATGTAAGAAGGAAGATACAACAATTTTTAAAAAAGGACTTATTGACAAACAAATCAGCTCTAAAAATAGACTTAAATCTCATCAGATTAATGTTTTTTTTTTGTCCACAAAAGTAACCATTTTAATCCTGTAAGTTTCAAAAAAATCTCTTTTTTTCATAATAAATTCAAAAAGCAAAATTTTTTACACATCCAAGAGATATTTTTCGAGACTTGAATCTGCATCAAAGCTTCATATTTAACTTTCCAGGACCCAATGACAGAATGGTTCTCGATCCTTTACCGTACAACAGTTGGAGGACTTTAAGACTTTCTAGCAATGGACTGCAAATTTCCTCAGGAGCTCAAAACCTGCCAGAGTGGCTCCCATAAATTTCCCGTCTGTCAGGAGAAGGTCAGATGTCAAAAACAAACATGCAGAAAGCGAGTTCAGGATGTCAGGATGGGTCAAAGGTGGAGAAAAAAGCAGCTATGATCCCCTTGTAAAAGAGGATTTTTAGAAGCAGAGTCTAGTTGGTGAGTGGCTGCGATGATTTATATTTTTTTCCTCTTGTTAATCAGAGATGCTGCTCCCAGAGAGGCTGTAGTAAAAAGAAAGGAATAAAATGAGATTTCTCACCTGTTGAGAGAGGAAGAAGACCACTAGACACACTTGGTGGAAGTAAAGGAGACACTGCCAAAGCCACAGACAGTGAAAAATGAAATACGGTATATATGGTGGGTTTCGATGTCTCAGCAAAATGCTCAGATCCTCTTTATGGAAATGGATTCCCCAGCAGACCAATGGGCCTGCGAGCTCCTGAAATACACCCAACCCAACCCTGCTCTGCTAACGGCCCTCCCTGTGAGCAACTTCAGGCTCTCCTGAAGATCCACATTCAGTGTATGTGTGTGAGGGTTAAATATAAAGACCATAAACAGGGAAAGTAAACGAGAATCTTCAGGCCTCCTTAAACATTATTTATTATATCTAAAGACTTTCGAACAATCGTCTTTATGTTTCTCTTCTTTAAATGTGGCTTTAGTGTTCTTAAGTATCTTCTTATCTTGGTATTTTTTTAGGTTTGATGTTGTTCTATGAAGCTTTGATAATGTTCTACCAAACTCTGATGTTCTTCAAAGTAGCCTGATTTTGGACGGAGATGCTCTGATGTTACTTTAAATCACTTAATTGTTATCCTAGATTCTCCGGTTTTGTTCTAAAACACTTTGATAATTAAGCTGGAATGATGTTGTCCTAAAACACTTTGTTGTTCTATTAAAACACTTTGTTGTTGTTCTTAAACACTTTATCTTAAACACTTTATTATTTTAAAACACTTTTTTGTTCTAAAACACTTTATCTTAAACAATTTGTTGTTATGTTAAAACACTTTGTTGTTGTTCTTAAACACTTTGTTGTTTTGTTATTGTTCTAAAACACTTTGTTGTTTTGTTATTGTTCTAAAACACTTTGTTGTTTTGTTATTGTTCTAAAATACTTTGTTGTTCTACAACACTTTGTTATCCTAAACTTTTTGACTTTGTTTTAAAACACTTTGTTGATTAAACTGGATACATTTTGTTCTTAAACACTTTGTTGTTCTAAAACACTTTGTTATCCTTGTTCTCATTTGTTAAGTTCAGCTAAAACACCATGATATTGGATAAACATCTCCTTATTTTGCCCACAAGAAAGAGGCAAAAAATAATTAAAAGATGATTTTTTTTCTCTAAAACCACATTAAACTTTGGTAAACAATCTTGCACTACTGAATGGTGTTTTGGTAAAGAAAATATGCTCATTCATTCAATGTCTTTGTTCAAATATTGACCATTCTTCAGTAATTTTGGACTAAGAATTATTCAACCTTTTATGAAGCGACTAGTGTTATTTTCTCATTTCTTCAGTAAGATCTGTCCGAGTTACGACAAATTTTAAGTTATGTGTTTTGGGAAAAACTAACTGAGGAATAAGAATCAGTGAATATAAATGTAACAAACAAATGTCTCCTTATTCCAAAACATTTATTTCTAAAGACTCCATGAAAAGCTGTACATTATGAGGTGATGTTTTTTCTGTTTAAGAAAGTTTTTCTGCGTACATGATGACCTTACGGTTGCTTCAGTTCAGTCTCCCATGGTGGCGAAGGTTTCACAAAAAGCAACAAAAAAAAAGAGCGTAAACTCTCGTCCCTGTGAGTCCTGCTGGAACTCAGAGACACTTTCAGTCACTCAGACCTCAGACGGAGACCTTTTCCCCCCGCTGTCGTCCTCGTCAGGGCAGGAAACTCTTAAGAAGTCTCGAACATCTTCTTCCTGTCGGCCTTATCCTCGATGTTCTTACGCCAGTCGCCAACCGCCTCTGTGGACTGCAGACAACAGGGACTCGGTTAAAAACATACTCTACAAATAATTCAATGGTACCAAAGTGTTCAAAGGTATGTTTTAAAGCCCTCTTTATCAAAACAAGAAGAAAATATATAAAAAAAGAAAAGTTCCTATGATCATACATCCTTTCATATCCAAACAGCTGGTTTTATTGTGCTCACCTCCTCTTTGACCTCCTTCTTGACCTGCTTCAGGTTGGCCCTCAGGTCCATGGTCACCTTGTGTTTTCCTCCCAGCAGAGCCTGCAGCATGGCGTCAGCAGACATACGCACCTTCTTCAGGGCGGGTTTCTTCACACCGGCCAGCTCCACCACCTTCAGCTTTAGGTCCTCGATCTGGAGGCAGAAAAACATCAAAATTGAGATCAGGAGACGTATTTTCCAAAGAGAGTTTACAGCGATTCAGTGTGCTTCATATACAAGAACGTTAGTCGCCCTCGAACATTTGCTGCATGAATTTCCACTCTTCAGCTGTCCTATCTAATAAAATGTCTTAAAATAGAAGATAAAAACTACTTAAAACTCTACAGCTCTCTACTCTAACAGACCTGACTCACCTGAGGAGGTCTTCAGGTCTTTAGTGTCTCACCTCTTTGTCGGTCTTCTGCACTTTGGCCTCGGCGTCATACCTCGTGTCGTCGATCTTGTCGATGGCAGCGTGGAGCTTCTTACAGATTTCCTGTTGAGACACAAAAACAGACAAACTGTTGGTAGGTTGAGCGTTTACAGGGTGTCAGTCTAAAGTCATTGAGCCACAGTGAGAGCCGCCTGCATTTATTTGGATTTTGGCGCCCCCTGTGGTCAAAGCAGTATCTCTTACCTGTTATCATATTCTGCATGTGGGTAAGTTGTATTTTCAGATAAAAGCGTCAACAAAGACCAAAACAGATGTAAAAATAACGTTATATAAGAGGCACCAGTTTAAATAACCGTGTATTCACAGAGGCTTCAAAACAGGCGCTGTTAAAGACCTGATCCTCGTTCTTTAGTGACTTTTACTTATTTTTAATTTCATTTAATTTTACTTCATTTTATTTTCATGCATGTTCACTATTTGCTACCAACCAAAGACTTACAAGTCTTCACTGTTCACCACAGAATTTTAAAGTGGTTAAAATGTTTATTACTTAAAAAATTGATTAGTTTCAGAGTTTACCAACCGATCAAAAGTCCAAACAGTAACATGTCGACATCAACATGTTCATCCACCAAAATGTTGTGACAAAATATCAAATTAAGTTATCTGTTAACCTCCAAAAACCTGCTCAGAAAAGGTCAAATGAATATAAAACACATGTTCACTAAAACTTTTTGTTTTTAGATTTACACCAGTTATCAAAAAGTGTCATGAAATATCTAATCAGTTAACTGTCAACTTAAAAAACTTGTGGGAAAAGATGAAATAACATCTCTTAATATCTAAACATAACTTTTGGTTAAAGGTTCCAAAAAAGTGGCATGAAAATATCTACAAAAGTTGAGAGTCGACTAACAAAAAATTGTAAAAATCTAAAAGTGCAACAGAAAATTCTACAAAAAAGTTTAGTGATAACTTTCACAGATGTTAACTTTTTAGTTCTGTTATAATCTGAACAAGTGTTTTGTATCTGCTTCAGACTAAAAACTGAAAAATCCAGTGTTAACTCGTCACACCTCAGACCAAAAAGTTATGTCCATTTAGAGATTTACTGTCACACGTCAAAAAGTTCGATTCGAAGTTTGAAACTAACAAAAAGTTTCATGAGAAAATCTATGAGGGTTTTTTCTTCTGACAAAAAAAGATGCATGAAAATACTGAGTGTTTTTATCGTATCCTAGTTACTAAAAAGTTACTATAAATAATAACAAGTATTGACTGTTTACTGCCAGCAAATAAACAGATTTTTTCAAGTATTTGAAAGGGGACGTCAAACTAAAATCTCAATGTGGATTTTTTTAACTGATGAATTTTTATGACATTTACACTTTCAGAAAGTCCCACTTCAGTTCATGCTCGGACATCTAGACCCAAAAATGAGGTCTATGGAGATGGAAGATTTAGTATGAGTCATTAGTTCTAACTGCACCGTCACTCACTGCTGAGAAGAGAAATGATGAACTCTCTATTTTCAGACATTATAAGACTCTTGATCACATGACGAGTATCTGATTTACACTGATGATTAAGACTAAGTGTGAACAGTCTGCAGCATTAGCCAAAAATAGTCCTCGTCCTCTCACCATGAGGGCGGCCTGGTCTCCGCTCAGGTCAGGAGCCGGGCAGTTCTCCGCCATGTAAGCCTCCTTCGCCTCCTCGATGTCCTTCTTCTCCTGCTCGATCCAGGTGAAGGCGATCTGCAGCATCAAACTCTGCAGGAGCGTGAAAAGATGAAAACATGAATATAAACAAAATGATCCTTAAAAACTTGGAGAATCATCAAGAAAAGGCAAAAGTTGTCTGACCTTCAGGTGATGCCTGCGGCTGGACGTCATTTTCTTTCCCCTGTGAATCAGAGATGAGCCGTTACAAGGATACAGATGGAGGTTTATGAAAGTGTGGAAAATGAAAAATATCTGATACAAGACGGAATTAAAAGGCTTTGTGTATAAAAGCGGAGTTGGAAATGCATTTTTCCTCTCTGAAACTTTGATTGGAGGTGTGAAAATAGTTGGAAACCATATGTTACATCCCGCTCTCTCGGGTTTCTCCGCTGACATACCAACAAAGCTGCAGCTGCCGTCACTCCGGGCTGACGCTGACCTTCACACCGAGCTGCTGCCTCCACGTGTGTTCAGATCAGTTCAGACACATTTCAGACAAAACCACAAACTCTGTTTGTCCAGGGCTCAGGTGTATTTATGTTCAGGGGATTTACAGCTAAAGGGAGTTTAAACTTTCTTGGAGATTATCAGAGATTTCTGTTTATAAGCTGTTTTAAAATCTTGGAAAATTAGCCTAAAATTCTCTAAAATATGGAGAACATTGAGCTTTTATGGTGCAATTTAGCTTTTGAACTTTCCATACTAACTATTTCTCATCCTGGCATATCTAGATAACGAGGTCGTGGATCGGTTTCCTCCAGCAAATCTTCGTTTTAATCAGACTTGAACTGGCTCATGTATTTTGATATACAGATGTTGAATGGCTAGATTGCGGTTTAGGAAACTAAACTTTTATATACGAGGTAGAAACATTATAAAAAGACGGTGCTGTCATGTCATTTGTACAAAAACTACAGAGCTGTAAAGTTGTCATGTTTCACCGTTTAACAATCAACCTGTTAGCCTCTTGCTAGCGTGTTTGTTGATTGTTTTGGTGAGGTGATGGACGCGTCCTGATCTTCCTCCTCCTCTGATTATCTGACAGAATTCATCAGGGTGGAACTTGTTAAAGTCTCCAAATAACATAACTCACAATTTAAATTGTTTCACTCGATCAAAGTGTCACAAAAGGTGATCTGTTCGAGGTTCGAGCACAATGTGACACTTCACAACCGTCCAAAACTACAACAGACAGCAGCTCCACTGAACTCTGAGTTTACTCTTCTTTAACTTCACTTCTATCCGTGAAATAAGCTCTCGGCAGTATCACTTATAAACTTGAGAGACCCGTCCAGGTATCATTTCAGTTTGATAATGACAGGAAGTAGTTTCAGCAGTAACAGGAGAATAAACAGAACAACAGAAGAAGAAGAAGGAGGTGAAATTATAGGAAGGGAACAGTAGCAGGAGAATTTGTCATAGAAGAAGAAGAAGAAGAAGAAGAAGAAGAAGAAGAAGAAGAAGAAGAAGAAGAAGAAGAAGAAGAAGCATTAAAAGAAGAAAAGATGAGAGGTAGTTCGATCGTTTCAGCTTTAAAATGTTTGAAAATTTAATCAGAAGAAAACTTCTTTTAAACATCCTCACAACATTAAAGAAACGTTAATCTCCCGCAGGACGAAAATTAGAGGTCGATCGATGATCAGCTTTGGATGATTATTGGGGCCGATATTTGGGACTTTGACTATAATCCTTATCAGCTTTTTATTTGACAGGAGGCTGATAAAATTAACTGAAAATTAACTCCTTCAGTTTCCTTGTAGGTCTGTTTTCTTGCTTCACTCTGTCTGACTAAAAGTCCATAAATAAATATTTAATATCCTGTAAGTGAAGCCAGTTAACTCCTGTATACGACATTGAATGTTTCAGTTTAGTTTTCACATTTCTTAAAAAAATTGGGCAAAGTTTTTGTTAGACTGTAATATTTGTGTGATGCCAAATTATTCATTTCCACCGACTATAGCTATCAGTTGAAAATATAGATTATTGGTCTCGGTATCGGCCTAAAAAAACAATATTAGTCAACCTCTACAGAAAAATCCTGTTTCACTTCAAATTCAATCTAAAAGTTCTGATTTTAGTGAAGTTATTTAATATTAACTCGTGGTGCATTTCAAATCTTTCTAAGTTATTTTTGTCAGATTCTGATGCTGTGACAGATCTACGATGAGATGATACAGACAAGCTATCTCTCTAAATAAAATACTAGTTTCAGCTTTTATTCAATATGACTTTGGAAAAGGAGAAACAGTTACTGTAGGAGAAAAATTAAGAAGGAGGAGACGTAAAGGAAAAAATAGAAAAGAGGTCATAAGTTAAAACTATTTAAAGCTCCTGTGTGGAACTTCTTGTTTGCACCTCCTGTGTTTAAAAATGGACTTCTGCTCTATTTTATCAGCAAAATCAACTAAAGTCACTGTGAATTTTTAAAAAGACTATTTATTTTTTCTGTCAATCATCTCTGACACCTACCTCCCCCCTCACAGAAGTTACAGGCGTTAAAAATCACATTACAATAAACTCAGTGTCATTCCTGATTGTCATGTGTGTTTTTCAAGGTCATGAAAAGGCGCCGCTACGGATTTAAACCTGTTTCATACGTGTTTAAAAACTCCTCACAGGAGCTTTAAAGCAGATAAAGAAGAAGAAGAAGCTGCTTTAATCGATGTAGAAGAAGACTAGAGAAGATAAAGCGCTAATGATGGAAGTTAGAGGAGTGTTTGAGGGCAAAATAGTTAAAGAGATAAAGAAGTCGAGGAAGGAAGGAAAGGAAAGGAGGAAAGGTTGGCGGTGAGCGAAAGAAGATACAAAAAAGGAGAAAAAGTCAAAAGAAGCAGCATGAGAAGATGAGAGCAGAGGTAGAAGAAGAGAAAGAACGATTAAAAAAGAGAGAGAAGAAGAAGAGGAGGAGGAGGATGGACTCACTCAGACATGTTGGCGGTTCTTGTTCTTCACACCCTGTTCAGAAACAGAAAAACAGTCATGAGTTAAACATGAGCGGACAGACCTCCAGAAGCTCTCTGACTGTCCACAGCTGAACTCTCAGGGTCCAGTTCCTCCCCCGGTTATCAATCAGCGACCTCTGACCTCCCCGCCGGAAACCCGATACCCTTCACTATCATGGAAAACCGGCTGTCAGTGACCACAAACCGGCTAATTTTGGACAGTCGAGGTCAGGGAGCCGGGGAACAGTTGCCCCTCATTCTGCCTGGAATCCGACTTCTTCCTGCGAGCCAAAGACCTGAGCGCAAAATACCTCCAGCAGAGGCTCCAAATGTGGCGCTAAGCACGCCGTGAGAGCCGTTAACACTCATTCCAACATCCTGGAGGCATGCAAACGGCGGGCTGACACCGAGGCCAACCCAGGACCGGCTTCACGCCATAATCCGGAGGATCAACGGCGATTAAAATTTAAGAATAAGGTCAACACAGAGGCTTGTTTGCATAAATCCAGCTTTAAAACATCTGTAACCACAAAATGATTAAACTTTTATTCAGTTTATAATCTCTAATCCAACAAAACACCGGCCTAACGTAACACAACACCTCAAATTTAGACCAAAACACTTCGTATGAGAGGCTGATTTTGTTAATTATAAAGAAAAAAATGTCACGTTTATATTTTTTATGACTCAAGAGCAAATTCTGGGAAACAATATATGATTCTTACCAATTATTTGTTTAATTCTTACGATTTATTTCCAGATAATTGCTTTAAAAACTACAGAAATATAAAAAAACGCAAGATATACTAACAAATATTCCCAGAAACAACATTTCTGTCACGAAAAATTGACCAAATGATCATCACATGAGTTAAAAAGACGCGTTTTAGTCAAATTAATTCAGTTTTGGTTATAATTTATAAAACTTTTCAACCTTTTTCAGCCATAAAGGTATTTTGATGTCAAATCAGCTGCTGTATTTTGGATATTACGATATTTAACAACCAAACAGACGTGTTTGCCTTTGAAAAACTAAGCTTGAATCTCGCAGATTTAACAAAAACATCACAACGCCAACAACTTGTAAGACTTACAACCAAAATACAAACCAACCAATCCCTGCGGAGCAACAACTAAACCTCAACTTTATAATCCGGCTTCAATTTTCTCCTAATTTTGAGTTTAACGTCCCGCAGTCACTCCCAGCTCAAATCAACGTCCTCTAACGTCCTTCAGAAAGTCCAATAATGTCCCGCCGCCGCAGAGGTCAGAGGTCACACCTGCAGCAGCACCTCCACAAACCGCACAACAGCACCTGAGCAGATAAAGAAACCAGAGTCCCACCTGCAGCAGCAGCAGACCTCAGCGTGACTCTCTGTTTTTGTTTGAGCGAGCGAAGCCTCAGAGACAAGGACAAGGAGGAGGACGAGCAGGACGCGGGAGAAGAAGGGGGGGAGGCTCTGCCAAGTCCGAAACAGTAAAGATTAAACAGGGTATATAGGGTGTGAAGTGCTGGCTCAGCAGAAAACTCAGCCCTCTTTATGGTAACACACGCACTTCAGACCAATGGGCCGGCAGGCTCCAGAAATACCGCAGCAGGTCTCCCAGGAACCTCGTAAATTTGTGCCACAGGAAGTGGCCTCACTGGACAGGAGACCCTATCAGGTTCCCTCCCACACAGAGGAGTGGGAAAAGGATGGAGCGATTGTTACACAACTTTCAGGCGGCGGGCGCGAGGTTCGAGATTAACGCTCACGGATTCAGTTTCAGCTGAAAATCAGACAGAGATGGTCGAGAACTTCCCGGACCACCAACCAGAGCTCAGAGATAAAGACGTCTGAGTGACACTCGGGCTGAAATCAACACGAAAACTCACAGCAGCTCATCACAAAGTGTTTCAGGTGGGGTTAAAATACTACTGTGGTACTTTCAGTTTGAGTTAAGCATGCAGGAGCAACAACGGCATCACAAAAAGACAGCAGACCATGAAATATAAACTACAGATAAACAGATTCAAAAAAAGTTTCAACAGCGTCTAGAATGAGGAGGACTCAGGTCCAGTCCTGTGCTGTAAAGTCTGGTAACAGTGTTTAAGTGTTTTTAGGATCTGTGTGAAATAAATAAAACAAACAAACAAACAGAGACTTGTCTGAAAAGTGTGAGCGCTGCTGAATTATTCAGTGAGAATGAAGAATGAACTCTGAATATCTGACACTGATTTTTCTTCTCCTTCTTATTTTTAACTCTTTATTGCCTTTTGTGTCATATTTGATAGATACTTTTATAAACTTCTATCAAATCAATATCATCAACAAATTACTTAAAAACACCTGAATACAAACATCTAATGTATCAAACAAGATCAATAAATTTATTTGTTAAATTAAATGACATTTTGATTTTTTTGGTTTTCAGTAGAAAGTAAAATAAACATTTCAGCTCCAAAAAAATGTGAAATTTTCTGGCCATAATTTGTGGTTTCAGGCAATAAAAGGATAAACATAAAACAACTTGAAAATACAAAAGTCTGTGGTTGAAGATGAAGAAGAAATGAGAGAGCAGAAGAAACAGAAGAACTAAGAAGATTAAGAAAAGAAGAGCAAGAAGAAAGATTCAGCATTCATGCAATAAGTGAGAAAAAGAGAAATAAAAGTGACTCACCATCTCTCCATCTTCATGCTGCTTTTCTTTCTTTCTTTCTTTCTTTCTGTGACAGACGAGCTGAAGTGATATTTGGTGGACTGATTTAGTGAGAACTCTTTACGCAGAGAAATCGAGGCTCTCTGCTGACATCTGGTGGTTTAACGTGAGTAAAACACCCAAATTCAGAGGTTTAGAATATAGCAGTTTAAGATGTTTTTAGTTAAATAAATAACATTAACTAGTAAAGGTAGACTGAAAACAGGCTGTGATGTTTTAGGACAAACAGGAACTGTGATCACATGTCGACTAAAAAGTTCTCAGGTTTTTCACTGAAGGGCTCAGATTGATATTCAGAGAGAAATCATCTTTAAGAGTGAGGTACTTATTAAAAAACAAAAGGTTTTGGCTCATTAAAAGGTCTTTAAACCTTCCAAATAAGTCTGTCTTTGCAGGGATCCTTTCTTAAAAAAGTTTCTCAGACACTTGAATGAAAATCTGAGCCAAAATCTGCGAGAAAAACAAAAAAAGTTTTTACAGTCTGTGAACTAAAGAAATTAACAGTAGGTAAGAAGAGAAACTAAATCAATATTTACACTAAAGAGATCAAATATTTTGGCCACATGAAGGAGGAGAAAAGGGAGATTTTGTTGATAAATTACAGGAATAAAATCATAATTTTACAAGAATAAAGTCAAAAAAATAAAAATATTCAAAAATGAAGCTTCAAAAATAATAAAGGAGAAACAAATGTATGAAAAAAGTTGTGTTATCACAAGAATGAAGTTTAAATATTAAGAAAAATTGAATTATTTCAGTCTGCAGGTATTTTATTTTGAAAGGGAATAAATGAAAAGCAACTGACTGCAGAACTGAAGAAAGTAGAGCGATTAAAAAACAACAAAAAATATTAATAAACTAGATAAATTCAAATAAAAACTAATCAGGTTTAAAAACAAAAAAATGTTTGAATTCAATAAAATTAAACTTCAAAAAGAAAAAAATAATAATTCATTTTTTTACTATAATAATGACTAAACTCAGAAATTTAAGATTTTATGTCTTGCTACTTTCCTGTTGAACATTTACGATCTTTTCTTTTATAAACATGTGAATTTTTATCTCATGATGCTCGTTTGACTAGATTTCAGCCAAATCACAACCTCACTCTCATTTACTTACAATCTGACTCTGAAAATCTCATTTTCCTCCTTTAATGTGACTGAGAAGATGAAAACAGCCGATTAAAAAACTGACAAAGACCTTCAAGAAACTTTTTAAAAAGTCAAAACTTTAAAGAAAAAAAAATAAACTTCCAAACGTCTGCTTGGAAAAAACGCAGAGTGACAGCGTTGCCTTATTCCAAAAACACAGATTTAATGGCACGAGTATTTTTCGCAGAAAAAGGTGAGCTGTAACAGAGGAACGAAGAGCAGCCGTGAGGAGGAGAAAGTCTTTAGGAAGTCTCAAACATCTTCTTCCTGTCCGCTTTGTCCTCCACGTTCTTACGCCAGTCGCCGACGCCTTCAGAAGCCTGACGGACGAGACAGATTCAACATGTCGATGCAGCTCGTGTGTCTGAAACCGCTTCAAAAAAGTGACTTTTTGGCGCCTCACCTCCTCTTTGACCTCCTTCTTGACCTGCTTCAGGTTGGCCCTCAGGTCCATGTTCACCTTGTGTTTCCCTCCCAGCAGAGCCTGCAGCATGGCGTCAGCGGACAAACGCACCTTCTTCAGGGCAGGTTTCTTCACGCCGGCCAGCTCCACCACCTTCAGCTTCAGCTCAGAGATCTACAAGCGTGGAAACAGAAAAGTTCTGACATCTACGTTCTTGTTTATTGACCATGAATTCAGATTTCATCTCTCGTTCAAACGAAGGTGTCGTCTGCATATCGCTGCACTTTCTGCAAACACATTCAGCCTCTGGACCAACAGAGATCTTTACTTCTTTGTCTGTCTTGTCCACTTTGGCCTCGGCATCGTATCTGTCCTCATCCAGCTTCTCCAGGACCGAGTGAAGCTTCTTGCAGATTTCCTGGAACAACAAAAAATTGGTTAAAGGAATAATCGTAACCATCGGTTCCTACCTCGTCCAATCAGTGTAATCACAGTCATATTTTGGTTGGAGGTGGATAACCACTTGTAAATGATTACTATCTTACAGATATCTTCTTATTTTATATGCTGATATATAAAATTAATTTATTATGAACAAACGAATTCGATCGCATTTGATTTGGTCGAGGAGGAGACTCGAGAAAAGGAGGTGAAAATGGCGCCAATAGACTCAGACTCATAAAAATGACACATTGCACAAAAACTGGCATAAAAAGGGTAAAACATCTAATTTTTTATTTATTATTTTTAATGGTTAGGGTTGAAGTTGTTTAAGAGATTTGAGTCAAAGAAAAAGTTTAAAAATAATTCTTTTATGAACACTTATCTGCATGTTCATTTTAGGGACAAAGAAGGATGAATGGAGCAAAAATATGGAAATTGGCACAACAAAAAGAATTTAAATGCACCAAAATCTCTTTTACTTCTCATCATTGACATGGCCCAGACTCTATTTATTCAAAATAAATAACAATAATAATAATTTAGGTCATTTCATATGGGAAATATGAAGATTTTGTGTTTTTTACCGTTAAAAATAACAGTGACATGTTGCACAAAAACTGGCATAAAAAGGGTAGTACATTGAATTTTTTTGTTCATTATTTTTTCATAGTTAGAGCTGAAGTTGTTTAAGAGATTTGAGTCGAAAAAAGTAAGAACAAATATTTTAAATTGATTATTTTATGAATATCTGCATGTCTGTTTTGGGGAGAAAGTATGCTAGATGCAGCTTCATATTAACAAACTCTGAATGTTCCTCCTCATTTTTATCTCTGCAGGGTTTTATTCACCATCAGAGCTGCCTGGTCTCCGCTCAGGTCGGGGGTGGGGCAATGCTCCGCCATGTAGGCCTCTTTGGCGGTGACGATTTCGGCGGCTTCCTGCTCCAGCCAGTTAGCGGCGATCTGCAGCATCAGACTCTACAGGAGGAGAAATCAGAGGAGAACCGCTGAAGGTCGAGTTTCTGCACTTTTAGAGACGTTTGAACATGAGCCATGAACTTTGTGTTGTACGCCACCTTGAGGTGATGCCTGCGGCTCGATGTCATCCTCTTTCCCCTTAAATTCAAGAAAAGACATTCATGATCACATTCAGGTTCAAAAACAAAAAAACACACAAATCCTGTTAGTTTCAGGTCAACTTTGATAAATGAACGTGAATCAGCGTGAAGTCGTACTCACTCAGACATCTTGGCTGTCTTTTTGTTTCAGGTTCTGTCACAGAGAGAGAAAAAAAAAAACAGTTTAGTCCTGATGATGATAAACTCATGTCTCCAGATCTGTCTTTTCTGAGCTTAAACACTCCTCTTATACATCAAGATTTCCAAAACCCTCGTACTCTCACAGGTTCGTCTCCAGGATTTTAAGGCCCAACAACCAAATTTTAAAAACTTCATATACATGTGAAAACAGGATGAACTGTCCTTGAATGCACCTCAAAAATAAAGAGACAGTCTTTGCAATCAATAGGAGGATACATGAGACCACCAGTCAGACAGGGAAGCTGTAAACCATACCCAGAAATAAAAACTGGTGTCTGTCCTCGGGTTTCAGAAGTTTGCAGACGATAGTCGTGATCGGCTGCAGCTGGGACAGATTTATATAATCAGAGCTCTGCAACAGAAAATAAATTCTTCATGTTCCATCCATCCATTTTCTACCGCTTATTCCCATTAGGGGTCGCTGGAGCCTATCCCAGCATCTTCATGTGAAGGCAGGGGACACCCTGGACAAGTGACCAGTTCATCGCAGGGCTGACATATAGAGACGAAGAACTATCCACGCTCACATTCACACCAACGGGTGATTTGAAAGTGGATGATTAACCTAACCTCCACTTCTGCATGTTTTTGGGATGTGGGAGGAAACCAGAGTACCTGGAGTAAACCCACACAGACACAGGGAGAACATGCAAACTCCACACAGAAACACCCTGACCCGGAATTGAACACAGGACCTTCTCACTGTGAGGCGACAGTGCTAACAGCTACACCACTGTGCCGCCTCAAATTCTTCATGTTGCACGGCAAAAACAAAACCTATATCTGGAGCCATTTTGGTGGATAGTGAACACTGACACCTCCTCATGAGTCCATCAGGATGCAGATCCAGGTCCCGTGTCAGGTCTGGATTTTGTGCAAACTTCCCTCAGACTCACGAACACGAGAGCTGGTCTGGACATTTACACAAATCCATGACTCACTTCGCTTCATTAAGTTCGTGGTCTGCAAGTCCAAACAGTCGTCACTCTGGTTTAAAAATAGAAACTGCAGCTCCTCACTGGCCATGTATTTGACCCTGGACCTGAGGCAACCAGATCAGGGCTAAACCTGGCTCAGAGGTCAAAGGTTAACGGTGACATTTATGATGATTTCTTTATGAGCGAGGACAGAGGATGAGCTGATCGATCAGGAGAGGTGAGGGTAGAAAGTTTAATCTGACTGTTTTTGTTCAAGAAGCAGTTTCAGTCACAGAATGACGAGTGAAACTGATTTTAAATGTTTTTAAATAAAATATAAAACAAGAACTTCATCGATTACTTCGTTACTCATTTTTATACATTATTAATTTTGCATTGACTTCTGTTTGGATGAAGTCAAACTCAGTCATTAAATCTCAACATTTAGACGAGAATATTAAAGTGTTTTACAGTTTTTGTCTTTTCTTTTGTACGTTTAAAAAGTCGTTTAAAAGAGAGTGACAGTGTTTGTAGCATCAGTAACTCGTGTTGTAATCACCTGTCACCTGATACCGAGGCTATTTACACCTGAGAGTAATTTCATACGGCAGCAACGATGGACCGAGAGGCGCTTCTGTTTGGATTCTGCAGATTAGGAGTAAAATTGATGCTAATCCAACGAGTTGATTTTAAAAGCTTTTAGATATTTTTAAAAGAACAGGTCAGCTAGAGGCTTTTTGGGAGAGTTTAAATACAAGTTAACGAGAAAAACAGATAAACTTTCAACTTCAAGAATGAAAACTTAAAACTTTTTGGAAATCTTTTAAATCAATTTGAACCAATTTTAAATTTTTTTAAACAGAAGAGAAAATCCTTCGACAGATAAAAATTTAAGGGTGCAGAAAAAAACTCCAAACCTTAAATATAAACGGTTAAATAACTCTGGACACTTTTTTGACTTAAGTGTACAAACTATATTAAGTTATTTTACAATATTTCAACGTGAGACCAAATTCAGTGATGACAATAATCAGACTGACTTGAATTTTCGAGTCTCCTCTGGAAAACTCTGGGATCAGTCAGACTCAGATTTTAAATCACTGTCATCACAACTTTAAGTTCAATTACAAACACTTGAGTTTCCCCAAATCCAGGATGTCTTATTTTAGAGTCTTTGGTACCGAGCATCACTTCACCTCAGCTGCAAAATCTACAAATTCAAAGAGTTTCTCACCTACAAAGTGACGAAGAGGAGGGCGGCGGAGACAGAGAGGGAGTCAAAGACTAGCAGAATAGTCAAATCTGGGGGGTATTTATGTGCTTGGAGAAGGTTTGGAGCTTCCTCTTTATGGACATGAGCGACTCTGAAACCAAGCAAGCCAATCAGCTCCTGAAATACCTTCATCCTTTGACTGCTCGCCTCGTAAATCCTCTATTTCAGACGTCTGGTCAGTCTGAGGTGGTCAGCAGTCTTCGGAGGGACTGGACATGAAGAAATCTGAAAATGAGGAGAGGAAAATATGAAACTTACTTAGACTCAGGGTCCTGGACAATAAAGAGAGAAGCTAAAATCAGCAATAATCCCTCCTTAAATACCTGCCTGTTTGCTTCTGGAGGGAAAATGTCTCTTTTTTTATGATTCTGTCATTTATTTGTCTGCTTCCTGTTTGTCATTTCTCTTTCTTTTGATTCAACAAAGTTTTCTCTTAAACAACAATTAAACTAATGCGAACATTTCAACATAACAGAAAATGAACCCAACGACCAGATTAGGGGCTAACAGGCCAAGAGTGCTCTCAAAGCCTTCCAGGAGTTCAGGTTTTCCAAATACGACATTACGGCGGTGTAACGAGGCTAACATAGAGTCATTAGACGTTTTAATTGATAGATATATTCGTAAATTGTCTGCAAAGCGATAATAAGACAGTTTTACGTTTAAATCCGACCCAAATAGAAGCTTGGAGAAAAGAGAAGAGGACCCAGAAAGGAGCCCTGAGGAACACCTCAACATAGTGGGGCAGATACAGAGACAGTGTTATATGTGTCTCTGTAAAAAATACACATTAACAATTAAAAAAGAGTGTTTGACAACCAAACAATAAACCAAGAGGAAAAAGTTTAGTTCACCGAAAATAAAAGACAGAATGTCCCCGACCACATGTGTGCAGATATTTCATATTTCTCTGCATTTTAACTTCCCCTCTACATGTTTACAGAGCTTTGAGTCACTGAGGATGAAGATATTTTAATGGAGAAACAGTCTTTTTTTTTAGAGCATCTATTAAAACGTGGATTAAGTTTTTTATGCACAGATATAAACTCTCAAAAAAGCTGCTCATACAGAAAGAAACGTACCTCGAAGTGTTGCTGCAGCTTTAAACGAGGCGCTCCAGACCTGAATGAAGACAAGAGAAAAAGCAGCTTTAAACTCTGTCAGTTACTTTTTCAGACTACAGACTCTTTAAATATATTTTTAACACACACAGGCTTTACAACCACAAAATCAAACTGATGTGGCTCACCTTCTCGACTGTGTCCATCTCTGATCGATTGTGTCAGCACGGACACAATCAGGTTTTCATCAGTGGATGAACCAGAGATCGAAAAATTTCAGCACCTCTTCAAAAATTACGTGAAATTTGATGAAATTTCTCCTGCTTAATCAGAAATCCTCAGAGATCACTCAGACACTGATGTGAAATAAAAACTAAGATATTTGAATTTAAGTCAAAGCAGCCAAAAGGTGCCGTAAAAAACACACTGAAGTCCTACCAAGACGTCTACAGTGTATCTGCTTTGATAGAATAAAGTACTGAGTTTGTCCTTTTTAAATAAATTGAGTACAAAGCATTTGCTCCCAGAACTTTATAAATATATAAGAAAACTTAACAGAAAGTTCCTCATTTGGTCCCGTTATTGAAAACACAAGTAATCAAACTGAGTCGTAGATTAACATGTAGCTAAAAAGTAATCTAAATCAAAGAAAAGTTTACACTCTAAAATCCCCAAAATACAAAAACTTCTTTTAAATACTTTGAAACTGAATGAAAAGTGAATGAAACTCTAAAGGTGTTCACAGCGGCTCAGTCTTTGCAGGGCCTCTCTTACAGCTGGGACTGTGGGACTGTCCTCTGCTGACACCTTGTGGTCACTTAAAGTAATAACAGCTGGACATCCTCAACCAATATTAATTCAGCTTTAAGTTAAATCACATTTACATATAGGATATAGGATAAAGGAATATGAATCGAGTAAAACAGCTGCAATGAAATCAAATACAAAGAAGTTGAAATGTTAATTAATTGTTTTTTAAGTATTCAAATGCTGATGAATTTTTCAAAAAGTAGATTTTTAGTTATAACTTGAAAAAAGTGTAAAATTTGGGATTTTTTATTTGTTCACCTAGATTGAAGTTTTGATTGATCATTAACTCTTGATTATTGCATTATTGTTTTAAAATTTCTAGGTTTCCTCCAAATATTTAATTAAAATAATGTATGCAGAAAACCATAATGAACATACCTATTTTAAGACATGCATCTAAAAGCTCTATATTGACCCTGGAGCATTACGTCTGTTTTCAGACTTTTAAGATCTTTCATCACATTTCTGGGTGAGGTGGTTGAAAGATCTAGAAAAGCTAAAAAGTGATTCTATATCTGATCCATATTTTTCCTGTTTCAAGAAAACAGAAAAATTTAATATTTCCTGACTTTTTGTGATTCATTATCAGTGAGAAATTCACTTTTCACAGCCTCCTGAACTCTGAAATATGCTTTAAAATTATGGATGTTAGGGCTGTCACTTTTTAGACTGATGTTTGAAAATTTGAAAAAGTTTCTTGTAATAAAGCAAATTTTAAACTTGGACGTTAAAGGTTGTTTTTCTTCAGAATAAACAAAAAACTTTCTTGATAATGAGAGAAAAAATTCTGAATGAAAAATTTCAGTTATTTTATATCATTTTTTATATAAAATTTGTAAAAAAAAAAAAAGTAATAATAAATAAATAAAAATTCTGAATAAAAAAAATCATTATTTTATCTAAGCAGAAAGGACAGAAAATGTTTCATTGCAAAAAAATGAATGAAAAATTTCTTATTATTCAATTATCTTGTAGATCAGAGAAAAAAATGTGGAAATAACAAAATTCTGAATAAAGAATTCTGTTATTTTATGTAATTATCTTGTAAATTTGAGTAAAAAATGCGAAAATAAAAAAATTCTGAATAAAAAAAATGTCTTTTTTTTTCTTATCCCAGCAAAAAGGTCACACTGTGAATCTGAGGTCGTGCTTTAGTCAATTCAGACGAACAGAGCAGATGTTCTTTTATCTGTGAATGTGATAGGATTCTGAACATGTCAGTTCAAACACAGAATTTCACAAAATTTTTACCACACTCTTAAATTTCGATAAAAAGTGACAGCCTGAACAGATATTATGTCTCGGCCCTCACTGACATGCACAGCACCACAAAGAGCACAACACGACCCCGTTAAAGCTCAAAACCACCGTCAAACAGAACTTTAAATAACAGTCAATATAAATTTTAATAAAATTTAGTTTAATTCTGTCAAAATTTCTGAGGAATAATTCAAGTAAATGTGATTCTGATGCAGCAAAGGTATCAAAAAAAGTTCTGTTTCAGGGAGTTTTTCTTTAACGTTTAGCAGAAACGAACAAAAATAAACCACGAGTTCAACCCCTGAGATGGTTCAGGTGTGTCAGGTGCTTCGTCTGCAGTGTTGTGCGTCACTGAGTCAAAGACAGAATACCTCACGACGACCAGGTGTAGGAAACAAACATTTATTTCAAAACACTATCAGCAGGAAGATGTCAAAAGTGAACATGAGGAAAAGGAAGTGTTTCTACAAAATAAAAGTCTGATATCATCCAGATACCTCAGAAACGAAGCGGTACGTCTCGTCTTTACAAATGTACAATAGCAGACTGAGCTGTAACCGACAGGTTTAATGAAACAAAGGTACTTTTTGAATGCAAAAATCCATAAATTTCATAAAAAGTGCTAACAGCTCCGAGCGACTACAAGAGCAAAGTTATTTCCTTTAGGAAGTCTCGAACATCTTCTTCCTGTCAGCTTTGTCCTCAATGTTCTTACGCCAGTCGCCCACCGCCTCCGCCGGCTGAAAAACACAAACAGTCACATGGATTTGATTCGTGGTTATCCGTCTCTGCTCTGTGCACCTGTGAGACTCGGCCTCTGTGAAGACTCACCTCCTCTTTGACCTCCTTCTTGACCTGCTTCAGGTTGGCCCTCAGGTCCAGGTTGACCGTGTGTTTGGAGCCCAGCAGAGCTTTCAGCATGGCGTCGGCTGACATACGCACCTTCTTCAGGGCGGGTTTCTTCACGCCAGCCAAGTCGACCACCTTGATCCTCAGGTCCTCAATCTGCAGAGGGATCGAGATGTTAAAAGCTGACAGTCATTAACGGTAAAACCCTGTCAGGCCCGCCATGTTCCTCAAGTCGTACCTCTTTATCAGCTTTCTTCACTTTGGAATCCAGATCGTACCTCTCCTCGTCAACTTTGTCGATGAGGGCGTGAAGCTTCTTGCATGTTTCCTGACAGCACAAACAGAAGAAATGAGACGTTACTGATCCCACCTAAGAACAACTTCTGTAAATCAGCAGAAACAATCAGACATGGTGAAGTTTTAACCGAGATTTGAAGATGTAGCAACAAAATGTTCACAGATTTTTGGAGGTGGAAATGCAAAGACATCCTCTCCAGAGTCATGTCTGTTTTTATGTTGATGGTGATAGCACCTGAGACTCCTGAGACTCCTCTCCTATATCCTCCGACTCCTCTCTTATACCCTCCACCTCCTCTCCCTGCCCTCCTCTTTCCTCCTGCTCCTCTCCCTGCTCCCCTCTCTCCTCCACCTCCTCTCCCTGCTGTCCTCTCTCCCTCTCCTGCTCCTCTCCCTGCTCTCCTCTTTTCTCCTGCTCCTCTCCCTGCTCTCCTCTCTCCTCCTGCTCCTCTCTCTGCTCTCCTCTTTCCTCCTGCTCCTCTCCCTGCTCTCCTCCTGCTACTATCTCTGCTCTCCTCTTTCCTCCTGCTCCTCTCCCTGCTCTCCTCTTTCCTCCACCTCCTTTCCCTGCTCTCCTCTTTCCTCCACCTCCTTTCCCTGCTCTCCTCTTTCCTCCACCTCCTCTCCCTGCTCTCCTCTCTCCATCTCCTGCTCCTCTCCTCTCTCCCTCTCCTGCTCCTCTCCCTGCTCTCCTCTCTCCATCTCCTACTCCTCTCTCTGCTCTCCTCTTTCCTCCCGCTCCTCTCCCTGCTCCCCTCTCTCCTCCACCTCCTCTCTCCCTCTCCTGCTCCTCTCCCTGCTCTCCTCTCTCCCCCTCCTGCTCCTCTCCTCTCTCCCTCTCCTGCTCCTCTCCCTGCTCTCCTCTTTTCTCCTGCTCCTCTCCCTGCTCTCCTCTCTCCTCCTGCTCCTCTCCCTGCTCTCCTCATTCCTCCTGCTCCTCTCTCTGCTCTCCTCTTTCCTCCTGCTCCTCTCCCTGCTCTCCTCTCTCCTCCTGCTTCACTCACTGCTCTCCTCTTTACTCCTGGGGGTGTCTAACTCGGTGTTACGGTGTGTTTGACCCAAAATTAATTTTACGCAGAATATCCCTTTAATGGGTTTTGTTTTCTAAATAGTAAGAGCCTCTACATGATCACTTCTGTGGACCTCTGAAGACTGAAGACTTCTTTTTTTCACAGCATTTCACTGTTGTTTTAAAAGTCAGTTAAAGAATAACATCATTCGTGTAACAAGTAAAACAACTTTATCAAATAGTGGACGTCAGATACATTAATTTCCTCATCAGAATGCAAATGTACGGCTAATGGAGCATGTATTAATGGTTAGGTTTGTCACCATGAGGGTGGCCTGGTCTCCGCTCAAGCTGGGTTTGGGGCACTGCTCAGTCATGTAGTTCTCTTTGGCGACTACGATGTCCTTCTTCTCCTGTGCCATCATGCCCGCAGCGATCTGCAGCATCAAACTCTGCAGGACAGATTCAGTCAAAAACAGCTTTAAGTTTTCATGTACGTAAATGATTTTTCAGACCTGAATCTGTATCCAAGTAGTGCTAAGATCATTTCAATCATACACTCAAAAATAACACAGACTGGACAAACATGAATGCAGGAGTTTCAGGGTTTGGTTTGGGGGGTTTCATCAGCAAAGTGTTTTCCAAAAGAAGTCATAATCCTGCTTTTGTAAATAGAGGATCTCGCATATCTGGACATGATATCGAATATATATGATATTGATATGGGCAAAACCCTACACTAGGGCCCGACCGATTTATCGGCAAATTTTAGCCCGTTTGAGACTAATCGGTAATCGGCCAAAACTCGCCGATTTTCGCTGATATTTCCAGAAATAAAATGCAGAGAATAAGATTCGGTTTCACTTTGAAAATGTTCCGCCATTTGAAAAGTTCCCAGACTTATCCTGTAGATGGCGCTACAGCGACCTCATGACGATCTTCATCCACTAACTCCCTCACAGCACAGCAGAGTGAGGATCTGAAGCAGGCAGCTCAGGGACGCATGGAGGAGAGTGGTCCACCTCAACGGGAAATAAACCAGTTTGTGAAATACACAATAAGTCAACAAGTTTCAGTTCAACCCACTTCACCATGTTCCCCGCTGTGCTGGTCTCGGTCATGCCGAGTTAACGGAGAAGCTAAAGTTAGAGTTAGCCACCTGCTATTAGCCTTGCTACACTGTTAGCCGTGCCAGTAATGGTAGAATAAACAACAGTACATATTAGTGATCGAGCTACTTCTCTTACTAAGGCAGACGCGGAGGCACCGATCGGCAGCTGGGGGGGTAGTTGAAAATGCTATTCTGGTCCGAGTTTGATCAGTCGGTCTTCCTATCGGCTTGAGGAGCAGTAGCCTACAGTATATCTACAATATATATATATATTATAACTTATTATATTTCTTCATTTAAAAAAAATTTAAAAAATCAGTCGATTAATCGGTAACTGGATCCCCCCCCCCCCCCCCCCCCCCTAATAATCGGTATCGGCATCGGCCCCAAAAAATCCATATCGCACAGTGTTTGAACAGGGCAGGACCTTTCAGATTAAACTTCGAGGGTGGCTGGACTGATGTCCTGTTCAGCTCCTCACTGCTGCTTTTTTAACGTAGATGACACAGAAATCAGAGAATATTTAAATGACCGAGGCATCATCCATATCCTCTGCATCAGTTTGAGTAACTTCAGTATCATTGTGGTCAAAACAAGCTAAAAAGAAAATAGTGCTTCTTCTCATACATGACAAGAAATAAAGACTTTTCCAGGAACTACATGTCCAACTGCTGCCTGATTGTAGAAATAAAACGTCCCAATCTGTTTTCTCGAAGCTCGATTTTCTGTAAAACTTCTGAAACTTTCAGTCTGAGGAAGTTCCTTCATTTTCAGAGTGTTTCCTCTCAGTGTTCAAGACTTTAAACCGTGTTTGACAGATTGCACCAGCAGAGGGCGCCTCAAGGCCTTTCTTTCAATTCCCTCTGCTGCTTTCAAAGCTGTGAAGGAGACTATCGGAGACTTCACAAGACCGACCAAGTCACCAGAAAAGATCAGTATGTAGACTCAGTTTCAGAATCCCTCCCACAGATAAACAACGACACAAACAAGAGGAGAAACCACAACAAAACCACAACAAAACCACAACACGACACTGTACAAATATAAAAAAAATCATTTAGGGTTTTTCCATACTTTTCTCATGGTAATATTCGTATGTTTCAGGTCCAACAGTCCTCAAATATTCAGTAAAAATAAATATAGTAGAGAAAGTTCAGTTCTGTTTTTGTACATCATCAAACCAGCAGCAGCTTCAGCACTGAGAGTCTTTTTACCTTCAGATGATGCCTGCGGCTGGAGGTCATCTTCTTGCTGTCAGGGTCGAGAAAAAAAGGAGAAGACAATTATTTTTATTCCGTTTTTTTTTTTTTTAAACAGTGTGATACAAAAAGAAGTTTTGGTCACTGTTTAATATTACAGATGGTTTTTTTTTGGTGCCTCCTTGATTACTTTTGCTGGACTTTCTTATGTTTAAGTCCTTACAGTGTAAAGATGGACAGATAGGGAGAGTAAAAGTTGAAGCATCTGTCTGGTGCATTAACAAAAGTTTTCAGCAAAGACAAAAATGGAAAAGAAAGAACAACTCAAGAAAACAAAATTTCTCTGATTTAGCCTTTTTGTTAAAAAGTTATCTGAAAGTTTTTTAGTTTAAATGTTTAGTTTTTTTTTTTTAAAAACTGCACATGTATTAGTTAATAAAAGTTAAATAAAAGAACACATTTAAATCTACAAAACACAGACCTGGTAATTTTTCAATTCTAATATAATGATAACATGATGTTTGGATGTGTTTTCAAAATTGACATTTGAAAGATTTTGGTGTCAAACTTTTAAAATGCATTTTAACTTTTTATTTTCTCAATAGCTCTACAGGAATGATCATTTTACGATATTTTTGCTACAGGTTAGGCCACGCCCACCTTCAGAGATCAATCCATTAGCTTTAAAAAATAATAATAATTTTCACTTAATCTGGACTACTGCACTCAAGTTGTGCTGTTTCAGAACTTTTGTGTCAGCATGTTTTTTTGTTTTTTTTTCAACCTCTGCATGTTCACACTTCCTAATACCAGACTTCATGCCCCCCCTGCAGGACCTGAGCTGGGGCACCCTGGTCAGAAAAGTCTAAAGACGCCCCTGCTGATCCCAGCACATCCTTAAAGCATCAGTTTTCTCAACTTTTAACTGAACAATCAGAACTTAACAAACCGGCGAATGACTCCCACAGCTCTAGATTAGCGATATAAATGTGAAAAAGGAAACTCACTCAGACATGTTGGCGGTTTCTTTTCTTCAGAGCCTGTTTGAAGAAGAAAAACAGGAGAAACACACTGAGCGGAGAGAGAGAGAATAAACGCTGCCATCATCTGCTGTCAGCTTAAATATCAGATCCTGAGGATGAAATGTGAGCTATTAAAACAGTTGATGAGCAGCTGAGTGGTGACAGAGCTAAGTTTGGAGTTTGGAGGTCAGATGTCACCTCTGACGCCCGCGATAAGCTCCTTTACAGGTGTTCAAAACCAAATCTCCTCTGAGAGTTAACACTTCAATTCCTTTCACGGGGAGGGAACCCTGCGGCAGAATGTGCTGCGGCAGCGAGTTCGCCGCCAACACACCCGGCTGTCTGTACACGTACACACACACACACACACACACACACACACACACACGAACACAGACGCAATGCAAAACAAATCTCTAAGGGAAGACTCAGATTTCAAGTTATTCTCCTCTATAAATAATCGAGGCTCCATCTCATTATGTCCGAGTTGAAGCCAAACAAGGAAACCTCAAGATAATTCAACGGCTAAAATTAACAACTTTTACAGTGTTCACACTCACTGTTAAACTTGCTTCAAAAAAACATGTCACTAATTATAAACCTAACCTTTGAAATCTATGATGAACACCCAGAAGTTATAAAGTATGTTGTGATGAATGACAACACACTGTAAAAAATAATCTGTAAGAATAAGTTACATTTTGTTAAAAAGTTCTATCAGACAGTTTTTAAATAAAGATCAGACACTAATAAAATTCCAAGTCTATATAATTTCCTACCAAATCTAAACAACATGTTTTTAAATGACATCTCTGTAAAAATATTTCTGTTATAATAACAAATCCCATTTGACTTTCCAGCTACGTAAACCTTTTTAATGAACTTTTAAGCTAAAACTAAAAATTTCAAGACCAGGCATTGATCGAAGTCCAAGTCTAAGGATGGAGTTTTTGAATAAATTGATGTTATTTTAGAAAGTCTTAACACTGTAAAAATATTACTGTTGAAATAAGCAATCTTGAGGGCTTTTAAGCTATTTTTAAGCTTTAAATCAGCTTAAAACTTAAGTTTTAACATTTGAAGACTGGCATTGCTATAGTTCCAGATCTAGGAATCCAATTTTAAGATAAACTAATTCACATTTGATTGACTGATACTACACTGTAAAAAAAAAAAATCTGTTAAAATAACTACTCCTGTAGGGTTTTAAGCTATTTTAAAGCTTTAAATGTGTTTAAGTTAAAATATTAAAGTTTTAAGTCCAGGCATTAAAAAGTGTCTGTTGATGGAATTTCTGAATTAACATTTTTTTGCATTATATTACACCGTAAAAAATATTCTGTAAAAATAAGAACTCATATAATTCTCTTCCGCTGTTAAGCTTTTGATAAGTTTTTTTAGTTGTTGAATTTTTCAGACCGAGCAATGATAGAAGTTGAAGTCTGTGCATCAATTTCAAAAACAAACTTAATCACTAAATGGCAATGCACTGTAAAAATATCCCTACCGTGTACCTGTGATCAAAATAAGTTATCTTACATTGACAGATTCTCAGCGCTGTTGTATAATTTTTATTACAGTATAAATTAATTATCCTGAGTTGACAATGTTTTAGTTTTGATTTTAATATTCATGGACCGGGCATGAATCAAAAATAGTTCCAGGAATCAAATCTTCAAAATTAACTGAATTAATTTATTTAAAATGCAAAATGCACTGTAAAATCATTTCTGATCACTTAAGCAATTTAATGGTGACAGCACTTTAGTTTTGATTTTAAAATTTCAAATAATAGTTCCACTCCTGAAATCAAATAATAATAATTAAAAAACTTAACTGTGATTCTATAAAAACTTACTCGGTAAAGTAGGATATAACATATTTTAAAATTTTTCATTTTGGTTTAAAATTTCTAGATTATGCATCAAACCAACCAAAGTCTGAGAAATAAATAAACTCAACATGTTTTATAAGGTCAATGCACTGTAAAACATGTCTCAGTTAAAATAACTTGTTTAAGTTTTCTGTCTTTGATTTGACAATTTCTAGAGGATGCTTTGAGAACTGCACATGAGTTCAATGTCTCTGAATCACACTGCACTGTAAAACAACTCCTGTCAAAACAAGTGATGATCTTGAGTTTACTATTTCCAGTTTTTTAATCTTCTGACTGAGCCTTTACCAAACTTAAACTTAAATCTTTTCTTTTTTAATTAAAAGCTTTGAGTTATCCTTTGTTGACTGGAAATCTGACATTTTTTAATTGAATTTTTTACGAAAGCAAGCGATATTTTTGCCATTTCAAGTTTACTAAATATGTTTTTTTTTTTCAAACCAAATATTTTAAGTCCAATTTCAGAGCAAAATGTATATTTCTGTGCTATAAAAACAGCCAGAAGCTTACAAAAACAACAACAATTATATCTGGATATATAATTTTAGAGCCACTCAAACTGAATTTCTGCCAAAAAAAAATCAACTTTTCCAACAATCATTTCCTGAATATCACTTTTTTTTGTTAGATTTAGCACACTGCCGTTTGGCTTCATTTCTGCTTAAAAACACAAAAGTTTCTGGAAAATTTCTGAATTTTTTTTTTTTTAAGTTTAAATTTAAGCTCAATTACTGCTAAAATACAACCGATGACTTTGGTCAATAAAAACCATCCCATCATTCTCATGCAGTAAATAATCCATAAGATTCTGGTCGTCCGGTTGTATACTTGCAGTGTCAGAAAGAAAAAAACATTTGCAGAAATCAATCTTTGTGTTCGTGCAAAAGTAGGAAAAACATATTTTCAAGCTTTTGCAAAAGCTTTCACATTTTCTCTTTAAAGCTCCATCAACAACAACAACAGCCTTCATTCACTCTGCAGCAGCAGCATTCAGCCTTCTTCATCCAGGATCACATTTCCGTTCACTTATCTTTCAACCCCGGAGGTCAGGACTTCTATCACATTAGCGGGTCTCCCCAAAAAAACTCTCAATAAACTCCACTCAGCTGCTCGGTATCCATTAAGCGGCTCTGCTCAGGCATGCAGGGAGGAAGAGGAGGCAGAGGAGGAGGAGGAGAGAAAAACAGGTCTCACCTACGAAGAAGACAGAGAGTCAAAGAGGACACAGAGGACAGGGGCGGTGTGAAGAAGTTCCCTCTGCGGTGTTTATATATGAGAGGGCTCAGACATGGATATGGAGATCCTGTTTATGGAAATGCAGGATCCTCAGACCAATCGCCCCCCAAGCGCCTGAAATATCATCATCCCCTGCCAGCTTCTCCCTGTAAATCAGGCCCCGCTGAGGAGGAGCCTGATATCTTTTTAGGACTCCTCTCGATGCCACCGGGGCGCTATTAAAAGTTAGAAAAGGACTATAAAACCATCAGAGTCCAAACGTTTCACCAGATGAAGACAGAAGTGGGGCAGGAGTCAAAATCATGCACTTGGCAGGATCTGCACAAAACACAGAAAAGCTCACCTGAATATAAATCTTTAAAAGAGTTGAGTTTGGACCAAATGTTTGGAGAAAACAAGAAGAAAGAAATACCACAAATTGCATGAAAATTTTCTCTCTGTGTCTGAAACCTCTCGGCTCTCTGTTGGTATTTTCGGACATAAAAATGTGAATTTGACAGATTTTCTTGATACAGATTGAAGAAAAACACACATTAGTCTACGTATGGATCTAACTCCCTCGGCTTTACTCATCAGACCTGAGAAAACTGCCAAAGCATTGAAGTATTCAGGAAAATACAAGAATCAAACACGACCAGAAAAGGCCCAAAAAACTCTGAAATTGACCCAAAAATGGCCGCCAGTTTCAGCTTTTCAACATTTCAAGAGCTGAGATCTCAAATAACTGGCAATCTAGTCCAGAAGCCACTTACCCTGAAGTCCTGATCCTATAGGTTTCACTGTTATATAAGACCCGGTCTGTTTTGGGGTCTCCCAGAGGGAAAACCGTCTAAATGGCGTCCCCATCGCGTTCAGCTCAGTTCACAGAGTTCGGCATCTGTGCGTCAGGCTCGTGGTATCACCATCGTGTGGTCTGGTTTCTGAGCTCTCGGTGACTCGGTTTGATTATCTCGGGTTATAGACCCTTTTACTGTTAGTCTGAAGAACGGGATGGCGGTCTTTGATGGGCGGGGCTTAGCCGGGGACAAACTGATCCTTCAGTTTGTTAACGAGCATCAGCCAGGAAGTTATTTTAGGTTTGTCTGTTTCACAGGAAGTTAAAGCCTTTTCTTCTCTAGGGGATCCCAGACCCCTTTAGAGAGTCCTAAATGGACCTACATGGTACCAGGTTTAGTCTTGGTTCAGGTTTTATTGATTATTGATTTGATCTAAATCACTGTGAGCTCCTCTTGATCGTCTTTTGGAGGATTTCCTTCGATTAAAAGATTTCTCCCCTGACTGTTTGGATGCAGGTTTCTCTGAGTCTGAGTCATCCCTTATAGTTGGCGAGGATGATGGCAGCATCTCCCCGCTGTCGCCTCCGTTTACAGATTTCAGCCCGGATAGTTTTTCACGGAGGAAATAACCACAGCTGTCTGACAACTCTGAATATACGATGAGGCCAAAGGTTAGCAGGCACGCTAACGAAGAGCGAAGAGCCGAGTTATTAACACCAGAATAGTTAAACTCTCACAGCATTAAGGAAAAATGAGAGCCCACTATAACATCGCCCCGACTTTATCCACGTTCGAAATATTATCGTCTACAATGTCCTGATGGAAAGACTGAGGCCTTAGCTTCTATAGATATATATACATGTACGTATTAAAAAAGAAAAGAAGGAATCAATGATTTCACACAGATGATTTACTGTCACCAACAAACAAACAACTGTTGGTTTTCAGCTGCAGAAAAGTCTGACGGCTGACAGCGACTGAATTTTCTCAGGACAGAATTATGAAGGACGTCAACGGCAGAGTGAATTCACTGCAGGAGTTTATAACAGTCGACATGAAAGGTGCAAATTTTCCTCATTTTGTGAATTCAAAAGTTAAAACTACAAGTCAAAAATGTTGGATCAGGCCTCGTCTTTATTAACGAGCTGTTTTTTTATATCTGTTTGCTGCCTGAGAGAGAGACACTAAGACTTACCGTGGACCAAGAAAAACTGGGGCCACTATTGACAAGAGAACTGTGACTCACTATCAACAAAGAAACTGAGACTGACTTTCAACAAGGAAACTAAGACTCACTACAGACAAGGAAACTAAGACTCACTATCAACAAGACAACTGAGACTCACAATAAACAAGGAATTTGAGACTCACAATAGACAGGGAAACTGAGAATCACTATCAACAAAGAAACTGAGACTCATTGTAAAAAGGGAAACTAAGAGTCTGAAAGAACAGGAAAACTGAGACTTAAAATCAACAAGGAAACTGAGACTCCCTTTAGACAAAGAAATTAAGGCCAACTATCAACAAGGAAACCAAGACTCGCTGTAAACAGGGTAACTGAGACCCACTATAAAGAAGGTAACTGAGACTCACTATAGACAAGGAAACTAAGATTTACCAGAAACAGTAAAACTAAGAATTATGAAAAACAAGGAAACAAAGGATGACCACAAAGACTTTACCACAAAGATTCTTAGGCTTACTGGAAATAATGAAACTGAGACTATGTACAGTTTAACTGAGTAAAATAAGAATTACCACAAACAGTTGAACTCAGACTCAGGAGCTTTAAGTATGAAATTATTGACAAATTTGACTGAACTTCTGGAGATTTTAGAGCTATTGTTAAACAAAGTTTGGAGTTATGTTATTCAAAGTAAACAAGCGTTGGGTTTCATGCCTGAAATATCTCAGTCTTTTACTCAGAGTGACTCATGAGAACCGATGTTCGATAGTTAAAGTCAGATTAGGTGTGAACAGCTGCCAGTCGACAGTGTTTTCATGACAACTTAGTTACAAAAATAAAAATACCACCGACACGATGAAGCTGAAGCATCCAGAGTCCAGTGAGTTAAGTAACAGACAAAATCCAGAAACCTGCAGTGAATCTGAGATCACACTTCCAACTATTGCCCCAAATAAAGAGCTTAACAAGCTCGCCTTTCTGCCGTCTATAAATAACAGGCAATCGTCGGCTGGCCTGGTTAGCGTTTCATCTTGGATTGCTTATCCGAGCTGTAGATCTGCTCTCCTTCCAGACCTTTCTCTGGCTGCTGAAGTGCCTCTCATATTAACACAGTGCTATAAAATATGTGGGCAGCGTGTCAAAGAGGCAGCTCGGAAGATTTTCCATGAGGATAACGTTTCACCAGTGACTCGCTCATGGCATTCCTACTTAATCACTCCAGATTCCCGCTTCGGCAGAATTTACCTGAACACGAATACTTCCTCCAGCACGTAGGATCACTTTAAACCCATCAGGGAGTTTAATAGGCGACTCTCTGACCACGACTTTTAGAGAGTCCTCAGTGCTAATGATTGTTGAGTCGTTTGGTTTACAGCTGATACTTGCAGTGCTGTTCTTCTGGTGCCATCGTCAGGTCAAAGTTTTAATGTGTCCTGCTCTAATGTCAGCGTCCAAACAGCTGTGGAGTAAATGAAAGTTGGAGCCTCAGACAGCACAGACTGATTTAACTCCTGATTAATATAAAAATACCAACATAATAATGGCTTTAGGGATAAAATTATCCTATCTAGGTCATCCTTGGTCAGGATCGCCAAGAACTAAATGTGAAAACGTCACTTTAATGTACACAACCCCTTCTGCATTTTCTCTTCTGCACAGGTTTAGTAAACACACACAATCTTTTCTCTGAACGAGACACTTTCATGGTCAACTGAAACATGAACTCATCTTAGAGTTTGAGATAAAGTTCTGCTTCTATTACAAGCCTGCTTCAAATAAAGGACTTTGGCAGTGAGATCCAGTATAAGACCTGATCCATTGATGAGGATTCACTGTATTTTCGTCTGATGGAATTTGGCATTTATAACGTCAATTAAGAGCAAGTGTGTTTACTGAAAGGCATTCCTCATCAACCACCCTCACAGCCGATCCAGGATTTACAAAACCGATCAAACGTCAGCCTGTCCTTCTGTAAGGCGCCGAACGTCCCAGAACTACAGTATCTTTATATTGTCGTCATCATTGACCATCTATCTACCCCTCTGATGTGAAAGCCAGTATCTGGGTTTGTTTGGTGGTTTTTGGGTGACGTTTTTAGGTCGTTCTGTTTCATAGGACACCCTCAGAAGTGCCAAAAGCTGCAGTTCCCGGAGTATCCACTAGATGGTGGCTGCAAAAGCCAAGAAATCCCCATTAGGTTCCATGTTAATTGCTAAATCTTAGAGCCAAGTTAAAGATGGTCACAGAGAGCTGGTTTTGGTCCTAATACTTCATTTTTTTGTTTGTACACTCTGCACAGGAGGTTATTTTTTTTACTCAACTATTCCATATATTTCATACATTATTGTTGTTCATATGATTTAGTGATATCGCAGTCGAGAGTAAGGGAAACATTTGCACAGTTGGAGGCGGGTCGCTGTTTTTGTTCGTTTTACTTACGGTGCACTCGAACAGAGTTCAGTGTACCTGGTTTACGAGAACAGACCCCAGAGGATCCCCCCTCTGCAAATTCACGAGTTAAAATGTGTTTGGTGACGTTTTCAGAGATGGCGAAAACTCATTGAATCTAGTTTTAAGTGAACCATTCTTCGAGAGAGAACAGCTCGTGTGAAACAGTTTAACGTGAGCCAGTCTAGATATTTCACTTTATTGACTTGTTTGTTGTTTAAACACCAAACCTTTCAGTCTACTTATCACGTATATTATATTTGTATTTATGATTCTTTTGTAAAACTGATTAGAGTCGACTCCAAACAGAAGTTAAATGTTGTTTTTAAAGCATATCTGGTGTTTTGGTTGAAGATATTTTTGTGGAAATGATCCTCAAAGACTCGGTTTGAGCTGTACGGAGGAGAGCAAAGGGGTCTGAGGCTCAAACTTGCTCACTTGGGTAATAAATCACCTCGTTAACTGTTAACCAGTGATCACCTCGAACCGGCCGAGAGGTGCAGGTGTCAGGGGAGCTATAAGCATTTAGCAGGTCCGACTATAGGAGCGAAGCCGGGAGGTAAAGTGGTGACAGATCAGAGTAAAGTGCGGACAGCGGAGAAGATGGAGTCATGCGGGGAATGTGGCGCTGCAGGGTGATGCTGGGGGTCGGATTCTGTCGGAGAGACGGGCAGGTGTTTTCTTCAACCAAGATGTCCGGCCTACAACTCGAGCCCGAGGAATGCTCTGTACGTCCCGTCCGAGTTTGGAAATGCGAGAGAAGCGTGTGGCCTTTCCTCACTATGTGAAGGCATTAATAACTATATGTGTTTATTTACGTAGAGTTTGATTCATGGTCTTAATGTAGCAGAAGTTTGTTTAGATCCATCCACCATCTGCTCCCGTTTGCAGCATGAACGGAGGGTAAGAGCTTCCCCCCTGCAGAGAGGGTCTGCTTTTAGATTTACCGCCTGTCACCACGATTATCTGGTGCAGATATCACAACATAGAGGAAGCACAGAGATGGAAAAAAATGAAAAAAGCATTGAAAGGAATTTATTGAATTGGCCTTTAAACACTCAAAGGTGCTTGTTTGAACATCCAGCTTTGGATGCAGCAGATGTTTGGAAGAAGTCGTCACACCTTTGACAAGCAAGTTTAGTTTGCACATGTGCAGACATCGTGAAGTCTGGGTTAGTCTTGTTGATTGACTCTCAAAGTAAATCACAAACTCAAAAGGAGGATGGAGAAATTTACCAAAAAGACTGACTGTTGTGTCTCTCAGCAGAGTTTTCCACACAGCTCGGATAAAAATACACGCTGCTCAGCACCGTTTTTGGCGTGACTCACCTTTTTTTTAAAGCGTTCCTTTTTTTTCTCACTTCAGGTTCATCTTCACCCGCTCAGAGCTGCCAGGAACCAGAAGAAGAACCAGCCTCAGCTTCAACGATGAGGACATGAACATGATAAAGTCAGCCGTTAAACAGGCGGTAATGTGTCTTTATGTGTTCTCTTTATAGGTGTTACTCAAACACATTAAACTGTATTTCTCACATTTGACTGTAATTTAAAGTGTAACCTGATAACTGAGTTAACGCTTTAACACTGGAGCTTGAGGAAACACTTTCTCTTATTTATAAGGTGTTAAAGGAAGTGAGACTGAGAGCGGCGAAACCACAGATCCATTCTGACGCGAGGACGAGGTGAACTTGACAGAAACTGGTCGAGTTTTCTGACACGAATGTTCGACCCTCAACCTAAATGTTTGTCCTGGTGCAAACCCTCCATTTGTCTTTCAACTGTCCAAACCAGGTGGGAAATTTACTCACAGAACTCTTTGGCAACCTCGGCTGGTGATCCGGTGAAACTGCAGCGTGTCCATGACAACAGAGCTCACGGTGGTTCATCAGGCTGTTTGGTGAAGATGATCATCTCAGTTCTTCTCTGTGACTCGGTTTTCGTTGGAGACACCATCAGCACACTTTAAATCGACCTTTCTTGTTTTTTCTGATCACATTTTTATTATTTAGTTTTTAAATGAACAAGAAAAACACAAAAAGATGAAGAACTTTGTTTTTAAAAGGAGAAAAAAGGTTCGAGTGAATCTCTTCAGTCAGAGAAACATTGAATAAAGTTATTTAAAAAGTAGTTCTGGATTAAGGACATTGAGACATTGATTGAGATTTAATTTCTCTTTATTTTAAGAGTTTAAAAACAGTAAAAACGACATTAATCAGTTTATATTTCTTACCTGACAGCCGTCTCCTCAGGGCTCCATCCAGGCTCAGGAGAACAGTCCACCGTCTGCCTAAAAGACGAAAAAAATAAGAAAATAAAACTTGTATCTCACTGGAGATGTTTCTTTGAGGTGTTTGCACAAAGTATAAGATTAAAAATGATGCTGCGGCTCCTCCGTTCATTTCTAAATCCGGCCGGTGTCTTAAATGAAGAAGCAGCTGTTATCTGAGGATGTGATCCAGCCGTCAGCAGAAGTCAAATATAACCCTCAGGAGGGTGAAACCAAACACAAGACATTGTTGAGGCTGAATGTGATGGGATTAAATATCAGACAGAAGAAAATAAGGGTTCATAAGGATGCCTGGATGCAAAAACCCTGAATCGACAGTAAATCCAGATTAGAGACTAAGATCAGGAAAGACCAGGAAACCCAAACCTCAGAGGGTGAATGTCTTTAAGGGTTCAGTGAAAGGAGATTTTTTCTTTGATGATCAAACCTACCTCTGCAGCAAACCCCACGAGGTTATGATTTAAATAATCTGTAAGGGAAAAAAGGATCTAATGAAATGACTGCAGCTCAGAAATCTCAAAGTAAAATTCAGAATCAACGAGCGAAATAACTCACCGTGTGTGCTCAGAGCCGGGAAACTTCTCATGACTCAAATTCAAGAGTTAATATTTAAGAATGGGAACTTTTGTACCAGTTTTTTTTCCAGTGAGCAGTTTTTTTCCAGACTTTAAATTACCATAAATAAAGTGCAAAATTTGTATTTTTAGATAAGATAAGATTTAAAAAAAAAGAACTTTATGTATCCCAGAGGGGAAATGATCAATATTCTGGCATCTTTATTAAAGAGATTATAAAATCTGATTAATTTTTTAAAAGGATTTGCTCCATAATAGACCTCCTTTAAAAAGTTTGATAATTTCACTTCTGTTGTGATTATAATACACACACCATCAGAGGAAACACAAATCAGTATTTCTTTTTACGCTCCAGCAGTAAAACACGGAGCAGACAGAGTTTATAGTTGAAAATTCAAAAGCTTTTCTCTTTTTCGACACAATTAAACATTTTTATCAGGATTATTTTCTCACTAACACCAGCAGACATTTTCTTGAAAACAAGAAGGCTCCAAACTTCAACAAAAACCCAGACGGTTCAGATCTGAACAGATTAACAGCAGATTAAGATTAGAGAGCCGAGTGTTAAGAAAATGAAGAAGACGATGAAGAGGATGAATATGAAGCTCTTGTTTTTAATGTGACAGCAACAGGACAGAGAAAGTACATCACATATCCGTCTGAACAGTTTAGAAAAGATGACATGATGTTGTTTAGTACAGAGAGCAGGCTGATCTATACTTCGGCGAAGAGGCGCCGCTCTTCATCGAGACCGTTCACCGTTCTTTGTTTCGATATATTTTTGATTTTTTTAACCAGCTGAATGAAGAAAAGCACTTCCTCTTTCGAACTATGAATCAGCCTCCTCAGAACAAAAGCAAACGTTCGATACTAACTGACATCAGAACACACGATACAAATACATCACATAACAAAGGAGATATGGGCTGAAGCAGAAGGACGCTTATTATCATCATTATTATTTCAAACTGAGGAGTTCTGCTCCAAAAACAACCAAAAACAACCAAAAACTACCAAACCGCAGAAGTTTGACTGCATTTGGAAAGTTTAGGAATATCATGAAAATCACTAACGAAGTCCAAAACGAGCACCTTTCTCTGAACGTTGAATCTTTGGAATAAAACTCCTCAGTTTCAAAGACATCAGACCTGAACTCTGTCCTGAAAATCGGTCTGAAGCCCAGAAACCTCCTGACAGGATCACGTTTAACTGTCAAACATCTTCTTCCTGTCAGACTTGTCCTCGATGTTCTTACGCCAGTCGCCCACATCGCGCAGCTGCTTATCCTGTGAACACAAACGACATTCGGTTAAGAGGATAAAACTGACGAATCGACAGATTTCAGACACTGAGATGGAGAATTTATTGACTCGGTTATTCATGGAAGAAGATGACACAGAGGTTTGAGGGAAAATACTGTTCTGAGACAAACCCACGAGGGTTTAATTCTTTTAAATATATTAAAAAATAATCAGGATCATCTTATATAAAGTGTTTTTGTAGATAGATAGATGTTGGGGTGTCCGAGTAATCATACGAATAAACCTACCAGTACCCCAGATAACATGTATTAATGTCTAAGAAGGTTCTCGTTTATCCTGGTCATGGTTATCCAATCCTTCGTTGAAAGGTCAGCTGGACTTGTTTGAGGTTCTTGAGGACGTTTCATGTCTCTTCAAAAAGGCGTCTTCCATCCATGAACAGAAGTGGCAGACTTACCCCCAATTTCCACTGCATCCAGAACGGCTGCAAAAAGGCCGTATCCGCCGATCGCAGCTGATCGTTCCATTTTCATCGGCTTCTTTCCATTCAGCTGTGGTTCAACGGATTCTACAGCTGATAGCAAGAGTTCTGTTTTTTTCTGCCGAATAAATTCAGCACAGATTAACCCGTGCTGGAAAGGAAGTTGGGCGAAGACAAACAAGTCAAACATTTTCAGACACCACGGATGAGGAGATGATGATTCTATAAGTGTAGAAGTAGATTTCCTCCTCTGGAAGGACACAGTCTACTGCTTATATGGTCATGTGGCTGTCTTTATAGAGACAACTCATTATCACGTGATTGCTGTGACTCCGTGGGTTCATGTGAGTTTTTGTGATTCCCGCTGAAATTTGTCTCACAAACGCAGGCAGTAGGAATTGGCGGACGGCAAAAATCGTTGCCGTTCCGTGGTGCAGCTGTTCCAGATGCGGTGGAAATCGGGGGTAAGGAACTTCTTATCACTGACTTACAATTCAGCTTTGAGTCTATTGGACAACAATCAAAATCACGCTTTCGTACTAAATCACAGGCTCAACATCATGGCAAACCTGAGGAAACCCAGGAGGTCTCCAGGCGAGACCAGACCAGACTCTCAGGTGGCCACCCAGCCCTTCTACAGCTAGAGGACCAACAGAGTCTATAAACTTCCGACTTTGGCCCCAGTCACTTTAAAACCGAAGACACCTTTTGGAAGAGAGGAGGAACGTCTTCAAGAACCTCAAGAAAGTCAAGCTTCCCTTTCAACGGAGAACTGGATAACGTTTAAATGATGATCCCCATCCATGTGTACGGCAGTGTTTCCAAATCCTCGCCATCTGCACACCGGTCCAGAACTTTACCATGGAAAATCACTTGAAAAAGTTTTGAAGAGGCCTGAACGTTCATTTTCTGACAAACAGTCGAGCTGAGCTGGAGTAGATTTGCTTCCAAGTCTTGGAGGTGGGTTGATCTTACAAATACAGTTATCAGACATTCAGGCCAACATAGTTTCTAGAAACTGAACTCTGGATGAAGCGGGTAGAAGCTCACCTCCTCTTTGACCTCCTTCTTGACCTGCTTCAGGTTGGCCCTCAGGTCCATGTTGACCGTGTGTTTGGAGCCCAGCAGAGCTTTCAGCATGGCGTCGGCTGACATACGCACTTTCTTCAGTCTGGGTCTCTTGAACTTTCCCCTCAGATCCACAATCTTTATGTTGAGGTCTCTGACCTAATGTGTGAAAGTAGAAGAAGTAGAAGAAAATCCACTATTCGTGAGCTAAGAGCAAATTTTTGGGCCTCTGTTATAACCAGCCATTAGCAGTGAGAACAACATGAGAATCAAAACTGGTGTTTGAGTGAAGAAAGGACTTCCAAGAGTTGATTTCTGCTCAAAGACGACACTAACAAGAATCTCCATCCATTTTTATTTGCAGTCTTTAACCTGAAAAAGAGTCTCACCTCACTCAGGACCATGTTCAGCTTGAACTCTATGCTGTATCTCTCCTCCTCACTGATGTCGAGCTGTTCGTGCAGTTTCTTGCAGAGTTCCTGAAGAGGACAGAGAGCTTGGTAAGATGTTTTCATCGGGTCTTTAACGCACAAAATCAAGTAAAAATGAATCAGGCGACTGTTTTTGGCACATCCTGTTAAACTCGTTGAATTAAACTTGACGTTTTTATATAAACTCTCTATCTCCATTAAAGTCCAAACTGAGCTGACGGGTATGATTGTTTTCTTCACTTTGCTAGATGTCTCTATCACCCTCACGAGTTCCTGTGGTCTGTTGTTGAGTGGACAGAACTAAAGTTTGGTGTTGTGTGATTAAGTTCACCCTGAAGTGACCTTTGCTATCCGGGGTGTTTTGACCAATCAGAGAGAAGCATTTAAAGACCCACTCTGATGAAAATCATGTTTTTCTTCTTGTCTACATGTTCATATGTTCATTTTTCTGATGCAACAGGACATATCATAAGAAAACTTTCTGAGTACTTCTGCACTCAAATCTCTGTGAATCTCTGGCAGACCCAAACAGCAGGTTCAGACACAGTGAGATTTCCTATGTCACAAATCCAAGCTCCGCCCCCAGACTCGTAGAAGTCAAGGACAATCGTGGAACAAGCGTGTGCGGGAGCAGATTGCAACGCTCCTATGAAAGCTAATTTTGATATTAGCTTTCATTATGCTATGTTACCTGCTACTTCCACTACACCGGCAATGCTAGGCTACAAGCTAACTCGTAGAGGAGTGCGCAGAGCAGCGCTGTCTCCGCCCACGACTCAGAGGCGAATTCGCTAATGATCTACTGGAGCTCTGCAGAAGAAAAGTCCTTGAAAATGAAACAGGTGACATGATTTTGGCTAAAAACGTCATAGTCACAACTTAAAGACCACTGAGAACATTTTCAGTTGTAAAAAAAAAAAAAAAATCATCGGAGTGGAACTTTAAGGAAGTAAGGTGATGAGTCAGAGATCACGGTACCTCCAGCTCCTCTTTGGAGTACGGCAGCTCCAGAGGAGGACACTTGTCCGCCAGGAACTTCTCCCTCTCCTTGGCTTTCACGGTTGACTCGGCATCCAGTAAGGTACCGGCCACTGACAGCATACAGCTCTGAGGACGAAACCATCGCACAGATTACACCTCATCTGAACAGGAACAGCGGGCGGAGACTGAAAGGTACCGACCCGGTCCTTACCTTCAGGGTATGCTTACGCCTGGCGGACAGTCTCTTCCTGCAGGTACAAACATGAACCGTGACTCAGACGAATGACTCTAATCCGAAAACTGATCAAATAATTTGCGTAACGATGAATTTTAAATTGTTGACTCACTCATCAGCCATCTTGGCTGCAGGTTCTTGACGTTACCTAACTGAAAAAAAGGGGAAAAAAGGATTAAATGCTGTTTTTGTGACAGACAAGTGATGTTAGCTTTACAGTAATCATACATGAGGCAGGTTGAGGGTGAAAACATGAAACAATATCGTGGTATTTTTCCTTACAGGGCTGCAAACTGATTGGTTTGGGCGCCGCTGACTCTGCAGTCTGATTGCTGCCTATTTGCGGGTGGACCTGGTTCGATTTAGACCACTGTGGCTCCTTCCCAAGAGTAAATCCAAGAATAACAATGAAAAGTTAACTGACTGTGTAAATCTGACACTTAAACATGTGATCTTTGACATCAAACTCGATTGGTTTCCACTGTCGGCACCGTAAACCGTCTCTGTAAATGTTCACTGTTATTTCTGACGTTGTTCTTCCACCTCCACCGTTCTGTTTCTGTTTCCGGTGGTTTTCTGCTTCATGTTTGCGACCACGTCTCCTCCGTCCAGCAGCAGAAACTCACCTGACTCACATTTCATGTTTGGCTCATGTTGGATCTATCTTAAGACATAATGTTAATTCCAGGAAACCTCATGGAACTGAACTTTGTAGCTGAGGTCGTGTTAATGCCTGAAGGACCTTAAGGACCCAAACTCTATTTTTAGCAGCCTGGCGTCTCTGAGGGACAGTGAAGTTTAATATCTTTACAACTATGAGGCATGTTGACATGAAATTCGCTTTACAATTTACAATTCAAAATGACTCTTACTCCCCCTGAACTGGTCTTTGAGCACCACCTACAGGTCGGACTTTGTACCTGATGAAGACGAAATGAGGAAATAAAGACCCTCTTGAACTGAAAGCGATGAGTTTGATGCTACCATGATGTTTGTGTAGTTTATTAGAGCAAATTTCCAAACATAGGGAAGATACGGCTGCTTACAGTGATAAAAAAGCATCATAGCGAGCTAACTGCAGGAATTAAATATCTAATGTTAGTATGTCAAGATAAAGATGCTATCAGCAGGTGAAGATATGGACTTGCCTGAACTTTAACTCTCTCTATCAAGACGCTGAATGTGGAAGTGTATTATACGTCTGATTGTGATAGTTTGTCTAAAATAATCGAACATGAAGACCTGCTGATCGAGTTTTCAGAGTTTCAGAGTAAAAACGTTCAAAGGATTAAACGAGTCCTTCAATCTTAACAACATATGACATGTTTCCACCAGGTGGCAACATCAAGCGTTGAGAAGTAAAGCCAATGCAAAGCCTCCAAAAACTGCAGTTCCTCAAATGTCCACTTGGGGTTTTCTCCAAAAAGCCAAGAAACCTACAGTAGACCAGCAGATTTTACAGCAGACTTAAACCAGGTCCAAAAAGAGGATTTAAGTCTCAATCACTCTGTTTTTATTTTTACAAAACCATACGAAGGCGTTAATAAGGATTAATTCATGCATTTTAAAAACACTGAGGTTCAGAGTTATGAATAAATCAGCATTATTAGGGGTGGGATCGTTTTGTAAGTTGGTGCAATGTAGCTGTTTGATATTAGGCTTTAAAATCGGCTTTACTGCACCTCTTTCTGACCCCGAGGTGGTGCATTGAGTTCTAAAACGCGCCTCCATTCATCGTGTGTTATGACCAGCTGCCATGCCGCACAAAGCATTCTGGGATTCCACACATTGTGGATATGTGAGGAATCTGATGTGTTAAAATAATGCATTTACAGCAAACACTGGCATCCATTTTTCTCATCCTTTTAAAATTTTTGTATGACTTAAATTTGCTTGATTTTAATCAACCTTAAAAACCCCGATAGGATGATCCATTTAAACTGTATTTTGGGAGTTTGCAAACTTTTCAGAAGGTCTTGTGGATGATTTACTAAAACTAGTCATATAATCAGATCTTTTAACACACAAATAGAAATAACAGTAAATCCTTTTTAAAGACGCAATACAAAGAATTCAGTGGCATCTATCAGAAAGAATCAGAGCCAAATAATAACCTCATTTCGAATGTTTTGAAGAGTGAGTTTAATTACCTTAAATTCAGTCGGCTTCAGCTCCATTTAGAGCTGATATAATAAAGAAGAATTTATTTATATTCTGAGGAAACTATGGTGGTCAAACATGAAACTTTGATTAAGAAACCAAAGAAATATAAAAGCTTACACCTGAAAGTGAGCGCTAACTAGATAAGACGTTCCTTTAATAGTCCCACAAAGAGAAATTCCAAATTTACAGCAACAACTACAGTTATCAAATCATTTCAGAGGACTTCATGTTTCAGTCTGAGTTTTGTAGGACCATAAAGTTGCGTGATCAGACTGACTGTATCTAATGTTGAGCTGCTAAACTTACAAAACACCTAAAATATCCCTCCAGACCGAGCAGAAACACCCCTCTGGTCCCCGACCGAGGGACTTTGAGGTTCCAGAGGTACTCAGAGGCCAGACAGTCGCTGCCTGAGCTGTTTGTCATGTTTAGGCGCTCTGACGAACAGTGGATTAAGACTCTATTCCTGGAGCTACAGCTGTTCCTAACGTCTTCATCATGGAGGGAAAAAATGACAGCAGGCTTGTCTTGAAAGAAAAGACGTCCGGACAGCTCCAGGAACAAATGGTTGTGTTTGCAAACCAATAACAAACCGGAGAGGGGTGTCTCTAAGGCTCACGGTGTATTTTAGGACACCAGAAGAGAAACCCTGAGGACACAACATAACATGTTGCTCTGGAGATGGGATCAGATCTGTTGGGTTAAATTTGGCCCTGATTTTTGTCTTCAGTTGGGTGCGCGTGTGAGCTATGAGCCGGGGATTGTCTCTGGCCGGAGAGCGGTGGGGTTCGCAGTAATCCAACACCCCAGAACATCCCTCGGACGATGAAGACGTGAGAACATATCGCAAAAATAACTCGCTGCTGGGCTGACCTCAGATGCACGTAAAGTTCATTTGCCTCACAGTGAAAAATATACAGAGGAGACCCAATAGAGAGAGAAAAGCAGATATTTCACCTTAAAAAGTATTTCTCTGAAAGCTAAAAAAAGTTCCTCTTCGTCACGAACTTTATACTCGAGATTTACAGACGATTCTGCATCCAGAGTTTCTACTTTTGGAGTCCTAAAGTTTAGATAAAGATTAAAAAGATTAAAACACTTTTAAAACAAATTTAATCATGTCGTCTTTTAATTTAGTAAGTATAGAAAACTTTTATCCAAATCAAAAAAAAGTTCAGAGCTTCTTCTTCCGAAAGAAAAAGTGGACTGGTCCTTTAACATACAGCTGTTCGATAATGGACGACATTAATGTTCATTTTTGCACAAACTTCTGAGTTCTCATGAAGAAAACAGTCTAAATTTGGGGGGCAGGGATTAAATCCAGGTGTAACTCGATGACAAGGACCGGCGTTGGCAGCCGCTGCAGATTAGACCCGGTTTTCCTCCGACCCGGGCGCTGACAGGAAGATAAACACGGACGGATCGATTTTCAAGTACAGGCCTTGTAGTGGTGTTGCCTTTCAGTGCACCACATTAACAGATCATATATCACAGGTTTGCCACGTGCACGCTAAAAAAATCCACTCCTTCAACCTCCGAAATCTGGAGAAAAAACACTCAGATGAGAAAAATTAAAGCTGTTAAATCAAATAAAACTTTCTATTTTTTTACTTTTAGTGTGTTAAAGTTGTTAACACCAAATTGAAAATGTGTGCGGCACTTCTAAGAATATTTTATTACCAGTAAACAACATTTTCTCAAACTTTCACACGACACGGCTTCAAACCACCAACCCTACAACAAACACTGTGAGGCATGCGTTTGTCTAAAAATAAACCACATTATTAATATTTCCTCGGCTAAAAGAAAAGATTATCTAACCGTTTCAGTAAAAAGACAAAGCATGTCCGTCTGTTTTCATGCACAGACTGAGCGAGCAGATGACAAAAGAAAGGCGTGCAGTTCGACCTCGTCTACAACGACAGAGTTAAACAGACACAGATCGAGTTCTTACTTTACCGGAGGAGAAATTTCAGCTGCTACGAGTCACAGAGACACGAGCCGAGCCCCAGCCGCACCGAGTGTTAAGAAGGTATATATTGCAATCTCTGATAGCCCTCTAAATCCTCCACTTTCTCTTTATGGAAGTGGATTACTGGTCAAACCAATGAGCTGGCAAGGTCATGAAATACAGTACAGTGTCGTCTGCCCCCTTCCTCGGCTGGCCTCATTATAAATAACCCGCCCTTTAAGATTGTTATCTGCATTATCAGGAGCTGCAGACGGACAGAAGGCAGGAAAGTGATTAAACCACAGAGGCATTTTATAATCAGCACTTTGTAAAGTCTTTTTATAAACAGAGAAATAAAGGAGAGACAAAAAGAGAGCTGACATGCACCTATTCATCTGTGATTTAAGTTTCTTTTTTTTCCTGTAGTAGATATAAAACTGTCTTTTTATCAATTTATCAGGAAATTAATGTAAAAATATTTTATATTCTGAGGCGGTCAAAGTGTTAAATAATTAAACACACATAAAAGTTTGTCTTTTAGAGTCTGCTAAAATGATCTTTTTGGATCGTTCATGAATCAGTTTGGACATTTTCTCTTTGCTAAGTGGGCATGGCTGATGATAGTTTGATTGACAACTGCCTAGCCCCGCCCACAACTAAGTTTAACTGTAGTTTACACTCTTGAAATTTCTCGAGGTGCCCCCACCCAAATATAACACGGAATTATTCATCCTTACTGTTCAGTGAATGGAAGGTGAATATGGTGACAACTTTGTATGTTTGTATTTGCAACTTAAAATAAGCAAATATCGGCGTCCGAGTGAGGACATCAAAATACAGTTTATTCACATATTGTTCAAAAAATCAAATTAAGAAGTTTATCTAATAAAACTGGACTTTTAACATACAAATGTAAACACATTAGTTCCACTCTAATCGCCCTGAAGTGAACTTCTCACCGCTGGACTAACTTACTTAAATAATTTAACTGCAGATCGATTTCTTCCTGTACATGTTCACCTCTATTAAACTAAAACTGGGATCAAATCTGTAAGTGCTCTATGGTTTTACACGTCAGGACTTTTGCTGCGTTCCAGTTACCTCAGAAGTCGGATGTCGTAGCTGTGACTGACGTCACACCCGAGTTGACGGCATTCCAGTAAAGAAGTCGGAAAACCAAGATGTACGCATACAGTTAGCTGTTGTTAGCTGTTGTTTACAACTGTCGGCTGTTGTTAGATGTTGTCACTTGTTGTTAGTGGATGTTAGCTATTCCAGTTGTAAACAACGCATAACAGTATTTTGCTCTTTCAAACAACACAGCAGCGTGTTCACAGTTAGACGTTGGGCAGTACAACATAAACTACTAATTTAATTTCACAAAAACTTAACAGAAGTGCTAATAAATAAAACATTAGGAGATCTTTCGCTGTTACTCTTTACTGCTGATGCACTGCGCTGCCATCTTGGATGATGACGTTGTCAACAAGTCGGGGTTGGTGAGGATCGTCTAACTTTCCAAGTCAGAAATCGGACTTCAGGGGTGCGTTCCAGATGAATTTCCGACTCGGAACAACTGGAACGCAGCATTTAACCCTGAAGCTGAACTGTATAAATCTGTTGCTAGTAAACCGGCTAGTAAACAAAAATCTGTTGTTTCTTTGTATGACGGGTAAAGAGCTGTCAAGTTCTCAGTGTTTAAATCATCTGACGTAAAAACAGTTAGCCTCTTAATAACATGTTTGTCGACTGTTTTGGTACGTGATGTCGTACGTGTTGACCTGTGCTCGTAAACTCGGATGAGAGCAGTCGCCAAATCAAGCTAGCACCGTAGCTTAACTTAGCTGTGTATGTTAATCGATGCTGATGGACACTCGTGATTTATCGTGTTCGCAGTTTGATTGTACAATCAGGTCGCCCCGAGCAACGCAACACAAAACTGTGAGTCGACATTCAACAGGCTTCATTAAACTCAACTAAATTTAGAAACCCCTGAACACCCACAGCTGTTAATTATCGTTCACATACGTCTTCTATTCTAATACTATGAGTGGGTACCGCCTAATTACTGCTAATCGTTCCTCAAAGCCAAAGTATTTAAAGCTGCGAAGATGAATTTAAGGCAACGAGACCATCAGCATCCAGATTAACCGTCTATAAAAGTATTTAATTAGCTGAGCCCACTGTTAAGGGGGAGGGGTTTAAAAACAGCCCGTCCACGGCTAAAGTTTACAGAGACTTTAACAGATGACTGTTTGAATTAGCACTTTTTTACTACAGGAACTTTGCAAAGAGATAAGAGGTACTGATGTGTCCAAAGGGGGGCGCCAAAATCAATCAAACATTCAGTTACCAGAAAAACAAATCTGGATTTAAAGGTGTATTGTGAAAGTCATTTAAGATAGCTTTTTATGCGTACACCTCTTTTCTTAAATCAAACCATTTTTTTGTCAGGTTGGCCCCGTTTAAACAGATGTTTTTTAATAGGGGAGACCGGGCAAAGTTGAGCAGAAACAGAACGATCAGATTTGAACTCAGGAAAGTAAAAATCTGTTAAAGATGGTCACGAAAACGTGCATTTTAACTGATATTGTACTTTGCATGTAAACTCATTTGTAGCAAGTAAGCTACAATCCAAAATATCTACATTTCAAACTCATCGTCTCGTCCTCATCCGCTGTTGCCACTCTCAGATTTCTGTTTCAGAATCGTAACGAAGATTCAAACTTGAATTGCATTTGATGGCGAACTCTTGTCTCCTGGTAAATATTTTTGTCATAATTTAGTGACTATAATTAATCAGTGTTTGTCCAAGTTTACTCAGAAACATTAATAATAACCTCATCAATTGAAAACTATTTTTATTTAGGCTGTCACGTAGGAAAGTCAAAAGGGAAATCTGTAAATATGAAACCGTTTTAGGCAGCTAATGCATGATCTGTTTCTACTTCTGATGCTCACAGCACAATGGAGAGGTAAAGCAGTTAAAGAGAGTTATAGAAGTAAAGTGAGGGGTCTCTATTTGAACGACAGTGAAATATACTTTACTGACCTTAAAGGACGGGCCTAAAGTCTGTCTCAAATGGAAGTAAAGAGAGGACTTCATCATGGTTTGAAATCCCTGATGCTGGTTCTGTGTAGAAGAAAAGTTTGGCACTCAGAGTGAGACAGGTCAAATAAATATTAACTTAAAAGTTGGAAATCAAATAAAAAATGTTAGAAAACAACTTGACTTACCCCTTATATTTGAGAAATGTGGCAAAATGTTTGTTTATTCACTTCGATCCACACCTCTTAATGTGACAAATGCTTTTACATGAAATCATCCGGGGTCATGTTTCTCATTGTCTCAACATTAAATACCATCCTGCTGCTTATCAGTAAAGTGTTAAAAGACAACAACGCTTGGTACCAGTTTAAAGAGTCGCTCTGTCTGAAACCACAAGAGGCTTTGCACATCATAAAACAGCAATAACTCAGAAACCGGAGCAGCTCTGTAGCGTCGTGAGGGATCATGTTCTCTGCTTTTTAAAATTCCCACCAGCCGAAGAGGCGTCCGAGCGTCCCATCTCATTTCAAACTCTTTGAGACTGACTTAACTGATCATAAGAGCTGTATAAAAATTTTAGGGAAAAGTCAAAGTAATGTATGTAACAGTTGGTGCAGTTATCACTTTCGTCCATCAGAGGGCGCTGATACATTGTGAATCCAGAGTTCCTATTGTTGGATACCACATGACCAACATATCTAACATAACTCAGCTATTATCACACAGCTGTGTCAAATACTTGGTTCTGATTGGTTAATACTCCATAGCAACAGTCTGTTATTTCTCTACAGCACTCTGTTGCTATGGATACAGCTCTGATCACAGACTCTAGAGGAGGAGACAGAAATTTTCTGATTGGAGGCTATTTTTTAAGGTGGAAAAAATTAAAAGATAAAGTCAAGGAGAGTGAAAACAGGAGAAGTTAAAAACACAAAACTGTGGGTTATAACAGAGAAATCTACAAAACATGGAGGGGTGAAGGAGTTAAAACTGACCAAAATATTCAACTCATTTTTCCCTTTTTTTTCTTCCTGATGTTTATCATGATGTAAACTTTTTTGATTGACTTGCTGATCATGTTTTTAAAAGATAGAGTAAGCAGGACCGACACTTGCCTCTCTGAGCAGCTGTTTATTCGTCAAAAGATCCTACAGTTCACAAGGTATTTCAAAAACAGAGTTTCTTTGTTCTGTAAATGGTTTTGTAATAATCCCGGTCAATAAAGGACTAAATGTTTAAGTAGATAAAACTTAGATTCAAGCCTCGGCCTCGAACATCTTCTTCCTCCCGTCCATGCCAGATTTGTCTTCGATGTTTTTACGCCAATCACCGACATCCCGCAGCTCCTTATCCTGAAACAGAAGAGGTCCATAACATTGGATTTTCAGCTTTGTTGAGTTTTTACCGAAAAGGTTCATTAAATAAAAGTGAATCCAGTTCCTCACCTCCTCTTTGACCTCCTTCTTCACCTGCTTCAGGTTGGCCCTCAGGTCCAGGTTGACGGTGTGTTTGGAGCCCAGCAGAGCTTTCAGCATGGCGTCGGCTGACATACGCACTTTCCTCAAGACGGGTTTCTTGAACTTACCCATCAGGTCCTGGACTTTGATCTTCAGGTCATTAATCTGGAATTAGGTCAGAAGATTTGGATTGAGAGTGATCTAGAGATTCACCTCAAACTTAGAGCGTCTGTAGACTAAAGCAGCACAGTGAGTTGTCTTTGGTCTACCGTCGATGTGCGATCATGTGATCTACCTCATTGTTGGTCTTATTGACTTTCATCTCCATGTTGTATCGCTCCTCATCGATCCCGTCGATCTTGTGGTGGATCTCCCTCGCCAGCTCCTGAAGACAAAAACACACCAGGTCAGTGTTGGTTCAGACTCGGCCTCACGGTTCCTCCACAGATCCAAACTCCAGCTGCGTCTGCTGTTTGTGTACCTGCAGCTCCTGCATGGTCCTGGGCATAGAAAGAGGAGGACAGTTCTCGGACATGTACCTCCTCTTCTCCTCCTCTTGCTCCCTCGCTTCCTCCTCCAGTAAACCTTTGGCGATGGAGAGCATCAAACTCTGACAGAAGAAAATCAGATGTTGTCGTCAATAAAACTGTAAAATCTGTAAGCCTTGACCAAAATAATACTCCAACTCTTAGTGAGACGGAGTGATTTATTTATTTACCTTTATCTGATGCTTCCGACTCGAGGAAATCTTTTTCCTGAGAAGTTTGAAAGATTACATAAGAATAAAAAGCAAATCTCCACTGCTGAATATCTCCTGCATATTAAAAAAAAAGTCCATAACTTTTCAGAGTCTTATTGCAAAGTAATAAAACTATCTTGGGACTAATTCATGATTTAATCTCTAAAATAACTGAATAAATCCCATCACTGTGATGCAAAAACTAAAATCTTGGCAAAAGTTTTGGTCGTATTTTTAGTTAAAAGTGTTTCATATGTTTTTTTTTAATCCACATTAACCTGAAAATGTGACTTTTTAAAGATTGAATCCAGTTTTTATATCCAAAATAAAATGAAATGCAGAAGTTTTACTCACTCGGACATCTTGGCGTCTGTTTGGCTCCTGCAGGGAAACAGTTTTATGTTTGAAATAATGGAAAATACAAACGTACATAATTATTTGGACAGCATAACCTTTTTTAATCACAGCTTTACTCAGACAAAACTCCCAAAGTGCCTCACACAGGTGTAAAAGTGCAGAAAATAAAGGTTGATATATGTGAGAATCTGAGGAAGCTCTTGCATTGACAGACGGTGAACAGACAGGTGTGTTTAAAACAAAGAAGACAAGAGTCTGTGAGGCGTTCAGGGACACGGCTCAAAGTTTGGGTCCGTCTGATAACTGGATTCAGTCTGTTTGGACCGTCCAGAATAATAACTCCACTTGGACGAAACGCGACACCGACAGCGAGCATCATCTGTTTGTCTGGAGGAAACTCTCCGTCTAAATTTGGACAAGAATCTTGGGTCCATTTGTCCCCCCTGTGGACTCCCTGTCATGAAAGCTCTGTCTTCTGGAAGATTATCAGCGCACACTTGATACCGTCTCCGGTGGTCCTTAACCAGCAGTGTCTGACATGACTGAGATATAATTTGTCTTGTCTGGAAATAGAGACGAGTAAAACAATCTAGATCAACAATGACTGCAGCCAAACTATAAACAGAGACGGAGAGGCTGTCGAGACGTCAAATTAGTTCTGTAAACAGATCATAATTCATAAAGAACGACAAAGTTTGCTGTTAATTTTAAGATGACACTTCGCCTAAAATGGTCAAAAAGAGTTTTTCGTTTAACTCCAGAGGCTTGTTGTGACACCAGCTGTGCATCAAATGTGTCTTAAAGTTCAAGTTCGTTCTCCCAGTTATGTTGGAGCTATCTCAGCTGATTCAGCTCAAAAAAGAGGCGTTCACTCCATCCTAATTTAGAAATAACACTCAAACACATCTGAACGTACGCTCAGTCATACAATTTAACTTTCCTTCCTCAGACATGAAGCAGCAGAGACAGGAGAAGCTCAATAAACTCACATTATCACGTCAGAGTAGAGTTCAGTATCATCAGCGTAAAAGGTGATTTAGGAGTTAAATACAAGCTATAAAAAAGTCATTAATATAAATACAAACATTACATTTTCTTACTGTTGTTAACTGTACACAACTTAACTTTTACTTTATAATGTCAGGTCTGTGTGGGTCCGTATTCACTGATCATAAATCAGTGCGTAAATCAGTGCTGTTAAGAGAACTTTGGGCTGATGTATTACTCTTATGTCAACTGAGAGAGCCCTAATTAAAACTACAAGGAAAACATTTGATAGTGAGTTTTCAGTGAAATAAGTAGTTTTCATTTTAATTATACTTTTTTGGCTTTTAGTGTTTTTGTGAGATACGACATCAGGATACTCAGAATACAGAAAACAGAGCAGGCGTGTCGAACTTTAGAAAGGATCATAATGAACAAGAACTAAAACAAAAAGGGAATAAAAGTGAAATATAAAAAGTTATCATTAATTAATTAAGAATTAATCCCGGAAAACAGAAGAAGATTATAAACATCATTAATCGTTAAATGAAGTGATTCAGCATTCTTCGAGAACTTCAGGACGGGTGTTTTTTTTCACGAACACGTGACTTTTAGTTTCCGATGAATCTTCAATTCAGGCTTTTGGGTTTCAATCGTGTTTTTTTTTACTCTTACAGCAAACACATTTGAGTTTAGTAACGTTTAGATATCAACACTTACGAATAATCCAAGGATGTCAATAACAGTAATTTTTTTGTGTCAAAAGTGATATAATACGTGATTTTTAGTTCACAGTAGGTCCTAATAAAGGTCTATTGGGCTTGAGGGAAAAACATGGTGGATTAAAATATTTTTTTCCAATAAAATTTGATTAAAATAAAACAGGCAACAGGTTATAAAACATTGTTTTTTTTTCTCGTATATCCCAGCGCAGATCTTGTTTGTAAAAGCCTCCACTAACACCAAACACCATGACGTGGTGAAAATACTGTGGTTGAAGTTCCTCGAATGATTGCAGTTTACTTCTGTTCAGATATCAAGACCATATATGGTGGTGTGACACATGACTTCTGGTTTCCTGTGTGGTTCTTTAAGTCTTTTAGGTCCAAGTCGAGATTTTTGACCCTTCTAACAAACATAAATGATTGAAACTTCATCAGACAGACTGAATCTGACAGACCGAACACCAACATGAACTGAAAATGTTCAAACAATGTGTGACAGCGCAGCAGGAAAACAGCAGGACTATCATTTTCACACTCTGGAGTCAATTTACACCGACACATCTCATCACACTGAGCAACATCCCGGCAATAATAGACCACTTCACCCTAAAGCTGAACCCTTTTACATCCAAAAACCCCTCAGTCATAATCATCATCCATCATCATCCTGCAGGAACACGCTCCGATACAGCAGTGTGCAAACGACAGAGCGTTAGAAACAAAAGCATTTACACTGCAGAGAAAAAATCACGTTTTTATGGAAAACAGCAGCAGCAGCAGAAGAGAAAAGGAGCTCTTACCTGTTATTCCAAGAAGAAAACCAGACGGAGCGACGGTTTTGGGAAGCTGCTCGGTTTTGGCATTATTAGTTGGTTTATATTGCATTCCCCAAAGGAAGAGGAAACCCCATCATCCTCTTTATGGAAGTCGATTTTCTCGCACACCAATGGGCTCAGCAGCTTCTGAAACCGAATCTCTGACCCCCCCTTCACCCCGAAAATCTCCTCCCTGCTTTATCATTATAAATAACCTGCTCTGTCCAGATGGTTCAGCTGATTATATTATTCCTCCAGGTCCACAAAGAACTAAGAAAAGAAAAGAGAAAAAAAATGAACCGAAAACTGGGCAGAAAGGTTTTCTTGGAGAGAAACTGGGAGCAGAAGTGATGAAAGTTAAGAAAGCAGCAGGTGGATGTTCAGAAAAAGTCAGAGTGGAGTTTCAATGTGGATATTTAAGACCAGCTCAAAGGAGGATATTAAGCAGCTGGTCTGTGAGAGGACAGATTTGTCGGCTGGTTTTGAACCAGGCGAGAAACATGTTTGATTTTGCTCTAAAAATGGGCTCTTTTTGGCTCAGTGTGTATGTGGTTTCAGGTGCTTCTGCAGACAGCCTCTAGTGGACCCTAAGGGAACTGCAGTTTTAGCACTTCCCTCTTGATGCTCATTAAATTACTCTGATTCCCAGAGATTCCTACTCAATCTTGAAGTTCAATGAGAACAAAAACTTAAGTCAATCACCTCAACTCCGCAGGACAAAACTTCAAGAAACACAAAAATGTCCAAACAATCTTTTCTTAAAGGTGATTATTTTAAAGCCTGAATGAATGAGGAGACAGAAAAGCATAAAAAGCATTAGCTCTTGTGTCACACTGAGAGTGGTGAGTTAATTAGACCATCGGGGGGGGTCGGTCATAGCTGCTGGTGACGGACAAACTGCAGCATGTGGAACCATCACGGCACCGATCGTTCAGGGAAGCACAGGGGAGTCCCAAACCTCAGACAACTGTCGGCTTCTGGGCTATCAAAGTTCATATACAGCATGTCAGGGGTTTCCACATCCTCTATCGGGCGCTTCCTCAGGAGATGTGGTGAGAGGGTGTGACCAGAATAGAAAGAATGAACGTCGCCTAATGAAAGCGAAGGCAAATTACAGTGATGACAGAGTTAATGCAGACCCCCACAGCCCTCAGATACTCATGGAAGGAACTGTCCCACAGTCCAGAGCCGTGGGACGATCTGTAAGCTCATCAGAATCAGCACCAGATCTGTTTTCATGGGGACATGCTTCAGGGCGCACCCTGTGTGAGTGTCATCAAAATATGAAGATCCATCAGTTAAGAGACGACTGTTCAGTCTGATGCTGCTGGAGGTTTCCTTCTGTAACTCTGAAACTTATAAGAGTTGTTAAAGAGCTTTTAAGTACAAAAGGAAGTGACAGACACAGACAAGACATTTAAACAGGATATTTTTGTAATTCTGGGAAATTCTAAATCCTTATTTATCTCTAAGAGCTGGAAAAAAGTCAGAATTCAAAGATTAAAGTCTGAATTTGGACTTTTTGGAATTTTAGAGTTAAAATTCTGAGGCATAATTCTTTTTTCCTTTAATATTGAGATAAAAGTCAAGATTCTGACTTTAATCTTGAATTCAGAAATTAAAGTCTGAATTTGGACTTTCTAGAATTCTCCAATGAAAGTTAAAATTCTGAGGCAAAACTGTTGTTTTCAATATTACTTTTATCTTAATATTCTACTTTTTTTCCACGGGGTCTGACACTTAAATCCGAAATCAAACTTAAGTTTTAGAATTCTAAAAAACAACAACACATTTGATAAGAAAAAGTCCAGAATTCAGACTTTTATCTTGGAATTGTGAGATTGATGTCAGAATTCCAAGCAGAATCGTAGAATTTGAAATGTTAGAATTTCAACTTTAATCTTGAAAGTCTGAATTTTGTCTCAGAATTCTCAATTAAAATTTGAATTCTTCTTTTGTCTCAATCCTTTTCTTTTGTTTGTTTTTTTAAGATTTAAGTCTGAAATTTGACTTCAGATTCGGATTTCTGATGATCTCAGGATTATTAAATTACAGTTGAACTTTTGACTCTGAAGAATAAAGTCAGAGCTTCATCCTTAAGCCATTAACACGAACCTATGGCATCTTAAAACAGCCTGTAGTAGTCAGCCGCAGCAGCATCTTCAGTTTTAACAGCTGTTCGCAGCCTGGAGGAACTATATCAGCCTCTGTAACCCTACGCCAGCCCAGAGCAGACTTCATCAACCCGCATCACCCTACAGCAGCCGGTACCAGTCTCCTACAGCCTATTTTCAAGAGTATCTGCCATCTGACTTTAGGATAACTCGCAAAGTAAAATAACATAGACACTCACCATAGACTAAAACTAAGAACTCTATTCAAGTAAATTCACAATCATTCACTCCTCCTCTGCCGTAGTTACGGGACATGTTTCCGATCTTTTTGTAACATAAAATTCACAGTCAACATCAAACGGCTGTTAAAAAGATCCTCTTTTAAACATTTTAATGGTACAAATTATATCTGAATTAAGAAACATGACATGAAAAACACATCGCTTCACATTTCTGAATATCATATGCATTGAGAACATTCTGGGCCACTGAAAAATCACCTGAGAGAACGAGTAAGAAAATTATTCAGTTAGATATGACCATTTATCTGGAAAACAACAAAGGGTTGACTCAAATATGCCGATTCTCTGCGCGTCCTCACCACCACCACCGTCCATATCAGTAACACAAAGGTACTGTACGATAACAACTAGCAAATATATTACAGCATCTTCCACTTTACACTAATGTCGTTTTCATATGCCCAAAATAAAACATCCAAAAAATATTCAGCATTTTTACAACATATTGAGGGAAGTTCATACAAAGTGTGCAAAAATGTCACCGTACGGTCACAGGACGACTCCAAATGAAGGCACCATACTTTTAGCTTTCACTCCTATCGAACCACTCAACATGACGACTTAGCTGAGCTGCTGGGGGGAGGGGCTTAACATCAAGGTGGTTATACCTGTACTGTACAAACGTCCCTCACTAAAGCTGCCAATGACCAAAGACAGAAACACGGAAAAAAAAGGATGAAAAAGTGAAGAGCGTTGTAGCCTTTCTGGTGTGACTGTTATTCTGCAGAGTTGTTATGTAACAGGACACTTTAGGGGATAATTTACGATGAAAACATCCACAGAGCTGCTTTTTTATTTAGGCATCATATTAAAGATGGGACACCTGCTCTGTGTGTGTCTTTATTCCACATTATTACTGCTACAGTCTGAAGCTGCTGAAAGATACTTTTGTTTGTGTTGACTTTGGCGCCCTCTGTGGTCGACCATGCACATTACAGGTTCGCAGATTTTATTCTGATGATGCAAAGTTGTATTTCGCAACATAAAAATCTTATTTGGCTTTTATCTGTGTTATTCATAATGACTATTTGCTGTTAAAACTGTAAGAAAGGGGGTTTCTTTAGTGCGCTGTCAGTCGTCTGGTCTGATCTAACCCCATAAAAACGTCAATGTTGTTGCTTTTCTAGCTCACTAAGACGCATCGCTGTTTGTTTGAGTCTCTTAACAACCATTTTAAAAACTCCTTAGAGGCGCTTTGAGAACGGCACATGAACTTAAGTAGCTGAATGTAAGTTTTTAGTCAAACTAGCTGACTTATCTTGCTTACACATAAAGACTGAAAGAACAAGGTTTTCACACTTGGATATAGACTTAAGTAAAAATGAAAAGTAGGGTTTTTTTTCTGTTGATTTAACGGTACACAACTTTTGGCCAATCAGAGCCAAACTTTAAACTCAAACAGTAACAGTAGACAACTCTAACCAAGCTTTAAAGCCGACTTGAGGAGTATTTCTTGCAGTTACGATGATTAAAATGATAACAGTGATACCTCTTCATGACCTACAAGAGCATTAAGGGTTATAACCTGGACTAAAAGAGTCAAATTTACTGATTTTAATCTGAGTAAGGCAGTAGGTATCAGACCAGATTATTGCAAGCTGAAGAAACAAGCCTCTGAGTTTCCCACCCTTTCCATCGTCACATCATCTCGATTATGGCAAAAAAATCCAAAATTAAACTTAGAAAAAACAAAAAAATCTGCCTTGTGTGTTCAGGGTGAAAGTAGCAGAGATAATATACGTTTTTGTCCACAAGGGGGTGCAAAAATACGACAAACTAAAAGTTCTTAGTAGTAGCTTTAAGGAGAGTAAATATGTGCATCTAAAAATGTTTGAATATTGTGGAAAAAAAGTTTATATTATTTCATCCAGTATTTCAGAGACGTAAAAAAGTTCATATATCCTCGTCTTATCGGGCGTCAACAGGAGAGTTTAAGAATTTCTTCTGTTTTGAAACCGATGAATTCAGGCTTAAGGCAAAAAAAACCGTCTCAGGTTAGAGGGAGGTTGATTGTTTAATTTTGAGTTATTTTTACTAATATTTGAAGTTCTACCAAAAAAATAATGAAAAGTTTGACTCAATATTCATTTTTTTAATGCGCCTGTATTTTAAAACAAGCGACAGGACTTGACTTCCTTTAGGGTTAGTGGTACTGAGATAAAAATGTACAGCCATCTTTGTTTACATCAGGGCTGTGTCAGTGTAACTTCATTAAAAATTTCTCACCTGTCTGCATCAGAACTGTTATTTCTATTATTGAAAACCTGAAATGTTGGTGATATGTTGTGTCTCAGGTGTAGCGCAGCGACCCGCTCCTGGTCAGGGCTGTAGCTCAGGTTAACGGCTGCCATGGTAACATAATAGTGCTGTACTACCGGGATGTAAACGAGCACAGCTGACAGTTGTTGTCTGACAGCATGGTGTGGTTTGGCAGCAGTTGTGGAGGCTGTGTTTGGTTAAACTGGGATGTAACCACTCCACCATGAAATGTCATCAGCCAGAGTTAAAAAATATTAAAATAAACAGGAAACAGTTTGCATTGAACGACCCTGTGAGTAGTGCAAAATCACCTCTTTGCAGTGTGAACCCTGAATGGCAGCTCAGTGGCACTGACACTAATACTGATAAATCCACAGATGCACTTGACCCAGCTTCACTGCATACACCAAAGTTCAGCTTCACAGAGCCACAGTCGCAGCACCGCCCAAGAGTTTGAACCCGACACACTGTGGCTGAAATGGGACTACAGTCTTCCTCACAGAGGACAGGTTAGGCTGTTCATCCTCCATCAAGTATGACCTCAGAAAAAGAAAAACACGGAAACTAAAAAAAGAGAAAAAAGCCTGAAAAGGTCACAGAGCAGAGAAGAAGGTTCATCGTGTTTGTGTGCAAAGTTCCCTCCGACCAAAACAGATTCATCAGTGAGATAATCCAGACAGAGGCCAATGATCCCAGAAAGAAAGTCCAACGTGTGTCTCTCAGTCCTCCATGTAAGAAGCAGATAAAGCCTCTTTATCCAACATTTACAACACCCAACAACCAATTTACCGGCAAACTAGGTATTTAGGAAGAAAAGGAAAGCCCCAAACAAGAGGTGGTGAGTTACTCCATTTAGATCTGCCGACTACTGCAGCTCAAACCTGGAAATCTGTAAAATGCATCTTTATCAGAGAGTTTATAAATCTGGGAAAGAGATTCAGCTTCTTCAAAAGAGGTGAGAAAAACACTGAAGGTGAGAGTTTCGTGACGTACTTCAGGTACAAAATTTGAGTCCAAATATCGAATTATTCTACAGAGAGACAGTTGATATTTTGAGCGCCTAGCATGTGCACAACTGCAGGGTAACACAAGATAAACTAAATATAGCACATATGAGCCATTCCTCACCCACACATCAGGTTAGAAATGGTTTATTTCAGGAGCTTAACGCTCTGCTGCGAAGGAAAACGTAGCGTTTAGAGTTTTTCTCTGAAAACAGCTGCGGCCGAAAACAAAACCACCACTGAGCTGTGAGGGCGAGACAGAATTTCTCATTACCAGGTACAGCTCTCAAAAAATTTCACACTGTCGCTGCACCTCATACAGGTGCTGCGATAACTGGTTTGTAATCTGAACTCCTGGAAATAAGCGGCGTCATATCAGCACAGGTCCAACTCTCAACCAGCAGCTTTTTTTTAGCAATCATCTCACAAAGATGCGTTTTAGATCCAGGTGTGAGGTCTGAGCCCAGACTGGTCTAAAGAGTAAGCTCCCACCCCGTCATGGACTGACATCAATAATCTCCTGAGATCTCCGTTTGAGAAATTCCCCTGATTTAAAAAAAAAAACACCACCACCACGACATGGCACAGAACTGAAGCAGGATATATCGACTATACAGCCAGCACGACTACACTGTGATACCAAGAGAGAAGCTGTACACGTTACACTCAGGTCTATTGCGTCTCCGCTTTGGCGAGGGGAGAGAGGGCGATGTAGTGTGGTCACATTTACAGGTTCAAAGAGGAAAAACATCTAATATCCAGGTGAGGAGTCCAGCTGCCCTCAGGAGTCTAGAACAACACGAGGGTGAGGGGGTCAAGAGGGCGGGCCTGATGGGACACCGAGTCAGGTCCACGCCACTTTCCGAGATATGGCCTGTTTGAAGCACTCAGGGTCCACGTTTCCTCCGGGCCGCAGCGCCCTCTCCAGACTCACCAACACGTTCTGGTGGCACTCCCTGATGTTGACCGGGTACTTCGCCCTCAGCAGCTCGTAGGCGGCGATGAGCCTCATGTTCTGCTTCACCATCAGGTACTGGATGATGCATGTCGGCGCCAGAGAGAAGCCGTCTCGGCAGTGGACCAGGACGCGCTTCCTCTTGCCGGTGGATGCGTCGATGCACTCGTTGATGTCCTCGAAGCAGCGCTGCTTTAAGGCCGGCCCCTCACCCAGAGCGGCCGGCACGTCTTCGATGTCCACTTTGAGGCGGGACCAGCTGTGGCGGGCGCCGCGAGAGCAGGTGCAGGGTATGAGGCTGAGGCTTGGGCCCGGTTCTCCTGGCGCACTGCTCATGTCGATGATGCTGTCGATGTTGTTGCGGCACAGCGTGCGCCCGTTGTACGCTGCGTTCAGGTTGCCGACATAGATGTAGTCTGTAACCTTGGAGATGACGGGCTCAGAGTACTGGAAATGTTCAGGGCCGCTTGGTTTGGGCTCTGGTGTATCGGGCCCTCTGGCGCCAGCTGGTCCCGTGGCGGCTCTCCGGCTGTAGTTACGCAGCTTCTTGGAGCCCGAGCGAGAAGGCGGGTTGGAGTCAGACTCGGAGCTGCTGTTCCAGGGCGGAGAGAAGAGGGAGAAGCGGCTGGAGGATTTGCTCTTGTTGAGGATCTCCACCGGGCTCGACAGGCCGGAGCTGGACGCCGTGGTGGAGGCCGAGGCGCAGAATAAAGACGCTCGTTCCAGAGAGCCGGTGCTGCTGGCAGCTCCTGCACTGTGGGCCTGCTCCATCTGAAACAGACACACAGCTGACATGTGACTAAACCGACCTTTCACATCTTTACTGGTCTCTGATCCAGTCCTCTCAGGTTGAACACATGGAAACTTTAAGTGCATTTGCTTTCTGTTTCCAGCATTTCAAAATTTTCTACAAAACCAAATTGTAAACACTACGTCGACGAAGAATTCCTGCATCACTATTTTGGCTAATAAAAGAAATGTTCATATCCGTGGATGCAGACAATTGACTTTTTAACTGTTCCTAATTTTCAGAGGGATTATCAGGACGGAGCAGGAGCTCAGCAGGAGGTGTATGTTCGGGCGTACCTGAGCTTTGAGGTTGTTCTTCCATTCCTGCGTCTCCAGAGCCTTGAAGCGTCCGCTGCTGTCGGAGGAGATCGACATGCAGAGGGGCCGGTGAGCCCTGGGGGGGAGCTGGGGGGTGAGGGCCACGGGGACGGGCCTCGCATCGGCTTGCTCGCTTCTACTCATCATCAGGTTTGGACAGGAGCCTGCGGCACAGAGAAGGACAGCCAGATCAGGACACGACAGCCACAGTGGATGAGTTATGATTGATTGATTGATTGATTGAAGTTTACTGTGTTATATCGTGGAGATAAGATGGTTTTTATAAGTTTTTTATGTTTATCTTATTCAATTTGCTTTGTTATTTACTTTGCATGTTCATAAAATGTTAAACTAATCTCTAGTTTCTTTAGTTTTGTCTGTAGTGTTGTGCTGTTTTAGATTTGTGAGAGTCGATCTTTTTGAGCACTGAAGATTCTTACAACTTGCACAATAAGGAATGTCATTTTATTTAAATTGTATTCATTTGTTATTATGTTAATGTTTATGCCACTGGCACATTACTTTGTACTTTGTTATTACTAGTACTAGTGTTGATTACCTCTGGCTCTTCAAGGCCCCACATTTAATTTTTTAATCTTATCGTTCCTCTGTTATTTAAGGTTCAGGAAAAGTTCATTATGCAAGTTATTTTGATTGTTTATTCAAAATAAAACTTTGTTAAATGATTTCAGGGCATGTATAGGTACTTTACAAACATTTTGAACATATTTCAATACCGTGATAATGTTGATAACCCGGATAATTTTGGTCACAATAATCGTGATGTTAAATTTTCATATCACATCCCAATTTCTTCCACCTTAATATTTAACTATTAAATGTTTCATGCAGGATTTGACCTACCAGCACATTCTGAGCGGGTGATGGACTGAATCTGCAGAGTGTTGTGGGTTTTCAACAGGCTATGAAGAGTTTTCACTATACCTGAACAAAAGAGAGAGAGAGAGAGAGAGGTCACCTTGTACTAAACTCACAGCCACGGAGGTGTCTTAATGAGAGGGGGAGTGTTCCTCTTATTTATATATAAGTGAGAAGACATGGAGTCGCAGGTCTTACCGTTTCTTCCACTGTGCTTGCATGGCACCTTTTTATCCAGCAGTTTGTGAGCACTCGGGTCTTTGTTCCACTCTTCCTCGGCCTCCATGATCCGCCTCCTGCTGACACAGGCACAGAAACCGGCTCAAGCGGCCCGTCATCTTTGGAAAGCCGAGCGACACTTCAGCTCCATCGGACAGACATCACATCAGCAGTGCGCGGCTCCCGGCTGGCGCCCGTTGAAAGCGAACTGACGCGGCAGAGCGTTCGATCCCATTTATTGTGTACGGCGAGCGGCAGATTCGCTCCGCGTACCACACCGGCTGCGCTTTTAACAGCTTTTCTTCTTCATTGAGACATATCATACATTTAGAAGAATCGTTGGCTTAACTTTAGATGAATAACCCTCGTGAGAAGCTTTAAAGGACCGTTTACTTACGTCGACAAACGACCAACGAGCCTCGGAGCGAATAAGTCGCGTTCGCACGGCGACGCTGCAGCTAGCAGCTAAATTAGCCGCTAACGGCTAACGCATCAAGCTCACTGTGTGTGAGTCATGCTGTGGAGGCTGTAACCGTCAGTTATTTCTTCCCCGAGGGTTCAAATACAGCCGTTGAAAAGTAAATCATCAACACCACATATCGTACTGTTTATCGCATAACAAAAAAAAGGTTATCGGTAGAAACGCTTAGACGTTGGCGAGCTAACCGCTGCTAGTTAGCGGCTCTCCCCGCTGCCCACCACCGCCTCTCTGCGGCTCCAGCAGCTCGTCACGCTTCAGCATCAACTACTGCCGCATGTCGAGCTCGTCGGCAGGCAAACAGCATTAATAAGACCATAAATGAAATGTTCAAGTGACTAGATAGCTGGCTGACTGCAGCTATCTAGTCACAGCTTCACCGACCCAGCGACATCATCACAACGGTGAGCGCAGACCGACCGACCCCCCGGTGCTGCTGGACCGAATGCGGATTGCGCGGTGTGGAGCTATTTTGCCCTGAGCTCAAACTTCCAGGCTCTGTGACTCATTCAGGCAGTCTTCATCGATGAAGTCGAGAACTTAAACACCTTTTCAAGTCAGTCGAGTCTAGAGTGTGTAATTTGGGGGAGCAATGAAGGATTTTGTTTACATCTGCAGGGAATTAACTACCTGAAAGATGAAATTCAGGGATAAAACAACAGCAACTTAAGAGGTGAAGTCAATTAAATGACTGCAGTTCCTTGGATGGCCACTATGTGGTTACTAGGTTAGGGCTAGGAGATTCAGAAGTGCGATAATGTTCTGTAATGTTTTGTTCGATGTACAGAGCCAACAGCCCGCCTTTGGCTTGAGCGTGTGATGACGTTTTCACGTTTTCTAGCCAATCAGAGGTGAAGGAGGCGGGACTTCCCCCTACCATCCTACAAAAAAAATATCGTCCCCCGGGTGAGCTACACTTTATGTTCTGTGTAATAAATTTAGCAATCTATAGGGATTGCTGTCGGAGGCGGGATTTATGACCTATACTGCAGCCCGTCACCAGAGGGTGCTGTTCTCAGGGTGGCTTCACCCTGCTGGGAGGTAGACAGCATCCATTCTATATATAGTCTATGGTATAGCCTGATGTATACGACATCACACAATGAAAGCAACATAACGACACGTCTACTGAGAGCTGGCACGATAGCCTACTGTCTGTTTGATTGATTTAACAAAACAAGTTGCTACTGCAAATCACAACAATAATCCAATATTGTTTAACACTATAGTTTACTGGTCGGTGATCAAAAAGTGGCATTAAGAAGTGCGACAGTTTTCTTAAAGATGAGCCATTTTCAACTAAAAGCGTAGACACTGTCGGCGTCAAAAACAGCGTCTGTTGACAACAACTCTAAAAATTATATGAAACAATTGACAAAATTTCCCAGAAAGCAATGCGATGACTTCAAATTGCTTTCTACACTCAAAACAATGTCAGAAAGGAGATTTTTCATTTTTTAAAAACAACATTAAACAGGAAGTCTTTTCATTACGAAACTTGATCAAACACAGCTGCATGAAATGGTGCGTCTCAAGGTGCATTGGCATAGTTGTTTTAAGATTAATAAAAACAGTGACGCTAAAAATCCAAATATTCGAGAAGTTTTGTTTTAACTTTATGAATTTTAGTGAAATAAATCACATCAAGTTCACAGTTTTGTTCAGCAGTGTTCAAGAGAGAAGTGTCATTATAAGTGGAGTAAATGTGTCTTCATATGAGCTACATTGAGGCCCCAGTTAAAGCTACACAAACATCATCTCCATCAGGTCCACTAAATTAAGAGGATGAGGCAGATTAATGCATTCAGATCAGCTCGAGCATTTAAAGATTATTATTGTTCTTTATTTTTAAATCTCCTTAACCTCTCTGGACTTTTTAAAATACTTTAAATCAACAAAAAAAAAATGAAAATGTTTTTAAATGAGTTTTATCTGATGAAACAAAAAAAGCTCAAATCAACCATCGACCAGGAATAAAGTTACACAACCAAGACAGCTCAGATTCTGACCCCAAACTTGCTCAATGGCACATTTCTGGAATCAGACCTTCAGTTTTTAAAGCACTTACCTTTGTGAGTCTGTGTGTGAGTGTCTGGTTGTGGTTGTCGGGCAGTTTTTTCAGTGAGTGTGTGTCTGCAGACTGAAGCAGCAGCAGCTCCGTCTGAAAACAATCATCTGTCGGCTGATCGTGCGCCTGTGTTTTTCTTCTTCTTGTGTTTAATTGGATGGCTGCGCCTCTCTCCAGGTTTCCTGGTAACCCACCGACCTGCTGATGTCACTGCTCTCCATAATGAAGTGTGAGTGTATCTGCGGCTCTCATCAATAAGCAGGCGGGGACATTCACAGCAGATAAGAGCGAGGAAGAAACCCCTGCCATGATGTGATTACAGCAGCTTCTCTGTCTTTACCAAACAGTATTACTCTGTCATACTCCTTCAGTTTATCTGTTTGGGTTCAGTTTGAAGGTTTGATCTGGATCAGGATCATTCAGACTTTGAAAACCACTTTTGCTGCAATCAGGGATCCGGTGTAAAAGCAGACCTTGTGCTGATTCAGATACAGGCAGTACTTGTAAGTGTACCCTAGTTTAAAATTCAATTTACCAGAAGACCACCAGGGGGCGCTCTGAAAGCTTTGGTCTGACTCTTTGTGTTTTTATCACATCCAAGAAAATGTAGCTTAAGGTCCTGATTGATGATCCCCTCCCCACGACACAACCTTCTCTGGCAGAGCAAAAAGCCGGCCAGGCAGAAGATCCTACGCTAGCTTCAAATAGGATTCACTGTGTCGGATTGTTAGTGACTAGCGGCAGTAAACGCCAGCTCTGCTAGCGAGCGCCATCTGCAGCTGCCTGGACAGCTACCGTGTTGACATTGAAGAGACTAATAAGAGTTATTTTTGTAACATGTGCCACGATAAAAGGCGATAAAAATGACCTGTTCAGGCCCAAATCCTGGCGGAGCTTTCTCTACCGCTTGAAGGATGACCCGATGTTTATTCGAGTTCGATTCCTCACTTGGTCACATTTCCTCTTTATCTCCGCCCTTCCGTTGGCTTGTGTTTTCTTCCAACTTTTGGTAGTGGGGCGAGCAGAAGTGTTTGTTTTTTGCGTCCTTCTCCATCACAGCTCCTATCGCTAAGCTGCTATGCTACTTTTAGCCGCTCAGAGCTCCGAGGAGGGCCGGGAGAGTGGGAGGGGACAAGTCGGAGCTATGGGAGAGGGGTGTGTCGAATTCAGTAAGGTGATTGGATGAAGAGGCGGAGCAGGAGATTGACCAATAGGAGCTGTCCAGGACGGATGGCACCTGTTGGTCAATATTTTTGCAGCCCTGCACCTGATAGGGTGAACAGATTTTTTCTGTTCTTTTTTCTCGTCACTTTGTGAAGATCACAATTTCGGACAATGATCGCCATAGAAACGAGGTTTATAATAATTACCAATCTCTCCGATCGTCAACCATGCCTTTAAAGGAGGCTTTAGGGCTGAATATATGCAGCATGGGTGGGAGGGAAATTAACATCTCAAAGTGTCTCCTTGAGTTTGTTGACTCATCGACATCAGATCTGTTGGACCTATGCAGACCGACCGCCTCCTTTAGATCCTCCTCAAACACCTGTCTGAGGTAACAGAGGCATCACAGACTGAGAGGAGGAGAAAAGTACTGAACAAAAGAGTGTAATAATGACCAATAACTCTTTTCCTGAGAGTGAAGACGATTCTCTGGTTTGGTTTTCCAAGCACCAGGAAAACCTCAAACCTACAGCCCGACATAAGGAGACAAATAAAGTGTTTATCTGGTTCTACTTTCACAGGCTCCTGTTTGAGGTTCTGCAGAAGAAAGTGAATGCAGGATGCAACTAAAAGACAGAAGAGAAGTTATTTGAGATGAGGCAACACCCCTGCATTTATGATGTGTCATTGAGGGACGATTTAGCTCCTCCTCTCTATCCAACATCTTTCCATCGGTCATGGTTACAGCTTGAATTTGTGGTTTCTCTCTGATTCTTCTACATTCACAGACTCTGAGTTTCATCCTCGCACAGGTAAAGTGAGATCCCCTGTCAGCATCAGGTGCCCGTGGAGTGGAAATAAAAGCTTTGGTTTCCTGCTGCTGGGAGCTCGGGGACGCTGTAATGAACTCTGATCTCTGGAGGTCTGAAGCAGCAGGATGACACACCTGCCGCTGAGCTCAGCTTGATGATCTCCTTCACCGTCGCCATGTTTGGACCGATGAGTGACTTTGTTGAAGTCCAAAATGATGCTTGTGTCAAATGTTTTAAAGAAGACTTATGTAGGCGTAAAAAAGACAAAACTTTGAGATAAAATATATTTAATGCGTTTTATGTTACAGGCAGAATAATTTTAAGGTAAAGAGGTGAAGGGAAGGTTTGTTCGGATCAAATGTGACTCCAAATGTCGTGATGACATTATAGAGGAAGTCTGTGGCAGTTTGAGGAGGTGCAAACTTTTAACAGGCTACATAATGATGCAAAAAAACAAGAAGAGGTTCTTTATGTTCACGTTTTTACCCCCCAATCCTAATTTTCAGGGGGCACAAGATGAAGCGACAAGGAAAAGGTGGTGAAACCATAAAATCAAATTTATGTTCCCAACCGACAGGCACCACCTTTCCTCAAAGAGTTCAGCCATTTTTCCAGAGTTTTCTTCTTCCTTGCATTCTGTTGGCGACACTGCTCAACGCTGCCCCCACGAGTCCTGATGGAGCTGAAACATTTCATCCAGAAAAGATGAAATGAAGTAAGAAGATTGAATCCATATCTGAGCGACTACTGGAGTTCCAGCATAAATAAACCTTCTGTCATCCTATCAGCCTGAGACACTGACAGAGTAAATTAAAACCTCCTGAATCTCAGACTGTAACCAGGGAAAAACATCATTTCAGCCTCTACCTGCAGGTTTTCTTCACTCTGAGAGACAGAAGCTTGTGGGTGTTACTTTTTACACAACAACAGGAAACTTTCGCCGTTACAGAAACCATTTGAGAATAACTGAAGGTCTTTATGGATGAACAGCTTGAGGTTTCGCTAACAGCTGAGATGCAAATCCAGCTTTTTTTGGTCTTTAATCCTCTAACAGCGAATCACAAACAGTTCTGATAAAACCTTTAAAAAGCCTTTATCTTTGGGAGGAGAAACCAGTTAAAAGCCAGAATTAAAGGTAAACCTGATCACTCTGGTTGTGAGGTCTCTACAGTCACTGGTGATTCCTGTTTGTCCCTCATGTAACATTCAAATATGAACTTTCTCCCCAGAATTTCAGCTTTTGAGACATATTGAAACAAATATGCAAATATATATTTAAATATATGAAATTAGCTTCCAAACTCCAAACTCACCTCAACGATCCTCTGCTTAACTAAGGTGGGTAATGTGCTTTTAGTCTAAACACACCTCAAGAGTTAGTACAAAATAATCAGGAAACAGAAAGTGCTCAAGTTCAAAAACAAAAAGTGGTGCTAAAATATTTTTATAATCTTAAAGATTAAAATACAAAATAATCTGGTTTAATCAGAGGAACGTTATTCAACGTTATGTGTATGTAAATCATGTATAACATCTGTCTGAATGTGCTCACACTGACGGATCTGAAGAGTTCGTGTTGGGCCGGACCCCCTCAGTGGGTTTCCCCTCAGAAGGGCAGTTTGTTTGAGAGGGGGATCTTCTTCTTCAGGGTCAGGGTGGAGTTCACCTGCTGGGCCGACAGCAGGTTGTGCCACTGAGCAACCGGCCGCCGCGGGTTGGACAACATGTCGGCCCAGTGCCTCAGCTGGTTCCCCGTGGCGTCGCAGCCCAGGAAGATCTTCCCCATGGCGTCATTCCTGGTCACAGCGTCGTGGTCCCACACGGAGATCACCAGGTTCACCCTCTGAGGACAAGAACAAAGTCTCAGGTCTGGTTCAAGGTAAGAAGCTCCATGAAAGGAGCACAGATGTCTGTTTGGACCAGGAGCCAAGAAAATATTTGTGTTTGCTGGGTTTTTTGAGGCGTATAACATCCTAACGTAGATTTGTAAGAAGTAAAAAGTCAGGTTTTGTCAGGTCTAGACTTTTTATGTATGTTTTATGGGAACATTAGAAGAGATTTTGAGCTTCAAACAGAGTGTAACAGCAGTGAAAATGGTTTTCAAGTGAATGTGTTGACTTAAAATATTTTTAATTTATATTAAGCTAGATTTCACGGCACTCTTTGGACATTTTGAAGCCTCTGTTCTGCACCAGAAACACAAACACATGTGGATAATGAATGTAAAAGCAGTCAAACTGATCTCTTGAAACTCGCCTGAATTTGTTCAAACGTCACATCGAAGGTGAAGGACTCGTTATAATACGGACTCAGCGTTTTCTTCTTAATGGTCGTCTTCTTTTTCTTCCACTTCCTCTTGTCCAGAGTCAGCTGAACCTTTACGTAAGGATCTACAAACAGTGAGAGACATGTATTTAAGACATCTGTGAAAAAAGATGAAACCTGATTCCACCATTTTGATCCAGACTCAAATATTTCAACAACCATAGCGAGATCTAAGGCAAAATTTGGTACAACCATTCATATACTCCAGAGGATGAATCTTAGCAATTTTGGTCATCCTCTGACTTAAGCTCTAGCGCCCCCAGCAGGTCAAAGTTTGTACTCTTGAAGGTTTCGTCAAACCTGAGCTCCCTCCGATGTCCATGCTTTTCAGGTTTTTGGCCTCCAGGATCACCACAGTCAGTTTGCCAGAGGTGGGGACGTAACGCAGGGAGAAGCAGACCTCACCGAGGCTCCCATCCTGCAGAGAGAGTCATCGAAGAGCTTCAGATATACACCGAATATTTTAAAATACTCATCAATTCATCAAAAAAGTTAAGACTCTGGAAAAATGTCACGAAAAACGAGTTGGATGATGTTCTTAAATATTTTGTAGCCCATTATCAATCGACAGTTGCCATAGAAAGATCATTTAGATTTTTCCTCTAGAAAACACCACGATGATCTCAAGGACACCAAGAGTTAAAAAAAACAATGGAGGACGTAGAAAACCTCAAACTTGGAGGCCTCTTCCAGGTCCTGCCACTCCTCGATGACGTGGTTCCAGTCGACGTTGCAGAGCTGTACCCGGAGCTCGCCGATGATGCTGTGTTTGGAGAATCTGTTGAAGTCGAACACCTGCATCACCACCGTGGACTTGAGGAGGGCGGTCTTCGTCATCTAAGGAGACATCACTCACCTCAGGACTCAAGATTTTGCTCTTTAATGCTTTTATTAAAACATCTCATGAATTCTCGTAAACTTCCTACCTGGAAGCTGAACTTTTCGTTGAAGACGGGGTTCAGTGTGTTCCTGAAGACTTTTGTCTCGCAGGTTTTGGTTTTGTCAGGGCTGATGTAGACTTTGACGTACGGGTCCGAGCTTCCCCCGAGGTCCATGGCCTTCAGGCTGTTGGCTTGTTTTATCCCCACAACGACCTGGAGAGAACAAATAAAACAGTCCCCTGTAGTTCGGAGTTGTTCATGCTGCGATATCACAGGTTTACACGTTAAATCTGAAGTTAAATCACCTCAGACTGAGCGGAGTCGTAGTCCAGAGAGTAGAGCAGCTTTCCTCTGTACTTTCTGGACGAGCCGTAGTCCACATCATTCACATCGGGCTGAACCTAAATACGATAAAATATACGAAAATATATGATGGAAAAACCAGCAACAGCTCAATTAACTCACAGCAGTTTCCACCTTCTCATAACAATATGAATATCACCCTTCATGTAGGACCTTTTGAGAGATATGAGACTTTTTGGCCACTGGGGGGCAGCAGAAACAAGAAAAACAACACTGACTTTTTCATTTACTTTCAAACGTTCACAGGAATAACTTTGTTTTCTTCACCGACTGAACTCTAACAGCTGTGAAACATGAAACAACGTCTACAGTTTTCAGTTTTGCAGCTCTCTTTATTTTACGTCTACGTCGATCAACCACCACTGCTCACGATCTCTCACCAGAGGCCGCCGCCACTCACCAGAGCCGTGGTCGTCTTCCCGTTCACGCCGTCCAGGTTGATCCTCTCTTGGTCCTTCTTCTTCGGCTGTTTCTTCTTCTTCCTGGTGCAGCAGCACTTTTTGCAGACCCACAGACAGCAGAGCACGATCACGATGAGCCCGAGTGAGAAGATGATGAAAATCGCCCATGGAGGTACTGCGAGGGAACACAGACAGAACATCTGCACGATTCTTACTGAAGGATGATCTGTTAGTATGTAACCAAAGGTGACCATGCAGACTGAGAGGCATCGTTTTAACCAGGTCTATTACTGTGTTCAAGTTGTTCTCGGAAGTCGGAATTTCTGAAGTTGGATTTCTGACTCGGAAAGTCTGACGATCTTCGCCAACCGTCATAATCCAAGATGGCAGCACAGTGCATCAACAGTAAAAAGTAACAGTGAAAGCTCTCATAATGTTTTATTTATTAGCACTTCTGTTTCGTTTTTGTTAAATTAAATAAGTGGTTTATGTTGTCCTGCCCAACGTCTAACTGTGAACACGCTGCTGTGGTGTTTGTAAGAGTAAAATACTGTGTTATTCGTCGTTTACAGCTGGTATAGCTAACAACAACTAATAACAGCTAACAACAGCTGACAGTAGGCGTCCATCTCGGTTTTCTGACTTGTTTACTAAAACGCCGTCAGCTTGAGTGTAACATCATTCCCAGCTCCGACATCCAACTAACCAAGGTAACTAGAACGCAGCATATTACTGGACCACATGGAGGAGGAAGGTGGTAGCAGACTTACAGGGGATGTCCTTCAGCAGGCCGTTGAGGACGCCAACAGCTGGGTGGACGGTGGTGTTGGTGTGAGAGGAGGTGGTGGAGATGACGGTGGCGGGAGGAGACAGGGATGGCGGAGGAGAGGAGCCCCGTGATCGACGGATGATGGGCATGATGATGAGGATGGAGGGCGGGGCTCTGGAGGAGGGAGGAGAGGAGAAGTTTTCATTTGAGCTAAAACCGGATGATGGATGTCAGCGAACAGGACTGAAGACGACTCCTGAGGATGGCAGAGAAACCAACCAAACTGGGGATACTCGGAGGAATCACCGATTCTCTCAAAATGGCTGTCTGTCTTTTCTTTAAAGAATGGCGTTATGTCGTTAATAAGAACTTAAAAACTGTTTTAAATACAAAATACAAGCAAATATTTGATTAAAAATGTGAGTCAGGAGTTAGTAACTCTCAGTTTTTTGTAAACCAGTCTACTCCGGGTCGAGTATTCGCTCCCTGTGGTTCCAGTTTTCCTGTTTTTGCGAAGGTTTGTTTTTCTTTTAAAGCTCCAGAGTGGGAAACAAAACGAAGACCTTCATTTTAATCCTGACTGGACTGATTATGTTTCTGTTAAAGGCGTCAGGCCGTCAGGCCGTCAGTCACAGGTGTGTAATAATGTAGTTGAACACTGTTGACTTACACTGATACTCTCAGCAGCTGAATACAGAGACGGTGTCAGACTTTAGAGGTTATCAGACGGTGTTTGTTCATGGCGGAGTTTCCACTCACTCAGTCAGAGTTTAATCACTCTGTTTGATTGTTGTCGCGGAAACAAACCAGAAAACCTCTGTTTCAGTGTCCCATGGTGAGGAGAACAACAACAACGATGGTGAGGGCGGCCATCTTTATTTTGAACAAACAAATTTGAAAGCTGTTCTGTCTGTTCCAGGATTAAACCGCTGGACTGGTTTTACATGAACAGAAAGTGGTGCCGGGACACGTGCAGCGGGTCGGAGCTCTGTTTTTAAAGGACCAAACCAAACAAAAACACCTGCAGGAAAACCTCAACGCTCCACCTCCAACCAAAACATAACACAAGCTGCTCCTGACGTCTCCTAGATAAAGTTATAAGAGGAATATTTCACTTACTAGTGATGGCGCCCCGTCAAACTCTGACCTGAGGACCGGCTGAGACTAAAGAGACGAGTTAAAAAGTCTCGTTATGAAGAGGAAGGAGGTGACGCTCAGCAAAGGCCGGACCCTCACTTTTCCTAAAACAACCCGGCTTAGAGTGTTTGATCACAGAGAGGAAACGTCGCCTCCCTCAGTCTCTTTTTTACAGTAATGAGCAGGAAACACACGTTAACAGTCCATCTGAGGCAGCAAGACTTAAACTACCAAAAACATCCTGATCTGGAGCCGAAAAACTGGAGTCAGAGCTCTTATTTATAGACCCACAGAAAACCAGACTGGTCCTCAGATTATTCACTGATCAGGACCCGTAACTGACTGACTGATCAGTGAATAACTGAGTAAGGTGCCTGTTATCTGGGTACTGCTGGAATTTTCACATGAAGTAAATTTAAATTCAACTTCATTTTTATGGTCCTTTACAGACACAAAATGCAACAATTAAACAACAATAAAACCTGAACCTCCCACTCATACACCCACCCATGGACCCACACACACACACAGACACACACCCACCCTCACTCACCCACACATACACACACACAAGTGCACACAGAGTGAGAATTTAAGATATATTGTTAAAGAGACACGGCCTGACACTGAGACATTACGTGAGGAAAGAGCTACCTTTGGGAAACACTGGAGATAAAAAGACGAAAATAAAATGGTAAAAAGAAAGAGTAAAACCTGATGGACAAAAACAAGAAAATATGAACAGATAAGTGAGAGCTCTTTACCATGTAAAAGGGGTAAAAGAAGTAAAAACCTCTGACGGGAATTAAGAAGAGGACTGAGAACAGAGATAATTAATAAAATGACATAGAACGTTAGCTTCGATCTCTGTCGCTTCGTCCACCAACATGTTGTAAAAATTACACTGTGGTTTGATTTTAGTGTCATATCCTGCCTCCTGAACCGAGCGACAACCTCCGGTCCCGAAAAATGAAGCTAATGCAGAACTGCAGTTCTTGAAGTGTCCACCAGAGGGTGGCTCTGGAAGCACTGAAAACCACATACACACACATTCAATATGTTGGCATGTTATTTGAAAATCAACTGACTGAAAATGGACTTTATAATGTGCAGACACATCAGTGCGACTGAAATTTTCATTTTTGTTTTTGTTTTTTTGTATTTGAGGAAATATAACAGTGTAAGAGTTCAAACTAATTAAGGGCAAAGTTGCTGAACTTGTTGGTGGTGGTGGTGGTCTTGTCTTCCCCTGTAGGTATTCCAGTTCCCATAACCACCCACTCACTGTACACTTTCTGCTCCTGATCAGTCAGTACTGTCTGACTCAGCAAACTTACATTTTACCCGTCCAATCCAGACCTGAGTATATTAAGCGCTCTGTCAAACTGTTTTCATGAAGTTAGAAGACCGCTACCTGCTACTCTCTGATTATTCGGTGCCACTTTTAAATGGTTTTAAGTGGTTTTAATCATCAGTTAGCCGCCTGAAGAACAAGTTAGCTTATTTGAGTGTCCACAAACAGCCTGAAGCTGTTGACACACTCCTCACATGTTCACGCAGGAGCAGACAAAATAAAACAACTGTTATTTTTAGTTGTTTGGATTTAGTGTGAATTAAAAAAAGAAAATCCACCAACCAATGTGCAACACCCACCTATAGTTAATAAGCCGTAAAAGGAGCATCATCTGAAGGAAAATAGAGGACAAATAGGAGGTGGAAGAAGAGAGGATGGAGGAAAGAAAGCTGAGAGAAGAAATAAAGGAGCGAAAGTTTGAAAAAAGTTTAGAAAAGGGGGAAATGGTCGAGGAAAAATTAGAACTGGGAGGAGGACCAATAATGATTCAGAAAAATGTTTTTATGTAGAAAAATAAGAGTTTTAGACAAACGGAGGAGTGAATTTGGCCTCAGAGGAGACAAAAGTGTCTGCTGAGTTTTAGAGATTAAACCACAAACAGAAGAAATGTTTCCACAACTGCACGTCAAAAAACAACCAGAGACACTTTTTTAACATCCACAGACTCACAAAGTGACACGAGGATAAAACTTGGTATTGTCACACACAGTTATACTTTTCTTAAAACACTAACTAATAAAGGTTAAAAAAAGGAGACGTTACCTGAGTGTAAGCGGGAGCCTTTGTGTCCAAACTTTATTTAAACTTCATTTCTTCTGCGTTTGTTCAGTCGGCTGTCGGATCTGTTTGTTTCTGTCCTGCTGAACTTCACCCGGCCATCTTCAACTATGAAAGTCTTAAAGTGAGTCCACTTGGCCCTGCAGGAGCCACCACACCTGCTGAGCACACACACACACACACACACAGCGTTTCCTCTGTGCTCGGTGTTCAAACAGAGGTGGAGTCGCTGCTGCTGCTAAAATACCTGTTATTCAAATATGTGTCACCGCTGAGAACAAGCTGCTGAGACCAGAATCAGGTCTGTCTCTTTAACTTCAACAGGAGTGGACTCTCTGCAAGATTTAAGGGCAGTTCTGTGTTTTTTCAGACATTTTTGCAAAATATAAAAACTTAAAGGGAGATATAAAACTACACCTGAGTCCCAGTCTTTTTTCCTTCAGATCAAAACAGCTAAAACCAAACTGAGAGTTAAATTCAGCGTCAAACTTTTAACCTTTGTTTGGCGTTCAGGTCAGAATTAGAGATGAAGCCTCATGAAGCTCAGGATTCACTGATTCAAACTCAGCGAACACAGTGACATCTGGTGGCCTGAAGGACTAATGACAGTCCTCTGAATGAAGATCTGAGACTCCAATGAACATCTTTGTTAGATTAACATGAATCCTGACAGGATGAGGAAAAACCCGGACAACTACACAACATCATCATGCTTATGGTTTAAGATCACCAGCTCTGCTGCCGGTGCACGGGTTGCAGGACAGGTCGCTGCTCTGCTTAGAGACGGTTGGGGTCCAGTAGCTCCTCAGGCGGCCCTCCCTCCAGCCTGAGATGGACTCTAGCACTTCTGCCACAGTGTCAGCAGGCGTCTTCTCAGAAGTGCTAACGTCGCTTTTGCTGTTCGGACTTACAGTTGTGAGGTTTTGACCAATCAGAGTCAAGTATTTAGCACAGCCAGGTAATAAAGTGGTCCCTGGTTGGACCCCCTTTTGCACTCAGAACTGTCTTAACTCTTTTGTCACACATTTTCTACAAGGTGTCGGAAACCCTCCTCAGAGATTTGCTGCAGATTTGATGATGTGATTGTCCCCTCCCTCCACGTCCCAAAGGGGCTCTACTGGACTGGGATCTGAGGTCTGTGGAGGCCACCAGAGTACAGCGAGATCACGCTGTGGGGTTTGAGGTTTGAGGTTGAGGTTTGTTTATGGCTCCTCAGACCGCTGTGTATTGTTATCCTGCGGTCGTTATTAAAGTTGGTATAACTAGAGAAGTAAGCGGTCGGCAACATTCATCTCTGAAGGGGGTGTCTAACTCGGTGTTACGGTGTGTTTGACCCTAAATTAATTTTACACCTGAATATCCCTTTAAACAGCGGACCAAACACCAACACTGGTTAGTATTCACGTTACAAAATAAAAGGTTTCCACAAATGTTTTATTTAACTGATACTGCATTTATTGGTTTAAATGAAATTATAAGCCAGAGCAACCATAGTCAATCACAGTGACGTAATCAGAGCGGGAAACGACTTTCAAACGTCGTCATGACTGAATTTAACCAGCTTTTCAGGGTTCAACCAACACTCAAAGTTTGACACCAAACTGCAGCTCTCAGGGCACAAACCAGTCATGTAGTCGTAGACCTCAAAGGTGCACTGAGGCATCATGCTTACATCCAGTGTTACTCACAGACACTCATTGTGCGTTTTGTCCTTCTTGCATTTCCTCCCTCATACATCGTTTTGAATCGATCATTGTTCATCATGAGCTAGATGGTCTTCTCTGATAAATTAGTCGTCTTTTTTCTACATTATTGTTTAACTGGCAGATTAAATGAAACCAGCAGCATGACTGAAGGGTGGAACTCCTTTAAGGGCCTGTGTCCACTGACAGCATTTTTACCCTGCAGGGCCTGTTTACAAAATGAACCCAGCACAGTTCAGCGTCCTCAGCACAGAGCCACCCTCAGAGGAAAGAGGCAGGGCTTAGGATATCTACAACAACAGTGGGCGAGAAACCAAGCAGACTTTTTAAAGCACAGTTTTCAGGTCTGTAGCCGCTGCTAATGCTAGGTTACAAATATTTTTGTTTGTTTTATGTTTTCTTTGTTAAATGTAAGCGAGTAAAAGCAAAGAATTTCAAACATACTCAAATGCCAGGAAAGCAGAGGTGCAGCCGGCAGCTCTGAAACTGAGTTTGTGGAGGTCGCCGGCAGGTGGACACAGGCCCTAAGTTCTCACAGGTGGATGTGTTATAAGCAGACTTGAGTTCTTTTGTGAAAGAGAGGGAGGTCAGTGACATTCATGTTGAAGTCTATAAATATACATCATTATTTAGGTATTTTTTAAAGTAGAAATTACACAGAAAACTCTAAAGTTGCCGCCTCAGTGGTTGAATCAGGTTCTCCATGTCTGAAGGGTGGACTCTAATTATTGAAGACAATATTCAGCATCCAGCCAATAATAATGTACCAATAACTGATAAAATTAAGTGATTATAAAGTGCACTACTTTAGCTGATGTCTCCACTCTGCCTCATCTAATGTCCCGCCCACAATACTTTCTGATTGGCTGGACATCGCTCGTTATTTTACTTAGTCATGAGCGTAACTGGTGAACTGTTTAATCCTGTTTAGGATATTAATAGTTTTAGTTTCAACATTCGTCAAAGTTATTAAAACAAAGTTTTGTTTGAGCATTTGTAATATCGAACAGCTGAAGGAACCAGAACTGGTTAAATAACGTATGAAAAAGTTCAATCAAGCTATTTGTTTCAATAGTTCATCATCTGAAAACCTTGGGATAGTCGCATCGGGGTAAAATCTGAGCACAATCCTGGTTAAAATGGTCTTATTATCAATCATATGATCAAGATGGAACTAACTTATTATTATCATCATTAGTGTGACTTGAGTACATTTTTTTTCCTCAACATCGTCGTCAAAATCAGTTAAAAGAGAGTCGGTAGATTCAGTCAAAGATCGACTTTAAGTTCAGCTTTTAAGGGGTTTTAAGTTTTTATAGTTTCCCGCTCTGATTACACGTCCTACATGTCGTGTTTTTTCCTTTGTACACTGTAAAAAAACAGAAAAACAAAAACACCACCCTCTTCCTTTACAAGAGAACCTCAGCCAAAGTAATATTTATATCTCTATGTACTGTTTTTGCGGAAGAACCGTCTGCCGGGATCTTTTGAAACTATGTGTTTGTAAAGCAAAAAGACTGATCTGCAGACAGCTCAGTGTTCATGTAGCGCCCAGAGCCTCTTTTTTTTCATTTTATTGAGAACATTTAAATAACATTAGAACTAAATGTGGTACAGTTGGGATGTACACAGAGGAGCATCCCACTGAAGGTGAGTGAATGTTGAGACGCAGACACACACACACACAGTTTCCTGATTCTCCTCTGTTATGTACACTGAAGGTGCGACAGCGGCCAGTGGATCAGAAGTTGATGGCTTTGCCGAAAGAGGCGGCGAGGTTTGCTTCTCTGAAGGCCTCCGACACCGTCTGCAGGAGGAGGAGGAGGAAAAGAGGAAGTTTAATGGTCTCTACTTGAATTATTACAAAGGTTTACCCAATCCTCCCCTGGTATAAACTAAGTATTCTGATTCACAGTTGGAGGTGTATAATTACAAGTAAGATTTGCATTTTTACTCAAAAAGGAGACGGTGAAGAAAAGGAAGCAGGCAGGAAATTCATCTGAGTTTTGTTTGTTCTTTTTGTGCTGATTTCAAAAAGATTTGATCTCAGATTTCTAACTTTTTTATAAAAGTTTTATAAATAAACTGTGGTTTTGATTTTCTTTTATCTGTGTGCGATATGCTTTAAATAAAGTAATGCGACTGCTGCAAAAGAGACTCTAAGACAAGCAAACTCCATGAAAAAACACAGGACTTCATGTGAGCTGTAAAACTGTCAACCCGAGCAGGACATTTGCATGGAGTGAGGAGAAGTCTAACTCTCCTCGGGGTTTTCAGGAGGAATTTGTTTTTTAAGCAGAAAGTTCCTGTTTCTTTCTCTTTTTTTTCATGAATTTATTATGTTACATAAAACACACCAAGATGATCAGTTTTAAGGATGAACCTGATCCTGAAATATCTGTTTTATTGGCACTGTTTGACATTCTTTATGCAGTTTGATCTCCGCCTAAATCTGAGGTTTATAATGACCTTAAAATGAACTAAAACCTCATTTGAGTTGTGTGTGTGTGTGTGTGTGTGTGTAATAGCAGGACTCACAGGATGGGCGTGGCAGACTCTGGCGACATCCTCACAGGAAGCACCGTACTCCATGGCCAAAGCAGCTTCATTGATCATCTCTCCTGCCCCCTGCAGGCAAAACACACAAACAACAGCTTTAACTGGGTCTTAATTTCTAATCAAAATCATTCACTCAGATTTATTGTTATTACATGTCTGAATTTAATACCAAATTCTGATTGGTCAATTATGACATGCTGAGGTCTGTTATTTCTCTAGAACACAGGTTGCTATGGAGAACAGGCTGTTGCTAGGGATGCAGTGCATTAACTCCTGATGGTTTGTTGTGGCAAAACCAAGCTCCTTACTCGCTAGAATGTTAAATGTGGTACCAGGGTTAAAACTCTGATACGTTTTAATTTTCTAACATTATTTTCATGCCTGATGGTGTTTATTGAACATTGTCATGTGATGTCGGACTCTTACCGATCCGAGGATGTGAGATCCCAGCATCCTGTCTGTCTCCTTGTGGCTGAGGATCTTCACCAAGCCGTCGGTGTCGGCGTTGGTCTTGGCTCGGCTGTTGGCTGCGAAGGGGAACTTACCGACTTTGTAGGGGACGCCCTGAGGAGGAGAGGCGGGACTTTAAAACACTGACGAACACGCATCATCCAGTTCATCATAAGCCGTTATATCTACACTGAATTCAGCTGCTTTAAAGTTACGACTCTCACCTCCTCTTTCAGCTGCTCCTCGGTCTTGCCCACCCAGGCCACCTCAGGGTGTGTGTAGATAACGGAGGGGACGCAGTTGTAGTCGATGTGCACGGCGCCACCAGCCATACCCTCTACACAGATGATGCCCTCATCCTCAGCCTTGTGGGCCAACATCGGCCCGGCAACCACGTCACCGATGGCATAAATACTGCAGGAGGAGAGGGAGAACCAAAACACATACAGTGAGGAACATCAGAACACGCCAACATCCCGTGATCCCTGGTTGATGCAACATCATTCGCACTCATCAGGAGTTCCTCTTTGTTGGTTCCTCTCTTTCATACAGGGTTATGGCTCCTGTGCTGGATTCACAGATCTGGATCGTTCTCATCCAAATTCTGACCTCTTGAGACTGGGCCTACCTGGGTACTTTGGTCTGGAATCGGTTGTTGATGGGGATGCGACCTCTGTTGTCCAGCTCGATGCCCACAGACTCCAGACCCAAGTTCTGGGTGAAAGGTCGTCTGCCGATGCAGACCAGCAGCACGTCACAGGTGAGCGTCTCGTTCTTTCCTCCAGCTGCAGCCTCCACTCTGAAACACAAACACACATAAATGGGACGTGTGTTCACTCCAAAAAGACTCAAGAGAACGGCGCGAGGATTCAGGAGGATTTCACTCACGCCACGTCGATCTTGCCGTCGGGCCTCTTGGTGGCTCCCATCACTTTGGTGCTGAGCTTGAACTTGAGGCCTTGCTTCTGCAGGATGCGCTGGAAGTTCTTAGAGATCTCCATGTCGATGCCCATACCGCCAACGTGACCCAGGAACTCCACAGCTGTGACTTTAGAGCCCAGACGCTGCCACACTGACCCCTGCAGGATGGGAGGACGAATATTTTAACCATCAGTTCATGATGTTATCGGCCTACTGCGACTCTCAGATATCAGCAAAAATCCGATCTCCTGCTTCCCTCATTTATTTCTGACTTAACTAAGAATCTTTGAATGTTGTAATCTTGGTATAAAACAAAACAAACACATGATTTGGTTTGACGTAGTGACCCTGGTTTAGAGTATTCCCTACCAGCTCGACTCCAATGACTCCGGCTCCGATCACGATCAGCTCTTCTGGAACTTTCTTCAGGGACAGAGCTCCTGTCGACGACACCACGCTCTCTTCATCGATCTGAAAAAACAAAAAGCACTTAAGGTTGTAAATCTGTTAAAAAAAGCTTAACTTTAAGTTCTAGTCTTTTGAAGGTAAACAACTTTTAAATAGCCGAGACTTCATGAGCTGACTTTGATATTTTGTTTTGTGTATTTGTGAAAAAGCTGGATAGACTAACTAATTAAGAGATAATTATAATTATTTTTAGAGTTTTTGTTGTCTGCCTGTTTCTCTCTTTGAAAATAAAAGCTTTTAATTCGTCTCTTTGGCTTCATTTAACTCTGACAGCTGTGAGCAGGAAGAGCTGGTGTACCTGGATACCAGGGAAAGGTGTGACCTCGGAGCCGGTGGCGATGAGGATGTTTTTGGTGTTGATGACCTGCTCGCCGCCATCTGCTGTCGTAGCCGTCACCTGGTTCTTACCACTCACCCTCCCAAAACCGTTGACATGGGTCACCTGAGGGAGGGGGAAACTTAGTCATCTGTGTCTTTACTGAGTGAAGGAAGATGAATTTATAACAGAGGGAGAGAGAAAGAGGCCGGACTTTGTTTTGTTTGAATAGATGTGCGATTCCTCCGGTCAGCGCTTTGACCGCCCCGCTCTTCTGGGCCATCATCTTCTCCAGGTTCAACGAGATCCCTGAAACTGAGACACACACACAACATAAGTTATGGGTTTTATCCTGAGGAGGGCGCTGTCTGGTGAAAAGAGAGTGTATAAACAGCTTCGTTGGTACTTTTTCATTTACAACTTTTTTTTTGTGAAGTTGTCTGATTTTATCTGAAATTCTTCTGGTTTTCTGGTTTCCACAAAATTCAGGACAATTGGGAATCTGGGGTCTCTTTTGATCAGGATTTGGCTTTGAACTCCGACCAAAATCCATTTTCACCTCCTTATATCTCAAAAAAACAAAATCAGACATCCTGTCTAAGAATAATGAAGAAAATCCCCGCCATGCATCTGTAACCTATTGATTTGGATCATTATAATTCACTTTCATGGAGGTCTCTAAAGACTCTTCAGCTGGTCTGAAACACTGATTAAAACCGTGTAAAGACACCATCTCTCTCCTGTATCAGCTTCTCTATGGAATCCAGTTAAAGTTTTAAAACCTCTTTCACCCCGGTTAACTTTGGCAGCTATTTTTTTTTTTTAGATTAAGTCTCAGTCTTTGGACTAAAGTGCCTTTTAGTCACATTTTAGTCATTTTCAGCCACCGTAGTTTTGGTCCACAAAACCTTAAAACATTTCAATCGTTACTTTTAATCAGGATGTTTAAAAGCTAAAGGACATAAATGCAAATTAACAGGATTTTAACCCTGAGTTGTCTGTAACACCTCGTTTATCTAGACACCAAAACTCTTTGGTTGCACAGTTGAGATCATCTTAAACCTGTTTGACTCTGACAGCATCATTATTCCACTATAAGGTTTCTGCCTGTTAAAGGAAAGTTTTTCTCGCTGCTGTGACTTGCTCAAAGTTACAAAGTGCTCTAAATATGATGAATAAAGATTCGATAAAACTGAATTACACCTCATCCTGATGTCTCTCAAAAGTCTGTCAGATTGAACACAAATGTGAAAAACAAACAACAGTCTTGGACATGGGCAGTCACTTTTTTCTTACTTTCGATGCCTCTGCTTTCAAAGTCTTTGCCGTGAGCCAAGTGGTAAAGGTAGGAGTTGTTCAGCAGAGCCTGAAAACACAAAACATCAAACCAGTGAAAACATGTGTGTCACATTTGTCGCTCTCTTTCTGTTGTTGTTACTGTAGCCTGAATCTCACAGCATGTGAATGTGACAGTATCTCAAACAACCCTCTGGACTTGTTTCCGCTTCTCCATCTGAGTCAAAGCTCAACTCGCCTCAGTGATGAAGAAACTAAACTCCGCAGATATGTGATTAACAAGACGATAGAAATTTTCTTTCACTGCGAACACCAGGAGAAAACTGTGTTGTTTTAATCATTCAAACACATTTTACCTTTGAGGGGATGCAGCCGACGTTCAGACAGGTCCCGCCCAGCGTGGCGTTTTTCTCGACACACACTGTCTGTCAGAGAAAAACACGTGTTAAATCTCTCAAGCTCTGTGTTCTGAATTTACGATTATGGACTTTTTAAAAAAATATGATCCACAAAATGAGACTCACTAAAAAACATGTAGGTTAACCTTTCTGAAGCCTGAGAGTTTAAACACTTTTACAACCTTAAAACTTCAAAACTGAATTAAAAATATAGAGTTTATGAATGCAGAAATCCTGCAGCCATTATATGCCACTACGCATCTATGTGATCATACCTCTTCTTTTTGGACTCAGACATCAAATCATCAGGACTTATTTTCACTTAATTGTCCTGGTTTGATTTTCATCCCTGCATCAAGTTATTTAATGATGTTAAGAAGACATCTTATCATTCAAAGTGACATAAAATCCCACATGAACACGCTGCCACCTCTGTTAAACTCTCTTTTCGCTCATTTCTTCTGAGCCAATCAGGGAGCCTGGATTTACCTTGAAGCCCAGCTGTGCAGCTTTGATGGCAGCGACATACCCGCCCGGACCGGAGCCAACCACTGTGACGTCTGCATCGACTGTGGAGAGGAAAAACACCAACGTCGTACATGCTTTTCACAAACACTGTGAGATTTTAAGACTTGTTTTAAGTAAAAGACCAAAAGAAGAGTTTGAGTCACTTTGTAAGAAAAGGGGGAAAGTCTCCTCACATCAGGAGGTCACAGTCACTCAGAACGCCTCAGCTCAGGACGGTCGAGGGTTCAAACCGCTCCTACATGTCAGCATTTCTATTTGTTATTGTCTGTTTTATGTTGATGTCAATCTCAGAACCAATAAGCTCTTTTATTTCACTCTTTAAATGATTTTTTTTCAGGCTCTCTGTCATTATTTGGAACAGACAGGACAGTTGATAGAGTAGGGAATGGGGAGAGAGAGCAGAGAGGGACATGCAGTAAAGGAGCTACAGGTAAGAATTGAACCCGGGTATAGGGTGCCCCTTCCTAACCATGAGTGCAGACCCCTGCAGCATCCTGCAGTTCTCGTTGTGAAGGTGAAAACATGGTTTACATGATCTTCAACTCCTTTAACTCCACAATTTCAGGTAAATCTAGAAGGATCACATCCCTCATATATTTCTTAATCCATTATTTCTCCAGCACCTGTTCAGCTGTTTCAGGTGAGTCCCAGATTCACTGTTAATAGTAAGTTATACGGAGGCTTCACTCTGGCGTCCTCAGGGGTACAAACTTGTAAAATGAACTGATTTAAATGTGATTTTCTCATGATTTTACTTTTTATTTTTTCATTTGGTTTATGTAAAAGGGGCAAATACAAATTACATAAAATAACTTCTGCCTGTTACAAACAAACTGCAGTGACTGATGTTTCGTATATAGAAACTATAAACACTGCTAGTTTCCTACTCTTGGTTAATTAAAAGCGAAAAAACTATAAAGATTGAATAAAATAACGTGTATGATCACAAATGTTCAAAAATGACAAAAGAAGAGCATTTTATTTGCTAAAATAACAAAATAATGAAGCAGATAAGTAAAAAGTGAAGCTCTGTCCTCAACTTCTTAAGAGTTTGACAGGAAACTTTGACTTTTGCAAGAGTGACACACAGATTTGTTGCTCAAGTTTGACCTAAAATAAGTTTCAGCTGCACTTGCATTGAGTTATCTGTTTACAGAGATAATTAAACTCTTGACATTCAGAACCAGTAAACGGGTATAAATGACAGAGGCAGCATCTTGGAGACCTTGGTGTTGACCCAAAATGACCCACAGCACAGGCAGGGTGATAAAAGGATCCTGATAAGGGATCACAATAAAGCTTCTGCTTATACTTCTTATGAATGCTATCATACTGTAATACTTGCATAATCAGCCATTATTAAATAACATTATATTATTAAAAATAAATTAGTATGAATGCATTTTTCTTTGTAATAAATACATAAAGTCTATTTCACTGTCCTCTACTACTAAGAACTGCAAAAACACCAGATGTGTTATTAAATCACCACCAACGACCATCAAATGTTGGGCTAAAGTTCACCTGAGATCAGACCACTAATGAAACCAAATGATAAGCTCCACAGTTATCTTACTTGCTGCTTTGTCAGCGTAGGTTCTGACGGACACAGCTGCAGCTCCATGCAGTTTGCAGGGAAGGTGGTGGCTCCGCTGTGAGAGGACAACAAACAGAGAGAGAGAGAGAGAAAAAACACCTTAACTAGGAAATCAAACAAAATGACTGACTGAACATCACTTGATTAAGTCTACTTCTTTGTACAGGCTAAGTTCAAACTTTTTATGGTATCAAAGTAAGTAATATCATTTGCCATATCACAGTATAAAACTTGACAACCTCAGTGAATACACAACAGTCTATAACCAGAGCTAATAGTCATCTGTAAAGCTGGGTACCAGGGGCGCCAGCATGTTTATACACCCTTACTAGATGGCAACTGACTCCCCCTGTGTCCTAGAGATGATCATAATTCATATTCCTGGTTACAAGTAAAATAATTGGGCATAATAAAATCTTTTAACTCCTAACAGTGTGAGAAAACTGTGACATATCCTGTAATAGTTAGATAACTACAGCTGAGCTAATTGCTTTAGTCTGCCAACATGACACGTAAAGTAGAGCTGTCAACTGAGTTTCCAGAACTGTTAAACACTTTAACTATTTAAAAAAAAGTCAGAAAACGCTACAATAAAACGTTTAGACAGCGTACACATGACAGTAGATATTTAGTTAGGTCTTAACATAATCTGATAACCTGAACGTCAGTGTAAATATCCATAAAACTTGTAATCTTTACTCGCTTGTGGGTCTTTTCCGGACGAGGATCAGGCCGAAGTAAGAGGACTAACCTGAATAATGATCGGTATTCATGACATGCCTGTGCGGTCTCATGTTTTTCATCATTATTGTAAACAAGTTTAAACTGAATGAACTGTCAGTGAAGTCTGGTAAAGCTGTAAGCCGAACAGTTAGCATTAGCTGAACCACTAGCCAGGCCTGCGCCGATGGTATGAAAATAATGCTCTCTATAAGACCAACAACCACGGAGAACAGTTTTAAACCGGTCCGGACAACAAATGCTTTTGAGTCAGATTATTAAATCCATTCTTACCGTGGCCAGGGAGCGGTATAACTGAGTCCAGCTCTGCATTTTCTCTGTGTCCCCTCACAGGTTCAGTAACCTACAACAGGCAGGCCAGCCAAGGACTCCTGTCATTGCGCAAGCGCAGTATCAATGCTTTAAAAACAACGCTGTTCGTCGCCGCTGTGTGACGTCTGTGATTGCGCAAGCTGAGAACACGAAAAATGTAATAATTTCACGAATATTTTAAGTTATATTTATTTCCTCTTTCTTATCGTTGACGCTGTTGAACTACATTTGTCTTTTTTACACGTCTCAAATATTTGTTGTACACATAGTTTCTCAGTGTATGGTAAAATTATGTGATTCAATACAATAAAAATTAACAAAATTAAACCTAACAAAATTAAAAAGAATCTTTTTTTTTTTAATTTAAATTAATGACAATATATTCTCCAAAAGTAAGGCATTATATCTATGAGAAATGGATTGGGTTAATTTGATTTAATTTAAAATACATTTTTAATTTCTACACATTTTATCAATATTATTTTCAATTGCTAATGCTAATTTTACCTTACTTTTTTTTAACTTAAATCTTATAATGTATTCTTTGTATTGAATTTATTTCATTCTATTGTATTTCTTCTTTATTTATTTAGTTTACAGATGTTGTGTTTTAGTAACATAACATCAGTGGTAGACTAAGTGTACAGCATAATTGTTTTAATCAAAATGTATATATTTTTGTCAAATATTACACTAATTAAAGTGAAAGTTGTTCAGTAAAATCATTTGGGGAGAGTGGGGTAAGATGTGCTAATTTTCATATTCCCAATCACTACATCAAGACAATCCTAGTTTTGTCTCTAACTAGTGTATCTGCATATATTTCAAGATGTTGTTCATCCCTGCAAACCAACAGAATGAGTGTAAACATAACTGTCTTGATAATATAGCATGACAAAAAAAAAGTGGTCTCCTATGGTCAACTTACCTTGTGTATGGGGTAAGTTGAGCCATATCCCTACTACCCCCCCACTCTCCACCCCAGCCCTCCCTCACCTTCTCTCTCCCGAAATAACAGTCACTTCTTCACATTCATGTGTATTTTTATCTATTATACATTATTCAACTAGTACAATAATTCTTTTTATTGTTATTGCAAATAACAGTTAAAAAGCTGTTTTGTAAAAAGTCATTTTAACATTAGAATGTCTTTAAGTGATTCAGAACATTCACAGCTGTATTTTTGAAAAGAAAAAGTAACACATTTCAACAATCTGAACTGAAACTCTGATCCTCTCATCAGACTTCTTTACTTTCTCAGTTACCCCAGAACTACTATGATGACTTTATTAGTCCTCTAAGCTAAAATTGTGGACTTTTATGCTAGGTATTTGATCTCATGTTGTAGCTCATAGATACCACAATTGATGTATAAAACAAATTTTAAATGATCTTTTTTTGATCCACCATTTTTAAAATGACCTTTTTTTCTCATGTGCTTCTAACCTTCACAGACTCCATGAATTGATGCCCATCTCCTAAATATTTGGTCATATCAATTTTTTTTTTTTTTACCATTTCCAACAGGGGGTGGCTCAACTTACCCCACTCTCCCCTACGTGTGTTAAAAAAAAAGTGGATTTGCCTGTTAAAAGTTAAAGTAGCCATGGTTAATCAAGACAACCCTCCCCTGAGTTTGGGTAGACCACAGACTGTTTATACTACTACAATATACAGACCCTCAAATTAAGGGGTTGATAACCACAGATATGAACAGGGGGCTGAAGAAATATTCCAGTAATTGCTATGTCCTTTTTCAATCAAATTTTTTAACCAGTAGAAGAAAAAACTGTGCAATAATAAGAATATATGTGTTTTCATCTTTCCTTGTCGTCTGCTAAAAAGCTAGCCCGTTGACACTTTTTATATTGCACAGCTCCCCCCTCATACTTTTGCAAATGGTTCGGCCCGGCCCTGCTCGTAATCTTGGCGGCAGCGCTTCTTCTAGCTAGCAGTGTCGGTGTGAAAAGTGCTGGAGGAGGTATTAAAGCCGATTTTCAACCGCCCGGAAGAGAGTCAGAACTCCAGAAAAACGAAGGATGGCGAAATTGAGAGGAAAGGAAAGAGGACACAGGCTGTCGCTTTTCTCTTTTTTGAAAGAAAGGTAAGTGTAGTCCGGTCGCGGTGGACGTGACGCGGTGAGCGTGTTTACCGTTGGGAGTAATATTCGGGGGCATTTAGCACCACCTGTGGAAAGACTTGAAAACCGATAATAGTGAACGTTTTTTCACCGGTAGGGTTAGGTTTAAGAAAGTGATTTTACGATAATAGCGCAGAATTTACCTGGAAATCTGCTTGTACCACAGATAAGTCAAACATTATTTCCTAATGGCTAATAGTCTGGCATCTGCGGCGGCTGTGTTCTCCCCCTGCGGCGATACGTCAGTGGTTCGCCATCTTGCTGAGGGCAAAACTTCCACTTTAAGCTATGACAGCAGATGTGGAAACTGCGTTTTGTGAAGAAAAAGTGCTTAACAACACTGCAATTAACTTATTTTGATAAAGTATATTTAAACTCAATGATTCAGAATAGACTTTAAAATAGAATTAAGCAGACAATTCAGAGACAATGATAGGAGCAGTTTTTATTTTCTGTTCAGTTTTTCAATGAAAAGTTGCTATCTACAGTCTTTCGGTACACAGAAATTTGTGAACTGAAAAAAATGAAAAATTTTTCTATTACTTTTAAGCTGGTCTCTTGATTTAGTAGATGGATTTTGCAGTTGGGGCTTGTTATTTCTGCATGCATGTTTGAGCTGATTTCACAGTGTCAAAGGAAGGAAAAGAAGTTATGGGCAGAGATGAAATTGAGCCAGAGCACTGGAGCTTAGCTCCGCCTCCTCACCTGGTCAGAATCAGCCAGCAGAAACTGAGCTCCCTCTGCTTCAGTGTGTTATTGTAATTATGCGTGTAGCTACCAAAAATGATTATTTTGGATCCCCATCAATACATCAGCCTGTTCACTCAACGCTGTTTACAGAGCGCGGTGTCAGAGCTTCATAACTGAATCCGTTCTGGTCGTTTGTTGAGATACAACCTGAACCAATGGAACTCCAGTCCACGTTTTCACTGCTGCCGTCATCTTCTCGCATACCACGCAGGTGCACGCATGCATCCTCACACACGGTGCTGCTGACGTACAGAAGGTAGGTGAAGTAACTGTCACAGCAAAATGTTAATTTTGTTCATTTATTAAAACTAAATGTCTGTATTTTTCACCTATAGGTTTCTGTGATAAAGTCTCTTCATAGCTAATGCTACGTTAGCAAATTGTGAAAAGATGAGCAGAGCGAGTAGATTTTATTTAAATAATCGCCCTTCTCATTAGCTAAACGTAGACAAGCTAGTTATGCTAAGTTAGTATTTCCCATTAATCATACATCATAGAAGTGATATTTTATTTGGGGTGAATTTCCAGTTTATAGACTGTTACTTTACAGTCAGTTGTGCTTCAATCCAGTACCAGTATTTACATTTAGTTTAATTTGTTCTTTTTATAAACATGAAAGAATAGATACTGCTCATGAAATAATCATTCTTCCACCTCTCCTGACATCTAGGTTGTAGTTTTGGAGTCAGTGACAGATGCAGGATGTGAAGACAGTGCTGAGATCTTTTGCTGTGGTGAGTAACGTAATGAAAGGGATAAGACAGTTTAGAAAAATTTGTCAATGGGAATATTGAAAGGGAAACATTTCAGAGAGGGCACCCCGACTAAAATGTTTAGCAGCTAATGTAAATTGATTATGTATGCTGTGAATACATTTCACAAATTCCAGTGTAGATTGATGGTGAAATGTAGGGTTGATAATTTATCAATATATGAATGTGAGATATAATCGAGTAGGCAATAGGTTGATAAGATACGTATTAAGCCAATGGTGCAACGTAAAAAAATATTTTGAGAGATAATGGCCACTGAGTGAAGAAGGGCTCCCCCTCCTTACAAAAGCCGATTTAACCACTGGTTATGGGTATTGATTGGATAACATTTGTTAAAAGGTATTTATGCAGTAAATCTGTCCTAAGGTTTTAGAAGTAATGCAGATCATTTGACAGGTAGATAATGATAAACAGAAGGCCCTAACAAGGATCTGGACCTGAGTGAATATGCAAACATCATCAATAATTTCCATTTATTTAATGAAATAATAGTTAATCTGTTTGTGGAAAAGCAACATGTTTTTCTACTCAGTGTGATTGACCGGAGAAATGATCAGAGGGGCAGAGTTTTTACCTCTATTGTTGTTGCAGGGACAAAAGTATGGTAAGAGTTTCCCAGTGAAGGAGCAGGCGGTGAAGGAGTAGATCAGAGCTGCAGCATCAACGTCATAAAAGGAGACCAGACCCTCCTCATAGTCCACAAACACCCACACCTTCTCAGGATCAGACCGCAGACGGAGACGGACTGAAGGGTCAGCAAGAGCTCCATACTCATTTTTATTTCTCAGCCAGATTGTCCAGAAACCATTCTTGGGGGACAATGAAACTCTTACCTTCCTGTTGATGGACTCTCTAACTACTCCTAAATCCCACTCAGTCTTCCCTTTAACCTGAACCTCAAAGTAAAATCTGCCTGAAGACAAACTCTGCTTTGCTAAAACACAAACACAACAATTAAATCTCTTGGGATTGTCTGGTAGATTCTTCTTTACATCGCTATCATAAACTTGTTTTCCATCTTTAGACAGGAGAAGTTTAGGATGTGCTGTATCAGGATCGAGTGTCACATCCACCTCACACTGCTGGACTCTCTTCAGCTCGGCCTCAAACAGCTTCTTCATCAGTTTCCGAAGCGTCTTCCCAGCTGGTCCACAGCTGTCACCACAGCCCCCTCATATGAAGGTGGATGGACTCGGACTTCAGTCCAGTTCTTGGTGGGTGGAGCAGCATTCAGGGTGGTGAAGTTTTGGAGGAGGTGGAGATGGTCTTCAGAGCATGAGAGCTGTTCCAGCTCAGAGCTCCTCTTCTCCAGCTCACAGATTTCCTGTTGCAGCTCTGTGATGAAGCCTTCAGCCTGTTCCTCCGTCTCTCTCTGCTTCTCTTTGATGGTGTGGATGAGCTTGGCCTGGCTTCTCTCTACAGATTCTTTCAGAGCCGTGAAGACCTCAACAACTTCATCGATCTCTCTGTCTGCCTTCTTATGACTGAGCTCCACTGACTCTTTGAGCTCTTCAATCTTAAGTCGTCTCTCTTGGATCATCTGCGGAATTTCAGCCTCTGTCTTCCCCAGCTCGGCCTTCTTTCCTTCATATTCTTCTCTCAGAGGAACAACATCATGGGTCCTGTGGTCTTTAACACTGCAGAGCATGCAGACACACATCTGTTCGTTCTTACAGAACAGCTCCAGCAGTTTGTCGTGCTTCTCGCACATCCTGACTGACACATGAATTGACTGTCTGAACTGAGCGGACATCTCGGAGATGAAGGTGTTGACGTGTAGCTCAGGTTTTGGGTTGAAAACCCTTTTACAGTTTGGACACTGACAGGAGGTGTTAGTCTTCCAGTGTTTAGAGATGCAGGATTCACAGAAGTTGTGTCCACATGGTATGGTGACAGGATCAGTGAAGACATCCAGACAGATGGAGCACAGGAACTGATCTTCAGTCAGCAGACAGCTGGCAGCAGACATTTTTACAACCTGAGGTCAAATTTTTAAAAGTCATATTTTAGTCAAAGAGTTCTCAGTATTATCATATGTATATGTTTATCTTTTTCACAATCTACACAATCTTCCTCACAATTTTACAATGTATTGCGGAGGTGTATGTCAGGCTTCGTTCATTGGGTACATGGCTCTGTGACAGATTAGTGGTGAAATGGATCTTTGTTAATCTGTGATCTGTATGGATGCCTCTCCACAGTTCTGCACACTTGTGGTCCATAGATTGGTTGATGAAAAAAAGTTGTGCATGTTCACGTGAAGGCCATATGTTCAATCCACCCTCACTCATCCACAAGCGTAGCGGTAGTCATGGTTAGCGGAGGACCAGAAGAACCTTCTGCATCAGTTAAGTCGCATGTATGGGAGCATTTTGGTTTTCCTGTAAACTGCAGTGATGATGGAAGTAGGTTGGTGGAAGACGCATTACGGTGTTGTAAGCATTGTGGGATGAGGAAGTGGAATGAGAGTGGACCTACATCGAGCGTGGCCACCAAGTAGGGTGGCAGTACCTTAGGAGGTGGAGTGGTCGTCCAACAACTGGAAGGATGGCAGTTCGATCCCCACACTATCCCTAGTCTGTCTGTTGTATCCTTGGGCAAGACACTTAACCTACCATGCTTCCAGTGTGTGTTCTCCACAGGTGTATGATTCGTATGTACGTTGCTTTGTATAAAAGCGATTGCTAAATGACATTGTAATCTTGTAATTGTAATAAGTTAAAGTGACATCACCCTGATGTGTCAGTGACAGGAGCCAAGATGAAGGCGTCACAAGAACCGCTTTTCATCACGACATTAAATCAGCCCTTTGCTGCGGAATCCAACTGGGCTAAAGCTATTACATAAGCTATTGGGGTGTTCGTTACTGCAGACATGAGCCCACACTCCTATGTGCAAAACAAGGGGTTTAAACAAATGCTGATTGTGCTCGAGCCACATTATGAAATCTCATTACACACCCACTTCAGTCAGACGATCATGCTGAGTCTTTAAGAGCAGGAAAAGACAAAAAGCGTGGTTGAATTATCCCGGGTATCCTCAGTTGTGCTCACCACAGACAGATGGACTGTAAGGAAGATGGACAGCTATGTAACTATGACTGCTTACTACATCACAGCAGAGTGGGAAATAAGAATCCTGCGCTGAAGACACGCCCTCTCTATGAGAGTAACAAAGGCACAAATCTGGCACAGGTACTGATAGAAGCAGTGGCTTAGTGCAAGAAAGAGAGGCTTTTCCGAAAAATCATCCAGTCTGTGACTCAAAACAGTGATACGATCTGAACTGTAGGTTTTTTTGATTGTTGCAACACTATGACCTATGCTACGGTTTAACATAGAAGCACACACCAGCATACTTGCTCAACCAAACACTTTAAAAAGCAGCATATTGTAGTAATTTGAATTATTGTACAATCAGTGAAAAGACAGAAATGCATCAAAATGTGTTTTTGTACAGGAACAGATTGTAACAATAAAATACAGGACATCTTAGAGCTTCTTTATTAATTTACAGTGAAGAACAGGCTTTCATGCTGTAACCGAGGCCTTAGGGAGCAGAGTAATGATTGAATTTATATTCACACTCTAACAGTGTCGGAGAGAGAGAGAAATTGGAATAGAAACCTAGGGACTGCAATAGTTTGTTGAAGTTGAAAGCTCCTTTTGGCAAACTGAAGAACTACATCAAACCAGGTTTTATCATCATGCTGTGTTTAATATATTAAATAGAAAATGTTGATGGTCGTACTTACCAGTGTTCAGAGAGGCTCTGCTGTGTTGTTGAGAGAAACCTTTTGAGTGACAGAGACACTTGTTTGGACTGCAGCTAAGCTGTTGCTCTGAAACACTTTCTCTTTCACTTGGTAAATGTCATGTTAAATTGCTTCTATTTTAATAGTGACTCCTCTACTTAATACAGCTCTGTGATGATTGTTTTTGAGACATGTGTGGACACCATGTTGTCATGAAGTTATTGCTTAAGCTAAGAGTTTCTGAAGAGACCAAAAGATTATACAACTGAAAGCTGGGAAATAAGCGAACTGAAAGGTAACTGAATTGAAGTATTTGTTTAGATGGTAATTCATTATGAAAAGAGGCTGACAAGAATCCCTTATGGAAGTGTCACAAATTAGTAAGGGTTTATGGATATCTGTTTTTCAGGGCCAGTACAGGTTCTGATCATCAGTAGGTCACAACACTGGAGGCCATGCTATTTTATCACCATAGCACAGCCCTGTAATGTAATTCTAAATATTATTACAAAGAAAATCAGTTATAAAGTGATAACCCGTTCTGGGTACAACCATTAAAATCAGACATGAATCAGTTTATTACACATCTGTTCACAAGATGGGGTCATTGATGGAGGCAGACTGAGAAAAGACTTACAGAAAGCGTTAAACTTTTTCTAATCTCACACAGCTGATCGCTGATCCAAAAAAATCATGATTTGTGTGTTTGCCCTATAGATAGGGCTGAGTGATAAGCTCATTTCCCCCAATATCAATATAAAACATGGTCAGTATCCTTTTTGATAGTCGGCATTCTGCCATGTTTTAGTAGACCATATGAATAGCCAATGAAATGGGGAGTTGCTCCAGGTCACAAACAACTGTGTAGTAGCAGGCTGCAGCTACATGCAACCATAGCACTTTAACACGTGAAGCTGATAGCACTGTCAGTAAGAAAAAAAGAAAATGATTGCTACCCCCGGCAGAAATGCAGATGAAGGCTCAACAGATGACGACATTGTTGACAACACTGGCACAAAGACGTCAGTTGTGTGGAGGTTTTTTTGTTTTTTAAGGTCGGACATGAAGCAGAGTAATGTGCTCTGTAAATTATGTCGAGTACATGTTCTAGCAAAGTCAGGGAATATCAATCTTTTTCACCACCTGAAGCAGTGCCACGCAGCAGCGCACGCACAATGCAAAAGGTCACAAACCCAGAGCAGAGCAAGGAGCCCATGGCGCCTGTGCAGCCGAAACAGCTGACCATTCAATCAGCTTTCTCTAGCGCAATGCCTTACGACAAAACATTGAAGAGACACAGACCTCACAGATGCAGTTGCTTATTGTATTGCAATAGACATACTACCAATAATGACTGTTAAATTTCATTTTTTATATCATGATATGTATCGATATCAGCTGATAAGAACGAAATATATTGTAATAAACTTTTTTCCCCATATCGTTCAGCCCTACTTATAGGCCATTAAAACTGGGCTCTCAATTGTAGATATACAATATGTTTCAATGTTTTAGACCACTGAGTCGCCAAAGACCCAGAATTCCCATTTACTGATTTATTTAGATGGACTACTGTCCCCCAAAAAGGGGTGTGGTCAATTCTGCGATCAGGCTCTGATGTTTGTCTGCTCTCATTCATTTCATTCATCCATGGTTATTGTCGCTGCAATAACTGAAACAGGAAGAAGACTCTTAGTTTAGTTGTTTATTATTGACATATCTGAGAAATACACTTTGATATTAGTGACATTTGCTGGTACGATCAGAGAAAGACGACGTCTAAGAGAGACTTTAAAGATTAGAATAATGAATGATGAGTACGATTTGAGCTTATTTAACAGTCTGGTGTGACGGTAAAGAAGTTATGAACACTGATAAAATAACACTTGATTAAACTGATCAAAACTGTAACATTGGTTTAGTGAAAAAAGAAGTAATGCTGCATATTTAAAAAAAAAAAAAAGATGTACTTAAATTGTTGGTATCCGTACTGATGCGAGTTTTAAAGGAAAGTGAAAACATCATAATAATGTAGATTTATTATATTAACTAGAAAGGGACTCGGAGAGTGCAGACCTCCGCCGAGCAGCTCATGTCCCCCCTTATATTGTGATTTACACAAAAACTTTTACTGTTACGTGTCTTTTATTAACTTTTATTAGTGTTTAAACTGGTATGTTCACTGTTCATAATGTTCCTAAAACAACAAAGCTCATATTAGATACATAAATGCATGATTTGTTATGCAATATTTGTAAGCGTACACTTCCTTGTATCTTTGGTTATCTTTCAACATTGAAAATTCCAACGACACCCTTATTTTTGTGTTTTCTGGATCACAGTATCTGGAATTTTGTCTGGATCAGGATCAACCTTTGACACCTCATAAAACTCATTGAGATCCTTTTGTGTAATTTTTTACTAAAGACTCTGGCCATTTTTATAGAGTTAAATGCAAAAATTCCCAAATTTGCCCTATCTCACAATGATAAAGAATCCTTCAAAAAATTCCTGGATCCAGAAGGCGATCCGGATCACCACTAAAATGTAATAGGATCCTCCTGGGGCTGAGACGCACCTCTGGTGAAAATTTCAGGTCAATCCGTCTGTAACTTTCTCCGTAAAGTTACTAACAGACAAACAAACCAACGCTACCATTAACATAACCTCCTTGGCGGAGGTAATGATGGATATCATTGTTCATAACATCTACTCAATGTGAGTGACTGGAGTAATGACCAGAGGGGCAGAGTTTTTACCGGCATAGTTAAGAGAGGGACTAAAGAATGGAAAGAGTTTTTCTTTGAAGGAGCAGCTGGTGAAGGAGTAGATCAGAGCTGCAGCATCAACGTCATAAAAAGAGATCAGACCCTCCTCATAGTCCACAAACACCCCCACCTTCTCAGGATCAGACTGAAGACAGAGATTGACTGAAGGGTCAGCAAAAGCTTTGTACTCATTTTCATTTCTCAAACAAATTGTCCAGAAACCATCTGCAGGAGTCAGAGTGATTAAGCCTTTCCTGTTGATGGACTCTCTAACTACTCCTAAATCCCACTCAGTCTTCCCTTTAACCTGAACCTCAAAGTAAAATCTGCCTGAAGACAAACTCTGCTCTGCTAGGACACTAACACAAAAATCAAATCTCTCTGGATTGTCTGGTAGATTCTTCTTCACATCACCATGTTTGACTTGTTTTCCATGATCAGACAGGATGAGTTCAGGATGTGCTGTATCAGGATCGAGTGTCAGATCCACCTCACACTGCTGGACTCTCTTCAGCTCGGCCTCAAACAGCATCTCCATCAGTTCCCTGAGCGTCTCCTCCAGCTGGTCCACAGCTCTCACCACAGTCCCCTCATATGAAAGTGGATGGACTCGGACTTCAGTCCAGGTCTTGATGGGTGGAGCAGCGTTCAGGGTGGTGAAGTTTTGTAGGAGGTGGAGGTGGTCTTCAGAGTGTGAGAGCTGCTCCAGCTCAGAGCTCCTCTTCTCCAGCTCACAGATTTCCTCTTGCAGCTCTGTGATGAAGCCTTCAGCCTGTTCCTCCGTCTCTCTCTGCTTCTCTCTGATGGTATCGATGAGCATGTTAAGGCCTTCCTCAACAGTTTCCATCAGAACCCTGAAGACTGCCACACCTTCATCGGTCTCTCTGTCTGCATTTTTATTACTGAGCTCCACTGACTCTTTGAGCTCTTCAATCTTCAGTCGTCTCTCCTGGATCATCTGCTGAATTTCAGCCTCTGTCTTCCCCAGCTCGGCCTTCTTTCCTTCATATTCTTCTCTCAGAGGAAAAACATCATGGGTCCTGTGGTCTGTAACACTGCAGAGCATGCAGACACACATCTGGTCGTTCTTACAGAACAGCTCCAGCAGTTTGTCGTGCTTCTCACATATCCTTCCTTCCAGGTTCTCAACAGGCTCCATCAGCTGATGTCTCTTCAGACCTGACATTGTCAGGTGAGGCTCCAGGTGAGTCTCACAGTAGGAGGCCAGACACACCAGGCAGGACTTGAGGGCCTTGAGTTTGGTTCCAGTGCAGACATCACAGGGAACTTCACCTGGTTTGGAAACTTGTTCCTTTGAGCTGCTGCTGCTGGCTTCCTGATGAGCTGACTGTCTGAACTGAGCGGACATTTCAGAGATGAAGGTGTTGATCTTCAGCTCTGGTCTTCTGTCGAAAACCTCGTTACAGTTTGGACACTGATATGGAACATTGACATCCCAGTGTTGAGAGATGCAGGATTTACAGAAGTTGTGTCCACATGGTGTGCTGACAGGATCAGTGAAGACATCCAGACAGATGGAGCACAGGAACTGATCTTCAGTCAGCAGACAGCTGGCAGCAGACATTTTTACAACCTGAGGATTATCAGTGGAAGATCAACACATTAAAACACTAAACATATACTGTAGATCTATTTTTGAGTCTATCCTTGTCATCATCATTGTGATACTGTCATGAATAATTTGGTGACTTCAGTTAAATTCTGGCCTAAATCTGGAAAAAGGAAAGACTGCAGAGTGTTTTTGGAAAAAGCAGAACAATATTTTTAAAATCCTGGAGACTTTGACTCATCTGAACTCTGACCTCACCTGAAAGTCTACAGCATCCTCTAACAATGTAACAACAAAGAAGGTCAAACTTTGATCACAATACTCTGTGTGTCAGTCAGTGTTGTTTTTGGCAGGCATTTTAGATTTAGTTTTAGTCTTAGTCATTTTGACGAAATGCTTCTTCGTTTTAGTCCCATTTTAGTCATTTCTATCCTTGATAGTTTTCGTCTAGTTTCAGTCCGACGAAAACTCAAAAGCTTTTAGTCTAGTTTTAGTCGACGAAAAGGTGCCTTTTGAAGTTCGTGGTGTTCTTTCCCGACAGTTTGAAGCCGCAGCATGAGGAAGCTGTAGCTCCACAACTGTAGTCTGTCTCGTCTCCCCGTCCCCGTACAAGACATTGTGTTTTATTGTCACTTGGACTGTATCTGAAGTAGGACCATAAATCATCCCTCTTTTTTCGGCCACCGGGCACCGCTGCTGTGCCTGCTGCCACGATGTGTGTGTGTGTGCGCGCCTCGTCCACCTGCCGCTCTGTGTATGTGTATGAGTGTGTGCGCGCAGCTGTGCGCGAGCGAGGCTTTTGGTGTGTGTGTGATGGGGGCGTGACTGTTAGGACAAAAAAAGCATGTTTTGAAACTTTGTTCGTCCACCTAATAACAATTTAGTCTCGTCTCGTTCTCGTCTGACGAAAATGAATACAATTTTCGTCACATTTTAGTCTTTACAGAGCTTTGGTGACGTTCGTCTTAGTCTCATTTTCGTCAAGGAAAAAAGGGGTTTGACGTCGTCATTTAAGTTTTCGTCCTGCCTGACGAAAACAACACTGGTGTCAGTGGACTTGGACACACTAATGATCCTGAGGGTCAAGAAAACCTCCAGCTGTTAAAAAGTTCAATATCTGATGAAGATTTAAAGTCACAGAGTGATCGCATCTAAAGACTGTGAGCCAGTCAACCAGTTAGGAGACGTCCTCAGGTTGGCAGGTTGTGATGACTCATATATCTTGGCACTAAGGGAGAATTTTATTGTTCGTTAATATTTAACAGGAAATAAGCAGACTTTGAGTTTGATGTCAGACACACCCATCCATCAAGTTAAAACAGGAACAACAACTCTGGTTATAAAGTCAAACAGCAGAAACTCTGATATATAAAAAAGCTTCAAGTTAAAACATCTTCCCAAGACTAATTACAGTTGTAGAAGTTGTAAAACATGAATTTTGTGGTTTAATTGTCATGAAGAAGTTTTCCTGATAAAAATGGACCCCGCCCTCGTCACTTTCTGAACTCATGGAACCAACAGGCGTTTTCCAGCAGCAGAGAGCTCGGCTGGTTTGTAAGTAGCTGAATGAGTTAATCTGGTGTTTTCTGTGTGATGGCTGAATATACCTGCTGACTTAAATGTGAATGTGCCCAACAAACTCAATCAGTGAGATTTTCAAGCATCAAAACTTCATCACTGAAAAAACGATGATAAAAGTCTGTGAAATAGCTCATTAGCACTTTGTGCAATTTAGAGGAGCCTGAGTACAGTCACTGTATTTTGGTTTTTGAAACTGTTTTGTGGTCAAGTTTAACAAAATGTTGACTGAAAAGTGTTTTTTTATCTTTGTTAGTCAGTGTACTCACCGTTTTTGTGAAGTCAATCCTTCTGGTGAATTTGTTTTAACAGAGATATAAAGAGACTTGTCTCGACTGCAGCTCTGCTGTGCTCAGATCACTTTTACTTTCAGTTCAGGAAAAATCTGGTTGTTAACGTTTGTCTTTTTTTAGTGTTACTCCTCCTCTTAGAGCTTCTCTGAGAGGAGGAGCAACACTAAAAAAAGACGAAGTTTCATATTTGGTTAAAGTTAAAGATCTGACAGCTGTGGAACAAGGAGACTTTACAGTTAATTTGATTTTACAGTGAAAGTAACACAACAGCAAAGGTGAATAATTATGGTACAAGATAACATGGTAATCCCCTGAGGAAACTGATAAATGCTTATTTTGAAAATTAAACAGAAAAAACAGGCCTTTCTTTCGCTACACACAATTAAATACACATTAATAACTGGGACAAACAATTTAAAATGAAAAAATAAAACCATGGTGTTATTAGTAAAAATGAAGGCGTTTGTTAGTTCATGCAGGTGCAATATCTGTCCCCTCCACAAGAGGGTGACATCGACCCATGTCTTCTCTGCAACCTTAAGGTTCACCTCCTTATGACAACTAAATTTGATTGAATTCAACAAAAACCTTGGACTGCCATGGATTGACACTTTTTATACATTTTTTCCATCTAAAATCACCTCCAAATTGTAAAGCAGATATTTTTAAAAAGTGATAAGTCATTAAATTGTGAATTTTAATGTATTATTTTCTCAGAGGCTGCTGTAGCAACACTCAAAGAACATTTTAAATATTGTGGAATAAAAATTCACAGGACAACAGAAAAATGGTTCTTAAAAGGCAAAATATTACATGTGATGAATGTGATTCACATGTGATGCCTTTTATTTTTACACCACGACTCTTAATTACACAAGAAGAAGATTTATCTTACTGATTTTAGGGGGAAAATTTAACAAATACTCTAATGGGATCCTGTCGACATGCACTGGAGAGATGTCAGAGTGAGAGAGAACAAGCTGTTATGGGTTGCTTAAGGGCATGTAAGCTGTTCCCAGGGAGTAAAGCAGGCACTAACCAAATTGGTCACTCCTTAAGGCAGGTACTGTCCTCTTTGGATAATCCACTGACACTACAGCCCACCTTTTGTTTATTGTCACTTATTGACTTCAAAATATCAGGAATATTTGCAGCAGTGTCCTGAAGCCATTGACCTTTCTGTGTTTCATTTGTCCCAGGTTTATTTCAGCAGGATCCCACAAGAGTGTCCTCACAATAAGGCCTGTCTGAGCCCCTTTGAGACCTACTGACAGTCAAATTCAATTAAAACATGATGCCGACATCCCTGCAAACACTCCCTACTACTCTCAGGGAAACGCTGGCTTTCAAAGTCAATTGTGTCCCATGTGAAGAGCCGGCCTTCGTGTCCCCGTCTGGAGCCTTTTCACGTGCTAAAATAAGAGTTTCCCCCTCTCTCCCCGAGTCGACATGAGCAAAGTGAGTGCTGTGAAAAGCCCAGAGAGAGAGAGAGAGCGCTTCTATTTGACGACTGGCAGCCTCAGGTCTTGTGTCTGTGTGACACTATGGGCCGCTACAAAAGCATGTCCTTTCTCCTGCAGCAGTACAACAGGGAGAGGAGAGAAAGGAGGTGGTGCATGATGGGGAGGAGGTGGGGTGGATATAGAGGAGGAAAAAAAAGGGGGTCTGGCTTTTGAAACTGGCCCCGGCGCAGATGTACAGGGCAGGAGGATTAGGCAGCGGGTGTTGGTGACGTTCACCCGGCTCAATTCTCCCTCCGTTGTGGCCCTTTGTGGCTCCCAGCAGCCTCGGGGTGGTAAGCTGCAGGCCAGCGTGCCAACGGGCCTCAATGTGCGACAATGCTGGTACACCCCAGTCACCCCCACCCACCCTCAGAAAAGCAAAACTCCAGAACTCACCCAATACAACTCCACACACAGAGGATGTGAGAGGAGAGCTAATGTAACCCCATCTGAGTCCTGTACCACAGAACAGGATTAGCAGTTAGCGTGCTTACTTCAGGGCTCAGTCTGTGCTATGAAGGTGCTTCACTCTCACCTTTACTGAGTAACTCTGGATACCCAACTTAAGCCCAGTATCTGATCGAGAAAGATTGTTTACAGTTCATGTTGCCATGAACGACATGAACTTCCAGCTAAGGCCTTTTGTGCGTGTCTGTGTGTGCTCTATTATTTACAGTAAGTATGAACCAAAGAGACTTATTTCATCATGGTTTTGGCAGTTACTCACTTTTGGATGACATTAAAGAAACTGTCAAAACTGAGCACAATGTTAACCCAGTCAAACACTGAGTTACAGAGTATGCAGGTACTCAGCTTCATCTGGTTTGCAGAGTGGAGCTAACATTACCAGAGCTAGCACCACCAGACTTTTGTGCTCTTTCCAGGCCTAAGTCCACATAGCCTATCATGAATATTATCTATTATCTCCATTTTCTAGATCAAAAAACAGCCAATGCTCTTTGCCTTTATGAGAGAAGATTGGACTGTGGATGGAGTTGGGAGATGGGGGAGAGCTTGAGGGTTGTCATGCAGGTGAGAAGTTGCAGGCTGAGTTAAACCAAGGCCGTCAGCATGAGGCGTAACCGATGTACGTAGGTCAAATGCTCCAAAAACTACAGTATTTCAACTATCATATGTATGAATGTTACCATCATTCAAGTCAAAGTCTCTCCTATATTTTGCACCTTCTCCTGTGCTTTTTCAAAATGAAAGTTATTTCAGTGAATACAAAACTTCAAGTTCTTTTTTTGATTGTATTTTTGTCTTTTATTTGGTTTTGTTTATAAAAGATCTGGTCTAAGTAAAGCTGTCTGATGTAGATTACCATGATAAAGGCACGGTTGGATGTTTAATGCTCATTTCTGTTGAATTTTCTCCCTCTTTTGTGATATGTGTCTTCCATCCCAGTGTTTGTCTTTCCGGTTTGTTTGTGTAAACGTGGAGCAGAATATGTATTTTCATGCCAATTTAATTTGACTTCATGATGTTTTTTACACACTTTATTTGGCATTTTGACACAGAAATGAACTAGAAATGATGTCAGAAGACAAACATCTCGCTTATAGGCAATAGTTAGTTGTTGTTGGAGTGATTGTCCCAGCCCCTCACAGTGGAAAACAACCGGACAACGTCTCAACTTGCATTGCAAATTTTCCCCGTAAGGCGCTGTTGACTTCGACAGAAAGAGCTTGCCAGATCCTGGAGGGCTTGTTTTCCTCTAAGTCTTCTACATCCTCACTTTTTATGCCATTTTTCTCATTTTGACAGAGTTGTATAAATCACTTCCTAGTCCTCACACATCATCCCAATACATCACCCAGCGCTGAAAGAGAGGCGAGGGAGAAGGAGAGGGACAAGCACATCTTCTCAGAGCGCATTGTGGAGAGGAATGCCATTGAATTAGGGTGTTTTTTCATGCGCCAGCCTCTTTTGTGTGCAGGCTAAGGAAGTCCATTGTGCGGGGCAGACACCCTGAGAAAAGAGGCGAGCTTGGAGCCGTTGTCTGCCGCTGCTTCTGCGGCGCTCTGGCCCTTAAAGGCCTGAAAGAAGCCCTGCCATCGGAAGCAGCCGGCCCTGAACCCAGAGACAATGAGGCACGGCAACTTTGAAGACCCACAACAATTAAAAATGCAGCTTCACTATATTAATTATGCATTCATGCTTTTGTCTTGGTTTTTCTTTTTCATGGGAGGAGAGAAAAAGAGAGCTGCGAGGTTTAAGACTCAACAGGTCAGAGGCAGAGAGAGATTACAGTGGAAAAGCAACATGCTAATGCTTTTTCCAATGCTGATGTTGGACTTTTATTGGGGTAGAAATCTGTGAGGATTATGTATGCTAATTGCAGCTTCTCTATCACCTCATCACCAAACTTCACCTCAGTAAGAAGGCAATAGAACAACTTTACTGATTTAACACAAAAGAAGATCCAGAAACATTTGATAAATTTTGGATTTCACGTCAAAGAAATGGCCATGAAGGAGCACTTACAGACTGTTATTTTTGCCTTTCTCCTCCTCTACCTCAGCTGCATGCAGGACACATACAGCAGATTTTTGGAGGCACTGAGGTGAACTTCTGCCGGCTGCCAGCTCAGTCAGGTGGCTCTGTTGTGCTGAGAGTCGCCAGCAAACAGCTCGTCTTGGCCCAAAGGGACAGTTTATCTGGAAAAAGCCAAACTTCGTTGAAAGAATTGCTCTTTTTAGGGCTGATTCATTCATCGTTTACAACTGAATCTGTCACACCAAGGAAATAACACCTTCGCATCAGAGACTCACTCTGCTTGCCAAGAGACAAATGGCAAATCTGCCAGATTTTAAGCTATAGTGATGACACGCTGCTTGAGTATACAGAATAATTTAATGTTGGTTGAGAAACTGATAATTTGATCTTTACTTAAAAGCAAGAGAGACCTCTCACTTTTATTATGAGCTTTGTATGAACAATAACCCAGAAACTGTGGCTACCCATTGGTTTGTGGACTTGAAGGACTCCACTTTGACACTTTTGTCTTCACCTTCTTGTTTTCTTTTTGGTGCCAACGTGACAAAAAATGGACAACTATGACAATACTCATCACAGGCAGCCATGCCCCAAAGCATTGAGAGTTTTATTTTATGTTCGCACGGGACCTTTGTTTGGAAAATGAACAATATGTGGTATCACAGAAGACTTGAAACAAGAGATAAAGACCATAAACTCGTCAGGAAAAAATATCGACCAAGAAGCTGGATGCTGATGTTCACCTGCCTAGTTCTTAGCTCCCAGTCCAAATCTAGCATCTCTGATGGTCTAGGGATCACCAGAGTCCATGTCATCTGTGAAGGCTCCATTAATGCTGAACAACATCCACAGGTTTAGGAGCAACATCTGCTGCCATCCAGACAACGACTTTTTCAGAGAAGACCTTTAAATGATCCCAGACCACATTCTGGCAACAGGGATTACAACAGCATAGCTCTGTAAGAGAAGAGTCCTGCTGAGAAACTGGACTAATGAGATTCTGAGTCACCATCCATAGACAACATTCGGTACATAGTGAATAACAAACTCAGGGAACTGGTCTCCTCAGTTCTCATATGTTCACAGGGTTGTTAAAAGACGTGATGCAACACAAAGCTCCTATCACAACCTTTCAAAAACATGTTGCAGATGTAAGTTGTCTTGGTTTTTAAAGTTGGCTTTACAGTTCCCAAACTTTTTTCAGACTGGTGAAGTATAACCAAACCGTTCAAGCTGCTGGAGCTTCTCTTCCTCCTGCAGGAACCACACTCAGTACCACATCCATGGTGGCATGTTGTGGGGTGAAGCCAGGGTCAGAGGTCATGTGTGTTGGCAGAGTGTGACTCTCCATGTGTTTCAAGTACAAGCAGAGCTGCATGAATGAAGGAGCGGCTGAATGCAGAGCTCATTAGTGCTGCAGGAGACTGTAAGAGGAGAGTCAGAGATCGTGTAGCTGAAGCAGTCGCAGAAGTGCCTCAACACATTCCTACCGCTTTATGAAGGTGATCTGTGACCCCATCTGTCCCAAAATAGAACGTTTTCCATTGTGGTCGAGGCTAATACAGAGCATATCGGACCTCTCGTCTCCTAAAAAGGAACTTGTTGTCAGTTGAGAGACTGCTTAGTGCTCGTATACTCTCCTGCAGATAAAAGCGAATCAGACCTGCTGTTTTCTGAAGCCTCCTTCACTGGAGAGGCTTAGAGGAGCGTTTTGTTTCGCCTGCCGGTATGCAGAGAGCAGCATGGATGCACAAAGACGCCGGTAATAACAGTTAATCTTTGCAAAGGTTCAATGGCTGCCAACCAACCAGCCGACCAGCCGGCTGAGATTCAGAGCCATCCCAACAATGACTACCAAACATCAAAGTCAGAGGCAGTGCAGTGCGGCCGGTTCCCATCACCTAAATCAACAAGTACTGGGTGGAAAGTAAACATGGAGAGTTCACAGAAGGAGTCACATTCATGGGGATGTTATTGACTGTTTGTTTGGACTCCTAAATTCACCACAACAGACATTTCCACCTTAATTAATCATCCAATTACTGAGGTTATACTGAGTGTGTTTCTGGTACAAGTTCAGCTGAAAAGGATCTTTCTGGAACTTGCTTTTTAGCATCTTTCAGTGAAAGAGTCTGGCAAATTGTCAGATAGCAACATAAAGATCTAGAAAGTCCAATTTTTAGGAACAGATTCATGATTTTGGGGTCCGAATATATGCAAAAACTATGGTGGCCAATAAGGATAGATGTTCTGCAACAGCCAGAAAGCACTTCATCTGGGACAATGCTGCAAATGCTTGAACGAGGCAAATTGAAAGGATATTCCGGTGTAAAATTAATTTACAGTCAAACACACCGTAACACCAAGCTAGACACCCCCTCGAGAGATGAATGTTGCCGACTACTTGCTTCTCTTGTTATACCAACTTTAGTAACGACCGCAGGATAGGAATACACAGCGGTCCGAGGAGTCACACACACACCTCAGCCAAAATGCCACTCTATAGCCACAAATAATGCTCAGAACAGCACCTAACTTTATCAACAGTACATATAAGGACCCAGCCATAGCATGTTGTGAACCACCCAGTTCATTAAATACAGGGATAAAGCTGTGCCACTGGCGCTTCTTCAGGCCTGACACATTTTCATTAAAAAGTCCTGATTTGTCTGGATTTACAGTTTCAGTTGTTTAATGATAATTTTGTTGTCGTTGGCTATTTGCAGCACACTTTTATCAGTTGCAGCGCATGTCCATTATTGCATTTATTTTGGACTAGTGCATACGCATTTGAATTATTAGCATTTGCAGCACATTTCCCCAGATGAACCCAGTCAGGGAGAGAAATATATATCAACATTGGTACCTGGTTTATCAGAAGCTCCTGACAGGAAGTTTAGGCTGAACTGAAATTTACTGATGCTTCTTTTATCAAGGATGGATGGATACTCTTGTCTGTTTAAGGAGATTACTGCAGAAGGAAACCATGTTCTCCTGTTTTACCCTTATTTGCCAAAGCCTGCTAATTTCTGATTGGTCAATACGGCTCCTACTCCGAACAGAAACCAGAACACTCCTCATGCTAAAATCCAGACCTCTGCCAGCAGGATCTACATTCCACTCTGAGCGCACTCTGTTGTGAACTTGTCTCATGTGATCGATGGATGTGACCGGTGGTTTGTGAACTGTCAGAAACAACATGTGGGTTCAATGAGGATCCCCACAGGGCTCTGAACCTGCCTCCTGACTGCTACCAGCTCCAGAGTCTGACCTCTGACCTCTCTAACTGAGGAGGAGGGGGTCATACAGTGAGCGTGGTGAAGGGAAGGCGAAAGGGGTTTAATGACAACCAGTCTGTTCTGTTGTGTGACATGACCTCATTACCTCAATCCGTGTATTGATAGAGGGGGCGGGGCTTATCCACCACATTCAGCCTCAGCGCTGCTGTTAGAGTGTCACTTCACACAAATCAAAGGAGGAAAATAATGTAACTTAACCTTAAGGATGGGGTGGAGACCCTATGTGTAAAAATATGTATTCATATGTGATTTGTATTAGAGCTCCTGTGGGAAAATTTTAACTGGTTATAAAAGACTGAAACTGGCAATAATGATTCTTTATGTGCTAAAAAAAAACAAACATCTGTCCGAAAAGACTGATGATATCTGTACTGTTATTTTAGATGCCTCTGACTACTGTGAAGAGATGGTGACCTGAGAGGATTAAGTGTAATGTAAAGAAAAATTCTCCCACTGTGAATGGCCCAATGAGATAAAGAGGTATCAGTTGAACCACAAGGGGTCACCAAAAACAATGTAAACACAAAGTTTCTCACAGGAGCTTGAAAAGGTCTGCTTAATTTGTTTTTATTATCATTATTATTTTTTTAAGGTGACTGTTAACAGGCAGGTTTGTCCATTTTTAATCCCATTTATCCAGCTGCTGTTTTTAGTTTGTTTGATCCTGTTTTTTCTTTTTTTTTTTTTTACTATTTTAGGTTTCTCTTTGTGTCCTTTTCTTGTTTTCTAATTCTGAACACCAGTCTTTGATCTGTTCTTTTTTTTTTTTTACTTTGATGTTATTCAGGTTGTTTTTTTTTTGTTTGTTTTTAATCGCTCTTGATTTTCGTTCCTGTTTTATGTAAAGGCACTTTTCTTTCTGGTTAGTTCTGTTTTACTTTTTCCTGATAACTTTTCAAAAAAACTATTTTATTCCTTTTAATTTTCTAATTTATATATTTCTATACTTTTATTTCCTAATGACAAGCTTAAAAATACGACCTGTTTTATTTGCCCTTTCCCTTTAATATAAAATCTTTGACTCTTGTTTAAATTTGTCGACCATGCTTGGGCAGAGCTGAAGAAGAACACAAAGCTTCTCTTTCAAAATAAGGGTTAAAAACTCATCGAATAACCTGACAAAAACACACCTTGAGAGTTTTCCCTCTGGAGGGTTGTTGTTGTTGTGCTTTTCAGAGAGCATTGCTTTTTCCCACGAAACATAATCTGAAAGAGAGGAGTCCAACAATGTCAGTGTCATGACAGAGCACCAGAAATATACGGTGACCCAGTTGCTTTCTTTACTGCCACCACTGGACATGCTGGTTTTTCTCAATAAGAACAAGCATGCAGAAAACTGGACATGTAAGTAAAAATATGTATATAATGATATTCGCCATTGAAGGCTTCTCAATGCTCTACGTTAGCTGTCCACACAGAAACTGTCAAACCCTTTTGTCTGCACTCTGCGTTTATTTTGTCCTTGTTTCTGCTCGTCCTCTGTTCACCAAATTTCAGAACCACTAAAAACTCTGGGGTCAGTAATGCTAAAAGTTCAAACCAGAGTCCATAAAATACACGTAACATAACATCATACCTTGAAAGGTTGTGATTGAGTGGCGCCATAGACCTTCATCTGCAATTCAGCCTCTGCTTTTGCCACTCTTTTAGATAAACTCTAGATATCTCCTCCACTGTTGCCTCGTTTGTTGCTGAAAGAAAGTTCTGTCTCGACCAGAGCCACACTCATGTTGAACAGCCGTCTGAGACATTTTGCCTTAAACCTGAACCTCCTCCTTCCTGTCTGTTTACTACCTTGATTATTGCTCAAACGTTCTCATCAGCTTTGAATGCATGATCAATAAGCTGCTCTGCGACAGTTTTTAGCTCTGTTTTCTGCTATTTGATCAAATGAAATCCCGATTTTCTTCTGATATGAAAACACATCCCCTCTGTTTGGGGGTCTTTTCAGGTCACAGGCTTGTGTTGGAGTTTGTAGGTTTGTAAGTCAGAGAGAGAAAAAAACTCCCTGAAAGCTCCCAAAAGAGTAAAAGATGCCTGAATGGAGGCTTGGTGAGACTACGACTAATTTTATTAGCCCTCTTGGAAACCTTCAACCTAACAAGTGGAAAACAGTTTCTGCATAAATTAAAGATAATCCAGAGTAAATTATGCAAATATATTCGCTCCGATAAAGAAGGGGGTGGTGTGGTCCTTATTGTGAGGTTAAAAAAGCTGAGCCAGTGGTTGAAACTGAGCTGAGGGAAACTTGATTCAAAAGTCTGTCAGAGTTTTATAAGGCCTGTTAGGAGCAAGCGCAAGTGATGAAATCATAAAAAGAAAGATGGCAGTCAAAGTTAATAGTCATTTTTTTCTGATTTAACACGTCAATTTTGATTTTTTTTTTTTTTCTTTTTTTTTTTTTTGGCAGGAAGTCTCAGTCTTCTTGTGAAACATGGATATAGTTTCAGTGAAGTCACCCTTCTGTTCCTGAGGCAGAGTTTTGAAGCCTAGCTGATTGGACCTTATTTCAAGGGCTTCCTGAGGTAAAGTGAGTAAAGGTGGGCCTTTAGCGTCCATTCAGTCAGTCCTGGTTCTACAAGGGTGTATAAAATGATGCACCCTCATATCACATTACTGCAGCGAGAAGATCAAATTAGTCAGATTACATTTATCATATCCATGATCATGACAAGTCAGTCAATATATAGTGCCAATTTACAAAAAAAGCTGGTCTAGACCAGACTCTCTTAACAAAGTCCCAATGTAAAGATAGGATCAGATTGAGCCCCATCTTGTAAGATCAGACCCACAAACGAGTGGAGCACTTTGCAGTGTTTGGCAAGTTACAGTGGAGAGGAAGAACTTCCTTTAACAGGCAGAAACCTCGAGCAGGACCAGACTGATGTTAGACAGTCATCTGCTGCGACTGAACTGGGTTTATAGAGGAGAGACTGAAGCAGCTGGACAGCAGGCAGGTCCACGGCAGCAAAACGTCAGCGGTGATCCAGAGGAAACTGTAGCATGATTGAGCTCAGGGACTCATTTGTAGCATGTGTGCAACAGCAGGGTTCAGTTGATCAATCAATAAATTGTCAGATATCATTTATGTTTTAAAAAATCAGAAATAAATACAAAGGGACCGTCCCCATCTCTAAATCCATATACAAAGTAAAGAAAATGTGAGATCGGAGGAACTCGATGAAAATTAAAGCTATTACAAGGTGGACTCTGGCTCTCAATGAGAACTAAAGCAGCGACCCAGCATCCCAAACACTTTCTCACTCGTATGCAGGGACTGCACACACACACACACACACACACACACACACACAGACACTTGTTCCACATTCCCAGAGTGAATTGTGATTTCTGGGTCACTGCTGATGTTTTGGGCTCCATTTCATCGTGAGGTGGAAGCGTCTCTCAGAGGTCAGGAGGTTGGCGGCCCTGTGAACTTCTCCACTCACACTTTAAAAACAAAAAGACACTCCTCTCAGCCGTTTCACTCAATTACTCTTTACGTTGTGTTAAAGACTCCCCGCTGGCTGCAGTCAGTGAGACATCGACTGCTGCAGCTGAGCTGCACACAGAGGAAACCGAACAGCTGATGTAGACGACCTTATTCAGTCCGAGGTCTCTTGATTATTTCCTGAAAAACACCTGAAGCTACATTTTATGTTGTACAAATTACTTACACAGTGGTGTCAACAGCTTGAAATTTATTGAAAGTTACTTAAAAACTATAACTGCATTGCATGTGTGCTTGAAGTGTTTTTCTTTAGGTGCAACTTTCACTTTTGTGTTTTTGGTGAATTTCCTTTCATTAGTTCATCTGAGCACTGGCCAAATGTGGCCAAACTGGTGTTAACACTGGTAGAGAAAAGTGAATTTTTAAGTAATAATTGCGTAAAAGATGAAAAAGAGCATGATGAATGCAGGAGCAGGGGGGGCCAAGTGGGGCCCCAAAGATCACTTTTTGCCCTTGGGACTTTGCAATACGCTAATCCGCACCTGCACATTATTTCTCGTTTGGATAATCTTTTTTTTTTTTTTTTTTTATCATTGAGTTGCACTTAAAAAAATGCCATGTGGGTGGAGTCCTGTGGGATGTATCAGACTATTTTTTTTTGTATTTGTTATTTAATATTTACATCTAGATAAAGTTTCCACTCTTCCTTTGGTTCCTCCCTCCATCTCTCTTAAATTAATCATTTGGAGCAAAAAGACAAAGTAAAATTTTATGGCTTATCTGTTTATTATAGTAGTGTCTGAATGTGTGGAGGAAGTGAGGCCGGTGTAGCTGCGGGCTGTGGGCGGCGCACAGCGTCAGTCTGGCGGATCCTCCTCACTCACTCAGTCGGTGTGGAGGAGAGCGGACGGAGTGGAGCGGCGCACCGGGACCCGGACTTGTATTTTACTCTCACGCCAACAAGAGCACGACCGAGCGAGCTGCAGGCAGGCAGCAGCGGAGCAGCATGGAGCTGTGAGGGCTGCGGGCCGACCGGGACCTGCTCCCTAGAGATCTGCGTCTGATTTGTGTATTTACCGCTTCTGAGAGATTTTTCCCAACATGGAGACTACAGGCTGCTGGGTGCTTCTGGCTGCGCACTTCATCCTCATCTGCCAACAAGGTAGGACATGTTTCAGCTCAGTTTGTCCTCAGATGACTCAGAAACGCTCAACTCTTCTCACGTGTTTGGGTTTTACAAAGTCCGGGTGGGTTTCGCCTTCGCTGCGCACATTTGGACGTGACTGCGCAGGAGCTGCAGGTGGACAGGGGAGTGAACCCTGCTCAAAACAAACCAAAAGCAGTCTTTATTCAGTGAGGGCGTCTGTTATGACTCACAGATGAGGAATATTTGCTTTGCTTTATTCCCAGAGTTGGACTTGTAGTGCGTAAAGGGTTTGTGCGTCTTTGGGAACGTTGAACAAAACGAGTCCAGATTTTTTTAGAGCAGATTCTCTCACATGCCAGACACAAATCTCTTGTGTTTTCTGTGTATGATCAGCGTCCCCGCTCCTCTCCGTCTGTGGGATCCCAGATTAAAACGTTTGGGAGGCGCAGGGCGTCACGTATCAGCTCCAAACCGGAGCTGTCAAGCATGAAAAGAGAAGTTTGGACACGGTAGTCTGACTGGCTTATTAAGGGTGTCAGAGGCTCCATATCTGGCAACAACAACGGCAGTAATCCTGTAAAGCTTCCCAGAAACAGATACTATCACTGTTTCACCAAAAATATATCTGGTTTGTTTTCATCCAAGAGGAGAAATAAAAAAGTTTTAGTCTCATGAGGGACAGAGAGAATCCTATGTGGATTTTTAGGAGTTTAACAAACTGAAGTTTTGTTCGAAAAGAAGGGTTATTTTTACTGGAGGTGAAAGAGTTTGAATGGTCAGTTTAAGTGTTTTCAGAGACAGGGAAGCTAGACCAGCTTGTTGTAGGTTTTAATGAGTCTGTCTGGGCTCTAACCTGTCTGTTTGGAAGAATGAAGGGTTGCAGGTTTTTACAGAATAGCATGCAGAAACACATTCATGCAGATTTAGGAAGGTTTGGACTCTGTTGGTTTGGATCATTCACTGCAGACTTTTCATTGGGGAATCTTATGGTGCTTTGATTTTCTTGTTAAACTTGTATGTGGCAGGTTTCTGTGACTGTGTGGCTCAAAGTTTCCCAAAAGAAAGGACTGACCTCTCTCACACACTGACACCCAGATGAAGGTTTGCGGTAGAGTCGGTTGTTCTGATCGTTAACAAAGTCAATTTGCAGTTTCAGTCCATTCTTGTCATTTTGATTGAAGTGTTTTTATTTTGAAATTTTGTTTGTTCGGTATCATATCTGTCATCTGACTCCATGAATACATGGATGTGGTGTTTTTGGTGCATTTTGCACTTTTTGACATCCCATTCCCAGTTTCAGATTCAACTGTAACAGGAAAGGTTATGGAAGGCCCCGACCAAAAACCTTTGTACTTAGACTTACCAGATCTGGACTAGATTATTCTGTAGAGTCTGCTGACTTCTTAAAACACAGTTTCAGATTTGTAAAACATTTATTCTGTTTGTGAAAATGCAAAAACCTGTGATTTTACGCTTTTTTTTTACCGCTAAGTCTTAACCCAGAACTATGATACCTTGACTTCTGAGATCTGGCCCTCATCATTTTAGAAAGGCAACTTATAAAGAGTCTGAAGCCTCCCAGAAATAATGTAAACCAGATCTATAAGTCTGACTTGTGTGGTTTTGGATCAGGACCTGGTCCGACACAGTCTTGAGGTGAAAATAAAGGTTTAACAAACCTGAAACAGCGCCAGGGGTCTGCTGGCTCTCAAATAATCTAGTCCAGATCTGGTGAGTACAGAGCAGAGCTGTGTCGCACTGCTGGTGAGAGGAGCAGGTGGGTGTGTGTGTGTGTTAATAAAGCAGAGGGACAGAGAGAGCAGGAACAAAGAGCCACCAGGCTAAACAGTGAGGGACCCCTGTCATCAACAGTCAGGTGATCTTGACTTTGTCTTCCTCAGTTTCTCAGGACAGTCTTTCTTGGTGCCTGTTTGTTGAGTTTCTGCAGATGTTTTACTTCAAGGTATAAATGTTGGAAGAGCTCAGACCCTTTACTTTTCAATAGTGCTGTCTAAATACACTCGACCCAAGCAGAAATAAAGGATTTCTGTCCACACTACTGCGGATGGTTTTTGGTTGTCAAGGTGACCAGTTATACTCATTTTCACCTATCAGTCTGAGACACCTGAAGAGGAGAGTTACAGCTCAAAAGAAGCTTTACACTGGCATAAATGAAAACCCTTATTTCATTTTCTTTTTCTCAGACATAAAATAAGACGCAGCTAGTGGGTGTTACTTTTTACACAGCTGTGTAGACATCAAAGTATCCCAAAGTCATTATACCTTTACAGAAAACATCAGTGTCCAGGGTGGCTGCTGTTTCAAAGTCCAGTAACTCAGGTGTAAATCCAGCTTGTGCTGGCTTTTGTTTCCGAAGGAGTTGTCAATAAAGTGGCGAGCAAACCGACATCAGATTCAAAACAAAAGGTCTGAAAATGAGTCAAACACGCTGATTACGCCAACACCCACGTGTCTCATTTTCTGAAACGTAACCAAAGTTTGGTCCATCATTTTAACATGGTACATTTATGGTGCAGAACAGATCAGCTTGTACCTGCTCTAAAGGATGCTGCAGTAAAATTCATCACTCTTGGATGCTTCGTTCCAATCTCATTTGAAGCATGTAGTGGTCCAAATCTCAGCCTGATATCATCGTTGTCTTTTAGAACACTGAGGTCTTCACTGGTTTCAGTGAGTTTTGGCCACACAGCAGGTATTTTTAATAACAGGCTGAGACCACCAGCACATCCTGCAGGGTTGAAGAGGTTTAAGAAGCTGCTGGAGATGAAACAGGATTTGCCTCCATAAGCCTGAACCTTGGAAGAGTTTTCCACCTCCTTGTCCTTCAGTTTTTCCTCCCGTCTTGTCCGTTCAGAGCTGCAGCGTGCCAGAGAGGACGCTGATCTGCTTGGTTGAGTCTTTTTTTGGGGAGATGGGGAACAAAGATTAGGAGGCAGAAGCTGGATGGAGCCAGTTTTAGCTGAGGAACCTTTTGTGGTCTGGATCCGGTACCTGCAGAAAGCCTTCGAGTTCCCGTTTTGATTCTAGCTTTAAATGTCACTTTGATGAAACCTGAGGGCTCAAAGCAGATGCCAGCTTGCTTCACAGGAACGGTAGATGGTGGAAGAAAAGAAGCATGAGGAGGAAACTGGGCACCATCTGTCCTCCTGAAAGATATTTGTGAATGGGCAATGCCCGCTCTCCGGCAGGGCTCAGGGAGTCTCCGGGTCTCTTGTTGTCTAACAGGGAGTCTGCTGACAGATGGTCGTCACAGTCAGGCAGTCTGTCAGTCAAACACATGCTGTAGATGTGAAGCCCACCGCCACCACCACCGACGCTGAGCAGGCTGACTCTGACTCTGACTGCTAAATTTATTAAAGAGCATTTAGTCTTTAGAGAGTGCAGCACGTCAACAATATATAGCGTATTGTTACATTTTTGGCCCGGTCATGTGATTTCTAGACTATCAGATAGTGTTGTGGGCGGGAAACACACTGGGACTTTCAGTTAATGTTGGGTTGACTTTTTTTAGTTTCTGTCAGCTGGTCCTTTACCTGAAACTGCAGATTTTGGAGCAGTTTTTTTCCTTTCATTACATGACTGCTTTCAATATGAGGCCAAAAGAGGAGGACACCCTCACACACTCCTACTTCACCTCAGTCCGTTTACCGACCTGAGACTGACGCCAAACTCTCCATCATGCTCATTCCAATGTGCACTCACTTTTAGGCATCTGAAAAGAGGCACATGTGCTCAATGCAACTATTCCAGCTCAAAAAGTTACAATTACAAGGCGATTTATATTTGCAGTGGACTTTTCCTTTAAAGTCCCACACAGATTGTTTTTTTACTACTTTAAGTGTTCTCAGTGGTCTTTAAATTGTGATTATGAAGTTTTTAGTTAAAATCTCGTTACCTGTGTCTTTTTCAAGGGCTTTTCCTCTGCAGAGCTCTGGTAGCTCATTGGTAATCGGCCTCTGAGTCATAGGCGGAGACAGCGCTGCTCTGCACACTCGTCTTCACGCTAGCTTGTAGCCTAACATCGCCGGTGTAATAGAAGTAGCAGGTAACATCGGAGCTATTTAGCTCTCGGACACTAATGTCTTTGGGGACATGATGAAAGTAAACATCATAATTAGCTTTCTTAGGAGCATTGCAACCCGCTAATGCAGACGCTTGTTCTGCGATCGTCCTCTCTACTTTTCTGAGTGTAGCTTTCATAGCGGGGCTCCAGGGGCGGGGCTTGGATTTGTGATGTAGAAAATCTCACTGTGTCTGAACCTGCTGTTTGGGTCTGTCAGAGATTCACAGTGATGTGAATGCAGAAATACTCAGAAATGCAATTTCACTCTTTTTTTCCCATGGTTTGTCCTGTAGCATCAGAAAAATGACATATGAACATGTAGACAACAAGAAAAACATGATTTTCATCGGAGTGGGACTTTAATGTTAGGGAACGTAAGCTGACATTTGACCCTCTCTGATCAGTCGTGATGTTGCACCGATGTGCCACATGGATAAACAATCTAAAAAACCTGCACAGTATCTGCATGTATCTTGTATGTTATGTGTGCACAGTAACTCTCTTATTGCCTCAAGGCTGGAGAAATTCTAACAGTTAAGGATCTGGATCCTCTTTATTATCTGATGTTGATTTTGCTCGTAAGCGTCATTCTTGCAGATTTGCTTCTCTCTTGCTCTGTGAAGCACATCTACCTTTCTTCTACTTTTGTGAACCCCCAAATTTAAAGTCCAAAAACCCTCTGTGCTTGTACTTTATTTGAAAGTTATGGCTACAGATTCTCCATAATCCTGCACTCGAGTTTTGAGTATCATGTGAGAGAAGTGATGAACAATGAAGAGGAATTTGACACGACTGTGATAATCCTGCTTTAAAATTCTGATATTTTGGGTTCTTTATCATAACAGGAGCAATCTGACACCTGAGTCTCCCTCAGGATCAAAAAAGTTCGATCCTCTTTTTCTCTTCTCCCTTTTTGCCTTCACCCTTTCCCCCTCCTTCATTTCATCTCTCCATCTTGGTCCAAAGCAGCTTGGACTGGGCGGATGTCCCTCTCTGCCCAGGGAGAAAAAAAAGCAGATTTCCAGTCGTGGCAGCGGGGGTATTTGATGACCAGATTAGTGGGTATTAGGCTCAACGGCATTCACTCAGGCATACACAGGGGCCAGTAGTTTGAGTCCTCCAGAGTCGCCCCTCTTTTTCTTCCCTCTGCTGAATGGAAATGAAGGTTACATGGGGAAACAACCAGCTGGGTCCTGGGCGAAGGTCAGCTGAGGAGGCCCGCCGCTCCGTCCGTCCGTCTTTCTGTCCTGTGTTGCCTCCTCTGGCCCGGCCGCTGAATTATGCTGTCAGAGGGGAGATTTGTTTTGTAACAGTAGGAAAGAGGGCAACTGCAGAAAGACGGGAGGTGTTAGGGGGGAGCGGATCCAGGAGGGGGTGGGGGGGCAGAGAAAGAGAGAAAGAAGAGGGTGAGGGGTTGTTTCAGGGGGGTGGCATTTAAGCGTGACGCATGATGGCACTGAGGAGGAGAGGACGCCGTCACACTGTGAAGCTGGAGCAGGAGTGTGGGAGCGCAGTGTGTGAGGATAAGTTTTACACTCACACACACACTCGTACACACACTCGTACACACACACACGCACAAACACTCCCTCTGCTCAGACACCTCAGGGTTGGAGGCCTCGCTGAGCGATGGAGTGCAGGTTAAGCAGCACTCCTGCCTTCATTAGTCTTCGTTAACACCCCGGGCCTCGTTAAGAGCCTCCCCTCCCATCTCCCATCGCTGTTCTCAGACCCCCCCCCCCACACACACACACAAACACACACACTCACTGTAAAAAAAAAACAGCCATCCTTGCAGACTGGTTTGTTTCCGACTCTGACTGGTGGTGGAGTTTTGAATTAGTCCGTGTTGTCCCTCGTTTGGTCTTTGCATGTGCAGCTGAACTGAAATTCTGAGGTGGCGGCTGTGTAGGGCTGCACGATATATCTTTTGAGCACCGTCATCGTGATGTACATTTGCACGATAGTCATATTGCAGAGTGTGGGATGTTGGAGGCGAATCAACTCATCTAATTTCAAGGGTAGCTGACTGAGATACACTCCATGTGACTCTGCATGTGCTGTGCAGCGATCCACCAATCACATTCGTTCTTTACTCAGCTGTCAATCAGATTACCCTGCCAGCTGTCTATCAAAATCAGAGAGGAGGAAACCACGCCCCTGCACATGGAGTGAGTCACTGGCGCTGCTGATGATGTGCCGAGAAACGCATACCCGCCGAGAATTCCTTTCAGAACATTACTTATCACTGTTTAGCCCCACAAATAAGATTTGTATGGGTTTGAAATTGTACATTTCCGTGGACAACTGTACTATAAGTAGAGTAGAGCACATTTTGCATTTCCTGGCTGGCATGCGCTTCTCGACACAACCCCGGTAACAACAACAACGATTGCAAAATGAGCAACAAACAAGAGAAAACTACCGAAAATGAAGACTTTCAATGAAGAAAAGGAAAGTCAGTTATCTGGAATTATTTCAGTTACAAGAAGGATGATATCAACCAAACACTTGTTCTGTGTCGGCAGTGCCTTTCACCTGTTGCCACACTGAGAGATAACAAGTCCCAGCACAATAAAAGGAAGCTAAAAATATCTCTAAGACAGACAGAAGCCATTCTACTAACATTCACAAAAAGAGGAAAGATCAGTGCAGGTTAACTGTCCTCAAGATTTCAGCAGTGCAGCACAGCATGAAGTGCTATTCAGATCATTTGGTGAAAATTCCTGTATTTTTTAACATCACAGTATATATCCCAGGGTTGAAAAAAATTGCAGTGTTAGTTTTTTCCAATATCATGCAGCCCTACATCTGTGTGTTTCAGGTGTGTTTATTTTTGTATTGTTGTGTATTTAACTCAGAACCTGTTGCACCTTTAAATGATTAGCCGGCGTTATTAAAGACATGCCTACATTTATTTGACATGTGGCCACAATGGCAACAGCTACAGTCAACTAGGGTGCAGCTATAACAGCGCGTCCTCACCCTGTCACCTAAACAAGGTGATTTACAAAGGCCAAAGCTCTGAACTTCAGTTTGCAGACCCCCTGATGGGCTGATGTTGGTTCAGGGTGTTAGTTGAAGGCCACCACAGGACTCATGGGAGTCTTAAAATGTCATCTTGTTGTTTGGTGCTGGACCAGAAGGACTGATAGTAAAAAAATATTGATTTATTTAAGATTTAATTTTATATGACTCAAGGTCCTTTCACACCGGGAGTGTTTTTTTTTCGTGCGATTATTTCGGACGTCAGTATTTTTTTTTTAACCTGTATCCTGTCAATACAAGCGTTCACATCAGCGACGTTTTCCCGTCATGCGATATTGCGGCATTTATTTTTTCATATCACAGTCGAATTTTCTACATTTTTGCATACTGTGTGTCCACTTCTGACTAATCAGATTTCATGTTGTTGAAACATCAGATTCACCAGTAGATCCAACATGGCCAACCGGCTGATTGTTTACGTGTCGGAGAACAGAGTGATTTTTGTCAAAAAACACAAACATTACAAAGATAACGACCTGAAGGACGACTTGTGGAGAGTCATAGCGTCGGATTTCTCACATGACGATGGTTTGTGTGCTTTAACAGTTTGCTAAACGTCTTTTTTTTACTTTCATCTGTGCTAAGTAACTTTAGCTCGTAAGCTAACCTGTTCAGATACAACATACCATATATATTTTCACTGTAAACTCAAACTCAATCACAGCGTTGCTGTCACAGCACCATTAGGTCTCAGTTGTTACCTTACATTCATGGATTATAGTTTAATGTTCTTATCTGGTTCTGGCCCCGACTCAGTACATGCTATCATGACAGACAGACATCTCAACACTAGAGTCTAATCAGAACTGAAAAACACTCAGTCTGGTGTTGTGTCAGTCTTCTCGCTTCCATCCAGGACGCGTCTTTTTTTTCCCCCAGAAAGTCGCAAAATCGCAGCGTGCTTGATGTGTACAGTCAGGCTGTCAAAATTCGCCTCCAAATATTTTGTAATTTCATGTCGTATATTTGCAGCATGCAGCATAAATAGAACATATCATACAGAGAGGATAATGATAGAAACCTTTCTTTTATCCTCAAATATCTGATGCACAGCTAACCAGGTGAAATCATGAAAAATCATAAAAATTGAAGGATTTGAGCTTTTTTTACACGTTTTCTTACAGGCTGCTGATCGAGCAAATCACTCGGTCTTTTCAAACTTATATAAACGTCCTTTATAACATCGAGACTCGGGTTTGATCATGATTCAGGACATCTCTCATTTTTTAACTAAGCAGACGTTGGCTCTCTCTCTTTCGTCTGTCCCTTGGCTTTTCAGACGCACACAGGGATACACCGCTCTCCTCTCTCTTTCTCTTCCTCTGGCTTAATTTTTGTGTTTTCTTCTTGTTTGAATGAATTTCTCTCTTTTTATACTTTTTCTTTCCTCACCCTTTCATCTCTCCTCCTTTTTTACTCCCCTTTAGCACATATTCCCTCGCCCTGTTGTCCCACATTTCCCTTTTTCAGAGCCTCATGCCTTCATCCTTCTACTGTCTGCCCCCCACCCCCCCTCTCTCTTTAACGTTTTTTAATCCTCCTCCTCCTCCTCATTTGTCTCCCCTCTTGTTTCAGGGAGGGTGAGGGATGAGGGTTGTCGAGGGTGGGTGTCTCTTTTTGGGGGTGGCCCACCATCTTGTCTCTGCTGGTGTCCGCCTGGTGCTCTGCCACCTCCATCACCCCTCCTTCCCCTCTTTCTCCTCCACTCTGGATGCTGTAATGGATGACGGGGCAGATCCGGGTGGCCCACAGTCCCTCTGAAAGGGGGGACCCATTGCAGAGGGGGAACAAGTGGAGCCCCCGTAGAGTAGCTGGTGGAGAGCCATTTGATTTGTCCTCCACTTTTCTCCCTGTTTTCTCCCCTGCGAGTGTGTGGTCTCTGTTCGATCCTGGATGTTCGATGGCCCTCATCTCTCAAACCTCTGAATGCAAACCCCCCAAAAAGTGATGCAGAAAAAGGCCAGCGATAAAAGGCTTGCATGGAGGATGCGGGTGGGTCAAAGAAAGTCCTCTCCATCAAAAGAAGAGCCGATTGATTCGCTGCTTTTCTCGCCCATTCACTGCTGGGTGGAGAGGATCTTAGCAGGTGAATGTGCAGACGCTTTAGGCAGATGTTGTCGTGCACAAAAGGATCCAAAGGGCCTCTACAAGGCTTTTCAAGTATTTACAGAACATTTACATTTACATTTCAGGCATTAGGCTGATCCTCTTATCCAGATCGGCCTGCATTGAGTGCAGCAGGAGAATGAGCTTAAATTCCTCGATCAGAAACATTACAAGCTAACAGTAGCAGGGGGCCAAACCGCAGAGCTCCGTGTCAGGTCTCCAGAGTCTGCAGAGGAAGATAAAAGAGTGAATACCAGATCTAGATATGCTGCGATTTAACGACAAGAAAGAATAAAAGACTTGTGGATTTTCTTTGCCCGCCTCATAAGTCCTTAACCATATCCCAAAAAGGTTTATTAAGTACTTGATTCTAATTGAACATGACAGAGCAACATTTCTGATCAAAGGTCAGCTATTTTCTAATAACAAACCTCTGCTGTGAAGAACAGACCGTTGCTAGGGTTACAGCATTAGCTTCTCTCCTGTGAGACACACCCACTGCTGCTCTCCCTGCTCTCCTCTCTCCATCTGTGGTGTCCTTACCATTTTTACTGCTTTGACACAATATGTTAAAGATACAGCAATTTCAGATTCTGCAGCAACATATGCTGCCATTCAGACAATGACTTTTCCAGGGAAGACCTTCATGCAAGACCAAGTGTGGTGTGGGACCATTTTGAGCGGAAAAATGATTTGCCCAAACACTGTGATGCCGTGTACAAGTACTACGACAATGACCCCAATGATGAACCACTCTAACCACAAACATCCGACTGAGGTTAATGAATCCTCCGGGTGCTCTCAGTCTCAGTCTCAGTCTACCATCAGCAACTTGCTAGCGATGAAGTTCTGTAGGGTGACCATATGTCCCCGATTTCCAGGGACAGTCCCAGTTTTGGATGACCCGTTTTCAGCTAAAGTTGTCCTCAGAAATGTCCCTGATTTTAGCATTTCACGAATGAGAAAAAAACAACGGTAATTATGGTAGCCATGCAGGTAGGAAGTGCGAGTAAGCATGTAGCGCACAGTCCTGAACAATCCGTTTGATCAGTTGATCAGTTTTTATATTTGACATGTTGTCTTTTCTCTATTTTTAATTATTATAGGCTTTAAATGATTTTGAAAAACATTCGGCATAAAGTCCAAACTTTGTCAGAACCTTGGTAGTAAGTCTTCATCCATTTGAACTGATTGCACCTTGAGGTTCTGTGCATGATTCAGGTGAGTCGACTCTTTAGATAAACACTTAAAGTTGGTGCAGTCAGCTGTAGACTTGTGCAGCGCTCAGCAGATGTTTTCTCTTGAGCCAATCAGTCTGCCAGCCTCAGAGAAAACGTGTCCTCCTCCTGGTCAGACTGGTTCTGTGTCCCTCTGTGAGAGGCCTCAGGTTGTGTTTACACACCTGAGCTGTTGCACAAAGCCGGACAGGACTCGGCTGAACTTCACCCATGAGGCTCGTCTGCTAGGAGAGGTGTGTAGAAGCTGTGAAAGGTTAATCCTGTTAGTCTGTGAAGTATCAGACATTTGCAGCAGTTAGATCTAATTGGAAGCAGATGTGAAGATTTCGGGATGTCATTGAAAGCAGCTGAAATGGATTTGGGATGAAACCAAAATGGATTAATTCCAGATGTGCGGACAGGCCCAGAGGTCTGTTTAGGGCAGGGTTATAACTGTTGCACTCCTGTTCAGATAATTGGATAATCTTGCAGAAATTGAGTTTAAAACTGGAGATGTGCTCCCCAGAGGATACGCTGCTCACGGCTCATTTTTGAGAGGCAGTAATCTAATCAAGAAGTTTCCTATACAAATGCTCAACTGACTTCAAAATCGATCCTAAAAGTCATTTTTTGAATAAGAGGGCACTTATGAACCTCTTTTAATTTTAGCACAGTTAAGTCCTCTGTCTGTTTGTTTGAGAAGACTGTGAGGTTGTACGAGTAACGTGTCACAAGTAAGCGACAATGGATGCAAGTAAGCCCCGCCCCTTTAATGTGGAACAGCCTGGAGAACCGGTAAGCAAGCTAGGCTACAGTTTTCCGCAAGTCTGCCGCATGTTGTAATAATTCAAAGAGACCGCACCTCAACTACTTGGTAAATGCCTAAAAAAAGTCTGGAGTTGATGTTTGTAGCTCTTAATTCTCTGTAAGTTCCTCTGAGCATACAGCAGACGGATGTTTCTGCATCTCCGCGTTTGACGGCTGCAGCAGAAAGAGCAAGCAGCAAGGAGGTCAGGCGGAGGGGAGACAGCTGGTGATGGAGGTGAACAGCAGGAGGTCGGCACTAACAGCTCCAGACAAATAGCAGCATCTGGACTGCCAAGAGCTCACTTAGAGAGGATATTTATAGAGTCAAAGTACAGTAACACTTCACCTCATGGAACACTACAGTTTGGTCTTTCTACTGATGTAGTTTGGGTTAGTTAACTACAGAAAATACCTTATCAAATACTTTTGTACTAAAATAAGAACATTTTAGATACATTACAGGAAGTTATAGGTAGAAATGTCTTGAATCACAGCAGATGACTAGAGCAGTTTTCACCAAAAGCATGATGGGAAATAATCCCAGAAGGTATCTCGCTGGAGTTAAATGTAAATGAACCCCACTAAATCTTTCTACATCTACGAGTTCACAACGGCATTGTCTGAAAGTTGTTCTCAGATCTTTTTGTTGAAATTGAAGTTTGGTAGAAGAGAGGAGGCCTGTCAGAGGAATACTTGATGGCTGGTATTTTGGTGACTCCGGTGAAACTGCATTAAAAACAGACAAGACTCTGGAGTGGAAATCAACACATGGGCTTAAATTCACTTCCAAAATCCACTGTCTACCAAAGTCATACTATATTTTACTTTCTGAACTCCAGAATCCAGTCTCCTGGTTCCTGGATGTTCACAGTCTTGTTTGCTTTACTGCATGTAATTGTTACCCAAGATTTCCACCGCATCCAGAAGGGCGGTAATCGCGAGAACTCACAAGAACCAGCGGATTCACGTGCAATTATGCAATAACGAGACGTCGCTTAGCCACTAACCATAAAGTAGATTGTGTCCTTCCAGAGGAGGAAATCTACTTCTAGACTTCTAGAATCAGCATCTCCTCATCCACGTCTAAAAACCTTTCACTTGTTCGTCCCCAAACGTTTCCATGGTGTGAATTACAATCCACCTGAAACACAGAGTGTTTTATTTTGAAAAGAAACAGGATGTTTTATTTTGTGTCTGTCCCCAAATTCCTTTCCAGCACAGTTTAATCTGTGCTGAATTTATCCGGCACTCATTGGCATCCGGAAAAAAAAAAACTCTTGCGATCAGCTGAGGAGTCCAGCGATCCACAACAGAATGGAATGAATCCGGTGGAAATTGACACATTAACTTGAATGATTACGATCGGCGGATACTGCCTTTTCGTAGCCGTTCCGGATGCGGTGGAAATTGGGGGCAACTGTATGTCTGGCTGCAGTGATTTTGTCTTTTACTGCTAAAATCACAAACTATTAAACAGGATAATCCCATTAAGGGAGAACATCTGGAAACAAGCGGATCAAAATGTCTTACAGTCAGCGATGAGGTTCAGACATCTGCCATCATTACTTTTCCTTCCTGGTGAGGGAAATCCAGCAGAAGTGTGTCAAGGTTAAAAAGAGACAAAGTGTTCAATCCATAATTTCCTCTGCGCCCCCCTGCTGCTCATTTCAATTAGGTCATTCCTCAAAATAGTCGCCGGTCCCCGAGGCCCCGTCACAAACCGTCTGCCTGCTAATGAGCTGCCGATGCTGCGGATGCCGCCGCGCTCGAGCTGCACGCCTGAGTCATGCAGGTGAAAAAGCAATTAGTGACTCCTGCAGGGCGACTCCTGCAGATGATGTAGCGCTGACATCATCTGGAGGCGGGACATCCTGCTGAGTGACAGAGCGGACAGGTGAAGGTTTGAGTGGACAGGAGGTGAAGATGTTGAACTCAGTTTAATAAAGTCAGGCTCAGTTAGGTTTTGGCTCACAGACGAGAGGGTTTGGCACTGGTCTTCTGTGAACCAGACCCTCAGTGTGACTGCTGGTCTGTGAATCTTTTCATGTTCACATCGAAGGCCACACACACACAAAGCAAAGCATGCTGGGAGGTAGAGTAACACTCAAACGAGGCTGACTGCATCCTGCTGGAGCTTCAACAAAAACAAACGGAGTCTGAGAGCCGAGAATCTGCAGAGCTGTCACTCCCAGAGTCAGCCTGTGATTTCTGCCTGTTTGAAGGAAGTTTGTTCTTCCGACTGTTTAGAGTCTCATCAGGAGTCTGACTGTGATAAAGATGCTTTTATATCCCCTTTTAAAGCTTTTGGGTAAATTTATATCAATGCTTTTTATGATTCAGAAGCAAACAAGACCACCAGGGACGAGATTTAGAGTTCTTATGTTGTCATTTTTAAAGCTGAAGCTGGTGTGAGGATGTGAGCCGAGCAGCTGGAGAACAATCTTTGTTCAATGACAGATTAGACTGTTAATTGTCCTTTTGTCAAAAAACACTACGTGACCATTTGGAGGAAAGATTGTAAAATGAATTAAAACCTAATTCTCATGAACTCACGGCTTCATGATATATGATCTTATTAGGGTAATTCATGACTAATTCCTTGTACTACAGGACTTTGTTGTAGTAATATGATTTTAGATTTTATTCTCATAAAACTGTTTCTTTCATTCTTAAAAGAAAAGTTACAACCTCATGTCGGTGAATTTATCATCGTTCTCTCTCTACTAAATCGATCCTGTCAAAATATCAACTTTACTCTCTTGACGACTTGTTTCTTATAAATTTAAACAAAGACTTTGATTTAATGATAATAAAACAAGACCATTATATGTAAACTTTCGACTTCATTTTCCTGATGTTCTGACTTTTTGTTTAAGCTGACGTCACTCTCCTGCATTTACAACTTTTTTTCTCATATTACGACCTCTTGTTAGAATTTTATAGTCTGACTTAATTTTTGTTGAAGTTTTCACTTAATTCTTTTAGAATTATGACTTAAATCTTTCAAATTTCTTGTAAAGTTTGAATTAAATCTTGTAAAGTAACAGTTTTATTTATTTTTTATCTGGTGAATTTATTCTTGTAAAATAAAAACTTTAGTTTTGTTCGACTTTTTTAAATTATATTCTGACCAAATTTTTGTTGAATTTAAACTTACGTTTTTTTTAATCACTTTCTTATCTTGTGACGTTACTGTTCTTAAAGTATGACTGTTTTGCAGAAATTGATAACCATCTTTCTCTAATAACTTTATCCTCATAAAAAAGGACTTAATCTGGGAAATGTTGACTTACATCTTGTTATTGTTTGACTTGAAATCATATTATTTTAAAAATAATGTTCTTTATATTAGTGCTCTACTCTGTAAAAATGCAATATCTGATCACACATTTTATAACCTTGTGTGATTTTTAATGTCTCATATTAAAGGGATGTTGGACCTGTTGACAAAATAAGAAAATGTTTTCAGGATGTAAATTGGTCCCATTTCAAAAATCTATTTTAACTTTTTTTTTGTTGCCTTTTTTATTCTTTTCTGTCCCTTTAAGTCATGAATAACCACAAACATCCTTCATGAGTTATTTATAACATTAAGTGAAACCAGCTTCACCTTAAAAAAGTGAGCTCTGGCTGCCAGCGTCTTTCTTTCAGCGCTCGCTGTTTTACCCAGTTGGCAGCTGAGAAATCCTACGTGACTTGAATGCAGCGTTTGCTTCAATTTAACTGTAAATAATCTGAACATGTTTACCAGACGTTTTCAGAATATCAGACTTTTTATATCAAAGATGTTTATAAGAAGTTTTTTGTCAAAGAGCATACACACACACACACACACACGCTCTCACTCACACACACACACACTGTCATTGTCTCGACTGTGGGATACTGTGTTGGCTCTCTCTCTGTCGTCCTTTCAGCTCTGCTGTTTAATTAAGTCGTTTTTCTGTTGGAGAAGTTTTCCTCTGGGCCTCTGACAAAATGTTTCATCACCGTGTGTTTGATAACTTTGGAGAGCAGCTCGCCACACACAGACCGTTTCAGCCAGAGTGAAAGTTTTCAGAGCCAATGAGAGGTCCTGATGTTCATCGCTGGTATCTGCATTTACCTTTGGGAGCACAAAGATGAAAATAAGCCATAGTTTATGAGATGTTATACCATCCGTCTCTTCATGCTGATCTCCAGGCTTCAGCTGGGTGATGCTCCTGGTTGTGGACAAACTTTGGACCTGGTTCTTAGTTACGTACTCTTATAGTTCCCCTTTAAGCTGTGAGAAGTTGGCACTTTGAGAACCAGGGTAAGATTTCTCTCACTGTTGGCATTTCCAGGAGGTCTTTTTAGGCTTGTCATCTTCAGGATACTGTGAACGACATTTGTGAACAGTTGAAAAAATTTTATAACTAATACATGATACTATAAAAATGAACACTTGGGCAGAAATCAACATGACACCATCAAACTGAAATGATAAAAACTATGTCTGTGAAAGGAAACATTGGACCTGTATTTTAATTTTCTAGTTTAACTCATGTCACATCTGTTAACATGGAGGAGGCGGAGCTTATGGCCTATAATGCAGCCAGTCTGTAGGGGGATCTCAAGATTATTCGGCTACAATTTTAGGATGCTATCTTTTCATCATATTTGTTAAATCAATGAGACCTTGAGTGAGTAGTTTTGCTTTTTAATGATGTTGCAACCATCATCAGGGCCTGAGTCCACTGACACCTTTTAATTTCTATACAAAGCCACAACAAAGGCTTATGTCCACTGACAGCATTTATTTCGTGTACAAAACCATAATAGGGGCCTGTGTCCACTGACATTTATTTTGTACTACCAAAACGGTTCAGCGTTTTTAACCCTCACCGTCAGCGGATTTTTTGTCACTGTACCCTCAGCTCATTAAGTCAAATTTTTGTAGCAGTGCTTGGATTGTTAGCATTACTCCTCAGTCAGCAACCAATTAGAATTTAGAAAGGGCGGAGCTGTCGATATCAGCTTTGTAAACAGCAACAGTAGGAAAAATCAGACCAAGTAACTTTTCTAACGGTAAAGTGTCCGTGAAGCCAGAGAAAGAACCTTTATTATATTTCTTTTTTGGTAAAATTTGCTTGAATGTGAGCGGAAAAAAATACCATAGAACAATTAAAAACAGACCTAACTGTAAGACAAAAGAAAGTGGAAGTGCTGATGAGCAGCACTCTGAGATGGTCATTTTTGGTGCTTTCATGGGCACAAAATGCTGAAAGTGGACACGGGCCCTGAAAGCCTTCGAACAAAGTTACTTTTTATCGTTACCTGTATTATCCGAGAAAGAAAGAACTTATACCCACAGAGTTACACAAATGTTTTTGTTAAACTTTTGCAGAACATTTATGATACATAACCAAATTTATGTGAACTTTGACCCCAGTGCAGGATGTTGAGACATAATCCTTTTGTCGTCCACACATGATGAGCTGCCATCAATAACAACACGGCGGTTCTGAAAAAGCTGGTTTCCATTTTCACGTCCGTAAACACACTAACTCCAGACTCAGACAAACAGATTTCTTTGGATGTTTGGAGGACTTTTCGTGCTGCCGTCCAGATTGTGTGAATGAATGAGTCTGTGTGCACATTTGGAGCGATTGTGTAACCGCTCTGGGTCCTTCAATGGGAAGACGACGATACTGCCTGGGCAGTCTGGAAGGACCAGCTGCTCTTATTACCGCTCTCGTCTGCTTGGAGCAAAAGTTTCACCTTTTGGAGGAAATACTCTGACTTTCTTTTCTAAAGGAGAGTTTGGTTTGAATGTCGTTGAAGCTGCTTTGAGTGTAAAACAACGTTTCACATTATCATCTCTTACTGTTTTGGCATGTTTATGTGGTCATTTCCTCCATTTCTGTGTTGTTGTGCGCACAGAAATATCTAAAAAGACCTCTAGTGTGGAGAGATATCTGCAAAATATCTGAACATATGTGGACGAAGCTTCAGCACGCTGGTACTTTCCCTGATCATGTGGTCTCTTGCTAGTCTGATTACCGGTCAAGTTCCTCGAGTCCACCCAGAAACCACTTTGTTTACACATTACCTCAAAAGTTCCCGAGGGAGAACATCTGGGAAATTTGGGAACCTAAAACCCACAAACATACACATTTCTGCTTTGGTCTCTGATTGATGCCAACATTAGCCTCGTGTTTCAGCTCTTCAAAAGGTTTACAGCTTAATGTATTGCAGCCACGAGACTAAATAAATCATGGTGTATGTTCTGCTCTGCAGCAGCCTGGATGTAAAGCTGAGGCCGGTTAGCTAACAGCAGAGGTTTTAAAATAAATACCATGTCCATAAGACGACTGTGTTGGAGCTGTACCTTTCTCAGTTTCTCTCCAAACCGTCCTCTTCCTGTAAACAAGTCGCTCTGAGTGGGAGCTCTTTGTGTAAACATCCCGGCCGCTCTCCGAGTGTTTGGAGCCGCTGGCTGTGGAGGTGACGGCCGGGCACGGCAACAAAGAGAGGCGGTCTGAAGGTTTGTGTGAGATTGATGCAGCAGCAGGAGAGGCTGGCAACGGGTGAACGGCGGGCAGGTACCCAGCAGACTTTCAGAGGCTGAATAGGTGTTGATGGGATGGCCTGCGTCACCGCTGAGAGCTGGTCTTGGTTCAACAGAGGGAGAGGAAAACGAGGTGACATCTGCAGACATCCAGATCTGCTTTGGTGAAATCTGGAAACTGAGATCTGTCTCCTGAGCTCCCAAAGAGCTGCCCCCCTAAAACTGCCAAAGTTTACTCTCCGTTATATTTAGACTTGATTTGATAAATCTGTGGATAATTTTCATCTAATGATGGACAATCTTATTCAGTCTGAGTATTTCCCAATGACCCCAAACATTTAAATGTTCGTTTTGGCCAAAGCTTAAAAAAAAACCTGAAACAAAGATGTAATCATCGGAAGTTTAAGGAGTGATTTTCACTTCAGACCTTGGTTTTGGAACTTGTCCCTTTAGTACAGAGATTTCTCCAGATCCTCTGAATCTTTGAATATTATGTACTGTTGATAATGAAATCCACCCAGAAGAGTAAGCCATATTGACAAGGTCCTCTTGTTATTATTTTTACTTATGCTGGTAAAATCGTCCATCTAATGGGGCGTCCACACCAAGTGGGAGTAATGATCTGCGTGTCAACAGAGTGCTTAAAATCTGTGGATATCAGCTCATGCTAATTTCAACAGTGATCGTTGCCAATTCAACCAGCAGGATCAAGTAATAGATAACGGTTTTTACAACTTACCAAATTATCCGACCTCTTCTCTCACTTTCCTCCAGGTAGGCTCCTTTTAATTCCTGTTTTTATTTAAAAAAGTTGTGGATACAAGAGAGGAGGAGAGTCTCCATCAAGCATGGTACGAGTGAACCAGGAGTTTTTGTTGTGGAAGGACCACAACCGTCTGAGATGTAGGCGACGCCATGTCTGGGTCTCCTCCAATCACTGTGCTTGGATGACGGCTGTTTCCAGCTGTATTTTCAAGTTACCCAAACCCAAATTTGACGACCTGTTGGTGAGGGTCGCTGCCAGGATATCCCTCCAGGATACTAATTACAGGCGCTCTGTCCCAGCTGCAGAGCGCCTGTCCATCTGTCTGCTGTGAGTAAAAGGATTTGTGGATTTTAACACCAGTGGACATCTTATGGTCCGTTTTCATACGTCACCAGGGAATCTTGGTGCTGATTGGTTATCGCGACGCAAATATTTGCCTGAGTTGAGATATTTTCAACCCTCACAAATTCGCGTCATTCGTGCCAGAGTAGAACAAGCAGCTAATCGCATCTTTGCATCGACTTCACATGTAATTCATTCGCACGAATGATCTTACTTGTGCTCAGTGTGAACGCCCCATATCATGAGATCCAATAGGGATTGACGCTTCAGGATCTGCACTTTTTCTAATCGTATGCATCCAAAAATGGAGGTTGCCATCGAAGCATGATCCATCAGGGCAGGTGTGACACTTTGAGCTCCTGATTGATCTCAGCAGGACTTGAAACCTGCTTCTTGTTGAGGCTGCAGCGCTCCAAGTCTAAACCAGCTCTGTGACTGCACAGTGTTTGGCTGCAGCCCAAAGAGGTCGCTGATGGAAACTGTAGACAGTCAGATCCATTATTCATCTGCTCTCCCCCGGGAAAGATCATTTGTTTCTGACTACAGATACAGGTCACACATGAGTGCATGAACACACACACACTTAAACACACACTGAGGGCTGTTCAGTCTTATCACAGAGGAGCTGGTGTTGGAGGATGAGAGCCAGAGACATTACTCTGCAGTTAAACGTTACGAACATGACCACACATGAAAACACACAAAGAGAGGGGGAGTGTGTTGACTCACAGGAGGAGGTCGAGTCCGAGCTTGAATTTTTATGATTTTAGGAAGAATGTTCAGCATTAACTGCAGCCTAGTTTCAGTTCATTTGCATGTATCACTTTGAACTTTTGGGCAAACTTGCAGGATCATGTGAAAAGTTCTACCTGTGCGTGCACAAAGTTCAGTCTCTCCTCACTCGACTGGGAGGAACATTCAAATTAAAGTAATTTTGACAGTAATGCGTTTCTTTTTTCTTGGGGAGGCTCTGATTTTCAAGAAATAAAGTTTCCTGATACAAAAAAGAAAAATAAGGTGATTCCTCCACAGTGTACGAGGTAGGGCTGCACGATGAATGGATTTTAAATCGTAATTGGATTATTTGATGATGATGATGATGTTTTCTCTCTATCATGTCTCGCGCCTCCAGGCCACCGTAGGTTCCCCTTTCCTGCAGTTCCCACACACACCAGTGTAAACAAACATGGCGTTTGCAAAAGAAGGCGATAATTTCGCGGCTAAACAGGAGAAGAGCGAGTCAGTCGTGTGGAATTGGTACGACTTCACAGTTTCAGATGAAGAGTAAACCACTCCCCGCTGCAAAGTCTGTCTGAAGGCGGTATCAACCCGTCACCACGGAAACAAATTCAGGAGAAAATGCAAAAGTTTTTTGTCGTATCGGCGTTTCAGGTGACTGTAAATGTTACTTTTTGAAAACGGGTCAAAACGACACACAGCGTAACTCCTTTATGGCATCTGCGCGTGTCCGACCAAAACATCCTTTCTTCACACGCTCTGTACTCTTCTTCTGTCTTTTGTGCATTTCCTCGGCAGCATTACAGCGCCACTTACTGGCTTGGCATATGCACTACATCGTTTTCAGTGGTTTCATTTTGAGAGACGATAGAAAAACTTTTTATTTTAAAGTGAAGTTTGGTGAAGTCGTCACTGAATAAAAAATTTGAAATCAAAAATCGAGTTTTCAGAGAGAAAAAAAAGGATTTTATTTTTGGCCAAAATCATGCAGCCATAGTACCAGGTGAGGTCCTTGGTTGAGTTCAGCTCACAGAAACTTTGACGGCGGTTAAAGTGACCAGTTTATCTGGATTAGACACTCTCTTCCTCCCTTCACTCATTTTAAATTGAGGGATGTGTGTTCAACGATGAGCTTACTTTACCAAACGGGTCGTAACCATGCGATCACAGATGATCGATGAGGGAGAAAATTCACCAACTTGATCTCTGGTGCTACGAGTCGGCTTGACCTGAACAAGTGACGGTCCATGTCCACGATGAGGCTTTAACCAGATTTAAGAGCCGTCTTCAGGGTTAAACAGCTCTCCTTTGTTTCACAGCCCACTGTTGTGCAGGTTGCAGCTCACTTTTTTAGTAGAAGAAATCTACTTAAGTGCATTTTATGGACAGAATTTAAAATGAATCCACTTTTCCATGCTGAAGACTACCTCAGATGACTTATCTCAGATTGATTCTTGCTCCTGTTGTCCGTGTCTTCCGCCTTCCTGGTGTGCACATGTGAAATAATCCTCTCAGCGTCTCTGCTTCCTTCATGTTTCGTCCTTCTTTTAGGGCTCTGCCTGTATATAATCCAGCGCTTTTGTTCTTCACCATTTATAGTTAAAAGGGAAGGATGAGAGCGGCTGATCGATGAGGAGAAGATCCACCCTGAGGCCCGTGTTCGGTTGATGAGTTTTCTCCCCCCCTCTGAGTTAACGCTCCCAGCAGAACTGACTTTTATTGGTCCAACGCCTGCAGCGGTGTGACGGGGCGCTTTGATTCTTCTGTTGGTGGTCCTTTTAGTGGATTTCTGAGTTTTTATAGAAGTTCTGCCGTGTCTGACTGTAGTGGAAGAACTTTGATGAATCACTCTGCCTCATAAAGGTCAAACTCTGTTTCACTACCAATGCAGACCAAAGCCTGTGTGGAAATAGTCGTTTTTTTTTTTGAAAAATGTTTTTTTGGCTTTTTGAGATGAATACAAACATGACAGTTTAGGGTAAAACATGTAATACAGACACTGAGTCAAAGAAAGTGTGTTTTAAAGGCTCTCTGAATACAAGTATGAGTTTAAGAAGAAGTGCAAATACCTGAGACGAGGCGCATCGTGACTTCCTGTACAATTCACTGTCAAATTTGATGTATAAGACGCACCTTTAACACCTTTTTTGTCGCTTAAATAGAAACTACACCCATGTACATTATCTTACATATGGTCTTAAGACGTCTACACATCCAAAGACGTCTGAAGACCATAATCAAGACGTCTCAAGACATTTTTATACATCAAGACGTCTTAAGACATCTCAAGACAAAAATTTGAAGACGTCACCCATGTCTAAAGACATCCCAGAGCAGAAAACAGGATTCACCCTGACATATTTTTGTGTCTGAAGACATCTTAAGACACATTTGCTTTGTCTTCAGACATCCACATCTTAAGACGGCTTCAGACGTAGTCGTCTGGCAGATGGTGCATGAAAAGACGAGTTTTTACTCATTTAAAGAACACGGTAGTTTACTGTTCGGTAAAATACTCTCATGGGGTGTTGGAGAGAACTTCTTAGTTTGAGAGACGAAAGCACACAAATCTCGGTACTGGTACTGTCCGGCTGCAAACTCTACATCTACTAACGCCGCACAAAGCTCAACCACTGCAAGAGATCAGATGGTAGAAAGAGCTTCACACCTGCACAGAAACTGTATGTTGTGGACTTTCCAACTGAAGCATGTCCCCAAAAAACTGGATTTGTCTAACATACCAGTTCCACCTATACTCCAGATTTTACAGTAAACCTGCAGACACACACAAATGTTCTCTGCACATCCAAAGTCCAGATTAAGACTGTGAATGGTTTGGATTGGATTGGTGGTCCTCCTGATCAACTCTGAGGTAAGAAGCACTTAGATTTTACTTTGGTGACTCCGACTTGAACACTAGAGTCCTAAAACCTGACGTGGACTCAAGGTTCGGTGGCCTGACTGGATCTACCTCCTTGTTTTGAGGAGAGAGGACCAGAAGTGGATGATGGGAGTTTTATGGGAGAAAAACTCCTTTAATACAGGACAGGAACGTCAGCAGCTTTAGTGGACGTGTTTGGACAGCAGAGGTTTCCTCTCTCGGTCTACTGACAGATCAGGCCTGGGGTCGGACCTCTGAAGTGTAAAATAAGCCAGCTGTTCAGGCTCATCCTCCCGTCCACTGAGCTCAGAGGCTTTCAGGCTGTTTTTACTCCCAGTCAGAGCTGGAGCTGAAAGACTGAAACTCCAGGAAGAGTCTGAACCTGACCTTCAGCTCGGCACTGGTGGATCCTTCAGGCTTAGGCAGGCTGAAGGTGGACTCGGAGAAGATATTACAGCGCTAACAGAGGAATGTGATGACAGGATGTTGTTTGTTGAAGTGAAGACGTGAACCTGATGCAGTAAAACCAGAAATTTGATGAAAACCAAAAATCGATTTCGACCATCAAAAACTAAAACTTCATTCGTGTTGATATCTTACCAAGTCAGATACTTTTCAGCAGTAATTATCATTAAATTATCATCATTGTTCAAATGTATCAAACAACAACAACATTATAATGAGATCAGAATTAAATATCCACGATCGGCAGAGCTGCTCTCAATCAATCGTCCACTATTTGCGAGTGTAACCTTGTCCACACACACACACATCACTACAGCTTTTTTCTTTCTCTGTCGACCTTTTGTTTACGGCCAAACTTCCTACAACGCTTCTCAACTTCCTGGCGTGCTAACTCGTGAGCGCGTGCAGAGCGCTAAGGCCAGTTTCAGTCGCACAAAGGCGATAAATCCTTTATTTTGGACGGTCTGTGACTGACAGAGTGTACAAAAGTCATAATAATCAGTTGCAGACAGTGTGAGGGGATTAACCACGTCCTCTTGGTGTCGTTTAAACGGTTAAATTGGCGTTCAGACTCCATGCATGCATCAGTAGATGGAGGATATTCGCTTTGACGTTTTCCGTTCAGATAAAGCCGCCGGAGCAGAGGGTCGTACCATCTTACAGAAATAAAAGCTCAGACTGTCCAAAGATTAACCTGCTGTACCCTTTCCAGTCTGAGTCCTCGGTATTACTGCAACGCCCCTCGTACCCCCTCGCCCCCCTGGTATCAGGAGAGGGGCAGGGAATCGGCTGGTTGTGTCGGGAAGGGGGGCGGGGTCGTCGCGCATTCTGGCACAGGCTCCAGTTCTCACCCCACCAGCCAGTGGACGTCCCGGCTCTCCCAGGGCTCGGCTAATCCTCTTATTCAGCGTCCGGCTGGAGGCAGCGGGGCTCCCACAGACCGGAGCGCCGAGCCGGCCACTCTCCGCTGAATAAACACACTGACACAGTTGTGGTCTCTTTCTCTCCGTACAGACGCTGAGCAAGAGTTCTCCATAGAATCTATTCTACTCATTCACTCTTTTCCAGTAGAACTTAAGCATGTAACCCCCCAACCCCTTCACCAACCCCTTCACAGACCCCTCCGCTTTCTGTGCCCAATCCCACCCCTCTTCACCGGCTCCATCACCCTCCCATCCTCACTTCCTCCTCTGCATTCGTCCTCCTCCAGATTTCAGCTGCTGCTCCTCATTTTACTCCTTCACCGCAAATCTGATCAGTGAAATCTCTCTTTAAAATGTTTGCTAACGTCAGGAGCTCACAGGCCTTTAAAACGTCGCTCACGGACGAATGATTTCAGTCCAAAACAATCATGAAGAGCTGGATAGTGGGGATGGGCGATAAGGGCTAAAAAATTATCACAATAAGTTTTATTCTGGCGATAACTACAAAAGTCCCGATGTAAAATATTATGATTCCAATCTATATTTTTGACTCCTTCTGTCTTGAGAACATCAGTTGGAGTCGTCAAATAAGATCCTTTACCACATGTTTGAGTTGTAGGTTATGGAGAAAACGAATTACATCAAACAAATCTCAAATGTGAAAACAATTTCGACATCTGTTGAAAACTCTTAATACACAGAGTGAACAGCAGCAGATCCACTGTCCGATGTCAGGCAGGCCTGATCGCGCTCATCTAAACCCCGATGTTGAAGGAAATCCCTCATTTGGAGCCTCGTTCAGTAACGAGCTGCTCAGAAACGTCTTCTTCGTCACCTTCGGCCATCTTTGTTTGTTATTCTGCTCTGTGTGGACTACGGCTGCGAGTCTGTCGCTCGCTTTTATGTCATCAGCTTGCATTTATCGAATTTATCATGAGATGGCAGATATTTATCATGGAGGATTTTTCTGACGATATATTGTGAACAATAGTTTGTAATAATAATGACAATAACTTTATTTGTATAGCACTTTTAAAAACAGAAAACAGTCATAGAACACATGGAAGAAGACAGATAAAAACCAAAAGCTCAGTTAAAACAGAATTGAAGGACATTTTCATAAGTCATAAGGAACCCAGACAATACAAGAACCCGTGCAGCATGAAGTGAGACCATGAGGACCAAAATAAAAACATAAAACAGTTCAGAAAAAAGAAATTGCAATTAAAAGGGGGGTCAAAAGCGGAAACAGGATTGTAAATATAAAATGCAATATCAATAATGATAATAAAATAATAACAGGTAATACTGATAATGATAGTAATGATAAAATAGAGCAACAGAAATGAGGGAGAGGTCAAACAATAAAAGGTCTAAAAGGTTAATTAAGAAAAGAGTACAAGTATAACAAAAGCTAAAAAAGACAGTAAAGCCGATTTATCGCCCATCCCTACTGAATAGGTTTTAGTGGCGTAAAAAGGAATCGAAAAGGGATATCAGACATTTTTAAGCTGACAGAAAAACTTTTGGAAAAAAGAAGTTTAAAAAATCAATCAAAGTCGAGCAGATCGGGTCAATTTGTCCTTCATCATTCGACTTGGCAAGTCTCTCACTGGTCGAACCCAAGCGGTTCGATTAGAAGGTGCTAAAGGCACAAGGGGGTACCACAAGGATCAGTTCTGGGCCCGCTACTATTTGAATTGCTTAATTCAATTGCTGCTTATTATTTAGGAAATAGCTGATTTTCTTAACTCAGACACTTTTTTCCGTCCCTGTGTTTGATTTTTTTTTTGGTGAAAATAATCCCGTAGCCTTCAGGAGCTCGCTGTTTTATTCATGTGTTTGCAGTTTGACCGTGTCCTTTCTGACACGGGTACTTGGTGACACTCAGCAGGTGTTTTCTTTGTAGTCAGCGACACAAAAGGTTCCCAGTCCCGCTCATGTGTCAGGTTTTGTGTCATGAGGCCGGTGTGGTCTGTAACGGAAACCTGCAGCGTTTGATGTGTGTGTACGTCAGGAGTGATGTCTGTCCTGCGGCACAGAGAGGATCAGACGCGCGGCGAGGAAGTGATGGATTGAAAGTGATGCAGCAGATGCTCACAGTGACTGGTGCCATTTAACAGCACAGCAACAGTAAAACATGCCGACACACATTTTTGATGGAATTTGGTTCATAAAATCGTGAATTTGAAGGGAAACAAAGTGGAAGTCTAGTCCAGTTTCAGCTGCTTCTGTTCAGATTCCAAACTCACGGCTGTGTCACTCACTGGTGTACTGCACTTCAGTCTGGTTTCTCAGCAGGACTCTTCTTCTACAGAGCCATGCTGTTGGAATTCCTGTTGTCAGAATGTGGTCTGGGATCTTATAAAGGTCTTCCCTGAAAAAAGTCAGTGTCTGGATAGCAGCAGATGTTGCTCCTAAACCTTTAAAACTAAGGATGCAGCATCTATGATTTCCAGTTCTTTGTTAAAAGGACAACTGGACTTACAGCGAAACGTCTCAAGTAAGTCCAGTTGTCCTTTCCATGCAGTGATGTCTGGATGGCAGCAGATGTTTCTCTTTAACCTGGAGATATTGTTCAGCACTAATGGACCCTTGACAGATGATGTGGTCTCCGATGATCCCCAGACCATCAGGGATTCTGGATTTGGATTTGGAGCTGATGTTTGGTTGTAAAGTTTGAAATTCAACCTCAATAGTTAATTTCTTTTTTTCTAGCAACTTTTCCAGAGCTCTGGTGTCCCTGGACCAACTTTTTTTAGATGTGTTCATGCCATCAAATCTATTTTTTTTTTATGAAATCGTAGTTTGTTTGGTTTTAACATTTCATATACAGTCCTAAATCGCCCAGTTTCTTTTAAAACCGGGCTACATTGGAAATATTAGGTGTCAGACCCTCAATCAAGACTCTGTTTATATTGTCACTTTTCATACCTGTGAAAACTCTGGTATTACCCCCCACACACACACACACACACCCACACACACAGATGCAGCAGTAATGGAGTCTTGTTGATGTGGCGTCCAGAGAGGCGACAGGTGTTTCGTGTCAGAGCCGCTGTCTGTTTACTTTGTCTGGTTTCCATTTCCACCCCGACTCAGACAAGAGCACACGGCGTCCCATCGATCCTGACCCACCTGACTGTACTGAGGTCAGAGAGAGAGAGAGGCGAGGAGGGGGAGGATGGGAGTGAAGAGGTTTCAGTCAAATGAGCCGGACTGTCCGTCAACACAATGGACTGACTCCTCCGGTCTAACAGCAGCGACGCCCGTCTGTTTTCCACCGTTATCAGAGTCCAGCCTGCAGTTGAGCTTTTACTGATAGTTCACAAAGTTTTAGAGTCAATATGATTGATTTCTCATCAAGTTAACGATTGTGTCTGAGACTCTCTATCAGGGCTGCAAATAAAATCCTGATTTTTGTCTCTGAAAACTTTTTTTTATTCAGTGACAACTTCACCAAACTTCACTTTCAAATTAAAAAGGTTTTCCGGTCTGATGCTGTTCAGTCTCTTGGGTGTAAAATTTGCAGAAGTTCAAGGTTGTTGAAGTTATCTCCAATTATATCATTTTTTTAATTAACCTGAACAATAAGGGACTAAATAATGAATAGAAATGTTCCAACAGAGCTGAAGGACAGACAGACAGACAGACAGGAGACGATAATGACTCAGGGACGTCCTCACTCAGCTCACTGCAGAGGAAGTTAAACCTGCTTCTTGTTACTTGAACTTCTCACCCCTGACCTCGTAAACTAAAGGTCGTGACCCTGCCACAGAGTGGGTGTCGGAGGATGATGCTTTAAGTGAAAGCAGCAGAGCAAGGCTACTGCAAGGAAACATCAGGACAAAGACAAACGACCTCACTTCATCCCGCCGCTCTTCTTTATCGCTGCTTTCTGAAGGAAACAAGCTGTGGCTGTAGGTCAGCTGGAAAGCTGGAATGCGTTGCTGTAAATCTTATTCATTCTCCATGTATGGTCGTGCAATGATTCATGGGAAAGCGGCAGGGAGCAAGTTTGTGCCTCATCAGGAGGTTTAGTTCCACCTTGGTGCTCCGTTGGTCCTCTTTTCCTCAGGAATACGAGTTCAGGGTCTTCTCTGCTGGACTTGAGTCGTGTTTCTGCATCTCTTCTTTAGATTCAGGGATTAAACTTTCTACACTCTGACTGAAATAAAATGGGTGACCAGGTCCTCCTGTCGGGATCCAGCAGAGCAGAAAAAGACCCGATCTGCAGAAACTTTTCCCTGAGCTGAGTCTCACAGGCTGATCTAGTGTAACTTTTCCACAAACACCATCATCACTTTCTGAAATCATCTTCAATCTAAATAATCAATGTAATCTTTTCTTTAGTCTTTAACAAGTAGGATTGAAATATTTGTATGTTTGTTTGTTTGTTTGGGCTTTTTGCACTTAATGCAGTTTTGGGATGTGAGCTAAATAAATGTAGACAGTATGTAGATGTAGATGTAGATGTAGATGTATGGAATCTAGATGAGTTTAGGCTCACACCTTCATCAAAACTTCTGGTATCAGATCGGATATTGTAGATAAACGTTAATACCATGTTTTTGCACTGGGTGGCGCTATAACCATAGTTGAGAATAGGGGTATCCCAATATAACTTTTTTACCTCAAATTCTTTACCGATATTGTAGCTTTCTGTATTGGCCAATTCCGATATTGATCCAATATTGACACAAACTTGTGACAAGTTTTGCACTCAGCTGCAACATCTTTTTTATATCGGACAGATATCCGATATCAGTATCAGATGTGGAACATCCCTAGTTGAGCAGTAAGCATATTGAAGTGTTCAGGGGTGGACCTTGATCGTGTGAATGAAATATGAAAGATCTGATAGGAATTGGTGTACAGCAATTCAGCTCGGATCGGAGCCGTTTCAGATGCAGTGGAAATCCCGGTTTAGGCAGAAGGAAGAATGAAAGACAGGAAGAAAGAGAGGGAGGAAGATTTCTCGGGGTCTCTCGGTTTTGCACTTGAACTGTCATTTTTGGTGAAACTTACACGTCTCACACGGTCAATCAGGAAGGAAACCTTTAATTTTGAAGTCCTTCCATCTGCCTCCTCTGCAGGAATTCAGTTTCCTGAACTTTTAAACCCACCCCACAGGAAGATTTAATCCAATCTGCTCCAAACTTTCAAAGTGATCTCCTCTTTACTCATAAACACTTAATCTAATGCTGCTACTCTGGGTTTAAAGCGGTGAGATTAATGAAAACTGCAGCTCTAATGAGGACGTTACTTCCTGTATGAAGGTCTTCATTCTGAGGAGTCGGACTGAAGATGCTTCTCTGCAGGCGACGTCTTCCCTCTGCAGATTGGGGAAACCTGTAATCCTGGATTAGACGGCTATCATCCAGATCTCAGAGGGGATACACGCCACACAGCAGGAGAGCTCATCCCCTAATTTACTGCAGACTAGAACTAAACGGACTGAAAACAGGACAGGTCAGGAAATTTAATTTGAAAAAGAGGCACAGGGGCGTTCAGGGGGATTTTTTTTGTTGAGGGGTCTGAAGTTTCTCGCACTGAATGAATGTCAGTTAGTGTTTTGGTGCAAATGAGTACAGTTTTTGTTGCTGCTGCTGTGTTTGTAAACTTGATTTCAGGACACGGTTTTAGGGATTTGCATTAGTGAAGAAAAACATGATAAGGTTATGAGGTCTGGCTCGGCAACGACATTTTAGTAGAACAGCACCAGACTCAGATTTCCTCAGCTGAACCTTGTTTCATCCAAAGTTTCCCATAATCCCTCAGATGGACATTAAAATGTACAGCTGTCATCTCTCTGGATGTCTCAGGTCACACCGTTTTTTAACCATGACATTGGATGGAAGTTGATTAGCTTAAAACAAGCAGCAGCTCAGCCTGCAGCCCCCAAAATGGACAAATCCATTTGAACTGTTTACTTTTTAGTTATTTATCACTTTTGATCACAGCTTTAAATCACCTCAGGTGTGTTATTTTGAGAGGGATGGAACCTCTGAGGAGGATTCAGCTTCTTCTCGCGGTAGCTCACCTTACAGCCCCCTCCGAGGTCTTGTGTTTGCCCGTAAAAAACCCCACAAAAGATTAATTTGGCACCTCGGTGTTTGAAAATCAGGTGCATTGAAGTTTTAACCCTACACCTAATTAAAAAAACCTTTGAACAATAATTAGTTAAAGACACACAACACGAAAAGCAAGCCTCAAGGATAGTAGCATGTCACAGAATAAAAATACAACCAACAGACCTGCAGCAGCTCACCTGGCAGCCCCTCGTTAGATCTGGGTTTGAGTATGAACACAGTTTAAGAATCATACTTTTAAAAACAACAGACTTGAAAAAAATGTTCTCAGAAATTTAAACCAAGAAGCATTAGAAGCAGCTCACCTCACAGCCCCCTGAATCTTGCCAAAACAGTGACTGAAGTATTGATTCTGACCTGGATAGTGACCTGAAAAACACATCCATGAGGGTACAAACTTGAAAGAAACCTTCAAGTTGGAGAATTACAAAAAGATCAAATTTACGAAACAGGGTTCAAGCGCTGACTAACAAGCTTGCAGCAGCTCACCTCGCAGCCCTTCCTTCCATGCAGTGTTTGCATTATTTTGTTAATTCTGCACCTGGTAAAAATCCCTTTGAGCATGATCAAGTTTGATAAACAACTTCAAAAGAAAACCTCAGGGATTGGACAGTATCAGGAATCAAAAAAATTTGCATAAAAGTTTGAACTAATTTTATGCACTACCAACAGGCCTGTGGCAGCTCACCCTGCAGCCCCTCCTGAACTCTGTCCCTGCCAAAAACAGAAGGTATTGAAGTGCTGATTCTGCCCCCAGTGCTAACCCTGCAAACACAACCTTGAAAGAGGAGACACCTGAAAGTTAGAACATTTTCAGAACAAGTTTTGAATTATATTAAACAGGATCCAAGCACCTACAAGCAAGCTCGCAGCAGTTCACCTCACAGACCCTCCAGAAACCGTACACCTGCCAAAAAACAGCTTTGAGGTGTTGATCCTACTCCTGAGAAAATCCCTGTGAGCATAACACAGCAGAAAAGTTAAAACTTCAAAAACAAGCTCGAAGGATTGGAGCATACACAAATTCAAGAACCCTCAAACAGGGCGGTGGCAGCTCACCTCACAGCCCCTCCCTCCATCCAGTGCTCGCCAAAGCATGGTGTGTTTAAAACCTTTGAATATGAACCAGGAAAATTTTTAAAGATGAGGAAAAAATTTAAAAATTGTACATAAACTTAATTTTTTTTTTTAAATTTATGACAAGATTTACTTCTTTAGAAACAAGCTAGCAGAAGCTCAGCTGGCAGCCCCTGACTCCTAGCACAGTCAAAAGAAGGAATGCTCAAATTTTTGAATATAAACCAGTACAAATTTTAAAGATAAGGAAAAAAATTTAAAAATTGAACAACATAAATTGTAAAATTTTTGTAAAATTTATTAGGATTTACTTCTTTAGAAACAAGCTAGCAGCAGCTCAGCCGGCAGCCCCTCCTGACTCCCATCACAGTCAAAAGAAGGAAGTGAAGTGTTCAAACTTGTGACTTAAAATTCAATAAAGTATTTTAACAGTGTAAGGCATAGATATACTAGACTTTAAAACAAGATTGCCACAGCTCAGTGCGCAGCCCCTCAGAAATTCTTAACTGGAGTGTTAAAATGTTGTAAATATCTTAGTTGGACAAGTTTCTGGTACTTACTACCTGAATGTTTCCTAGACCTGCAGCTTTTTCTGTGTAGTGACCATCCTCTTACAGAGTACCTGAGTGTTCCTGCTCTCTACAACATGGAGTTACATTTGATCATGAACCATCTTAGCCCAGTTCGTCTTTCAGCACCAATTCTCCAGCTCCTGAAAACTCAAGGATGTATGTGCACAAACTTGAAGCCGTCTCTGTTGTAGTAAAACGTTTCTCCATGTTTTTGCCCTCGAGGTAATTCCATCAATAAATTCCCAACATTTTTCTGACTGCTTGTAAACGCACACCTCATCACGTCACTTTATTTCCTCTTTGTGTCACATGACCTCTGCACTCCGTCTTCCAGTTGGGCCCTCGGCGCTCTGTTATGGTAATGAGGTGTCGCTTTCTAACGGCTCCTTGGGGCGTCGACTTGACTTCATTAACGTGACAGATGCGGCGCAGACGCTCGGGTTAATGATGTCACCTCCTGACATCACAGCGCAGGAAATCATTACATACATGACTGAGAAGCAGATCGACAGAGAGGGTCGAGAGTATGAAGCGAGTCCAGGGGAAAAATTAACCTCTTTGTGTCTCAGAGTTTGGGCTAATTTGTCCCTGCAGTGTTCTTGTTTGATTTTTAGCCAAAATACACAAACAGAAACAAAAATTTGCACCGACGTGTTTGTTAGATCTGCATTGGGACATGTAGAGTTTGTTTTGGGGTCTAGTTTTGAGCATTGGAAGAGTTCTGTTTGTGGAAGTATTAACCAATCAGGCAGGAAGATGGTTGATGGAGAGCAAAAGCAGGAAAAATGACACCCTGACTCCCATCGGTGGTAATCTACTTATCTAGCTGGGCTTTAATTATAATGATAATGATACATTTTATTTATAACATATTTTTACAGGTGCTCAAAGACGCTTTTACAAAGAAAAAAAACACAATTTAAAATACAGTAAAATTTGAGGAATAACACCAACAATGTAAAAGGTTAAAAAAGACACAATAAGAAAATAAAAGAACAGTTCACAGGTTAAAAACCAATTTAAAAAGTGGATTTTTAGGAGTGATTTGAAAGTATGGGGGGCTTTACTTTAAATCTGAATGAATTCCCAAGTCACTGGTTGGACTGTAAATAATGCAGCTTGTGGAAAAGGAGGTCTTGTTTTCTAAAATTTAACTATTTTTTTGGGAAATCATGGACACCAATTCCTAAACTCAAAACCATTATCGCTCCCTAATGCTACATTTTCACTTGGACTTGTTGAGAGTGAAGGTCAAAAGGTCGGAGCTCCAAATGTTTAGAAGTGAAAGAATCAAAGGTTAGTCAGATTTATGTCATCAGTTAGCAGCTGCTGAGATTTAAAGAAAACAAACCAGAGAGAGAAAACTCAAACAGACCAGGTGACTTTTCTGGTTGTGCGTGAGTCACCGACGCGCTGCAGCTTTGTTTAGTGCCGTTTCACCGGAACTCGAAGCCTGTGGCGGTTTACTGGATATCTGAAAGTATGTGTTTGTATTTGTGGTTTAGTTTGGCAGACGCCCAGTGAAACCTTTGCAGTGACTCAGTGTGAAGAAAGACATCAAAATAAAGAATCAAAGCAGTAGTAGCGCACGCGACGAGCCAATGAATCTGTCGGCTGAGGAATTTAGAGGGACATTAGAGTCACTATAATCATTTCAGCTGAACTTTTTACAACTTTAAACTAGAGCAAACTCTAAACTTTGGAGTTCATTAAAAGTTTTATAGTCTATAAAACGATGCAACCTACCTACTTTTAAGACATTAAGATATTAAAGACCGTTTTTTAATTGGCTAAACATGAAATTTATTTGTCACGTAGAAGAATATGTCAATTTTTTGCACGTTGGAATCATAAGGAAGAATGATGTTGATGATGTTTTTTAAGCGGTGTCAATAATATTATGGGACGTAAATACAAATAAATGTGAGCCTGTTTGAGGTTTTATATCAATCAAATGGTTTATTAATCCTCCTTCAAGCAAAGAAAAGATATATAATAGAGGATTTCTGGGAAGTAATGACAAATAAAACATGAGTATTAACAGCTGTGGTGTCATTTTTACATTTTTAAGTGACCGCTCTTTTCTTTTCTGTCTTTCAGTTGATGGATACGCGTACAGAAATCAGCGCAAATTCTCAGAGGACATCGACTGGTCGTACGCAGGTGAGTCACACAAGCCTTATATCGTCTTTGAGAGCAGAAATGTTCTTATGAATGCAGAATCTGAAGAAATGTAACATGGTTTTAGATTTTGGAAATGTTCTGGTTTCCATTTGTAGTCTGAGTCGTATCATCTGTTGGCATTTTAAAGAGCGTTGGCTGGAAAACTGTCCATTTGGTGGGTGTAAAAGGCAGTAAATTCAGTGGCTGTGTTGTCTTGATCCCTTTGGCAGACATAGGAAGAGTATTTGGCTTCTGTTAAAACAAGAGGTGCTCCTGCAAGTGTAGCTGATAATCTGCTGTTGGACAGTGTTTCTATAAAATCATCCTTGTTCCTCAAGCTTGTAGGGAAACTGTGAACAAAGACAACACAAAAACAGTCAGACCTGTGCAGACAACAATCAGAGGGCTCCTCGACAGTTTACGTAACAATTATGGGTCATATGGGAAAGTCACGTCAAAGCACAGGCTCACACGTGCTCCTCATGAGGTTCACTTGGGCGTTTACACGACTGGACTGACACCCTGTCCATCATTACGACCGGGGAAGTGTCAGGGACATAAAGGCTCTGTGTTTATCTAACAGCTTTTCTGAGTCCTGTTTGTTTATTTTGTTGAAACACGAGCGATTAGCAGGAATTAGGAAGAAGAAAAGGTTGCTGCCGGGCAAATAAGGAATGTCGTCCTTCGGTATGATCGTCATTTTACGCTTTTACACGTGAACTCAGGTGACATTTATCAAACGCTTCTGTCCTCTCTGATGTACACCTGAAAGAAACTGTTGTTAGTTTTGCATCAATGCGATATAATTGCGCAGAGATAAAGCTGATGCAGTTCCCTGAGTGTCCACTTGAGGCTGTCTGCAGAGGCACCGGAAACCACACACACACACACTCAAAAAGCCTGTTTGTAGAGTAAAAATAAACATGTTTACAGTCTGGATCAAAAAACGAGTCTGATACGCTCAGAGCTCTATGGGGAGGCACATTTTGTTACACCTTTGATTTGAAGTTATTAAGGGTTCAAGATTTGCTGAATAGCTAATAATGTTTTTATCTATTAATAAAAATTCACTAATGTGCTTATAATGCATTAAAATTTATGTAAATTATTACCCTTTTGCACAGAGTTTTTACTAAATGAGCAAACAGGTTAAAAAAGTCCAAACAAAGTCAGGTTGGATGGGTTAAGCTGTGTTTATCCTCAGATGCATTTGTGTGTTTTTTAAATATCCTGTTTCATTAATCATCAATTATCTTAAAAAAGGAAACTTATGAGTCTAAGCTGCTGCTGTAAGGTCGGGTATGTTTACAGCGTGTGTTTGTGTTTGTGTGTGTGTGAGCTCTATTGACATGCTAATAACCATCCTGACCCAGAAGTCTGTCTGACCTGGTTGGGCCATTTTGTGCTCTAGAAAGAGGAAGCGCTAACAGCCAATCAAAGCGAGGTGACATACCAGCTGACAAACACAACACCAGCTGGCAGGAAAAAAAACACATAATTAGCTCAGAAGTGAGAAAAAACTGAACACATATGTAAGATTACAGTTCGTTAAAAATGAACATCTGGAGGGTTTACAGCAGAAAAAAGTCTGATAATGAAGTGAGGAAATATCTGAATACACAGATTTCTGACTGTTCATCAGATTTTTCTTCTTAAGCATCAAAAACTGTTTCTGTGGGAGAAAAAAGTTCAACTCAAAAATGTCAGTTTTATTCAGATAATGTTGTTTTAAAGATACTGACTAAGAACAAGTTCATTGGAAAGAAATGAAGACAGAGAGCAGAATAATATACAATCATTTCAAAACTGGAAATACGAGCAGGTCTAAAGATGAAAAACTGGTCTGAAAGAGTTTTAAAGAAGCAGCTCCTGTTGTCTCCTCCAAGACTCAGTGGTTATAAAACATGTTTGGAGAAAAGTACAATTATCAGGATGTTTGTTAGCACCTTAATGATTTAGTAGCTGCAGTTTCAATTTTTGGTGTTTCACTTTATGACGTAAGAAACTGAAAACGCACACAATATGATATGGTTCTATAAAATACGAACAAACAATAAAACCAAAACAATACAATAAAAACATAACAATGCAACGTGATAATTACAATAAAAATTATACCATACCATTAGATACAAATAATATGACTCAATGTGATATGATGCAATACCTTGAAGTACTATACAAACAATACACAACGAAGTAATAGTTTATGAAAATATATAATACAATACAGATGATATAGTAGGATACTATGATAGGATATTAATGGTATGATACTGTACAATACAAACAATACAATACAATGTGATACTATATGATGATATATGATGTAATAGAATTCAATATGTTACGATACAAATTACAAGATTTGATATAATCTGATACAAAACAAACTGAATGAAATGATATTAAAGATGGTCTGTGATACGATAATACGAAGACGACAAATGACGCAATAGGATACAAAAAATATGATTCAATGCAACATGAAACAATATAATACAGTTTAATATGATGTGATACAAGTGATACAATATGATGAGATATGATACAATAATAATGCTAAAATTGTATACATTATGATACAAATGACACAATACATCAAGATATGATATGATATTATTATATGATATGACACAATATGACATTATACAGTGTGATTCAATACAGTAAATGCAATTCTAATCAAGTTATATGTAATATAACAAGATATGATACAATTCAATAAAATACAGTTTGTCTTGATACGGTAAAATAATACTCTACTAATACTGTAATATAATACAAACAGTCAAGATGGGAAACTGTACCACACAGCAACAATTAAAAAAACCAAAACAAAACAACATGATACAATATTACACCGTGAAAAAGACCCCATGGTACAAAATAGTGGGAAACAGAACAATACCACAAATATAAGGAGCCTGAAAAAGGTCCAGCTAAATGATTTGATTTGACACAATATGTAGATTTATCTGATCTGAGCTGTGCTGTGTTGGTTGTATCGTGGGCCAGGCTGACATGAAAGTCTGCAGATGTTTTACTGGACGGGTGTTTTCTGTTTGTGCTTCTTTACTCATCTACAGTGTTTTGCCTATACATCCTTTAATATTGATCTTTTTGAGGATCAGTTGGTGGTACATACATCCAATGAACATCTGTGACCTGAGTTTAGTTAAACCCATCGTCTTGCTTCGCCAACAAGTACGTCCTGTCGCAGTGTTGTGGTAACATGTCAAGAGGAAAAATATCATCAGCCTTTTGTTTTAGTGGCTTTTAAAGGACTTTGGTTAAGATGAAAGAGTCTGATGTGAACACGTCTTCGTCAGTCCGTCACTTTGGACTGTTTCTGTTCAGCGTTGACGTCCAGCTGCTGAGATGAATCAAACATTTAAGTGCAGTTTTCAGTCTGTGTTTGGTCTCCTTAATGTGACTCTGTCACTCTCAGAGATGTGGTCGTTTCCTGAATAAAGACCCTAACTCTGAGCAGATGTTAACACACCGTACTTTAATGGTCTAACACACTGCTGGATATATGAGGAGCGCTCTGATCGTTTCAAACCTCACATGCTGCTCAGATTATTCTTACAATAAAAGCGACTCAAAGCCTGAGGCTGTAGATCAGTTTGACATGAATATGAGCTGCTGGATTAAATCTGTCCAAACCCAAAATGCTCTCTTAGTGAGAAATCACTTGTTTTACTCTTTCCATACAGTAATAATGTGATCCATCATGTCTGCCTGCTCTTTGTGTTTGAGGAAACCTGACGCTGAACTCTTTGTTGTTGACTGAACGCTGCAGGTTGTTTGAGAAAGGCCTGAAAAATGTCGAACTTTGACCCCCAGAGAGCTGTAAGAGAGAAAAATGTGAGCAGATATTACTGTTAAAGCCAGAGCGTATAAGAGAACAGCTGGAGGCTATTAGCTTATTAGCCCATTAGCTTCTCTCTCAGGGTGCACCTGTAGGGGGTCGTTGTGTAATTGATTCAAGGGAGAGGTCTGCACTTTGTCAGATTGTCAAAATAATGGGAGGAAAAAGCCGTCAACAGCTGCACGGTGAGATGTTTGAATTTTTGAAACAAGCCATCTGATTGGACGGAATACTTGTTTACATCCCAATCAAGGCAACGGCTGAAGTTCCGTGTGATGTTCTCCATGATACTATTGCTAGGATGAGGAAGGTGGAGGCCATTCTAGAAAACATGGATCATGCTCTTTATAACACCGTGATGGACCAAAATGGAAATACCTGAAACTTTCACCCTGGATGTATCTCATTAGTTACCTTTGAGACCTTGTCCCTCATGGCGGTTACTCACCTGGACGGCGGTCAAAGTTGCAGATATGTGTCATGTAATTGTAGGAAACAATCTCAGGTCGGTCCACGCTGTTGGAGGAAAAAAACATAATTACTCCTTATTTAAGTCGACACTTTAAGAGCTGTGTGAGTGTGGGAATTTAGAGACCCAGAAAAAAGGTCAGAGATTGTGAAAGATGTAGAAAAAACTTGTTCAACTTTGGCTTCAGAGTTCAGCTTATTAACAATGAATGTCATCTGTTTAACTGTGAACTGTGTGAGTATGTTTCCAGAGTTATTTAAAGTGGCCAAAGAGTTAACAGGTTTTTATTTACAATTCAATCCCGTCAGGCAGTTTAAAGACGCTTGTCAAAAGTTTGTCTTTGTGGTGAGTTCAGGTGGTTTTAGAGACTCTTAACTGATGCTGTATCCAAGTAAAACCTCTATTTGAAAGTAAAAATGATTTCACAAAAACTGTTATGTCTATAATTCTTGATAATTCTTGTTGTTTTTGGAAGATGATGCCACATGATGGGTTTTTTTTCCTGTGTGACTTTCAGGAACATTAAATCAAGACAACTGGGCCAAAAAGTACCCGTCCTGCAGCAACGCCAAGCAGTCTCCCATCAACATCGAGGAGAACCTGGCTCAGGTGAAGCTTCAGTACCAGAAGCTGAACTTTGACGGCTGGGAGAGCCTGACGGGCGACAGGACGACCATCAAGAACGATGGAAAGACGGGTGAGCCTAACGTGATTGTTGTTGATGAGTGAAGAGGCTGAAACAACCTTTTTTTTTTACGTTTACATGTCAGAATGAAAAGGGTAAAGAATTAAGTTGTGAGAAACGGTATTAGAATTAAACCAAACCAACTCATTCAGCGAATATGTCCAAACTTGTTTGGTTTGCTGCTAAAGATGGCTGCAGTGCCTTAAACTGAGTAACAAAAATATGAAAACAAAAAGTCTCTGTGAACTTACTGTGACTTTAAGATATGAAGGCTAAACAAGTGAGCAAAATAACACAAGAGCTTTGAGACAAGACTTGACAAATGTCATGTACCAGTCAGACGAGAAAATAAGTCTTTTCTGCTACATGAACTTACATCTTATCTTTACTGAACCCTAAATCTGTCAGCGACCACGTAAGAAACCAGTCGTAGGCCCAATCCCAACTGTCACTCCTTCCCCTCCCCCTTCGTCTTACCTCTTTATTTACATCTTTCCCTTGGTCCGAAACACGCCCCTAAGAAACATGACACCACTTCACCGCTTCATCATCATGCCATGCGACGATTCCAGTAAACGAGTCAAAAAGCCACAGATGCCTACTTTTATAACGTTTAGCTGTTGTTAGTCGTTATTAGCTATTGTTAGCAATACAAGTCGAAAACGACACTTCACACAGTATTTTACTCAAACAAGAGCGTATGTAGAAGCTCCTGATGTAGCTTCTATGTTAGAGGTTACTAGCATACTGATTGTATCTTAGCTGTCGAATCGTTCATGAGACGCAGGACATCGTAGTAAAGTCTCACATCAGTTTAACTATCTATAGCCATAGCTTTGTTAGCTTGCTCGTCAGAATGCGTGATTTGAAAACGCGAACTATTCAAAACATCGCTAATATTTACAAAAAGTAGCAAAGGATTCAGTATCTGATAAAAACATGAGCGTCATGACTCATCACAATCTTACCCATTGGTTTCAAGTGACGTCCCGGTTCGTCTTCATTTCAAGCGCTGCGTACCCCTTACCCTTAACCCTTCACCTTAACCTTACGGAGAATTGGGACACCCCATCTAATGGGTGAAACTGGGATTGGCCCTTCACTTTTGTTGTATTGAATCAATAACAAAGCACCGGTCCGGGGCTTCCACTGTTTTTTCGCCATCTTTGACCCACCCGAGGTTCCTCCCTGATAGATAACGGGGCGATAAGTTCTTTCTCATACCCCGGTGTCCTATTTTACAGGATACAGTTACCAGTTTCTCATCTGACAGCATGGAGAGTCTTTTATATATTTCCTCTCTCTAAGTGGAGTGAAACACAATAACCTGCAGTGTGCATTCAAGCTAATTGTTAAGTGAAATTGTAGACAAGAGGGATCCCGCCTCGCCTTTCAAAAAAGCTGGGTCCAGTGCTTCTTAGCAACAGGACTCTCAGCGAAATAAGAAGCACTCTGTTGTGGTTGTTGTTCGTTCGCCAGCTGCACCAAAGGCTTTCATTAATGGAGATGTTTGGTGGACACGATTCAGGCCAACAGCACTTAAACCTGTTTTTATCAGCCCACCAATGGACCCAGTGTGGGTTCAAGGCACAGACCTCCATCAGTACACTCTCTTTGAGCGCCCAGGCCCGTCAGGAGAGTCCTCATCCTCAAATGAGAGCAAAAGAGGCGATGGATGGAGCGTATGGATCGATTCACGCCTCAATACAAGCAAACAGACTTTCAACAGCAGAGAATAAACGACAAGATGAGTCAATATTTGCCTTCCCTCCAGGGGGAAATTAGATTTTGTACAGAGGATTACAGAAACCACGAAACATCACGAGCCTCACAAAGACCACAAAAGACAAAAAAAGACATGAATCGGGCCAAACGTGAAGACAGAGAAAGGTAGAAGGAACAAAACCCTTCAGAATCAAACAAAGAGCCTCAAGTGTTGAAAGCCTGAGTGGATGTTTTCACAAAGACTGATATTTGTCAGCGCCTCTGATGGAAAAAAAAGGTTTCATCCGTACAACGAACCAAGACAACAGTCAGTTTTAAAGTGAAGAGTAAAACAGAGGAGATAAAGGAGCCGTCTAAAGCTCCACCCTCCTACGACCATCAAAGAGCGTTTGGGTCCTCCAGGGACCTTTTTGTTATTTCAAACAAAGACAGACGTGAAGATGACCCCTCAGTGATTTCATCATCGTCTGAGGGTCCATTTAAGCTGTTGGTAATGTAAAGGCTGTTATCTTTTGATCTTTATGTCTGTCATCCATTATAATAATGAGCTGTCGGGCTGTACTGTGGTCCAGACTGTGAAGGAGAGGTTTCAGACTGAGACCGGCTCAGGAGACTCGCCTCAGAGTTTCAGTACGACAGGAAATCAACAAACTCCGAGAAGTTAACCGTTTTATTTCTTCATGTATTACTCGACTTAAACAAACGTGCAAACATCAGTCTGTCATCACTCTTTCTTATAATCTTTGAGTGTCTATCATACAGTTTTTCACGCTTGAGATTATCGTCCTTTTAGTGTTCATGCTAAGATAGTGAGTAATAATTACAAATAATGAGTTAAAAAGTTATAATTAAGAGATAAACAGTATAAATTATAAGTAAGTTATCATTTTTAATCTCTTAAATCTCACTTTCATATTTTAAATTTGGACTTTTGATTCTGTAAATTTGACTTTCAAACATAAATTTTTTTTTCATCTCATAAGTTTGACTTTTTCAGTAACGTTTGCTTCTTTCCTAATATTTAGATTGTTTATCTTCAGGTCTAGTTCTAGTTCTAATAACACGATTTAACGAATTTGGCAGTAAATGAAAAAAATTAACGTATACATTTTTCAGCATAAATCCTGTTGGATAATGATCCTCATGCTTATATTCACTTGTGTTTGTTTCCTTGTTTTTAGTGGCGGTTGATGTGGATGGCGAGTTCTACATCAGCGGAGGAGGTCTGAGGTCAAAGTTCAAAGTCGGGCGCATCACCTTCCACTGGGGGCGCTGTAACGCCTCGTCGGAGGGCTCTGAACACAGTCTGGATGGAGTCAAATACCCGCTGGAGGTGACAAGAAACATTTAAGACTCACTCCTCAGATCTCGGCGCCTGACCCAGACTCAGCTTCACCGCCATGTTTCCGTTTCCTCCCACAGATGCAGATCTACTGCTACGAGGCCGATCGCTTCGACTCTCTGGACGAAACCATCAAGGCTGGAGGCAGAATCACAGCGCTCGCCGTGCTGTTTGAGGTGAGCCACGGATCATACCTGATTTAACCCCGATCAGTTTTCAGACCTGTCACTCAGGAACAGAAACCAGATCATCAGAATGCAAATCATGTCCATTAGGAGAATGAAACAGCGAGAGAGGAGGGAAGAATGAGAAGAAGAAGAAGAAGAAGAAGAAGAAGAAGAAGAAGAAGAAGAAGAAGAAGAAGAGGGTCACATTTCTTCTCTCATTTATTCATAAATCACAAGTTTGATTCAGTAAAAATAATCATTTCATCCAGTGAGGAGGGTTCACATCAGCGTCTGTCTTAAGAAAGTTTGGTCTCTCCTTTCCTGAAGAATGGTCCAGTGTAGAGCTGGACGATAAAACAGTAATGATTTATATCGAAGATTAATTTCCCTCGATGTCAGTATAAAACATGGTCGATATGCTTCTTCGATATTTGGCATTAAAAAGAAGAAAAGTGCGTTCTCCAGGATTTAGCTGGGTGTAGAGCGGCAGGGTGTGTGGTGTGTGTCTCTGTTAAAAGACATGGATACAGATGTGTGGTTTAGTGGTGAATTTATTCGACTGTGGTTCAACAGTCAGTACAGCTCACACCATAGATGACATGAACATCGAGTAGCATGAGATAGCATTAGCCATACTCACACAATATAGCATCAAACTTGGACAGTGAAACGTCATAAAACTCACTTCTGGCATTTACACACAATAAACCCGGATGTGAAGGTGACTGTTGGGTAAAAACAGGTAAAAGGAAATTCACGAACTTTCCTCGGCTGCATGAGGAGGAAAACCAAATTTTCGCAGCTGCGGCATCTCAGACAAAGGTGTGGTGCGTTCACGAGCGTGGACCGCTGAAACTTCACTGTGAAACACAATATATAAGTGAACAGTATTTACTTGACAGCACCTAAACAACATGGGCGTTCTAACAGGCGTTCTACCATGTCTCTAGCGCAACGCCAAAACGTCAGAGACACACAGACCTCACAGCTGCAGGAGATTATTATATTGTAAAAGACATGCCACCAATAAACACTGTTAAATGTCATTTTTATATTGTGATATAAATATCGATATCGACTGATATGAAAAAAAAATATCGTGATAAACTTTTTCCCGTATCGCCCAGCCCTAGTCCAGTGTATCCTCTGCTGAAGGAGGTAATAAAGGAAGTATTGAAGCTCCTTTAATCATCATTAACTCAACTCAACTCAACTCAACTTTATTTGTAGAGCACTTTAAAACAACCACAGCTGTACAAAGTGCTGTACATAACAGGACAAAAACAACAAGATAAAAAACAATCAAGAAACAATTAAAACAATGGATAAAATAAAAGCAGAATTAATAATAAATTATAGCTTCAATGTTTTTAAAAACTAATTTAAAAACATAGAAACAAATAACTAAAAACAAACCATAAAACACTAAAACAGGAGCCGAGTCTCATGGAGGGTTAAAAGCCAATGAATAAAAATGGGTTTTAATCATTAGGAGAATTCAAACAGCTCTTATCATCGCCGACACTCAAAGACGTGCTGATGTCTTCACTCATTAAGAAACTGCTCTTTTAAAACAATGTAAATTATGTTTAATGCCGATAAAATTGAGCTCCAGCTTGATCGGCCGCAGCAGTAAACATCTGTCTGAAGGAGGAGGCCGTTTAAGAGTCCACAGTTTGGCAGGTTTTTAATGGGTTTCTTTGGACTGAGGGAAAGAATCAAAGTCTGGCTGCTGCAGATTGGAGTAATACCTCAGTGAGTGCACCGGCTCCAACACTCAGACTCATATTTTGGCTCTGGATCTTTGCAGATCTCTTGTCTGTGTTTCATGCTCATGCTCAGGGTCGTACAGGAGCGTCATGCATACTCGGTGCTTTGCTCTGTGCGGTTGTTTCGCCCGGGGCGTCTTTGGCGTGTTCGAACCGACAGGGGCCGTGTTGGAACAAAACTCAGAAAGTGTCAGATGTGAAGCTTCAGGCTGTGTGTGCTGAGGGGTGGAGAGCAGGGTAGGAAACTAACAACCAGCACTCCCAAAGCTGCTAGATTTAATTCCTGTGGTCTTCAGACGTTACAGAGCGATGAATTATGGGTCTTTAGTAATCGTAAATATCATGTAGAAGGAGTCCAGGGAGTTTAATCACCATAAACGACATTTAACCTGAAAAATCCTGGTTGAATCCTGCTGTTGTTCACAGTTTTTAGTCTGTGCTTTCTCCCTTTTGAGGAAAAATAACTAAAGTATAAAAAAGTTGTACTTATCCCCTTTCTTTTCAAGCGAATCACTCTCTATAAGGTCTCAGAAACAACCTTTAAACGTCACCTTTCAGTAATATTTATGCGTATAGACTAAAGGTGGCACAGTGGATTTCTTTGTTGATCCCCCGTCAGACTGGTTTAGTCGCTGAACGCCCACTTAAGTGATCTGTACCTGACATCAAAGTCTGCTTCTGCTCCCATGAAAGTTCACTCTCAGGAAATCTTTGCACCGTCAAGAGCCAAAATCCAGGAGTCACACGACTCCTCAGTATTTCTGTTGTGCCACAAGCCAAATAAAAACCTACAGTTGCAGATTCTTAACACGAGTGTTAGCTGCTGCCAGTGGGTTTTAGGAGACGTTTGAGTAATTTTACAAGAACTGTTAAAATAAGTGATTTAAAAGGGCTTTAGTGCAAAACGTCTCTGGGCCTATTTTTAATATTTTGGACTTTAAAATAAAAAAAACGTAAAGTTTGGTTTGAGTTTAAAAAAAGGGGGTTGCAGAATGTGTCTGTAGTTACAACAACAATATATTTGACTCTTAGCAACAAAATCTTCATTTTTTCATCTGTTCATCGACGATGTGAGTTTTTTGTTTGACTCAAAATTAAAATATGAATAAAAATCAAAATTGTTATGGTACGAGATTGAAGTTATGATGTTACGAATTTAAGTCTTGAGTTTACAGGATAAAATTTGCTTTTTTTTTATGAAACAAGTCATTTCGTTACGTATAAGAGTTATGATACAAGCTAAAGTTGTAAAGTTAGACATTTCAGCGATTTTGTTACACATAACAGTTGTTACATTATAAGATTAAAGCCCTTTTGTTTCACTCCGAGTGGTTCAGTTACAATAATTAAGTCAATTTGTTACATATGAAGTGGTAACAATGTAAGATTAAAGTCATTTTGCTACATACTTAACTTATGTTACAGATTGAAGTCATTTTGTTACATGTTAAAATAGTTACGTATAAATTTAAAGTTACTACATTGTGAAATTAAAGTTGTTACATTATGAGATTAAAAGTCGCTGTTTTGTTTCCTTCGTCATCTTGTTTTCTTTTTAAATTGTTATTCTATGAAGTTGTTGTGTTACAGATCAAAGTCTTTTGCCACATAATAAGATTGTTAAAATACGAGACTGAGGTTAACGTTGTCAGATTAGCTGTTTTTTTACTGGATTAAAGTTTTTACATAAGGAGGTTAACGGTATTGTATCACGATTGAAGTCATCAGTATTTTAATTGTAGTTTTATTACTTTATGTTAGAAGTACACTACAGATGTCACTACAGACGACATTAAAATGTTGTCATTATACTCTCTCATTAACAGAAACAGCTTAACTTTGACTCTGGTGTGTTTAACATGAACATAGAAAATGTCCAGTTTATATCATTTTAAATAGATATTTTACATGGTACTAAAAGGAGCTTCTGTAAAACTTCATCTGGTCGCCCCAGCTTGTAGAATTTTAAGTATTTTTAAGGCTTTTTAAGATGATGATGAATTTTATCTTTCTGATTTCTAACCAGCTCTGCGGTGGATTAAATCATTGAGCAAAAGAGGCTCATAATGACGTGAATATTTTGTTTTCTGTCTTTGCAGACGAGCGCTGAAGAGAATATGAACTACGCCGCAATCATAGACGCCATCAACAGCGTGAGCAGATATGGTACACCAGTTTCTTCTTCTTCACTCTCTTTGCTAAATCCTTCTTCTTCTTCTATGGTGCTTATCGGTCCTCTCTTGTTCTGCTGTCCAGGAAAGAGCGCTGAGGTTTTACCCTTCACCCCTCGTGGTCTGCTGCCGGACTCAACGGAGAAATATTTCATCTACAACGGTTCCCTGACCACGCCACCCTGCAGCGAGACCGTGGAGTGGATCATCTTCAAGACCACAGTGGCGATCTCTGACGAACAGGTGAGCAGAGGACATCAAATGTAAGGACATCATTTAGAGCTGGAGGCGGCGGTTTCAGGACCAGGGTCTCCAGTTAGCAGAAAGTACTGCTTTGAGCTGTGTTGCAGCAGCAGGTTAAGGTTTAGGTTTGGGTCAGGATGTTGAGGAGAGGGCCGTCCATAATTAAATCCAGAACTTCCTTGTGCTGTTCTTATTCTGAGCTGCTAGTGAAGGTATGGAGCAGTCACTGCGCCCAAACAAACTGGACTTTAGTCGTCATTAAAAGTCAAATGTGCCTGAATATGGTGCTGATTGCCAAGTGTGGATGCAAACAACAATCTTCGTAGAATTGTGGTCCTGAATCTGCAGCCTTCAACCCTGCAGACACACGCCTCTCATCAAAACACGTTTAACAATCAGCTGCAATCAGTGAATCAGTGATCCCAGGGTTTCAGACGTTTCCAAAACAATCGCGGGGTCCTTTAAAATCAGACATAAGCTTCAGGTTTTTGTGTAAGATGAAAAGACGAGCGACACAATAACAGAAAATGTCCGTAAACAAGCTTTTAGAAACTCGTTCAAAGAGCTGAAAGGAGGAATTATCATACCAGAGCTCAGGAAACACGCAAATGATGGGTGAGGCAGAGAGACTGTAGGCTCTGGACTCTGTGTGTGTGTGTGTGTGTGTGTGTGTGTGTGTGTGTGTGTGTGTGTGTGTGTGTGTGTGTGTGTGTGTGTGTGTGTGTGTGTGTGTGTGTGTGTGTGTGTGTGTGTCAGCCTAAATACCGTAAAGATCTTTTGTGAGTCGATATTAGTTGGATGTAATGACTGCATCTGTATGCCTGTCAATCACTCGTTCCCTCAGGGCAGTCACACACACACACACGCACACACACACACACACACACACACAAAAAACTCTGCACAGACACGTGAGAGCACACACACACAAAGGCATTTCCACAGTGTGACGCCTGCTGAAGCCAGACGTCGTTCTCTGCTCATTCATTGTTTCTGAACACACAGCTGTCATATTTGTACTTCTTTACTCGGAGGGACTCTATTTTTAAACGTGGCACAGTAAAAACTCGTGTTTTGAACACCGACAGGCCCAGATTGTTATTCAAAGTGTCTAAGAAAGAATCCCCACAGAGAGAGACCTCATTTTAATGATTTAAGATGCTTTTTTAACACCACAAATAATGATTTTCAAGGCCACCAAACCCCATTGACAAAAACAGTGATTCTACCTCACTAAATATAGGAGCTGCTTGTCTGCTGTTGCGTTGATCTGGTGGGTTTTTTCTCTTATTTGGTGTTACGCACAAATACCGCTGGCATTTAACTAATAATTTGAAACACCAAAGACAATTAACAGGCTAACAGAATGAGGCAGTAACCATGTTGTATGGTGAGCTTAAATTACAATTTTTGTCAGTGGAATCTGGTGGATGTAAAGGGATCTTCTCAACAGCTGTTCCTTGTTAATATAATAATTTCAAAAAGCATTTTAACCTCCAGTGTTGTGAAGTGAATGCAAGAGTGCAGTTCTGCAACCGTCCACTTTGGGCTGATGCTAGAACAGAGTCTCCCACCATAGAGCCCTATGAAGTTTTTTTTTGTTTGTTTGTTTGTTTTGCACAGGGCTTTTTTTTACATGTTTACAGCAGGAATAATCATAATGCTAAGAAAGTTTTTTCTATTCCTCATTTTTTAAACTAAACACCACACAGAAGGTGTTTTTTCAGAACACATGTTGCACAAACGTCTGCAAAAACGACAGAAAATGCTGAGTATGCAGGAAAGAAAAGAGCTAGCTGATGGTATAAGTTAGGGAAGGACAGCATAAAGGTGTTTTCAGTGGAGCAGAGGGGCCCAATGCATGTACATCTGCATGTACAAACAGGCCTGTAAAATCTCTGTTTTCACTGTAAATTGCTAGTTTACACGTCAACAGAAAGGACAGCACTTCAGCACTGACATGGTTTCAAAAGTTTAAGTTTTCTGCTGCCGAAATGCTGTGACAGTAGTTTAGTGTTTTAGCCGCAGAGTTGACTGACATTTAACTGAGGTCAGCGTTTCCAATATGACAACTCTTCAAAATCTAGTGACACTAATGAGACCATAACCATGTTTTTACAGTCTATGGAAATAAGCACTTTTATGTTACACTGCAGCCATTACAGCCTGTTATTCAGCGCTCAGGTGATGTAATTCAAACTTTTTATTTATTTATCCATCAATGGAGAAATTTCTTTAAATGTATGTGAACTTTGCTGGTAAGGTTTTAGTTTATTTGTTTTATGCAGCAGCCAAAATCTATACCAAAGCTTCACTTACATTCAGACACTGTGTTTGTTGTCATGTCGCTCCATGTGCACCGGCTGTTGCAGGTTTCCAGGGTCCTCCAGGTTTCTCCAAACCTCTGTTACATGTCTCAGCTGGTCTGCATTCCAGCGCAGGTCGAACTGCCAGATCTTAATGCTTTAGCGTCACAACGTTAACAACCGCAAATGGCTTTAATGGGCTCTGAGGGTATCTCTGCTGCTGTGTTGACTCTGGGAGAGTCAGTCTGAGTGAATGTTGTGTAACCGCAGGGAGGTGACTCACCTGGGCAGGTACAGAGGAAGCCTGCAGGTCAAAGGCGATCCCCGCATGATTCAAGGCTCCTGCACGCACATCCACTTCTCGAAGATTAGATGCCATGTTTGACGTTGTGTGCGGTGGATGTTTACATTTTTGTGTATGTTTTTATCACGTGTCAGAGCTCCTCAAGTCCTGCAGAGGGGGTCTTTTTAATCTGTGACGCACAAGATAAAAATGATCTACTGGGACTTCAGTGGTTTGCTGACGTCTATCTGATCAGCTGCATCTGTATCCTGAGCTCGGTCTATTGCACACACTTTCAAACATACTTTTTTATTCCACTTTTCCATCTAAAATAAACAGCGACAGTCATAATTCTGCTTTCCTCCTTGTGCAGCGTTGTGTGTCTGACCCTTGTTGTGAGGCTGCTGCTCTGTAGTAGATAACACTCGGCATGCTGTCGTGTTATTGTGTTGTTGCAGCTGGAGATGTTCTGCGAGGTGATGACGATGCAGCAGGCCGGATACGTGATGCTGATGGACTACCTGCAGAACAACTACAGGGGGCAGCAGCAGCAGTTCATGGGTCAGGTCTTCTCCTCCTACACGGGTACAGAGGAGGTCCTCACACCAGGTACAGCTCCTGAATGATCCCTCCATCATCTGTGAGACAGATTCCTGCAGATCATACTTCTAGAGAAATAAAGCTAACACAGAGGTGCAGTAAAAAAAAACTGCAGTTCCTTTAGTGTCCACTTGAGGCTTGCCCCAAAAGTTAAGAAGTTCCATCAGGTCCCATATTAAACTGCAGTAGAGTTGCTCTTTACATCTTGGTACAAAAACAGCTTTGGTCTTCAAAGCTCATTTCCTTTATTCACTATAACTGCAGGTCATGATTTTTGTTTCATGACTCATCAAAGTTGGGAATAGTTTGCTGTTATTTTGGGCGCAGCTGATTTCGCCGACTGATGCACAGTAGCCAGAAAGTATGAGTATATTTGCTCTTCTTTGGCTCCGCCTCTTTACCTGCTTGAGTCATTATTTCCAATATTTATTTATTCAGGATTTATTTTAGTAAACAAATAATAACTTAAATAATAAAAAGACAAAAAGTAGTCTTCTCATCTAATCTTTTCCCCCACACGAGCACAGATTTATCATATTCTCACCTGTCTGATTTTAGATCCTGTGACTTTGAACAATCCCAGGTTCACGCTCAGTTTAATTAAACACGCTCCGGGTGAATCGGACACAATTGGATCACCGGTGATTGGTTAAAATGTCACAGGGATAATAATAGAGCTTCACTGACCCAAATAAAACCTCAGTGAGGTCGACTTGGTGAACCATTGATTTCCGCGCTGGTTGTATTTGATAATTAATGAAAAGGTATTGATCTGTGGTTTTTGGAGGGCTGGTTCTGACACTAAAGAACCAGTTAATCACTTGGTTTAGGTGAGGGGTTTGTGTTGAAATATCTCTTTTTTAAGTTTAGACTAAACAGCTGGATTTGAAAAACTCATGAGTCATTCATGAGTAAAAAAAAAGTCTGGTTTGAAGACGAGTAGATCCTTTATATTATTAGATTTCCTTTTATCAATAACGACCTTTAAAATAATCATCTGGAGAGTCTTCGTCATGCTTTATCATAATATCAGTAATGTTTACAATCTGCTGTTTATCCAAAGACGTTAATCCAGCAGAATAACACAGATTTTAACACTTCCTGTGTAACCAAGAAATAAAAGCTCCTCTGGGGTTGAGGCGTCCTTCTGCTGCCCTCTAGTGGCGGCAGCAAGACAGCACCAGATGTCTTGTTTCTTTTTCTTGACTTGGTCCCAGTCTCTAAGAGCCACTCTTATGTTTTCCTGATTAAATGGACATCTCTGCAGGAGGAAGAAGCTTTGCGCACATACACTGCAGATTTATTGGCTGTATCGCATCTCTAACGCACAACATGTGAAGAGAAAGGTCAGAGGTCAAAGGTCAAAGTCAGTGGAAGCAGAGGTTTTTTGAGGAGGAAGTGTGTCAGTGTTTGTCCTCGTGTCTATTGTTATTGATACTCAGCCTCTTTTTAATCCTTTTTAATCCACAGAGTCAGTCGTCTGTATAATCTCAGATCCCCTAATCTCAACTCTGACCCAGAATCACTCTGTGGGTTCAGGGGATGACTCTCAAAACAGAGAAACGGGAGATTTAAACACCCCCATCGACCAAATTTCACTTCTTACATAACGTCTATTTAAATATTCAGTTTATATCTTTTCATATTTAACTTTTTTTAATAATTTAGCACATGAGACTGTGTAAAATCTTAAAAATGTAAAGGCATGTCAGGAGAGGTCAAGACGAAAACAGGATTATCCATCGGACCTCGTCCTTCTCTGGTGACAAAACAACAAAACAGTAAAAATTAATCACACAGTTAAAAAAAATACTATCAAAGCGCAAACAAGTGATGATAAACACTGTTGTAGCCATTTCATTTTTTTTAAAAACACTGTTTATTACTTACGTTCCTTTTTGTTTGGTTTGATCGAAGCTGATTTAATTATTAGTATTTCTGACGTCACCATTTTATGATTATAGTCACACGTCAGATTTCAAGAAGCTTTTGTGGACATTTAAGTTTCTTTTTTGGAATAAATCTTTCAAATTTTAAGTGGCTGTTTTTCGGAGTGCGTGCGACGCCACAAGCAGTTCATTGCTACGACAAACACAAATATCTACTCTCACAGTTCTCTGTTTGCTCCACATTTAGAGTCTGATCCCTTTACAGTACCACAAAGTAGCTGCTGGTTAATGTCGGGTTCATGTTAAGGTCACAGTGAAAACAGACATCAGACAACAACAACTTTAAACTTTAGAACGTACAGTATAACTAAAACTATATTATACAGAGAAAAAAAGTCTGAATTCTGACTTTAATCTCAGAATAATAATTTAATTAAATATTATGTTGGACCTTTTTTTTCCACTAGTGGCCCTAATCCTCTCCCGTAATATCAAAGGTAAAGTAGTGAGAGTTTCATCGCTTTACTTTTATAAATGATAAAAGTGAAAAGATGATTCTAATTAAACTAAAAGTCTCATTTCTGTGGATTTCTAAACTCTGTGACAGTGATGAGCATTATTACAAAATCCTGTTTTAAATTTTTATGAGGCTCCAGTGTCGATCAGGGCTCTTAGCTATGAAAGTGGCGTGCAAATGAAGACTAAAGAATAAGATTTAAAAAGATCCATCAAACCGTACAGTTAAAACTGTCTCCTTCTTCATCAGTTTGCAGTTCAGAGCCAGAGAACATCCAGGCAGCAGCTTACAACCTCAGCAGCCTGCTGGTGACGTGGGAGCGGCCGCGGGCGGTGTACGACGCCAGCATCGAGAAATACTCCGTCACCTACGGACTGGCCAATGCCGAAAACACGGCCCCTACCATATACCTGACCGACGGAGACCAGGATGTGGTGAGAGAGAAAGACCACAAATTTATGATATGAAGTCGGGTATTACCGTGTAGTCGGTGGTGTCTGCCAGTAACGTCACAGCACAAACTTCAGACTCCGTGGTTGTCTGATCTGACTGGTTGTTTGAAATGAATGATCCTATAAACTCATCAGGAAATCCATGTCTGTGATAATTAATCAAATTAAACTAATATTCCCGTTGACTTCAGTATAATAACGCTATTTACAACCAGTAGAGTCGCCCCCTGCTGGCTACAAAAGAATATTCACTTTTGAAGGAAAACGTGTTTTTTTTTTTTTATTTGTAGTATTTTGATATAGAATCAAAGCTCATGTTTTTCCTTCTCCCTCCACTAGGGGGCAATACTTGATGACCTGATAGCCAACACCAGCTACGTGATCCAGGTGGTGGCGGTCTGCACCAACGGTCTGTACGGACGTATGAGTGACCTGCTGCCGGTCCTCATGCCCGACCCCGGTAAGAGCGACCGTGCCCGAGACTGAGAGAGATGAACTGAGTGATGCTGTTTTTAAAAAAAGTTTATAAATAGTTCTGCTGGCAGGTTAAACTATCGAAAACTAGCCGACTAAAGTCACGAAAGAGGGACGTTGAATTAGCGAAACTACATCCTCAACTGAAAGAAGAAACTTTTGATTTTCAGTCATATAATTACGAGTCAAACCAGCAAATAATTTAAAGAGAAACTTTTGATGATTATTTGATAACGAAGGAAAGATTGACCGGAGAGATTCCTGGTGGGTTTTATTTTTTAGAAACATGTCCATCACCCTTTCACCCCCCTGTGAACCCTGAGAGAGAGAGAGCTGATATTATTGATGAAGCATCAATGATATAGATATTTTCTCCTCTTTTACACTCTCTTCACCCTCCCCTTCACTCACTCTGGGGTATATATTCTGTGTTTTAGGGGTTTTAATCACACACATGCATTGTTGTTGTTGTTGTTGTTGACTCGTCTTCTTCTGTTGTTCTGTTTCATGGTTTCTCTGTCTACTCTCAAAAATACAAAGCCGCCATCTTTGTTGTGTTTTCATTATGTGGCGTCTGTTCCTTCTGCCTCTCAAAGTAAGACAAATGTTTGCATGTGTGCACCAGCATTTTATGTATCTCACTGGTAACCATAGTAACCGTGTATTTCAACTGAACTTTATACTGAATAAACTAATACGTCTTGTTGCAAAGAAAGGAAATCCCCTGCATCCTATTTCAGTGTTGGTTTGCATGAATGGGTGATATTCTGCAACATTTAGCTGGTTTCTTCTCTTAGCATGAATGTTAGCATGTTGGCTAAGCGATCCGCGGGGAGCCGTCTTGAAAATGGTGCGAGTGTGTCAGCGAAAGTCTTATTTTGAAGTACAAAAAGAAGCTGTGCTCCTTTTATAGGGATTATTGGACCACATTGTTAGTTTAGCCCTACCAAAGCTGGGCCGTAAAGTTAGAAATTCTGGTCTGAATCAGGTACGAGTTCAAACAGCGATACAAACCTTTGGGGACAAATGCATTGAGTCAAAGTAGGTCCACCAAAAGTTCCTGTTTTTGGCTTAGATTGTTACTCTTTGGTTTCTGGCAACATTACTGAAAGGATCCAAACAGTAAAAGAACTTTTCTTTATGAGAGGTAGATCTGCAGGATCTGGTTCCTCTCAAAGTCACCAGATCCCATTGATAAAAACATCGATTTAACTTTACTGAACTTTATCTTCCTAAATCCTTTTGCACCAAAACCCTGAGTCATCTCCATCAAACCCAGTTCATTAAACTTGTAAAACCTCACCTCATGCTTCACAAACCAGTCTGAACTGGTCTCCATGATGTGTGACTTACCCTCAGACAGGTAAGAGCCATACCCACTCACCTGGCCCCCCTCACCTGCCCTGCCGTGTGATGTCCATCTGAACTCCGTCAACATGTGGCATTTGCAAATAACCTCACAGACCGGTGGAGTTTAACCACCTTAAATTAGATGTCAAACAAAATTCATAAAGGTTTGGCTCATCTGGTTTAAACAGAAGGATGAAAATAAATAAAAAATGATTAATTGCAAATGCTTTTCGTCAAAGTTTTTCCGTGTCTGCTTGGATTTTTTTTGGCATGAACAAAAATGTCTGACGTGTTGCATGAATTTCCAAAACTTTGCATGATTCTCTATTTTCTCCATTTTCCCCTCCATCCCCTTCACAGACTCATATCCATCAAATGCAAATTAATGTGGTTTCAGAGTTTGTGCTCCAGATTTGTTTTAAGTTTCATTAAATCAAAGTGAATAAAAACAAAGATTCTTACTTTTCCTCTTTCCTGACCTTCCCATCATTTTGTTTTACCCTGAAGATACCGGTCCAGTCTGAAACTTACACCAACGTAAAATCAGGAATTTGAAAGTTTAGGCAAAAGTTATTTAAAAACATGGTTTGAATGTTTTTGTTGCAGTTTCACTTTGTTTTGTGTAACTAATATGAGAATCTGTGCTCTTTTTCAGAAAATTCACCGAATCCAGATTCAGATCAGTTTGATATTGAGGTGAGGACACATTTACATTTCCTACATTAAAAGTATTCTAGAGCTACGTTCACACTTCAGGTTATGATGCATAATATCAGATTTTTTGGTAAATCCGATCTTTTTGTGCGGTCGTTCACATTACAACAACGAATGCAGCATCTAATGTGAACGGTATGCGTCCGTGAAGTGACCCACATGCACACAAAGCACAAATTTCTTTCCGCGCCTGTTTGTGTTGTCGAACAATTATGACGTTTGTCGCATATTGATGACGTATAAGTCGGATAAACACGACCTGAGCGTCCACACTGATACATATCTGATTTATATCCACATACAAAAGAGGCCTGGGTCGGATTAGAACAAATCAGAATTGCACTGTTCACACTTACATGAAAAAAACAGATATGAGTCACAGATGGTTAAAAAAAATCGGTATTGACCTGCAGTGTGAAAACAGACTAAATGTCTGCAAAAGTCACATGTTTGGTTTAAAATTGGTTTTAATTTCTGGTAAATTTTTTGGTAAATTTGATCATTTTAAGCCTCTTTGGACCTTTTAGAAAGATTTCAAAATGAAAATGGAAATGAAATCTGGCTGCCTTTTGTGCTTGCCTTTCAACATTTTCCTTCTCCAACAGGACGACTATGAACCCGATCTGTCCTGGAAAAGACCGTCTCAAACTGACGACTATGATCCAGTCCTGATCCCCACAAACCCACCAAGAACTACGACCACTGACTCCGCCTTTGTCCCTCCACCGGGCTTCAGAACCACCACAACAGAGTCTGGTTCAAGAAAAACCACCAGTGATTCTGTTTTCTCAGCTCGATCCACCGAGTCCGGTGAAGTCCTGAGCAACTCTGGAAAAACCACACCTCGCAGTACCTCCTTCTCACCACCAGAGGTCATCATATCACAAGGAAACAAAGGCGGCGCTTCTGTTTACTCGACGACCACCGCTTCATACCCCAGAGCAAAGGCAGATGGTGTTCTTCGAGCACCAAAATCCTCCAACGATGATGTCAGAACTACTCCTACGTTAACAAGTACGAAACCAAAAGGTGGTAAAAGTATTTTTTCGTACAGCACCACCACACCCTCCACGCCTCGTTCTGAAGACACGAGCAGAAAGACAGCACCACCCTTCTTCCAAGCCAAGACAGACAGCAGTGTGATACGTCCCAGAAATGAAGATACGACCGCGGATCCAAGAAGTCACGCCAAATCAGGAGGATTACCAGAGATCCGGACAGGAAGTTCAACCCCACAACCTTCCTCTTCGGGTGGAGCTGGTCCACATCGGAAAACAAGTCCCAACACGCCTCACTTTACATCTTCCACCACTTCTATCCGGTTGAGTGGCGTTCTCTTGCAGACCACACAACCGCTGTCCAACGGTGAGAGCCCCTCTGTCCCTCCTTCCTCCTCCTCCTCCTCCTCTGCTTCCTCCCCCCTGTGTGACTCTGCGGACCCCTCCTCCACCTGCCTGCATGACCCTCCCTCCTCCTGGCCCCTGTTGTCCGCCTCTTCGTCAGACCCCCAGCATGCTGCTACCGCACAGCTTCTTAACAACGACCAAGCTTCTCCTGCCTCTACTTTGCCCCGCCTCCCTCTCCCCTCACTCCCCCTGTCTGGTTGGGAGACTCGCCACGTCTCCCCGGTTGGTGTCGTATTCGATGATAGCGATGGTGATATGTTGTCCGGGTCTTCCTCGGTGTCTTCAGGTGATACCTCTGTGTTTAGCGAAACTCCTCCTCTACAGACAGTGCCGGATCCTCCTGGCACCACCTTCGATGAATCCTCACACTCCTCCTGGGATCCATCACTCTTAGGGGTCTCTCTGTCCCTCACCCCCACCCTCCAACCGTCAGTCCTCCTCTCTAGTGACTTTATCCTCCCAGGCACAACTCCAGATCTATCCCTCTCTAACTCGGCTGGGTTTGAGGACTCAAGGTACGCCACAGGGAACACGATAGAGTCCTTTCTCCCTGAGGTGAATGGTGAAGGGTTTCCGTTGACTAGCGACATGGACGCCTTATGCACTTGTTCTCTGGAGCCGTCCTCGTCCTGGTTGCATGCCTCCTCTCACGCCCCCCTCCCCTCCTCGGCCTGGGACTCTGCTAGTTTAGAGCTTTATTCTAGCGTGGCTTTTTCTCCCGTCTCTGGTGTTGGTGTAGACGATCTTCTCCGCTCTCTGTCTCTGGCGGGTTCCGATACGTCGTCCTTAGATCAGCCTCGTAGCGCTATCTCCCCTTCACCCTCCTCCTCACTCACCCATAGTGACCTGCCCGTTTCTGTTGCAGCCACGCCGTCTGGTGTCAAGGATTCCTCCTTGTCGACGACGAACGAGAACCCCGCCCTTCGAACTTCTGCCCACCCTTCCTCACCCACATCCTCCCCCTTCACCTCCACCCCTGAGGCTTTAGATGCTAGCAGCAGTGCCTCTGGTTCTGCCCTGTTCCCCGACTCCCAGGAAAGCATAGATCAGGAGTGGGACAGGGTTCAAACCTCGGCTTCTGGAGAAAGCGCTTCCCCTTACTCCACCACAGTCACGACAACTGTATCCTCGCCCCCAACCCCCGAGTCTGGCCAGAGTCCTGATGATTTAGACGACCATTCCTCAGCATTTTATTTCGAAAGCGAGAGCGGTAGCGCAAGTGCCTCAGAGGGGGCAAGCACAGGGAAGCCGACCATCCCTACGATAACCTCAGTCTCGCCCTGGTCGCTGGGCGGGGAGGAGGAGAGTGGCTCAGGACAGGGTGAGACCCTGTACGACAACGAGACGTCCTCGGACTTCAGTCTCTCCGAGCGCACAGAAAGAGAGTCGGAGGAAGAGGAGGAGCCCGTCGCAGGTAAAAACGCCGACCGTGTTGGGGAAAAAACTACCGAGGGATCTGGAAGAGTTCTTGGATGTCTAATTCTTCATCTGTCAACAACATTTCACCTTTTTCATTTTTATCTGGGGAAGAGAAAAAGTCATGCATGCGAGGTAAAACGCCACCAAACAGGATCCAATAACCTCAATAATCGTACCATCAGCATCTTCATCATCATTTCAAACGCAGTAATTCAAGTAAAAGGTCATCATTCCATTTTTAAAGCACTCATTAATCACAACTCACGGGTGTGAAGGGATGGAAACTCTCCTTATATGCATTCAGTGGTCATTATAAGTAAAAACCCCAACCTTTTGACGTTGTTTTAATGCTTTGTTTCTAACACACTTTTCTCTTTTTTTGTTGAATTTTCAGTTTTAAACATCGTCTCTGAGTTGCACTGGTTCAGTCATGATCTGAACAACATCAAACTCTCATGATAATACTGGAATAAGAAGTCAACGTAATGATATCGCAGTATTTAAAGGAAAAAGACAAAAGAGTCTGTTAAAATTAACACTTTTATCGCTCTGTGTATCTGTTAAGGAACATTTTTCTGTTGTCTCAGGTTCTGTTTAAGTTTTGTCTCTTTATTTTGGTTGCTGGTCAAACTTCACAGAAATACCGTATTATTCGAGTTTCCCGCCAAAACTTTAAATTCTGTTTCTTTACTTGACATTTGAACACATCACGATGACGTTTGCTCTAAGTCGCGTTAATTTCATGACGGGATCTTGAATGCGTCATGAAGTAACCGTTTGTCACCTGGACCAGTTAGCTAACTAGCTTCATATATCATGCTGGTTGGTCAACAATAGACGGTACACATTAGATCAGTTTTTACTGTGTTCGGGACTTGCCAAAAAGCTCGGATGTGCTGGCGGGATAGAAGGAGGTTAAGAACTTTCTCGAAAGACAGAAAATCGACCGACTTTTCACAACTCGGGGACAGTTGAAGGTATTTATCCAAACTTCACACATTCAAACTGCGCGGGAGCAACAGACCACCAACATTTTCGTTGATATGGTTTAATTTGGAGTTAAGTTTTAGTCATATCCTTAAATCTCTAGATGTCAATATACTAAAAATTGTATATAATGAATTTTCTTCGCCGCCATTTCTGCTCTTTCACATTAGATAACATTAACAAAACCAGCGGATAGTTACTAATAAATTTTTCCTTTGTCACCTTTATCTTTATGTTCATGGACAAAACTCTGTTAGACTTTTGGAGGCTTCTGAAAATCTGTAAAAAATTGTGTACTCAGACATTTTTACTAGTTAACTAATGAGTCTTTATTAATAAAAAAACAGTTTTAAAAACCATAGAGGGAAAAACTACAACTTCATTGAGCCCCTGCAATACGTAGAAGTAATAAAGTCCCCCAGCTAGGTGAAATACTCACTAATACTATACAACTTAACAACCAGGAATGCTCATTAAAAAAAAAAAGAACATTTCTTTGTTTAAGTCCCTAAAACTACAGGATATGTCTGTCAAACAAATTCAGTTGTAGTTTCTGCTCTTTGTTGTTACCCATTCTGTCCACTAGAGAGCAGCAAAGCTCTTTCCTCTGAAGCACCCATGTCTGTCACCATTCTCTGACCTGCAGTGTCTGTTTTCCCCTGAAGGTATAAAGTCTTAAAAACACACAGGAAACAGCACAATTAATTTAATAAGACTCTTTTATTTACTCAAGATGTTGAGAGAAGTCTAATCACCGTTCACAGCTGGAGACTAACTGTATAGCCGTGAAGTGAAGGTTGAAACCTTAAAGGCGGTTTTGCGTGTTACATCTCTTGGACAAAAAAAATCACTGACAGTGCTTCCTTTTCTCTAATCTGCACATTTTGAGATTTGAAATAAAACAGGGAATGTTATTTTCCTCATGAGTGACTGAAACAGATGTCTCACTTCCACGTTACGTGCACTTTTAGTTGGTGTCCACCCAAATCGACGTCCAAAGAATTCTCACCAAAATCAACATAAAGCTACTTAAATATTCCTCTAGAGTTCTCATTTAAAAATGTTCCATTCTGGCAAAATTTCTTTATTCCATCTTGAGATTTCCAAAAATATATTATTCAGATGTTTAGCTTAAAAATGTAAAAGTGATAAACAGCCTTTGAATTTGTGTAAATTGTTATTCTTATGAACGTGTGTTTAAAAAAAAACTGGAAAAGCTGGAGAGACACGCACATTACAGATAAAATCAATAAACTAAATGCAATAATTGAAATCTGGGGAAATAATAAAATGTATAAACATACATCCCTAATCCCCAAAACAAAGATAGGGACACTGAGTAGAATGTGTCCTCAGGGCAAAGTGCATGTTAGACCAAAAAAATGTTATCGCTTAATGAAAAATTTCATGCTTATTTAACTTTGATGTCAGCAAAAGTTTTTAAAAAATTGGACAAAAACACTGAAAAAGTTTTTTTTTCATGTTGAAGAAAAATCCGGAGGAACTTCTCTCAACTTACAGGAATAATTTATAACATGACTGGGTATTAAAAGGACATTCAGAGAGGCTGAGTCGCTCTGAGGTCAAGACTGATAGAAGTTCATCACTGCATAGATCATTTTAAAAATCTCTTTTTCTGTAAAATTGCAAAGAATTCAGAAATAATTTCATTTACAGCTGAAAAAATTAAACTGAAGGCTGAAAACAGAATCTGGATCGCTGTGATCTTCAGGCCCTCAGGAAATCAACGCATGGGCTGAAAATGACCTCCAAACATCGTCTGTGAACAGGGTTTGTGCATAGACGCAGGAGAAAATTGTCTCGCGGTCTAATGATTTAAAAAACTGAGGTTTGTTTGAAAACCGTGGACACTGAGACTGCCTGGTTTCTGATCAGGGTACAGTTTCTGTGAAGGCTCCATTAACGAGTCCTGCTGTTAAAGTGGCCTGCCTGCAGCCTTGACCTTTCACCCCTTCAGAATGAGCGGTGCATCATAAATTTAGGATATCCCCGGCATCAAATTTCAAATGAGCATATTTTTGTTGAACCGTAACATTTTCAGTCTAACATCTGATGTGTCCTCCCTGCACTTTGTCCTGTTAAATGATTTCAATGATCTGAACGCTGTAAAAAAGAAACCTGTTCAAAATAACATTTCACACCTTTATTTTAATCATTTTTTACTCTAATGATGGTTTTCAGTTTGCTTTTGGACAAATCTTGCCTTCCAGAGCAACTTAAGAGCACTTTTCAAAAATGAGCTTATTGTGAAATATGACAAACTCGAACACAGAGAGGAAATCATCTATTTTAACTTCTTTTAGAAAAGGGACTGTTTATCCAAATCAGAGGCCTCAGGTGATGTAGAGGTTCACTTTCCCCTGTGCGTCTCCTAATCCATGCCCTTGACACCCTGACGGCTAGATGTACAGTAACACAACTCCATCTTCATCTTGTACTTTCAAGTCTTTTCAGCGGAAACTTTGAGGAGTTTATTTCTCATCAGCTCTCCTTTGACTCACTTTGTGTTTTTTCAGTCTGTACACCAAAAACCGAGTAACCTTTTCCATTTCTCTTCTTCTTCGCCCATTATCATCGCCTCTGAGTGTGCGAGCGTGTGTTCTGGGTTTATTTCAGAGGTAGACAAAGATTCGCAGGATGGATGATCATGTGTATGGGTTTCACTCAGAGTAGAAAAGCCCTTTGTGAAGTAGTCGGCTGTGCTGACCCAGCCTTTCACGACTGAACCGAGTCAGTTTGTGCAGAAGAGGTAAGTTCTGGCAAACAGGCTCCCAGTCAAGGTTAATCCACGCTAGTGTTCTCCTGACTAGTTATCAGACCATAAAAGGAGGATTCAGCTCAGAGGGGTCAGGTTCAGCCGTCACTTTTATTCTCTTCCAGTTATTCAAAGTTGTAATTATGCTGCTGGATTGACTCCACTTTGACGAACGTGTTCCCGGTTTATTTATTTATTGTGCGCCTTTGTGCGTTTGGGTGTTTCTTACAAGTGGTTTGGCACAGGCTCTGAATGAGACGAGTCGAAGTCGTGGGTAGGCAGGTGGCTGAATGTGGATGGTGGTGCATGGTGTTTGAGTGAAGTAGTTATTAGAGATGTGGAAATGTTGGAGTTTCGGTTCAACAAACAGTTCAAAGAGGCCAAGCTGCTCTGGAGGAAGAAATGAGCTCATTGGTTGAATTCAACATTTCGTCTCTTTATTATTCCTCGAGCTTTTTCTTCTTACACTCTAGGATGTTTGCTGCTAAGACGACACAGATGGAAAATCTGAGGAAATAATCGGAGTGTAAGAGTTGGGTGTCTGACCTGTCATCATGAATACATGTCACCCAAACCACCGGCTGTATAAAAGGATAGTAACGCATCTATTGTAAAAGAAGTGAAGCCAAATGAAGGCCTTTAGAAACTCTCTGACTCGACTCGAGGGTCTGAGGGGGCGAGACGTTGGTGGAGGTGTAATAATCTCCACAGTAGAACGGAGTCTTCACTGACACTGATAACTTTGGAAAGGACGGTCTCTTTTGTTTGGTGTGCATGGATGGTTGTGATGAGAGCGCCCTCTGATGGATCGTACAGCAAGCCGAATATAATGAGTTCGATTACGAACTTTCCCCTAGAGTTTGAATGAAGGTTTGAGTTTCAGATAAAACCAGAGAATGAACTCTTTCCATTGGGTTAAAAAATGTAGGGCTGGGTGATATGGCCTCAAATCAATATCACGATATATCGATCAGTTCACCACGACAACGATAAATGGACGATAACTACTCCACAAGCTGCTCACCCCCTCCCACATTAACTTCGTCTACTTCAGCAGCTACAACTTTTGAACCGTCCTCCATCTTCCCTCTTTGTTACGGACTGGATGGGGCGGAGTCACGTCTTCATGTCCCGGAACATGAGACCATAGCCCACCTACACACATCCAAAACCAACTTTTCGACACCAAATATACTGATACGGGCAAAATGACGTCAGTTATTGTCGTAAACTTCGGTATCGGTAAATTTTCGGTTTATCGCCCAGCCCTTTCAAAACATCAGCCAATCAGGAGCCTAGCTGATCAAAGAAGGAAGCCCAACAAGTGCAAAGCGAAGTAAAAACTGTAGAACTGATTTGTGCTCTTTAAAACACACTGCAACCAAAATGGCGAGTCGGAAGTAGTCAGAAAGTTTTAAAGAAGTTAAAAATGGCAGAAGTGGTTTTAAACGGCTAAATAAACTGGGTGATCTGTTTGAAGTGTGAACTGTAAGTAAGCTACAACATCAGAATAATGTCTGAGATCTGCCACACCATAGATATTAGACCAGATTCACTCCCATGTTCTTAAATTAAAGGTCTTTGTTGTTCCAGTTTATCTGCTTTTTTCAACCAGAGCAGCTTTTCCTCTTTAAAACCTCCAGAATGCAGCAGCTCCTTTCCTCTTTCCTTTTTTATTTCTCCTCTTCTATCTTCATTTTTTCTTTTCTCGAACCTTCTCCAACCTCCTGTTTTGTTTCTATTGCTCTTCAGACGCCATCAACAGCAGCCATGAGTCCAGAGTGGGATCGATCCTGGACAGAGAGAGGAAGGCCGTGGTCCCCTTGGCCGTCATCTCCACCCTCACCATCCTCGGCCTCATCGTCCTCATCGGTATCCTCATCTACTGGAGGTCAGTGCTGCAGGGTTGTAGAAGAACACACTGAAACTACCTGGAGATCTCATGTTTGTGTAACTTTAAGCAGGTTGTGAATTCAAGCTCTGGTACATCAGCTGATCGTAACACCAGCTCATATCAAGATTGAGATTCAGTCATCTATAAAACAGCAAGGGTCACCTTTTTACTGTCTTTCTGGGACTGAAGTTGAAGTTCAGTTGGGTTTCCCCTCGTTCTGCAGCTTTTTTTCCAGCAAATTTGACAGAGAAAAAGGACCAAACAGATGATGTTCCCCGATTTTATAACCAAATCATCAACTGATCAACAGCCCATTAGTTTGGAGCGTCGTGATCTCAAAGGGATATTCCGCTGTAAAATTAATTTAGGGTCAAACACACTGTAACACTTAGTTAGACCCCCCTCCAGAGATGAATGTTGCCGACCGTTTGCTTCTCTAGTTATACCAACTTTATTAACGACAGCAGGATAGCAATACAGAGAGCCACGCACTCAACCAAAACGCCACTCTATAGCCACAAATAATGTTCAGAACAGCACCTAACTTCATCAACAGGACATATAGGGTCACAGCCATAGTACTAGACACCAAACATCTTTTTAACTTTGACTAATTTCTTTAGCAAAGAGACAAAACACAACTCACCTACTCTCTTCCAGCAGCTGCTTGTTTGTAGTGAGTCCATCGACTACAGCGGGGTGCCGCAGCTCAAGGAAGAACATTTATGATAATTTCTTTATCATTTCCTTGAAGTAATAATCATCATATTAATCATTTTTCACTGCAGACTCGGTAGTTCTTCTGCCTTAGCGTCTCAGTCTGATTGTATTTCCATGAAGAAATGATCATAAATGTTCTTCCTTGAGCTGTGTCACCCCGCTGCAGTCGATGGACTCGCTGGAGGTTTCACTACAAACAAGCGGCTGCTGGAAGAGAGTCGGTGAGTTGTGTTTAGTCTCTTTGCTAAAGAAATTAGTCAAAGTTAAAAAGATGTTTGGTGTCTAGTACTATGTCTGTGACCCTATATGTCCTGTTGATGAAGTTAGCTGCTGTTCTGAGCATTATTTGTGACTATAGAGTGGCGTTTTGGTTGAGCGTGTGGCTCTCTGTATTGCTATCTGTGGTCGTTACTAAAGCTGGTATAACTAGAGAAGCAAGAATCGGCAACATTCATTTCACGACGGGGTGTCTAACTCAGTGTTTGACCCTTAGTCAATTTTACACCGGAACATCCCTTTAATAATCAAGACAAGATCATCAACTAAAAGTCCACGTCGGATGAAAACAAAGACACACACAGCCTCAGAAAGTAGAAGCTAAACCCCTCCGCCTCCCACCCTCATCCTCCGCCCTTTAACCCCATCATATGTCACATTAAATGGAGAGTGAAGTGAGGACTATGGCCTGCCAATCCTCGCATGGAACCTGGAATCCAAGTCTCCTCCAACACAAGTTCAGTCTAGGTTCACAATGTGTTGAGTGTTTTGAATGCGGTGCGTGTGTGTGTGTGTGTGTGTGTTTGTGTGTTTGTGTGTGTGTGTGTTTGTGTGTTTGTGTGTGTGTTTGCTCACCAGCAGCCCCTTCACAAACAATGCCTCCTGTGTTGCGCGCCGTTGATGCCGTCGGTCTTTGAGAGCTGCCGCCGCTCGCTTTTGTTTGCAGAGTTTTTGATTTCTGCGGTCGGCCTTGAATGATGTTGTTTCTTGTTTTTTTTTTTATGAAGATGTATGAAATACTGGGTGTAGAGCAAACAAAAGTTTCTTTTCTGCTTGTGCTGAAAACATCTTTGGCTCCGAACTGAAGTGGGGGAAATAAAACTCTGCTGCCCACTCAGACCGTGAAATAACCAACTTCAAAATCCCATGAAGGACACGCTGTCAAATACGGTGTAAACACTTTTTTTTCCAGATTTTTCATCTGAGGTTCAACATATTGTTCTTGTTTTGCGCTCTGCTTGTTGTATCTCCAAGATTGAGCAGTGCTAAGCTGGTAATAATCTGAGGAGCAGGGGGATTAATCCTCGGTGTACCTTGGCTGCGAGCGTCCACTCAGAGGATGGCGTTCAGAGAGGGCCGGGGGATGGAAAAGGACATTCGCCTGATTATGTCGGACAGAAAGAATCGTGTCAGCGTCTTGTAAGGCGAGCGGCAGGAGGCCAAACTACACTAATCCTGCGGCTGTTGTGTCCTTTTTCACCCCCCTCTTCTGGACAACACGGTGCTCATTTGGACTCTGCTGCTGCTGTGCATTTGAGGTCAAGCAGTTTGAGCGGATTGTGGTTGACTTTACAAGTTTACAACAAGCTGAGAGATGAACAGCAAATTAGCATGGAGCTAAGTCGTTTCCAAAGGCTTTAGTCTAAACAAGTTTAAGAGCGAGGGATGAAGGAAAGTGTTGATATTTAAGAAAGCTGCCCAAATTCTCCAGATCACAATCCAACCCAATGTCTGCTGGTGGATAGTCAAGTCTAACCAATGTGGACCTCGTCCTGCGATCTCCAGGACTCTAAAGGACCTGCTACTAAACTTGGAGTCAGATACCTCGGCACGCTTTAAGAGGTCTAGAGGAGTCCGTGTCTCATCGGGTCAGGACTATAAGGGGGCTTAAACAGTATTAGGCGGGTGGTCGTCGTGTCATGGTTGTTTTGTGTATTTAACGACCATTCACATACAAACTCTTAAAAACCCTCTAATGAGGCAGTCCTGTGTTACTGACAGATAAATATATCTGTGTGTGGAAAGAATGAAACTGAATTTGAAATCAAAAGGTGAATAAAAAGTATCTTTGAATTGCCTTTTTAAGAACTATTGGAAGAAATAACCTTGAATTAACCTTTTAAGTATGCACAGGGAGAAATGAAAAGGACCAAGAACCAAACCCTGAGGAACACCAACAAATGGACTTACTGTTCAAACGTCAGTCACCTTAAAGAATGTAAAATAAAATTTAAAGAAATCTTTGAAATGACTAAATAAGAATCAAACAGAGAGAGAGAGAGAGCATGTAAAGGAAGAAACGAGTAGGACCGAGGATTGAACCCTGAGGTACTCCCACAAGTATACTCACTGTGAAGATATCACCCTCAAGACAACATAAAAGTAAAAAAAAAAAAATCTTTGAAATAACTGAGTAAAAAAATCAGCAATTTAAGAAACAAAACAGAAGCATGTACACAGAGAAATGAAAAGGACCAAGGATTGAACCCTGAGGCACACCGACAAATTGAACCATAAAAATATATTGTAGCAGCCCTCTGCAAAGTACACAGCGGTAGAGTCAGATTAGCGCTGCTAGTAGTGTTGTGTCATTCGCGAACAATTCGTTCAAAAGAACTGAATCTTTTAAGTAGATGCACTGAACCGAATCACTGAGCAGAAGTGAGAAACAGCAATGAAACAGCAGATTTTAGATGCAGGCCGATATAATATAATATATTAATATCATATCGGGACACCCCCTAGTGGAAATCACCACTAAGAGAACACCACATATAAACATTTACTAGAAATGCTGGCGACCTCTCTGTGACTGAAAAGGTGGAAAACCCTCCTGTGGTCCGATGAATCCAAATTTGACTTTCAACTTGAGTCAGCTGATTAAAAAAACTAAACCACTAAACCGTCCTGCCTGCAGACCTGACTCATTAACATTATTATATGTCAAATAAGACAAGAGTGAGACAACATTTCACTGTCCAAAATCACACCAGTAAACACACCGCTGACACAGTTTACTCTCAGAGTGCAGGTGATTAAGAAGTGACGTAAATAAACACTTTTCACACGACTGTTTTTGTTTCTGTCTCGGTGTTTTCCTTAAAAAAACCTCTTTAATCTCATTGCTCAACCCTTTTGCTGTTTTTTTTTGTCTGTGATAATCCCTGATGCCCATTTCTGGCCGAAACAACGCCAAGTTCATCAGCGGCGATCTCATCCCTTTACAAACTTGTCAAGGATTAACGGAACATCTTTTTCTCTGTGGTTACGGGAAGATTATCGTGTGTTCTCTGAAAATCTGGGCCAACGTAGAGCGACATGAAAACAAAAGCATCTTTCGGCTCTCAGCTGATTCTCCCGTCTCTGTGAGGTTGAGGCTGATATATGAAGATCCTACTCAGTTCCTCTTTATAAAATGTTTGAATCAGTCAATATGTTCGTAAAGTAGAAACTGTGGGTTTAATAAACAGACTTTTAAATGTTCGGTGTTTGTCTGCAGGGCCTGTTTTCAGACGGCTCACTTCTACATCGAGGACAGCTCATCACCCAGAGTCATCCCTGCTCAGTCCACGGCTGCGTTAAATGATGGTAACACACACATGCACACACACACACACACACATTAAAATGATTTTTGAGGCTCTTAACTGTCAGGGGTCCCCTTTCTGAAAATATTGAAAATCCCTTAAAAGAGCAAACACAGAACTTAACATCCCAGTCTAAACTTGTCTTGGGTCTTTTAACTGTGCATTCACACCAAGCACGAATAAAATCATCTACTCATTTAATTCATGTGTATCGAGACGTGTGAATGAGAAGTATTTACTCGCTTCATTTGGGCAAATGATTCGCTCTATTCGCAAGAATCATTTAGCACATTCGTGAGATTCGTGCTTCAACAGAGTGCTTAAAAGCCGTGGATAGCCGCTTATGCTAATTTCAACAGTGATTCTTGACAATTCAACTGGCAGGATCAAGTGATAATCCGACCTCCTCACTCACTTTCCTCCTTTTTATTCCTGTTTTTATAAAGAAAAGCACGTTGTGATACGTTTGTCCTCCATTTTCCACACTGCAGTGAACATCTTCCAGTCTGTTTTCATGCATCATCTAGGAATCTTTGTTAGGATTAGTTATCGTGACGCCAATATTTGCTTAAATTGAGATATTTTCAACTCTTGCGAATTCGCCTCGTTTGCGTGAATTAAGTGAGTTATTTGCGCGAAAAACTCTCTTTAACTCACACTATTCGCGCCGCCCAATTCGCGTCATTCATGCCACCAAAGTAGAATGCATCTAATCCTGTCTTTGCATTGACTTTACATGTTTTTCATTTGCGCAAACGATTTTACTCCTGCTTGTCGTGAACGCCTCTTTAATGTCGTCTTTAATTTCTGGTACAGCTTAGTGACAAACAAAAAGACAGCAACACAAAAACATATTTTTGAAGACGAACAGTTTCCAAAAAAGGGTTTTATTTTGATCATGTGAAAACTTTACATCTCAATCATTCCTGTTTATCACTTTTCCTGAAATTGTCCTTGATATTTCCCTCAGCTCTGCCACAAAGAGTTACAACCCAACAATATAAACACGCTGACTCTTTATCTTCCAGACGAACAAACAACCTTCCCAGTGAAGGACTTTGTCAAACATGTCGCCGAGCTTCACGACACCCAGGGCTTCCAGCGAGAGTTTGAGGTAGAGAAACCAGATTTTGATCACATTTCTGAAGTCTGAAGTACAAACAGATCTCTGCGGGGTGTTCATTCGTCTGCATTTGTGTCTGATTGTCATCCTGCTGTTGTCTGCATGCTGCATGGTGAGCTGTGATGATATGACAGAGTGCTGCACAACGTGTCACTGTTTCAGATCCTGTGATTGTCACTGAACAGGCTCATTAGGTCGATGATGACGGCGTGCAGAGGGTGACCGACATCGTACATAATGTCCGGTAGTTTGTAGGGCTGCACGATTCAGGCCAAAAATAAAACCTTGATTTAATCCCTGAAAACTCGATTCCCAGATTTCTGGCTGTACAAGACCGTATGAGGGGGATTTTGTGTGTTACAGAGAATTATTTTAGATTTTGAAAAATTTAGCTGAAGGAAATTTTGTGCCATCCAACTTTTAATGTCACTTAGACAGTCCATGACAGCAGCCAGGCATCCTGGGTCCTCAGGTCTCTAAGGAGGGTATATCTGTGTGTCGTCTTCATAGCAGTGAAAGGAGACTTGGTGGCGCTGAATTAATTGGTCGAGGCGCAGCATGTAGATAGAAAATAAAATCGGACCTAAAACTGAACCTTGCGGTACACCACAGGGGACAGCAGAAGTAGAGGAGGTGTGATTGCCGATGGTGATGGCAAAGGTTCGCTCTAAAAGATACGACTGAAACCAGCTAATCGCAACGCCCCTGATACCCACCCAGTTTATAAGACGCTCAATTAAAATAACAAGATCAACTGTATCAGAAGCTGCACTGAGATCCAAAAGACTTTAAACTGAGCCCTTCGTCTGAAACTTTGAGGTCGTAAAAAAGTATCGCCTCCCGCCTGAAGGAGGAGCCTACGGTGGCCTGGAGGTGTGAGACATGATAGAGAGGAAAATCGATTTGACGATTTAAATTTTTTAACATCGTCATGATCAGATAATCCGATTACGATATAAAGTCGATTAGTCGTGCAGCCCTAGTAGTTTGTCTGCAGTCCTCTTCTCTGCCTCCGTCACCAGAGAGTCCAGTCCTCTTCAGATTCTACTTTAGCGCTGGTTTTATCTTTGTTTTCAGGCATTAACAAAAATAATAAACTGGTGGAAAATTAAATCGTTCGCCGTGATAAAACGGAGGTGAAGATACTCTTGTTTGTGTTGATTCCTCTGTGTGTGGAGAAAGCATGAAGTGTTCTGTGAGATAACCGGTCTTGTCTTGTTGTAAACTGTGTTTCTGCACCTCCTGTTGACTGTGTTTTCACGGAAACGTCCTGGCTGCCTGCCTGCCTGCCTGCCTGCCTGCCTGCTGCTTCCTCCCCTCGTCATTAGAAACTGAAGGAGAGTTACGAGGTAAGAGGCTCCCCTCACGGTGAACGCCGCTGCACTCTGTCGTTTTTGTCTCGTCCCGTCGCAGTTTTATGTTCCTTTGTATCTGTGGATGTTCAGAGCATGATCACCTCTGACACATGATGACGACCAGGTGACGGATGTTTTATAAAGACGAGCTCAGAGGTCTCAAAATGGAGCCTGTGGGAACAAAAAAAAAAAAACTTTAATGTAGAAATGTGTTTTTTTTGTTTGATAACATTTGTGCCAGTATCATACATCCATGAGAGAAGTAGTTTTTGTGTTCCCTCCATGATATTTGACTCTTAACCTGCTGAAATATTTCACTAGGGTAATTGTGTGTGTGTGTGTGTGTGTGTGTGTGTGTGTGTGTGTGTGTGTGTGTGTGTGTGTGTGTGTGTGTGTGTGTGTGTGTGTGTGTGTGTTCAGGAAGTTCAGATGTGCACGGTGGACATGGGGATGACGACCGACAGCTCCAACCATCCCGACAACAAAACCAAAAACAGATACAGCAACATCCTGGCCTGTGAGTACAAGACAAAACTGTTCAGTTCGCGTGTTTTCTTTATTCTCATTGTTGAACTAAAACTTTTATTTTTAGGAGAAAATTGACAGATCTCTTTTCCCATCAGCAGCACGCTCATAAAACACACAGAAGTAAACGTCTTTAATCGAGTAAAATAGTAAATCCTTCTCAACATCAACCAGAACATTCAAAGTAAGGTGTGTCTGTTCAACTTCAACTCTTTTTATAAAAACTCAAAGTACATGTTTAAGCGCTTTCTGCCCATTTGACCCCTGACCTCTGGAAAAGACGATAAAATAAGGACCAAGGATTAAAAAGTTCCTGTACTTTCCTGTTTGATACGGATTTAAAGGTACGAAGGGAGAAGATTCAGCAGATTTTTAGTCGATTTACTCGTTTACTAGAATCATAAGAATAAAAATAAAAGAAAAATAATAAAAGACAAAATTCAGAGGTGAAAAAAATAGTTAAAAACTGAGGTAGAAGAAAGAGAATGAAACAGGAAACACGGACAAAGACCGATAAAAAGAGACGGGGAAGAGCAGAAAATATAAAAATACAAGAAAGAAGAAAAAAAGGTAGAGGTAGATTTTCACTGGTAAAGTATGAACTAAAGGTTATCAGAGAGATTTTATTAAACAACAGTTTAAGAAATTAAAACAATTAATATCAGGAAACTTGAGAGGATTTTAAGTTAAAACAGAACATCAACCAATCAGAGGGAGAACTGTTCAGAAATATTAAAATATCAAAGTTAAGAAAAGTTAAAATAACTTATTAAAGTGTAAAAAATCATTTTTGATCCGTGATTTTTTTGACTCAACACCAAATTTACAACAAACAGCACGAGTCTGGAAACTGTTGGACCAGATTATAACCAGAGATTTTTGTGTCACTATTTTCTTGGCTCGTTTTTTGCTTCAGATGTTTTATTCCTTTTTTTATTATTATTATTTTATTGTTTTTATTTTAAGGGACAAAAATAAATCAATATAAAATCAGATACTGTTGTTGGATATCTGTAAACTAGTCCGTTCAGGATTTCTTATTTATGTTAAAACTGATTTTTCAGTTTTTTGTTGTAAATTTTTGCTCTAATTAAACCAAAAGAGACGATCTTTGCTGGTTTTCACATCCACATATTTACAGAAAACATATTTTAGAATCTGAAGGGACGTCCTCTTGGATAAATTTGCTTCTTGGATATTTGCAGTTTAAGTTTATTATCATATAATAAAACAAGCCTTTCTTTTAATACCATTACTGTTGAAGCTGAAGTTTCTGAGGAGTGTGAAAGTGTCCCGCTGATGAACTTTGTGCAGAGTTAAAAAAATCATGAATATGTGAGAAACGTCTTTCTCTTTGATTTAATTATTTGGTACTTTCATTCACAACATTTCACATCTTGTAGATTTTACTGCCCATGTTTCTTTGTCTGTTTTATTATGATTATAATTAGTTTATTGACCCATTTAGAGTTTTACCACTGCAAAAAAAAAAAAACTAAAACCTGAGCAAATGTCTTTGTCTTATTTCAGGTAAAAATGTCTGATTAGACTCAGAATGAGGCACATTCACCTGACAAGCCCAAATTTTTATTATTCAAATATTTATATTGAATTTTCAAATGGAAAAACAAACGCGTCCGCTGATATTCATAACTTAACAACTATTAAAAAATATATTTAAAAATTATAATAAAAGAGGCACAACATAAAACTTTAAACATACAAAAACTCTGATGATAAAAAGAGTCTTTTCTTACATAGATTCAGAGGAATGTCATATTTAAGTGAGGAGCCCATATTTACAAGCCAAAAGTGAAACCCCTCCAATACATATGAATTTAATTTAAGTGTCTTGGATTAAGATTTTTCTGTTTTTTCCCAAAATGATTATTCTATTTGGTGTAAAAAAAACAGTTTAAAGACTTCTACTTTCCCATCAGCAGCACAAACATCGATGTTGTTTCAGTAATTTAAGAGTTAAAGTGTTTTTAATTCGCTCTGCAGGAAGGTAAATATCAGTGCTGTTGAAGTATTTTCTACAAAGTTGAAATATCATTTTTTGGTCGTGTTTGCAAAGTTTGTGAAACTAGAAATAATGATGAAATCAAGTCTTTTCTGTTTCTGTGTCCGTCTGATGAAATGTCGCTCTGTCTTTGAACCGCAGACGATCACAGCCGGGTGCGACTCTCGCCGCAGGCCGACAAAGACGGGAAAACGAGGGATTACATCAACGCAAACTACGTGGATGTAAGACGCTCTTTTTTTTCTTTTTTTAATAGATTTCTCATTCTGATATCTGAGCTTCATACAAACTGAGGCCTTCAGTTTCACCCCGTTTCTACAAATTCAATCTGTCGAACACACAGTCAAAACTTTTTAATTTATTCTCAGAGGTACTTCACGCCTCCCTCCGCTCTCCTAAACCAAAGTCAGTGAACCCCCCTCCCCTGAATTTCTCTAAACCTTTTCATTAAAAAGGCTCTTGTTAACGGAGGACTGCGTGGCTCTTTATTATGCTTATCACCGCTCCATTCATTCACACTTTCTTCATTTTTTCTGCCACTCTGTGAAAAGCAGAGGCGACACGTGAAAAAAAAAACCCAGTGTCTGTCATGGCCTCTCTGTGGAGGCAGAAAACGCGGGTTATAAAGTTGGTAAAAACGCTGTGAGGATTCGTGTGGGGTTTACTTTTGTCTGCGTCCCACAGTTGAAGGCGACTCTTTGCTGTCAGTCATGTGAAGGTTACTAAACTTAACTCCTACCTCCAGTCACTTTTCAAACTTTAGGATCCAGTCCAACAAATCCTTTATCAGCTGCACTACGACAGACTTTTTAATGTAAACTGGATCCTAGCTCACTGCTGCTGACTCTGTTCAGCGCCCCCTCATTTGTCTTTGTTTAACAGGCCCGGACTCTCTGTAGACGGGGTCGAGGTGGACTGGAAGTAATTTTGATAATAATTTTAACTAAAGACTTTTTTCTTTTCCTTTGAATTTCTTTGTTTCATAAATAATGGGAACCCCAAAACTCCAGACCTCCTAAATCTGTCTCTGGGTTTTTTGGATCAGTTCTCAGATCTACGGTCTATTGTAATCAGAACCGGTCCAACCCTCAATGGGGCCCTAAGCGAAATTTGATTTTGTGGCCCTCTATTTCTGCCAATAATAGTGCCTTTTTGTTTTGATTTGAGACGTCTGTGGTGTCGTGTGCTTCGGCTCCTTCATTTTGTCCTCACAGATATTGCGACTATATTGATTCTGTAACGGCGCATTAATGTACGCATAAGGATTTTTTTAGTCCATGTCCCATCTGTTAACAAGAAGGAGGCAGACTTTAAGACCTATACTGCAGCCAGTCAGTAGGGGGAGCTCTGAATCTTTCGAGCTGTCATGTTGTGATCTGTCCTGAAATTCTACAAAATCTCTCAAGATTTTGACTCTGAAGTTTGGAGTTTGTAAAAGTCGATAAGTTTTGTGTGATTTGAAAATGTAATCTAAACACACCCGCCTTAAAAGAAGAGTTTGAATTTCACTGCAGGGATCAATACAGTTCTTCTTATTAATATTCTTATTATTATTATTATTATTATTCGTCTTCTACTATTACTACATCTTCTTCGTTGCCGTCTTCTTCTTCGTGGTCGTCTTCTTCTTCATCGTCTTCTTTGTTGTCTTCTTTGTCGTCTTCTTCGTCTTTTTCACCGTCTTTTTCGTTGTCTTCTTCGTCGTCGTCTTCTTTGTCTTCTTCTTCATCTTCTTCATTGTCTTCTTCATCGTCTTCTTCGTTGTTGTCTTCTTCTTCTTCGTCTTCTTTTTCTTCTCCCTCTTCCTCTTCATTGTGGTCTTCTTCTTCTCCATCTTCTTCTTCTTCTTTATTCTTCTTCTTCTTCCTCCTTCCTCCTCCTCTGGCCTCATTATTCACTCCGAGCGCTGTGACAAATGAACGTTTTCAAACTGTGATTCTCACTTTGGCACACTTGAGCGTTTTGCGAGTTAGACTCTGAGGAGCGTAGAGCTGGACTTGGAGCAGCTGAGACTTGATCAGGTCACATGTGGGTTTATTAAAGCTGACTCAGCCGCTGCGTGTTTCCTCAGGGGTTTAAGAAACCACGATCCTACATCGCTGCTCAGGGTCCCCTGAGGTCGAGCACTGAGGACTTCTGGAGGATGGTCTGGGAGCAAAACGTCTGCGTCATCGTCATGATCACAAACCTGGTGGAGAAAGGAAGAGTGAGAAACCTACGCACATCAGTTCAAACACGTGAGATAAAGACAAAATCCTCCTCTGAATGTTCATGGCGTTGACGTGTCGTCTGTGTCCTCAGAGGAAATGCGATCAGTACTGGCCGGCTGAGGTGCAGGAGGAGTACGGCAGCTTCCTGGTGACGGTGAAGAGCAGCAGAGTCCTCGCCCACTACACCCAGAGGACCTTCACCGTCAGAAACACACACGCCAAAAAGGTCAGACTGAAAAAAGTTTCAGGAGTGTGGAGATGAAGTTCTGTGGTCATGATCAGACTGAATAAAAAAGGTCATAATTAATTCTGCAGGGGTCACAGAAAGGGCGGAGCAACGAGCGCACCGTGGCCCACTTCCATTACACCCAGTGGCCGGACATGGGCGTCCCGGAGTTCGCTCTGCCGCTTCTGAGCTTCGTGAGAAAGTCATCCAAAGCCAGGAACGATGGCTCGGGGACGGCGGTGGTTCACTGCAGGTAAAAACCGATAAAACTGCCGAACTTCAGGTTTTTAATCCGGACTTTAGTTTGAACTGTTTCTCCTCTCGCTGTGCAGCGCTGGCGTGGGCCGAACGGGAACCTACATCGTCCTGGACAGCATGCTGAAGCAGATCAGAGACGAAAGCGCCGTCAACATCACGGGCTTCCTCAAACACATCCGGACACAGAGGAACTACCTGGTCCAGACAGAGGTCAGAGGTCACCCATATCTGATATGTATTTATCTGAGGTGTGTCAGCGATAAAACCCTGAACTCCAGCTCTTTATTGAAAACATAAACCAGTCGGTCTCCTCTCTACAGGAGCAGTATGTTTTCATCCACGATGCTCTGGTGGAAGCCATCTTGTCCGGGGACACAGAGGTGGCGGGGGCTCACCTGCACAGGTACGTGGATGAGCTGCTGACCCCGGGGCCTGCTGGGAGGACGCGTCTGGAGAAACAGTTCAAGGTGGGCGGCTAAACTGTAGTCCAGGATAAACTCACAAACGTAAATTTAAAACTGTTCAACCTCAGATATTCGTTGGTAAAAATGTTCAGTTTGACAGAACCGTGGTTGTATAAATGCAGATCTATCTTTGTGAAGATCTATGCAGCTCCACAGAAATAACAGATGTAACAGATGTCCGATGTTTCTCCTCAGCTGGTTTGTCACTCTGGAGTAAAGCAGAGCGACTTCTCTGCAGCTCTGCAGGAATGTAACCGCAGCAAGAACAGAAGCTGCTCCGTGATTCCAGGTGAGTTCATGAGCCTGATGATGTTTTTATGTCTGAATGTTCGTTTGTCTCTTTAGCTGCGTCAGAGGAAGGACAATCCTGCGTGTCTAATTTATTTCAGATATAAACTCTTCCTTAAATGTGTCTTTGCAGTGGAGAGGTCGAGGGTACGCTTGTCTACGACAGCTGGGGAAACGTCCGACTACATAAACGCATCGTACATCACAGTGAGAATCAGTTTATCTTCTTCATAGTTGAATTTTCTGGAGGGTCATATGAGGCGTTGATTATTAATTTAATCACAGGATGTTTGATCCAGTTTGAACTGATTTTCTCAAGAGATGAAATTTGCCCGAGAAGGCTCCATCTTCTAGATTTCGGTCTCATCGTTCTTCATGTTTTAAAGATACAATGAAGGTTTGGGTGAAGTAGATCGGACAGTGAGAAGGAATGTTTGACCCCTTTGATTCATAACTTTAAATCACAGATACTAAATCTGTGTTTCTGTTCCTGCAGGGTTACAGGCAGAGCAGTGAGTTCATCATTACCCAGAATCCTTTACCGGGAACCACAAAAGACTTCTGGAGGATGATCTGGGACCACAACGCCCCGGTCATCGTATCGCTTCCAGGCGGGGTGAGGAGATGTTCAGATACAGACATAACAACCAGCTACGTCGAGATCACAGAGCAGAACATTTTTAGTCAAAGCTCTTACAGCCGCTTCATCTTCCTTTAGGGCCGTTAATCTACATTTAAAAAGGTGTAAAGAGACCAGCTCTCCAAGACACAGTTTTGCAGGAGCAGCAGATCTAAAACTTCTTTTGTTCATTTCAAGACGAACTTTAGGGACGGATAGCAGAAGTAGATTTTGTGTCTGAGTTGCAGAACGAAGGGTATTTCGCTTCCAGAACTTTTAACATGAATACAATAACACAACTATGGTGGAAGCAGGCCGAGTCTGGCTTTGTAAATCAGGATGTGCCAACGGTTCAGTCTACACACGGTTAGAAAGAGCATCCTAACTTTGTCATACAAGGTACAAGAAATAAGACGGATTAAACTGCCTTTTGTTTATAACAATCATTGAATTCCCTTCTTAAACCGTTATCGCCTTCTCTACATTTTTTAGCTATTTTCTGAATGTTCTTTTCAGACAGTTTTGTGTCTGTATGTCATTTCTGGAACTTGAACCAGGGTCCGTTTTAGTCCATAGATAGAATAAAACAGTGGATGCAGCATTATAGGTCAACTTTAAGTACAAAATGTGAGTAAACATATCCACCAGGTACTGAATCCATGAACCGATGAAGTCAAACTGAAGCCCTCAAAACTATTAAAAAGAGAAAACATCATTATTATTTCACTTCACATATTAAATCACAAATACCTTTAACGCCCCTTTAATTCTGGTGTTGAATAGACTTGACATGATGTTACTGTCTATTTACTTTCTGTGTCTCCAGACGGAGGAAGAGGAGGCGGGCGTTTGTACAGTTTGGCCTCGTAAAGGGCAGCCAATCAGCTACGAGACGTTCACTGTCACACAGAGGAGTGAGAATAACATCTGTCTGGCCAACGAGGACATGGTGGTCGTCTATGAATACGTACTGGAGGCCACGCAGGTGAGCACATCAAAAGTTTGAGGTGAGAGGAAATGCTGTTTCAAAAGCTAAAAAACTCTTCACTTCCTGCAGGATGACTTTGTTCTGGAGGTGAAACACTACCGCGCCCCCCACTGGCCAAACCCAGACAGTCCCACCAGTAACACCTTCGAGCTCCTCAACCTGGTGAAGGAGGAGAGCGCCGTCAAGGACGGACCCACGGTGGTCCACGACGAGTAAGAACACGAGTGACTTTTTTGTTGGATAAAGATTTGAGGAGATTTCTCGTATGATGTTCATCACTACGCTGTCTTTCCCCTCAGCGTGGGCGGAGTCACAGCGGGGACGTTTTGCGCTCTGTTGACTCTGACTCAGCAGCACAAAGCAGAGGGTTCGGTTGACGTCTTCCAAGTGGCCAAACTTATGAACCTCATGAGACCCGGGATCTTCAGCGACATGGTGAGGCTGAAGAGAGTTTCCTCGGGTTGTTTTCTTCATCAGTAGAGTCAGACTTGATCATTTTGTCCAGCTCATTAAAACGTTCTTCATTCAACATCTGTACTGGTGAATATTTTGCAGGAGCGGTACCAGTTCCTCTACAAAGCCATGCTGAGTCTCATCGGGACGCAAGAAGACCAGAAAACCCTCCAGTCCTCCGACAACAACGGCACCATCGTGGTGGGAACTGCCAGCACTGCCGAGAGCCTTGAATCTCTGGTGTAACCGCCTCAAAAGAACCACAAAGAACTCTCGTTTGACTTTGAGAAACGAGCAGCAGCATTTAGCCTCTCCTCCTCGGCCACCAACAGAACTTCTCCTGATGCCAGACTCTCGCTTCGACCTCTCACGTAGAAACCCTCCTCCTGTACGGGACTCTGTGTTGAAGTCTGAGGCCGGCACGAACTGAACGAGTGTCTTCTTCTTCTTCACTGGATCTGGACTCCCTGCGGTTTTGTAATGTGTGCCTTTTTGTATTTTTCATCCTGTACTTTTTAACTTTGATACAAGCTGTAGACTAACTGCCTGATGTTTTAACTCTGTATCTCCTGAGACCTTTCGCTCGACTAACACTTTTCCTAGAAACTTTGTATTTATTGGCACTGAGCCAAATGGGAAAAAGGGAAAAAAACGTCATCTTTTTACAACAAATGAAATATTTTGTTAGCTTGTCTTTTATAGAAGTCCTGCACTGAAACCCTTTCTGTAAATACCATCGCAGCGGTAGCAGCAGTGTGCTATTGAAGTCAAATATTAAGCAAGGGCCTGGAATAATAAAAATAATAATCTAATGTAAATAATATTATAGTTATCAACTTGATGGACCAAATTTCTATTTATACTTTTAGATTTTTTATATTTTACCATTTTTAGTCCATTCAAATGTTATGTTTCATTCTAATTGTGTAGTTGGAGTACATTAATGCTTTTATACTCCGGTTTTTGTAACAGACTAAATGTGATGCATGTGGGGTACTGACATGTTTTGTTTTTTTTAGCTGGACATGAAACACTGCTGGATTATTAGCTAGGGGATTAAATAAGTAAAAAAAAACAAACAGGGCCTGATGATGTTTCCTTCTTTTTTTTTTCTTTTTTTACAACTGTTTGATGAAGTTTAATGCCACAAAAGAGAGTCAAGTTTCATTAAGGTAAGTAAAAAAATAACATCAGTTTGATAAAAAATGCCAAAGTGAACTACGATAGCCCATAATATGAAAAAAAAATCTATTATAGCCTGATAACAAAATAGCATTGTATGTTTAAAAAATCATAGTTAAGTATGATAAAAATATAATATTATAGAATGATAAAAATCTGTTAAGTATGATAATAATGTCATAGTATAGTATGATAAAAAAAATATCAAAGTAATGTATGATAAAAATGTCAGTGTAGTATGAAAAAAATGTCAAATACTGTATCATAAAAATATGTATAAAAAAAGTTGTAAGGTATGATAAAAATTTAACACAGTCAGTTTAAATATCACAGTATAGAATGATGATGAGTCAAAGTATAGTGCAAAAAATGTCAAATTATAACATGTTGCAAAAAACATAGTTGAGTATGATTAAAATATCATAGTATAGTTAATAAACGTGTCATAGCAGCCTAAAGGATAAAAAACTAAATATAACAGTGTAAAATGATAGATAGTATATCATAGTATAGATTGATAAAAAAATGTCATAGTATAAATTGATGAAAATGTCATAGTGTAGTATGTCAAAAAGTGTCATTGTTTAGCACGTGAAAACAACATTGTATAATATGATAAAAACTTTGGTATTGTATGATCAAAATGTCATAGTATAGTATGATGAAAAAATATCAAAGTAGTGTATGATAAAAATGTCACAATATAGTATATTAAAGATGTCCTAGTATGAGATGATAAAAACATTAAAGTAGTGTATGATAAAAATGTCACAGTGTAGTATGTTAAAAATGACATTGTATAGGATGATAAAAAAATCAGTACTGTAAGATAAAAATGTCAAGGTATAGTATGATAAAAATCTCATAGTATAGTGTGTGAAAAAATGTCACAGTTGAGTTTATTAAAAAATGTCACAGTATAGTATGATACAAATATCATAGTAGGGTATGATTAAAATGTGAAAAAAAAATGATAAGGAATTTCATAGTATAGTATGATAAAAAAAATATCAAAGTATTTTGTTGACAAAAATGTTTATAGTATAGATTGCGAAAAAAATAAAGTAAAATTTGATGAAAATGTCATAGTTAAATATGTCAAAAAATGTCATCGTACAGCATGTAAATAATAAAATAGTGTAGTATGAAAAATATTTTAGTATGGTATGATCAAAATGTAATAGTATAATGTGATAAAAATGACACAGTTAAGTATGATAAAATATCAGAATTCTATCATAAAAATGTCATACTATAGTATGTAAAAAAATGTCAAAGCATGACATAAAAATGACATAGTATTGTATGATTAAAATATTAGTATTATATGATAAAATGCCATAGTATAGTATGATGAAAAAATGTCATAATATAGTATGTTAAAAATATCCAAAAAGTGTATGATAAAACTGTCACAGTGTAGTATGTTAAAAAATATCATACAATAGTATAATAAAAACATAAAAGTGTATAATAAAAATCTCATAGTATAGTATGATAAAAATCTCATAGTATAGGGTGTGGAAAAAATGTCACAGTTGAGTTTATTAAAAAATATCACAGTATAGTATGGTACAAATATCATAGTAGGGTATGATTTAAATGTAATAGTAAATTATGATAAAAAAATCAAAGTATTTTGTAAAAGAAAGTCATAATATAGATTGACAAAAAAAATTTATAGTAAAATTTGATGAAAATGTCATAGTAAAATATGTCAAAAAATGTCACTGTACAGCATGTAAATAATAAAATAGTGTAGAATGAAAAATATTTAGTATTGTATGATTAAATTGTCACAGTATAGTATGATAAAATATCAGTATTGTATGATAAAAATGTCAGTATAGTATGATAAATATATCAAAGTAGTGTATAAAAATGTCATAGTATAGTATAATAAAAAATGTAATTGTATAATATGATAAAAATATTAGTACTAAATGATAATTATGATAAAAATCTCATAGTATTATATGTGAAAAATGTCAAGGTATAGAATGATAAAAACAAAAAAGTGCATAATGAAAATGTCATAGTATGGTATGATAAAAATATCAAAGAACTTGAAAAGAAAAAAGAAAAAAAAGTCATAGTTTAGATTGATAAAAAAAGTCATAGTTTATTATATGATGAAAATGTCAAAGTATAGTATGTTAAAAAATGTCAAAGTATAGTATGATAAATATATCAAAGTATTGTATGATAAAAATTTCATGTATAGAATGTTGAAAATATCATTGTATAATATGATTAAAACATAAAAGTATGTTAAAAATGACATTGTATAGTATGATAAAAATATCAGTACTAAATTATAAAAATGTCAAGGTATAGTATGATAAAAATCTCATAGTAAAGTACGTGAAAAAATGTCACAACAAAGTATGTTAAAAAATGTCATGCTATAGTATGATAAAAACATACGTGTATGATTGTAAAAATCATAGTATAGTATGTTAAAAATAAAGTATTGTATGATAAAATTTCATAGTACAGTTTGATGAAAAAATGTCATATTGTAGTATGATGAAATCATAAAGTAGTGTTTGATAAAAATGTCATCGTAAAGTCTGTTAAAAATGACATAGTATTGTATGAGAAAAATATCAGTATAGTATGAAAAAAAGTCATAGTATAGTGTGTTAAAAAATGTTAAAGTATAGTATGTTAATGAATGTCAAAGTAGAGTATGATAAAAACATAAAAGTGTATGATACAAATGTCATAGTATAGTGTGTTAAAAAATGCCATACTATAGTATGATAAAAACATAAAAGTGTATGATACAAATGTCATAGTATAGTGTGTTGAAAAAAGCCATACTATAGTATGATAAAAACATAAAAGTGTATGATAAAAATGTCAAAGTACTTTGCGAAAAAAAAGTGTCATAGTATGGATTGATAAAAAATGTCATAATTTATTATATGATGAAAATATTATAGTATACTATAATCAAATAGTAATAATCATAGTATAGGATGTTAAAAATGTCATAGCATAGTATGATAAAAATATTAGTATTGTATGATAAAATGTCATATTGTAGTATGATGAAATCATAAAGTAGTGTATGATAAAAATGTCATTGTAAAGTTTGTTAAAAATGACATAGTATTGTATGAGAAAAATATCAGTATAGTATGAAAAAAATGTCATAGTATAGTGTGTTAAAAAATGTCATACTATAGTATGATGAAAATATAAAGGTAATGTATGTTGAAATGTCTCATAGTATAGTTTGATAAAAATGTAAGTTAAGTGTGATGAAGATTGTCAAAGTATAATATGAGGAAAATGTCAAATTATAGCATGTTTAAAAATGACTTAGTATAGCATGATAAAAATATTAGTGTTATATGATAAAAATGTCATAGTATAGGTTGATAAAAAAATTACATAGTATAGTATGTTAAAAAATGTCATAGTATAGCATTTGAAAAAATGACATATTTTAGAAAGAAAAAATATTAATAGTATGGTATATTAAAAAAGATCATAGTGTTATAATAATAATAATAATAATGTGTTAAAAATGAAGATAAAAATGAAGATTCCACCCTGACAGTAAAGAGGCAAACAAACTTTAAGAAAGCAGCTTTATTCGGAGTGAGTTACAGCAGCAGAATTAGCGTCAGCTTCTCGATCATCAGGTTCACAAACGACCATCAGGAAGGAGGCTGAGGGTCAGAGGTCACAACGGCCAGACAAAAGCTGGAGCAAACACCCCTGTGAGCCTGATGGGAGAGAGGTGTTAAAGCAACAAACAGACACAGAGAAAATGAAGACACGGTCTGATGAAGTCCTGTCCGACCTGTGGATTATTTTCCTCCTCTATGGAGTCATGCTTTAATCCCTGCACTGGACCAGTTATTCCAATTGATTTCCCATGTGTTAATCCAGGCTAAGACTCTGCAAGAAACGCGCCTTTTCACGATGGAAAATAGGTCAAGTGTCCAGACGTCGTCTTGACCGGCCCTGTATCCACACCTTCATTTGCATTTTTGACTTTTCATAATTACTCGCCCAATTATCCCCTGCTCGGTGGCCTAGTTTGCATGGCTGCCTCCAAATTGAGTGGAAGCAAACAGGCTGATTGTCTTTTTTTTTTTAGAGGAGCTGGTGGAGGTCAGGAAGGTGTCAGGACGACACAAAAAGACACCAAGTAACATGAGAAACCTAGAGTACGAGTGAAAGCGCTGATTTAAAGACAGGAGAGTATTTTAAGAGACATGACTATTACACCACTAAAGTGAAAGTTTGCATGTGGGTAAAACCAAAACTGAAAATTGTTTTTGTTCCATGAATGTACGAGGTGTTAAGGACATTGACTTCAAACTGCAAGAAAAAAATAAAATCCCTGCACTCTCACAAAACTCTAGACAGAAATTCTTAAACTTAATTAAAAATTTTTTTTTTTTCTTTCAGAATTCGCCCCTGCAAAATTCTCAAAATTAAGTTTGACATTTGCCCGTCAAATTGTGAGGTACATGCCAAATTTGAAAAAGCAAAAGCAAAACGCTGAGTAACTTTGAAAAGAGAAGAGATCACTCCACAAAACAGGGAGCAAAAACACTTCAGATGATGAGCTAAGATGTAAAATCAAAAATAAGAGCCAACAGCCACTGTAGAAGCTGTGAAGTCAACGGAAAAGGGCCAGGGGTACAAAAAAATTACATGATTTCAACATGTGCAAATAAATAAAAAGATATTTGTAACAAAAAAAAGAGGAGAAAATGTAACAGATGTATTTTTTATTTATGTAACCATTCATACACTTTCATAAAGCACAGTTCATAAAGCTATCAAAACAAGCTTTTACAAATAAAAGTGAATAAACGTCGACATTAGAAACAAAATAAAAACCGTTTTTATCAGGAGGTTAATGAGATTGAAACTGGATGAAATCATCTGACAAACAGCCGTGTGTTAGTGTTGATGTTGTTCCCTTTACACTGATTTTAATCATTTAACTTGTAAACCTTGTTGTGAATTATCCCTCCTTAAATGTAGCAGAAGTATTCTCGACTTACATCGCTGGTGTACAGATTATATAACATTTTTTTAAATATATATCCTCAGAAAATGTAAATAACTCTCAGCCCCTCTCTGGTGCTCTCTGGGTGTATTTTAACCCTTTAAAGCATCTATCAAACCGTTAACAGACTCACCCTCCCCCCGAAAATAAATATCGCTCAAGTGGCAGAAAATAAATACGGTTCAGTACGTGGCAGCAAGAACCCAAAATAAAGTACACGCCTCATAAAACATCTCAAATCAAGATTTCAGTCCGATTCCTCTGAGTAGACATGAGTCTGAGCTGCTGCGACTGATAATTTCAGATCTGAAGAAAGATGGTGAGTTCATATAATTTAAGAGACATCTGAAATGGAGCCGAATAATTAGAGTCCACGTTTTGATTCCGATACCGTAAATTTTCTGGTTCATGTAGTGTTTAACAAGATGCAGTTTTAAGGAAAATGAGCTGAATGTTTCTTGCTTTTGCGCAAAGACAACTTCATTCAAAAGCAATTATTTTTGTGGAGATCACTTTTGAAACTTTCGGTTTGCTCATGGAGATCTTTTCTCCTAAAGTAGAAATAATTACTTTTGCCCACAAGTGACCATAGAAGCTCTAAAACCAAACCCACTTGAAATTCAATCATTGCATGTAACCGTCATGATTATAACAGAGTATTAGGACCACATTAAAGGTGTTTTTTTAACAAAGTTTTTTTTATTTTTATTGAAGTCCCTGTCTCACAAAATTAAGTCATAGTAAAATCTATTTATTGTCATAAGAAAACTATTTTATTTAAACTCAGTTATCAAAAAAGATTTTACTGGAGCCATATTTCTGTAAGAAAATTATTTACAATTTTATTCTTGTAAAAATATTATTTTCCTGAGACTTGTCTAAAAATAGTTTCAACTATGACTTATTCTTGTAAAAAAAATTTGAGACAACCTTTTTTTTTCCTCAAAAAGGTTTTTATGGCTTTACTTTCATAGGAAAATAATTTGATAACAACTTTATAATCTCAAAAAATTGTATTACCATTTAGTTCCCATACAAAAATGATTTTTCTATGACTTAATTGTGAAAAATGTTTTTCAGAGGACTTTGAATGAACAGAGACGATATAAAGCTATTTTCCTACAAAGAACAAGTTTACTACAATCATATTTTTTAACAAAAATAATATTTCTGTGACTTTATTCTTGTAAGAAAATGACTTCAAGCTTCTTTGAAAATATTTTTTGACATTTATAAAATGGAGTGAAATTCATGCTGATGCTTTTTCATGATACCTAAAGCAAAACTAGCTCATCGGGGAAAAGACTGACAATATTTCTTTTGTAACTTTTAAAACCTAAAACTGGTGTGACCGACCAACAGCTGAAGATTAAGGTGTTTTTATAATTTGCATATAAAATATTCACAATGAATGATGCTTCTGAAATTTAAAAGGTGGAGCGGGAGGAGATCTTCTCTCAGGAGTCACAACTTCAGCATGTAGAGGATAAGTGAGGTAAAGACTGCTTGGCGTACAGGGGGCGCCAAAGTTGACACAAACTGAAAGTTGCGCACGGGAGCTTTAAAAATATAAACATTAATAAAAAAAATACCTTTGATGTGGCTTTAATACTCCATCTTATACAGCAGCTCTGTAAAGTAGCTGATAAAATGCTGTCAAGCTACAATGCCTTCAACTCTGGTAAACTTTGCTAGCTTTACCAATAATACAAGCTAATGTTAGCATCACGTTATGACAAAACAAGCTAACACTATTGGCAATCCTGAATCTGGAAGGTCCTGGTTCAGAGCAGTCCTGGTAACAAAGTTAAAAACCATACAACAGAGATTTAGTTTTTGCATTTTGAGGCAGCTGCTGTTTAGCTGTAAGATTTGTGTTTTTCCATCTTTGATTGTCTCAAATTTAAAGTTCTTTTTTGTAATAGAAATAAAGATTAAAGAGATCTCTCTTGAAGAATAAAGTCTTACTTTGCTAACTTAATAAAAAATGACCAACCCACACAAAGACCATCCTAAAGCACCTGTGGGCAGTTTTTAGCTGGTTTTATCGATGAACTGCTGTAAACAGTTTTACTTCATTATGACCTAAAATAATGAGAGAGTCACCAACAAGACTAAAAACTCCACCGTTATTCACATTAATGCTCGTAACTGCTACAAGGGGGCAGGTGACGGGGAGTGCGAAAAAAAATCCTTTTTTTTAACTTGTTTCAAAGCAAATATTCACAGTGAAAGAAAAAAAAAACTGCAGGAGAAAATTATTGTAGTGTATAGAAGTATCACTTTGTCCACAGGGGGCGCCAAATTTAACACAGACAGAAAGTTACTCACAGAAGCTTTAAACACTCAAGTCTGACTGGGATCAAACTGAGACTATGAAGTCAAAGTTCGGCCTCAAAATTAATGACTTTTTCTTGAAGAAACTTCCGTTTTATTTAAACCTAGAAGTCTGATTGAAGCTACGATGTGCGACATTAAACTTTGGATTCTGACTTTTAGCTTAAACGTTCTGTCAAATTTAAGGAGTCTGACTTTTTACTCGTAAGCTCAATCCTATTCACGTTGGCCATTTTCAGCTGAGCAGTTTTCACTAATTAACAGATTCAGATCGGCAAAGAGATGAGGTATCAGATTTCCCACAGGGGGCGCCAAAATGAACATACATAAATTCCCAAAATGCCTAAAATGCTTTTTAAATCTGTCGACTTTGCAGTGATCTTTACAAAATTACTTTTCTCTGAAACATTTAATGCCACTATAGAACGCCAAACTTAACAAGCTCAGCTGAGCATGATCTGCTTTTCGTAGTTAAACCTTAAAACGGGATTAAAGTTCTTACAGGTGAATCTTTCCACAGAGGTCAATGATTAATATTGATTCTAATGAAATAACGGTAATCCATTTGACCTTTTTACTCTTCACTTGTATCACTGAAAAAGAAAACCAGCACTTATTTTATCAGAACCCTCGGGGTGAGTAAATATTTTTAACACCAATAGGAAACACTGAGTTGAGATAAACGTGTTAAAAAAGCAGGTGTGATATGATCTACAGTGATTATCTGTGTGTCCGTACGGCTCGGCTCTACTCCTGCAGGGTGTTTTTAGATACAATATGAATTCCCTCCTCCTTCAGTCGGGCCAGCGCAGGGCCGTAAATCTCCTTCGTCATTGGAACAACCAGTCCTTTTGTTGTGATTTCACCTGCAAAGAGAGAAAAAAAAACAGATTAAATTTCAAACTAACTCACCAAGCATGTTAGCTGCAGAAGACTTAATGAAGGATGATGGTCACACATGAAACAGGTGCAGAAAAATAAAAAGTTCAAAACCGTTCCCTGGAGAAGATTATTCGGTTGTGATAATTCAGCTTAGGGTGGGATCGAGTGTTTCTCCTTTTTTGATCAACAAAAGATCTTGAAAAAGTTCAAGACAAACAGCCAGTAACTCATCAGTGACCATGGAGGAGAAGGAGGCAGGTGGAAGCTGCGGTACGTGTCTGAAAAGCCGTGAGCAGCTGTATCTGACACCTTTAACGAGTTTAATCAGCAGAATTAGGCGAAGAAGTCTTCTTGGCTGCTGAGGCCTTTTTGACGGTCTTGTTAGCCTTCTTGGGCGCCGCAGGTTTCTTGGCCTTCTTCAGAGACTTCTTTGGGGTTTCCGCTTTCTTGGCAGCCTTGGGTTTCTTAGCCGCTGTGGGTTTCTTAGCCTTAGGAGCGGCTTTCTTGGCCGGTTTCTTCACTTTCTTCTCGGCGACCTTCTTGTTCATCTTGAAGGAACCTGAAGCCCCGGTGCCCCGGAGTCCCCTTCACGGCGACCTTAATGCGAGCCTTGTTCTTATCTCGTGTCCTACCCACCGGCAACCAGAGCCTTCTTGAGGGCAAAGAGACGCCGCTCCGCTCCTTAGAGGCGCCCACAGCTTTGACGATGAGTTCGCTGACGCTGGGCTCGGTCTTCTTGGGCCTGAGAGCCTTCTTTTTGGCCGCCTTGACCGGTGCTGGAGCTACTTCTGCCATGTTGTCTCGAGTCGTTCACTGACTGAATCAACTGTCTTATAATTAACACTTTTTTGTCTCTTTATTGTGTAGATGAAGATCACATCTACTCTGTCACTTACCATCGAGAAGCATGCGAGCACCGATGGCCGCTGGGTATCCTACAGTCTTGGCCATGGCGGAGAAACCGTTGGGGTCACCGTACACCACCAGGTTTATGTGTTTGGTCTCCAGCTCGCCAGTTGGGTGGCGTAGCCCCACGTCTGTCCTCAGGATGATCATGTCTCGCTCTTCTTTTTCTAAACAAAGAAGTCGTGTCACTCATGCTCTAGTTCGACATCATTACTTGGGCGCCGATTTGCGGTTAAAGCCGAGTTTTTGTCTCACCGAAAGAGAGTTTGGCTTCCAGATGTTTTGCCAGAGCAGCGAGCACACTGTCAGCTTGAGGCACCAACTCGTCGCTCAGCATCCCAAACCTGAACAGACGCACACAGACAAAAAAAAAGATAGACTTTCTCTCACAATAGAATAACCTTCACAAAGCTGTTTCCAAAGCGTTAAAACGATTCTGCTTTAACACCCTGGCAGCGCCGCAGCGGTGGCGGCCCACGCATCCTTGGCTAAATCTAAAGAGATGAGCAGTTGTTTTTTGTCTCTGCTTTGCTGGTGAATTGATTAAATGAACAACAAGTCATTCAATTTGAGCTGCAAGCACGTTGGCTTTTTACTCTTTTAACGGCACAAATGGAATATTTCCAACAGTTCACTTTTACCGTCGCAGGAATTTACGTTTCAATGCCAGCGTGGCCCTCTTTGCTTTCCCTGCAGCAGCAGCAGAACAATGACGGCGCAGAGCCTTGGTCTGAAGAGACCCTTGGAAAAGTTGATTTATATTCAAGAGTGTGCACACTACACCACTTGAGGCATCCTCATTAGGGGAGGGAAGGGAAAAGTGTGCAGAAGAGGAGCAGCCTCGGCCTTGTTCGATCCACAACGTGAACACGAGCCACCAAAAAACTTTACGCCCTTTTTTCTTCACTTATTTCGACAGTTACTCCTCTGCTGCTTTCAAACTTTTACGTGTCCAACTGTTCGAGGTTTTTCACGAGTCTCACCATCTCAGGCTGTCCATCCCAAAGTCGTCTTTGCTGACGCGTTCATACACGGCTTCTTCAAAAGCTTCTTGAGAGATGGAAGAGGATACGTCCATCTGCTTGCAGAGAAGATCTTTCTGTAGAGGAACAAAAAAACATCACAGGTTCTTGACTTAGTTCCTCAGGACTTTAAAGACAACCTTCTCTTTGTAGCTTCTCTTGAGCTCCTTCCATGTATTAAAGCGTTTTGACTCTGATTGTCTCCCATATCCCTTTTTCTTGAATTGTTTGACCGTCCGCTGGTGAGTTTTTAGCTCCTTCAAAGTCCTTGTTGCTCTTCTTAGTCGTCATTTTTACTGGACTGTAAACAGGATTGTCTAGTCAACCTTTAATTTTTTCTCTGAGGTTTATCTTAAATACAAACCTGCCGCCTAAAGATCATTTTGAACAGTCTGCTCGCCTTTCTCCGACTCCCAGTCCTTAGATTGTTTTGAACTACTTAGATGTCTCCTAAAGCAGTGGTCTTTATTTTTGTCTTTATTTTGTTCTTTTTCTTTTGATATTTTCTATAAATGCAACTTTAGCAGTCGTCGTCCTCAGTTCATGAGCTCTGAAATGCACTTTACTCAATAAAATGGGTGTATTTATGTGAAAGATTAGAGTCTTTAAAGGTTTTTTTTTAATAAAAAATAAAATTGCCTGGTTTAAATTTTATCAAAGTGGGTCGTGACTCAAGGACCATATGAAAATGTGGGTCCCACTCTCCTACAGTATTCCTCAGCTCCCACAAAATCTCCTAGCTTTTGTTTTAAAATAATAGTTTCCGCTAGCTTCTAGTATCTATTCTCGTGGTCCTTTTAAACTTCCTGTATGTAATCTTAAATTCTCTAAACCTTTTTCTTAAATTTACTATTTAGAGTCTTAGTTTGTTTTGAGCTCCTGTAGCTCCTAGTTTGTATCCTTAAAGTCTCTCCTGCACTAGTTTTTTTTTCACTAAGATTCTTTTAAGAGGCCAGTGTGGATCCGTCGGTTTCTTTGTCACTCCTAGTATGCATTATTTAGCTTCTCATAGAAGGTCACCTCTGGTTGTATAATAACTCCCACACTCGTGTGGTTCAAGCACCTGCTTGACTGCCATAGATCCAAGTTTCTATCCGGGGTTTTTGTTTAGCTCCAAGCTCTTCAGTGATACACGACCTTGAGCTTCACTTTGTCCAAAGACATTCTTAAAGCTTCAATATGTTTCCTTGAGCTCTTCTTTTTCCTCGTGTGCATCCTTAAAATACGTAGAGCACCTACAGGATAAAGACTTGTTAGCATGTATCTTGGATCTCTATTCTGCCGCTAGTTCACATCCATAAGTTCTGGTTATGCTCCTAGATTACACCTTAGAGTGTTTATCTTCTAGTATACATCCTAAAATTTTTGTTAAGCTTCAAGTATACATCCCATAATTAAGCTTCTAGTATACATCCTAAAGTTACGCTTCTAGTATACATCCTAAAGTTTCACTTCAAGTATACATCCTAAAGTTTTTGTTTATCTTCTAGTATACATCCTAAAGTTTCACTTCAAGTATACATCCTAAAGTTTTTGTTTATCTTCTAGTATACATCCTAAAGTTTCACTTCAAGTATACATCCTAAAGTTTTTGTTTCGCTTGTAGTATACATCCTAAAGTTTCACTTCAAGTATACATCCTAAAGTTTTTGTTTATCTTCTAGTATACATCCTAAAGTTTTTGTTTCGCTTGTAGTATACATCCTAAAGTTTCGCTTCTAGTGTACATCCTAAAGTTTTTGTAAAGCTCGTAGCATATATATTAAAGCTTTTGTTTAGCTTGTAGTAGACATTCTTAAGTTCAGCTTTTAGTACACATCCTAAAATGTTTGTTTAGCCTCTAGTATACTTCCTAAAGTTTTTGTTTCACTTCTAGTATACATCCTTAATTTTTTGATTAGCTTTTAGTATACATCCTAGTTTTTTTAGTGTCTAGTACACATCCTTAAGTTTTTGTTTATCATCTCGTAAACATCCTAGTTTTTGTTTATCTTCTAGTATACATCCTAAATTTTTTTGTTTATCTTCTAGTATACTTCCTAAATTTTTTGTTTAGCCTCTAGTATACATCCTTACTTTTTAGTTTACTAGTATACATTGTAGCTTTTGGTCAGCTTTTAGTATACATCCTTAAGTTTTTGTTTCACTTCTAGTTTACATCCTAAATATTTGATAAGCTTGTAGTTTACATCCTAGTTTTTTTGTGTGTAGTACACATTCTTAGGTTTTTGTTTTGCTTCTCGTATACATCCTAGTTTTTTTTATCTTCTAGTTTACATCCAAAAGTTCTTTTTCACTTTTAGTACACATCCTTAAGTTCTTGTTTTGCTTCTACATTTCTCCTAAATTTTTGTTTAGCTTCTAGTAAACATCCTAAAGTTTTTGTTTAGCTGTCAAACTCAGCTGTTGGCTTTCTTTGAGTGCCTTGTCTGTTTCTAAGTGTCTGTTTAGCTCCTAGCAAGTACCCTTAATCTCCTTTTTTACTCACTGGTATCTGACTCTCAGTTTCTGGTCAGTGTATTATATGGATTACTGTAACCATCATTAACTCTAAGTTTGTTAAAGTTCACTCCTAATATGTACTTTTGAGTTTCTGCACCAAGACTGCTTCTCAGTTCCCTTTTTCTTCAAGACAAGGTCTTATTTCTAGTTTCCTTCACTGTTTCTGCTTCTCTCTTCAAACAAAGAGATTAGACGCTCTTGGAATTGGTTATATTCCATCTATCTTTTTAAGCTAAAAAGGTTGATTTGAGTGTTTTCAGAGAGACAAGTGGGGAGATTTCACTAATCAAGCTTTGATTCGTGATGAACACACACCGATCCGGCAGCTCTGCGATTCTCTTTCAACTCTCGACAAGATAAATGAGGACAAATGTGCTGTAAACTCATCAGTGTCAGAAAGCCTTGGGTCACAGCAGCCTTGATGTTGACAAGCAGCTATTGACAGTAATAGACTCTTCACTTCCACAGTCAGAGGCGTCAAGTGCAAAAGCCGCCAAACAGCTCATTTCATAAAAACTGAGTGGCAGAATAGAAAGAAAAAAAAAGCACTTCTCAAAAGGCTGCCTTTCAGACGCGTGCATGTGATTTTTCTTTTAAAACTCTGAAAGCACTCCCAGCCGAGGTTCTTACCCAGGATGTGGGGTGTTGAATTGGACAGGGCTCGCTGTTGATAAGACCCAGTTTGACAAAACCCCTCATGGCGTTTGAGAAGCCCTGCGGCGCAGAACAAAGAGAAAAGTGAGTTACATAAAACAAGGAATACAAGAGCAGAAAGAAATCGAGCTTTGGCAGCGAGCTTCCATTCTGATGTTTATACTTCTCAGCTACACTTGAAAACCATGAAAAGGTCGATATTTTCCATCAGGAACTCAATCAAATACTGGGATTTGGAGGAGCTGTTAGTTACGATATGATAAGACACAGAACAGGATACACGATACGATGGGTTCTGATAAAGTGTGATACAACATAAAACAATACGGTGCAATGCAACAAGACAGAGTTCTATGAGGAATGACACAGTAGGGTGTGTTGCATTGATTGCGTTCAGACGGTACAGGCCTCTGGTGCACACTGTCATGGATTCTGTTTGTGATTTTCAGGGACAGGAGCTCAAGGTGCAGCTAGAGGTGAAGGATCTGCAATTCACCAGCCTCAAAGTTAGCCGAGTATGAAGCGGCTGGATGAGAATCAGCACCTTTGACTCTGAGACCATGGTTCTCCGCTGGTGGATTGCTCTCTTCCTGGGTGGGGAGTACGTCTTTGCCCAAAATGAAGGAGTTAAAGTAAAACCAGGTCTTGTTTGGGGAGGGGGTAACAAAAGATCAGGGGATTGTCAGGCGGGATCAGCAGTACTGCAGGTGTTTCCCTGGACCATCTTGGTGAAGAGCGAGCCGAGCTGGAGGGTGGAGTTATTGATTAACCAGTGGATCGACTATGAAGGGTGTCTGGGCTCAGCCTTAGAGAGGGTTGGAAGCCCAGACATCCGGAGGGAGCTCAGAGTGGGTCTTCTCCACAATAAAGGGGATACCTGCTTGTGGAGGTGTTCTGCCAATGGGAGAGAGACCTAAAGGTAGACTCAGGTCTTAACTGAGAGGTAAATAGTATCTGGTCTGGGAACACTTTGGAATCCGACAGGAGGAACCGACAATGTTGCTGAGAAGAGGGTCTGGATTGACTTTCTGAGACTCTTGCAACCCAACACCGCCAGCAATGGCGCAAGAAAATGGATGATGGATATACGATAGAAAAATACAAACATCTACAATGTGTTTGTGTGCTCTACCTTGAAGCGCAGTGTTCCTCTGATCAGTGTGTGCGCTGTCTCGATATCGTACTGCTCGGCGTACTTGGTGCTGTCGCGGTTCGGAAATCCCTCCAGGTTGAAACCGGGAAGAAAATCCATCGGCACTGCAGAGTCCATCAGGGAGCCGCCGGCCGGGATACTCACCACCTGGACACCAACACACAGATTTGTAAACACGGGGATAAATCTCTTGAGTTTCCTCATCTTTTTTGCTCCTCTGAGGCCTCCTCACCTTACTATCCTGGAGGTAGATAGCGGGGCTGATGGTGTTCAGGAGGACGCCGTACGGACTCCAGCTGAACTTGTATCGAAGAGGATTGTCCGAGCATTCAGGAGCAGGAATGCCACCGCAGAATGAATTGTACGACTCCACCTGAGGATTAAAATCATTGTTTATATTCTGACATTCAACACGCAACACGTGGGGGCTCAGAGAGAAACAAACAAGATTAAAAGAGCAGACGAGAATCTGGACTTTTCCACAATATTCAGGTTTTTTTATTTATTTATTTATTTTTATTTATTTTTTTTAACTTATTTTAAATTTATTTTTATATTTTTGTTATTTATTTTTATTTTTTAAACTTTATTTTCTTTTTTATTTTCTTTTATTTTTAATTTGTGTGTGGTCAAACAATCATCCTCCACACACACACACACACACACACAGAGTCAGAGTGTGTGCTGACTCACCGTACAGCCGTCTGCTTTCCCCTGGTCGATACACTCCATGGCCAGCATGTGGTCGATCCCAGGGTCCAATCCCATCTCATTCACGATGGTGATTCCCGCCTCCTCCGCACTGAGACACAAACACAAACACACACACACACACATCAAACGATAACCAGCAATAATTGGACCAGACTGGCTTGTTAAGGAGGGATTCAAACCCCTTAACTCATCCAGTGCCGTTGACGGATTTGGACGGATATTTCAGGTTTTTTTGTTTTCCGCCAGAGGGCGCTCCTCTCCAACATGCGACTAAGAACGACTAAGTTGTTCTGAACGCAGTGAGAAATGTGTCATCAAGTGTGCCCACTAGCCGAGTTGTGGAGTGTTTTTTCTCTATGAGGAAAATGCCGAAGTCATTAGCCAAGAGCTAACCGTCTCGGCACATCGGCTCCCGTGGGCGAGGTGCTACTGTCTCTGGATCCGGTGGAGATCCTAGTGCCGGACCTTCACTTCGTCAGCAGACAATCAAAGAAACAATTTTCCGATGTGTCGTTGTGCTGTCGGTGCTGTCACTGTTGAGCGAGACTGAGCTGGAATTTAGCTTGGAGGACGCGAGCAGTCCGTGTGGTTTACATCGCAGTGTCAGGTTCTCAAGGGCCAATACAACTACCACCCGTCAGAAAGCGACCTATCATAGCAGATCTCGAGAGTGATGAAGAGTGGTGTCCGAGGAGGAAGGACCTTGATGCCAGCAGTAAAGAAGTTTGAAGTGAAATGAAATCGACGTTCAGAGTTCTGCTTGAGAGTCTCTCCTTCATAAAAATGTGTTTTTTCCATCTCTGCAAAGATGATATGACCACGCTGCATTGAGCAGGAAATAATCAAACTCAGGAGTGGGTTAGAGACTAACTTTTTTTTTTGCGGAAGAAGAGAATCACCTCTTTCTTTTGAGATTTCGCACTTAATTCTAGTCCAAACACAAAATATTCTGCGGTCGTGAAAGATACAGAAATTTCTATTGCGGTCAGTGGTGGCGCTGGGTGAAAACTGCATAAATGAGTTAATAGACGGACTCAAACTCCTGCAGCAGTTGAACATGGACACAGCCTGATTTTGTTGTTCTGAGCACGTCTGCTGTGGACTCACCTCCTCTGCAGCTCCTTCATGGCAGGGCTCAGGTAGCTGGCCGTCACCATGTTGACCTTGTTCTTGATGCATTGTTTGGCGACGAGTGGGTGGAAGGAGTACGGCAGCAAGCTGTGGAGCAGACGATGAGACGAATCAGATCAGTCTGACGATGTAGAGCCGAGTACGACAAGCTGAGGTCTGAATTCAGATTTACTAACCAGCTGAAGGACAAACTCCTGACGGTTTAAACTCAGTCAATCTTTATTTATATTGAGCCAATTTAAAACAAAAGTCATCTTAAGACCCTTCACTAAAACAGCCGGTCTAGACTACACTCTGTTTACAAAGACAGGATCAGATTGAGCCCCATCATGCTGTACCTGATGACTAAGTCGTGATCTTTAATCAGGTTGTCCAGGTGTCCTTCCTGGCTGCCGGCATCCAGCGTGACGGGGATGGTGTTGGGATATTTGGCCGCCAGCTCCTCTGCCTGTTTCAGGAGCACCGACGCTTCACACCAAAGAAACAGATCAGCTGTGAGACTGAAGTGTTCAGTCATGACACTGAAATTTGACTTCAATCGAGAGAGCAGACTCAGACTCACCCACGGTAACCTGCGTCTTCTCGTCTCGAGTCAAATACTCGACTACAGGTCCGGATACGTATCCTGAACCCAGCAGCAGAACGCGCTTCATCCCGGTCTTCTTCATGATCTGAGCCTTTTCCCTGAAGGACAGCAGACAGACAGACCGACTCAGAGACACGTTTTAAGACCGCAGATCATAGGAGGGTCCGGGGACTGAATTTCCATCCAACAGGAAGAGATTTCAAGATTTATAAATTTGGAGAAAGTGGGTCATGATTTTGGTCAAAATCTGATTATCTGAGGAGCGTGAATCAAAAATTCCTCCTTTGAACTGGAAGATCGGATGGGAACCAGTCTGTCTGTCTGAGCGGAGAGGAGCAAACACATCGACTCTGTTCACATGAAGACGTTTCTCCGTCCATCTCTGTTTATAACTGAAATGAAAGCTAAATGAAACTTTTTATTATAACGTTAAAGTGTTCAGAGTCAAAGTGCTGCTGAAACGTCTCTGATCAGACAGTTTGATGTGATTGGCGAGGATCTGGACCGAACCGTGACGGATGGAGGGGAAGGAACAGGAGGAGGGAGGGGACACGGTGAAGGGTCGTCGAAAAATAAAAATGATCAAACAAACAAAAAAAAACTTACCAGAAACATTCAAACGTCCTAAAATTAATTGATTCCAATTTTTAGCAAAGATTAGGAAAATTACGTCTCGATCGTTCTTGGAGATGATCTGATTTGTGTTTTTAGGGTCACGTAAAAGCGTCGGTGTTAATTTAAAGTGTTATAAAGGAAGGTAATTATCACATTTTAATCAATTATTAGGAGTGACTGTATGTGATAAAATAAAATAAAATAATATACCTCATTTAAATCCTCTTTTTCTAACTTTTTTCCACTAACAATCAAACCGTCATAAAGAATACCTAAATGAGATTTTCAGGGTTTTACTAACTTGATAATCTGAGTGATAAAATGCCGGTCTTTCATGTGTCTCTGTCTGTATCTACGCCTCGTCGTATATCCTGTTTGAGTCCTCTATCGGCGTCACGCTCTCACGCCTCTTAATCAAACTGAGAGGACGTCACCAAACAACTGGATTCAGTTAAAGATGCTGGATTATCATAACAACAATAACAACCATAACAGAAGCATCACCCTGGTGACCTGTGGCATTAATACCACCAACCACCACGGGCCTCAAATCCCCCAGGAGTCAGACCCGAGACTCGTTAGCTTCGCCCTAATTGGATGCGACACATGCACGAGACCGACTGGAGGTCCGAGCGTCCGCCTTAATTAAAAACAAAGAAAGGAGACACGTCTCCCTCAGGAGGATTTCTTCAGAGTTTACATATCTTAAAGGAGCCAAACTCAATCAAAAGGATTAAGATTTGGTGGCATGGCTTGTCTGGAAAAATGATACGGAGGATCAATTAGGAGGAAAACTCATCTGGCCTAAATATGAGCCTTTCTCTGTGAGGAGTCGAGTCTGGAGACGAGGCGGAGACCTCTCTGGTTAAGCTGTTTACAGAGTTTTATCCATGAGCCAAAGAAAACAAACAGGAAGTCAGGAAGGACGTGACGGCTCATTAAAACCTTTTAAAAGCAGACTTAAGTGAAGGCAGAATTAAACTGTGAGGCTTTTAAAGAGGAGTAAGAGTCAACAGAGCGAGGTGTTAATCAAAAACTGAAGAGGACACAGACGAGGAGTTAGTGATGAACGTGCAGATGGATCATTAATTCAGTTTGTCTGTGTGTGTTATAGACATGTTAGCCTCGCTTAGCACCAAACAGAACAAAGGTCGGAGAAAGGTCACGATGATAAACTAACAAAGAATTTTTAATATTAACTAAAACATCTATTTTCAAATGTTGAATTTCTCTAAAATAAGTTTATTAAATCTTCGTTTTGATGGTCTAGTTTCATTTTTCTGGATCGTGTGATTCTCCTGACACCGCCGAGAAGTTCCTGACACCTGAGCCCAAGAGCGACACATGCTGGATCATTTAAGAACTTCACATCTTCACCCCTGATACGGCTTCTACAATCTGTCCAGAGGGGGCGCCAAAATCACCACTAACAGACAATCCATCACGGGAGGATTAGGGTCACAAGAAGAGAAAAAAATAATTACTAGAGGGAGATTTTTTTAATTTCCATTTCAACATTTAAGTCGAAATTTAAAATAGTCTAAATAAAAAAAAATGAAATTTCGACATTTAAGTCATAATTTCAAAATTTAAAAAGTCATTATAAAGTAATTACTCACCAGAATAGAGTTGTAATAAAATCGTTACTAACGAGAATAGAGTCGGAATAAAGTCTTAATATTCTAACCTGTTACATAAGATGACAGTTGTTAAAATTAGAGCCACGGAGCATTTCGTGAAAATGTACTTCAATACAAGTTTCTCAAACAAGGAGAAACTTCATCTTTTTGGCACATCAGCACCACATTATCACAAATATCGTAATGATTTTTAATTTTCGTAAATTGACAACTTTAATCCTGAAGTTTTCTTTTTTTTCTTTATGTGGCCCTAATACTCCGTCGTAAATCTTTCCCTTTAAGATGCTTTTTTGACTCCACATTTTAAAGCTGCACTAAATTGAATCTACATTGAACATCTACATTGAATTTCCCCTCAGGGATAAAGTAATTTTCATTCTTAATTCTTATTCTAACTCTAGAGTTAGCTGGTTTTAGGCAGAATATAATCATGATGGAGTTGGACAAGACTCTTGATGCAAAACAGAGATGTCTTGTCCTCCTTTTAAAGGTTAATTTACCGTATTAATCTTCTGATTTCACTTATTTCACATGTATTTTTTTCTCATGGTGACTTTCAAGTCATTCTGTCAGAGTTTAAACCCTGAAAAAGACCCTCTTAAACCTCCAAACAAAGTACAAGACCGCTCCCTAAACACAGAGAGAGGTTAACAGTTTCCTACCACTGGCAGTCTAAACTGGTTTATAAACCACCTAGTTTGTACCGGATGCACAGACATAAACTGGTTTGTCTACTCCTGGAAATCCAGCAAAGATAAAATGAATCAGGACAGAGTGGAGTGATGATGCGGGGTGACGGCGGGTTTGGTGCAAAGAGAGAAAAAAAATGTGTTTCTGACCCTCGATACCAAAAGGGTCCAGCGTCTGACGATGGCTAGCAGCTGTGGCTTTTTAGCACGCTAACCATGCAAGGTGTTAATGCAGAGGCAGGTATGCAGAGCAGACAGCAGAGGGCAGCACTGTGCAGGAACAACCACAAGGTGACTGTTAGTGGCAAAGAGTCCGGCTTTCAGCGCCGCAGGCCGAGGGACACTAAAGATCACACACTGCAAAGCTAAAAAGGGTGAGTTAGGAGGAAACACAGGAGACTACAGCACCAAAATACACAGATTTAACAGGACAGCTAATAAATGTAACAGGACAGCTCGTAAGTTATCACAGGAGAGCGAGGTTAGAGCTCAAACACAACAGAAATGTTACCTGTCTCGCAATCTTTAGTCATGTCATCCACAGATTGTTTGCATTTACTCAAAGTGGAACAAGTTTGCCAAAGTAATTTCAACATTTTCTCAAATAAAAACATGAAATACAAAAATCTGTTCAACATTTCTGTACAACAAGTGTTTACATCCTCGGAGTTCAGATCTGAAACACGTCTTACCTCCTCTCTCGAAGTTTTTCGATGTATTCAAACTTTGGGGTGAGGACTCCGTTTGAGGTGATGACAGCCTTTAGAAAGAAAAACATTAAACACTCAGTATACACAACTGACTGTGAACAACTTGTGTATAAACACGACAAGCAGACAAGGCTGAGGCTGAGGAGTCCTTCTATTCAAAGCTCCTGTGAGGATCGAGGTCTGGAGTTGCAGCTGCGTTGAAATCTTTCAGACTTTTTACTTACGTCTCTGACTTGTGGGCTGAATTCCTCCTCATCCAGCGGCCGTGTCGCATCTGAAGGCAGCTGATAATGGCAGAGACACTCATTAAAAATTCACAGATCCAAACAAACAGAAATCCTGCCTGTCAGGGTTCATTATTCACTCAGCTCACCACCAGAAACCTGCAGCAGCGCTCTCCCAAAGCAAACTCAACTACCCAGTCTGCCAGCAGCAGAAGTAGAAGCTCAGAGCGAGACAGAAACCCAGAAACCCCGCGGTAACTCCCACTGCCGCCCTCACCTCACCTCAAACCCAGTCAAGACCTCTTACCATCTCCCAGATGTAGGGGAAGAGCCGGTCGCCAAAATACTCTGTGGCTTCAATAGGGAGCTGAGCAGGAAGGTTGTCGATGGAGCACATGAGGATCCCGTTTCCCTCAACGCTGCAGAGCCGAGACAGAAAACAGAAGAAACAGAAGTTTAGAGTTTCATACTCAGGTCAGTTTTTAGACAGTTAATATTATTACTTTTATATACTTTTATTTCCATTTATTTGTTTAAAGCCTTAAATTAAAATGAGATAAAATTATCAGAGAAGGTTGGGAGGAAAAACTAAGAACCAGGAACAGAAAAGGTCATTTTAAAGTGTTAACGTTAGGAGAGTAAAAATTTACAACAAATTTGATAAGAAAAACAACAATGAAACAAAAACAATGAAAACAAAAACCATGAACTTAAAAAAAAAAAAAATTAAATTAAAAATGTGAAAAAACCTGAAACAAATAAAACAAAAAACAACGACGAAACAAAAACAAATTTAAACATTAAAACAACAAAACTTAAAAAAATATATAAAGACAAAAAAAATTTTTTAAACAAAAACAATGGACCAAAAAAACAACGAGACTGAAAAGCAATAAAAAAAATAAAAACACAAAACTTAAAAAAAACAATGAAAACCCCAAAAACAATAGTGACAAAAAAATTAAAAACAAAAACAATAAAACCTTAAAAAAACAATCAAACTAAAAACAATTAAAACCAAATAAATTATGAAAATAAAAAAAAAATTAAAACAAAAACAATAAACCTAAAAAAACAAAGAATAAAACAAATACAATAAAAAAAATGAAAACAACAAAACTAAAAAAAAATAATGAAAACCAAAAAAAGAGAAAAAAATTCCAAAACAAAAACAATTAAACCTTTAAAAAAAACCAATAAAAACCAAAAATAGCAATGAAAAAAATATTTAAAACAAAAACAATTACACCAAAAAATAAAAAATAAAAACAAGAAAAAAAAAATTACCAGAAAAGTTAATATTAAAAAAATATTCCTGCAATTTTGAAAGGACTCTCGCCAGCTGCTTGCAGCATCGGCTCAGGCCCTAAAGTCTGAGCGACTTCCTGCTGCTAAACAGACTGATGTCTCTGGATAACTGCGTCACAAAAGTCTGCAGAGGTCTATCATGGAGTTTGTGAATTTTGAGTCATTTGCTACATTCAGGACTAAACATACTTGAACTGCTGTGTTTGCTCTGTACCTGTCATGATCTATGTGCTGGTCAGCGTCGTAAATACAGAAAGGCTTATCGATGGTGGTGCACTCGTTCATGAACTCGATGGAGCCCCCCGTATCAGCCGAGATGTCACAGATGGCCAGAAGTCTGTGGACAGAGAGGGGGGAAGGTGGGAGAGGTCAAAGTGACAGGCTGAGCTTCAAACATGGCTGATAACATGACAAGTTTAACCTCTGACCTCTGTGGACATGAAGCAGGTAAACTACTGTGCTGCTGGGAATTCAGAAACCAAGTATATGTCACCTCAGAGCGCATAAGTCTGACTGATCCAGGGTTTTTTTTTAAAACTGATCAAAAATAAAACTGTTCATCTCTGTCTCCAGTCACAAAGAATAAAAGCAAACAGGAGAGAACAGGAAACAGGAAATAACAGCTGTCAGACTTCCTGCTGAAAACAGGTCGATGGTCAAAGATCTTGATGCTCTTACTTGTGGGGCAGCACCGGTGACCCCTCTGTGGATGCTGAGGATAAGTTTGTCGGTCTTATCAGTCTCTGAGCGTCCATTCGTCTGAGGAGCCGCGGAGTGTGGGGGTCCCAGTAAATACCGTTGATAAGGCATGTAGTGTATGGCGCCACCTGTAGGCAAAAAAATACACTTGAACTCTTTTAATTCAGGATGTTGACAATTAAAAGAGAATCAAAAAGTATCCGTCTGTGCTCTGGAATGACACCAAATTCTAAAAAAAAATAATAATAAATAAAAAATACAAAGAAAAATCAAAAATATACTTTCAAAATATGAACAAATTTTGGAAGCATCAAAAATATTTTTAAAAAGTTATTTATGTTTTCTATAATTTAAAAAAAAAAAATTCTAAAGAAAGTACCATTTGTAATTTAATTGTAAAATGTTTTCAAAAATGTTTTGGTTTTCCATTTTTTTGTTTTGAGAAATATTTTTGTTCTTAGAATTTATTTGTTTATTTTCCAATTTTCATATTGCATATAGTTCTGTTGTCTTTTCCAAAATATTTTTACATTCTTAGCTTTTTTTTGTTATCTTAATTATTTTTTGTTTACATAGGTGACTTGTATTTCACAATTAAAAGTTTTTGAAAATATTTTTACATTCATAAATTTATTTCCCATTTCATGATTTTATATTTTTGTGTGTGGTCTGAAATATTTTTGCTTTTACTTTTTTGGGAGGTTTCACAAAATAATTTTAATATTTTTCTTAAATGTAATTTGTGGTCATGCAAAATATTTTCAAGTTCTTTTTAATTACCATTTAATGATTTTTTTGATTCAAATGTTTCTGTGTTTTATTAATCATTGTTTATAAGAAGAAGAATTTTACTGATCCCAAAGAGAAATTCAGTTTTTTATTGCCTTCCTGAAATTTCTGTGACATTGACCTTCAGGGCCACCATCCTTCCTCCCTCTGTGAGGTTATTGATGAGCAGATTAAAAGACATTAACTGATGACATTTTCAAAATTAATGATTGAAGTTTTCAGACATTTTTCAGGGAAAAGAGGGAACATTGGCAGGTTTCTGCTTTCAAATGTGAGGATTTAATTTCCTTTTCAAACTGAATTAATTGTAAAAGTCATGAGCAGATTAACTGATGACAAACATAAATGATAGGTGCTGCCAAAGCTCAGAGGATCACCATGTTACAAATGTTTTGAAACAGACTCACTGAGCGGTGAGGTTAGAAATAGAGGATGAGGCCTCAGGGTGAGTGACAGGAGCAGGTGGGAGTTCAGACGAGCATGTTGACATGGGGGGGAGTAGAGAGGGGAGAGTGGGGAGGGGCGGCTGTGTTTATGACGGAGCAGAAAAGACTCACGCTCGTCCTAAAGTGTGAAGTGTACAGCTCCGGGTGGTTCTCGTACTCCATGGGGTCATAGATGCCGTCGCTCTTCCTCATCAGGTGGTGATGTCGGCTCAGGACGGTGGCGTACACTTTGGTCAGGTCTTCAAAAATGAAAAATATCGACAAACTCGTGACAATAATTCAACATCTTCACTTTTACAGCTGAGCTCAGTGATGTCACTTTAGTCCAGAAGACCAATCGAAGAGAGGAGCTCGGGGATTTCTAACCTCCGGTCTCTGAGACGTCCCTCAGCTCCAGAGGTTCAACGTACTCCACAGGAAGCTCGTTCAGGATGTCTTGCGCTCCCTGCAGAAAGAAAAGAGCGAAAACTCACAGAATTCAACTCTGCACTGCTCACACCTGAAGCCATTAAACTAGGATGTGGGTGGATCTGTTGTACCTTGGAGACATTGCCGGTGCCGGTGAAACAAAACGTCACAGGGCCGATTGATTTGGGCACGAGGCCCATAGAGATTTCATACCCACAATCCCTCACTGCTTGGATGGCCTGGCTGACGTTCCTGTAGTTGTGAGCCATGCCGATGTGCTGCGAAAAACAACGAGACAACAAGTGAGCCTTTAATTTCCAGAAGTTTGGGAACAGAGTCGATAAACTGATGTTCAGGAAGTGATGCGATCCTTTGGCGCAATCGTGTCCAATCAGCTGACAGCAGCTTCAGCAGCTTCTTTCTCTCACCATGAAGGGAGTGTGGTGTCCCAGAGCCAGGAAGCGCAGCCCCAGACCGTGTAAGATGTTGATCATTCCTGCAAAAGAAAACAAGTCTCACCATTAAACACAGAAAAGACATCTTTAATTCTTCCTTTATTAAAGCTCAGCCTGCACACTCACACATACAAACACAGACCTGCTGTTAAGAAACATTTTCATGCACACATTCAGCTGTGACCCCGTAGATGCTGGATTACGCAGGTCGACATGTTGACACAAATCTGACTCAACAGCTCGAGGTCAGACTGATCAAATAATGTCGGTCTGGATGGGTCATTAGTGACGGTTTTACCGGTGAAGACTTGACTCAACGTCACAAAAATGTCCCTTATGATTGAGTTCACTTACCTGCAACGCCCGCCCACTGGCCGAACGCCACTATCCTGAAACCGTTGGCATCGACCATCTTCTCGTAGTCGATCAGACGAACCTCCTGAAAAGAAAAACGGTTCATCAGACTCTGCAGCGTCAGACCCAGAACAGAAAACCAAACTGCTGCTGGGCATGATAGTACAGACAGGTGATCTTTTACTTCAACTAAAAAGAAACCAAAACTATGAAGAAATGCAGCTTTCTGTCTCCCAAAAAAACACTAAATCACTCAGGTAAAATGAGATGCAGTGCTCACTGATTTTTTTGTGTAACTTCCTAAAATTTTCAGAGTTTTGTGAATAAAATAAACTGCAGAAGGAAGTTAACCCCCAACAGGCCTTCATATTTTGAGTGGAGGTATTTGGGGTTTAAGAGTGAGACATCTAAAGGATGGTTTCACCTTCATCAGCAGGTCGTCCAGCAGCGCCATGTTCGCATCCTGGGCCTTGATGGTGTGGGAGAAAAACGCGTACGTCTTCCGGGGTATGACCTTCTCCTCTGGCGGCCTCTTCACCCCGATAATCAGAGACGCCTCAGAGATGTCCTCCTGAATGACGGCGCCCGCTCTCATGTAGTACTAAAACCCGAAACACAAAATGAATCAATATCTATTAACAATACTTATCTTGTCAACTATTACATTAAATACGGTAGCCTCAACTCAAGAGTTGAACTGCGCAGCTTTGGGTCGTTTAATAACCATCGGTGAGCGGTTTACCTTTTCATGGATGGCTCTGCGGTTGGACGGTTGGACCAGGACTTTGACGCCGGCGTTGGTGAGCTCTTTGATGTGGCGCGGAGCCAGCGGCGCCCTCCTCTCCCAGGGGTTGACGTCCTCGCGGCGGATGGCCACGATGGCTCTGTGGTGCTCATAGCGCCGCTGGCCTGCGAGGCAGCTCTGCGTCCTCTTTCCTTGGCGACTGAGGAGTCTGAACATGACTTCAACCCCCCTGCTCAGGACAAAGATACGACCCACACACTGCTGACATGAAGACGTTAAGACGTCAAGACAGCGAATGACACAGGTACAGATCAGTCAGGGTAATTTTTACCCTCAGTCTGGGAAAAATCTGACTCAGAGGTCAGGGGTCAAGCTAGTTGTTGGTTTGCTGCTGGGAGAGAGCTGCTGGCACACAGGTGGATCTGACAGACTGAATAACTACTGAGACACAAAAATAACTTACTTAGAAACAAACTTTAATCAGGAACATAACTGAACAGCACACTGGATCGAATCATTAACATCATACTGGTGCAGAGTTGGAGCCAATAACAGGAAATGTGTTCATGGAGACCCTGATGGTGACTGAGGGACTGCGGAGAAGCTTTTTTATTGACTTTTTCTACTTTTTTAACTTTATAATCACAAAACTCTGGTTTCTTTATATCAAATATTGTTTGGGAGTAGATTTTTGTTTTTGAAAATGCTCCCTTTCACAATAACATCTTCCGTTATGGTTCTGTCTCTTTTTTTATATGAGCTCACGAACATCAAATTAACCGAACATTTCCCACACATTGATAAATAAATCAGTTTCTGAGTTGGTGTTACAGTCGTAACCATAGCAACAATCTGTTCTTCTGATAAAGAGACAAAGAAGGCAGTTGCTTGACCAAAACAGCCATGGGGTAAACAAATAATAATGTAAATATACAGTAAATAGGAGAGATATATCAATCTTCACAACTCGCTTCTTGTAAGACAGCTCATATCGCACTTTTAACCTTCCTCCTGTTTTAGCTTTTACTACGCACCCACCATGCTAAGGGTCGGTTTTGACCGTGTCTTAAATCAGCTGTAAATTACACTCAAAACAATTCTCTATCATCCAGTTTGGTTCTCATCTCTAGGTTACATTGTTAGGCTTCATTATACATGAAAATATTGATTATAATATTTGTTGTAGTTGTCCTCTGGGCCTTTCTTTGTCAGTTTACCCCTCACACAGACATGTATACTGAACTGATCTCACATTTCTGGAAATGCCTGACGTTTTTGTGCAGGGAAAAACACGGAAAAATTAAAATGTCCTAAATCTCACATGATTGGAAGAGGATCTGACTGTCAGTGTGGTGCCTGACAGTGCACTTATGATTTTAGTTATGCTTTAATTATTAGATATTGATCTAACCGGGTCAACAGCGACCCTAACACAAGGGCCATTATTTTAATAAGAGCATTATATTATTTAGTCAATTTAATTTTTGTTTTTATTTTGTTGAAATAGAGGTTCCTGGCAAAGTCAAAAAGTCTAAAGCATTTAAAATCAAAAACGGGTCGGTGCGGACCCTAACACAAAAGGAGTGTCAAACTTTTCCTTCAGACCCTCTAGACTGAGCCCTTGAGGGGTCCTGAATTTCCGGTTTAGGAACTAACAGTGTGAAAGCAAACACAGTTGGTACAGTAAACCTGAACTCGTATTTGCCTGAAGTAAAAAATCCAGACAAACTGTCTCTGTAAACATCTGAAGGTGATCAGTTTGCATAAATGCAGCAGGAACGGTTCACAGCAGCAATGTCAGGACTAAGGTCTGACACTGTCAAGACTGGTGTCCCAAATCGCATACTTCCATACTAAACGGGATTTGCCTCATGTCTGAACATTTATTGTGCATAACAGAAAAATAAAAAACTATTTACATATAAAAGAATTTAGAACAAGAAAACTAAAGATACCCTATTTACATATTAAACTTTGAACTCGGTAACTAAAGATAAACTATTTACAAATTAAGCATTTAAAACTAGAAAGTAACTATTTACAAAAAACTACTTTCTAAATATATTTTATATAATACATAAAATATTAATATAAAATATAACGGCAACTTATTACTTACATCTGTACAAAGCTGGGACTGTCGCCGACCCACTGGCACCAAAGCCATCCACAGCCATTCTTACCGATGAAATGAGTGTGGGCGAGTGTCCACAGTCGCATACTCAAAATCTTCACCGATTTGAGTACGTCATCCGGGTACTTTTGCATACTCAAATTTTCTCATATTATCCATACTTTTCCCATTTTGAGTTGAGTATACTCCAAATTTTAAGTATTCAGTATGGAAGTATGCGATTTGAAGACACACCTCAGGATTGATATAGACAGGGTCCACAGTCGCACACTCAAAATCTTGACCGATTTGAGTACATCATCCAAGTACTTTTGCATACTCAAATTTTTGCATACTATCCATTCTTTTTTCCATTGTGAGTTAAGTATACTTAAAATATTAAGTATTTAGTATGGAAGTATGCGATTTGGGACACACCTCAGGACTGACATAGACAGGGTCCACAGAGTTACCCAGCTCTGCCCAGGTTTAGTCCCTGTTGGACAGATGGCATCACCTGGTCCAGGAGAGGGACTGCTGCCCTCTCTGTGTCCTCTCATTGAGGGGGCTCTTGTGTTGTAGTTGTTCAATAGTTAATCTTTGAAAATCATTAATTATTTGCCTTTTATTATGACTAATTTCACGTTAAAGTGTTTTCTGTGGCTTTCATGGGTCTCTATGTGTCCCACAGGGCCGCCTTCGGGTGAGTCGTAACACTGTACCCACATGTATTACAGTTCCGGGATCAGGTCAACTCTGTCACTCAAACACTTGCGAACATTGATCGGTTAATCGACACCGTGATTTACCGTTGGCAGCGCGTGCTCCGGACTCACCTTTAAGGCCAGTTTCTGTTCACCTCGCCAGCTCCTGACGAGGAAATGTGGCGACGGTTCACCGACGACACCGGAGAGTCACGCAGAGGTGAGACGAGCTGCAACTTCACACACACAACTTTACAATACACATCCACGGGGCATGGTAATCCTTTTCCGGTCAAAACTTCAAAATAAAAGTCGAAATTATTTGGCTTGACTTGGTTTTACTTTTACACGGATGATAACATCACTTAATGTATTTATATTTCACTCCCATTATCAATATGGGATTATTTATCAGTTATATTTAAACTGTTTAACATATTTTTACCTATTATTATTATAATTATTATTGCAGGTGGTGTGTTGTTTCACTTTGATTTCCCCTCTAAGTATGGATATCTTGTATAGAGGATCTTAATCGTCCTAAAAATGTTTTTAAAAAAGCTAATACTGTTATAATTTTTTTAACCTTTTTATTTGCTATGGTTCTATGATATATAATGATGATGATGATGATGATGATGATGATGATGATGATGATAATAATAATAATAATAATATTAGTAGTAGTAGTGGTAGTAGTAGTAGTAGCATTTTTATGTTGTTGTTATTGTTGTTATCAAGTGGGCCAAAGTGCATGAAGCATCAAGTGATGTAGAACACTCTAAAATGACTGCTGTTTGGTCACTTTATTTATGATAAACTTTTTGAAGTCGTTACCGTTTTTTTCCTTCTGTTCCTGAACTGTAAATTAGTGAACACGACGTGGGGATCTTCAAGATATTCAATATTTTCAACACTTTATAAAAGTTCGGTTGTTTCTGTAATGAGGTGGTTATATTTTGGTGTTTTATTTTGAAGGCTAGAAACTCCTTTCCGTTATTTTCCATGTAGTGGTCTGAGGAATGAGTGGAATCTGCTCCTTAGGGATACTTGAAGCTATGGTCGTTTGGTCTTATTCACAGCACCTCCCGCATGGGCGGCGTTAATCCTCCTTGAGCAGGTGTGACCTTAGTGCGGCTTTAACGTTTCCATCTGTGTTTAATTTTTTAAAACAAATGAAAAACGTCGAATAAAGTCGTTAAATTCGAGTAACAGCTGAAGCTAGGTGGATATCCCCGCCTGTACGAGCTGTGCACAGGTAGGAACCCAGCGTACATGTGTCGCTGCCGTGAAGGGATCCTGTCCACTCATGTTCAACAGGTCTCCAACAGAGCACGTGTGGTCTCACAGCTGGTCCCAGCTGGTGGTTTAAATTGGTGTCAAGCGGACCTGTACTGTACTTAAATCTGTCCACCAATCAGCTTTCAGAGCTGCAGGAACGGCCTCCTTTTCAGCCCGTCGCGTGCTGATGACGTAAGAGAGCGGGAAAATACCCTGGAGAAATCTGATGGCTGCTGTTACCGGCACGAGCCTGTCCTAGACAACGATAATAAAAATCTGATTATTACGATATAAACATTAAAAATAGATATTAATATTATCATAAACTGCTATTCTATAAATGAATGTACTTTTGTGGATAAACAAAGTTCTTGTATTCTGTTCATCTGAACAAACTTTATATTTAAGTCAGTGATTGAGTGAGTAATTGAATCGATAATTGATCAATCTGGAGACTAAAGAGCTTTTATTTCAGAGGGGGGTCATGTTGTTCAAGACTGCGCGTGACATGCTCACCTGCGCTTCCTGCCTTTCTGGCTACCGTGATAACCGTTGTTCTGCACTTCACACAACTTTTATTTTTCCTCATTCATAAAACGCTTACATTGGGGACAGTTCTGGGGACAACCTTAGCCGGGACAAGTCATCCAAAACGGAGACTGTCACTACCCGATCCGTCCCAGAAACCCGATTTGTACTGTGCATGTGCGAAACATACGTCACTTCCTCTCTTGGCATTACAATGTATTTTTTGGCACTGAGTCGCTACCTGCCCGATCCATATTGCGCAAGTGCAAATTTACTTCACCTTAAAAACTTTATTTAAACTACCGATCAATTCAGAAACAAGCCGGCGATGTGACAGGCTAGCTATCAGGAGTCTCCAGAGCTGCCGAGGCAGTCGCCAGAGCTCCTGCCCAGCACGGTGAGACCTTTTGGGCCACAGAGTGTGCCGCCACTCGGCCAAAATTATGGTTCTCTGACTTTTCAAAGTATCAAGGGGGGATTTATTTAATTTATTTTATAACTTAAATTTATTAACAAGAAGCCTACACATCATGGACAATGAATTTCAGCTGATGCTGAAGCTGTCGAACAAGTGTTGAAGCTGTCGCAAACAGCGAGGGGCAAAGATGGCTAGTAGAGGAAGTGATATAGATTTCGCAGTACAAGTTGGGTTTCCAAGGATGGATCAGGTAGCGACAGGGACTGTCACTGAAATCGGGGATGTCTGCTCACCCTACCCTACAGAGAGTGAATTTTTTTGTAGTTACTGAGATTGGCCAATCAGATGTGCCACTGACTTGATTGACAGGTAAGCACGCTGTAGCTGTTCACGAGGAGGCCAAAGGTACAAAACAGTCTATCTTTATATTTTCATATCACAGACTCTCATGACTTCTTAAATAAAGGTACAGGGTTATTGTCAAATAACACCGCCTACAAATGTAGAAGATAAAATGAGCTGAAAGACTAGAGGTAACTGTTTGTCCACTGGGGGGCGCCAAATTGGCACCAACCTGCAGTTCTTCACAGAAGCTTTGAGAGCCATGGCTTTCCTTCCGTTTTGCTTGTATAATTGGATAAACATTTACTCGTTTGTTTCACTTTTATGCTTTTGTTCAAGTTTAAAAAGTAAATTAACCGGAATATATACCTAATTAGAGAATCTTAAATCTGCAATCCTAAATTTTTATTTAATCAGCTGTCAACATATCTTGTTTTATAGAGCCAGTGAAAGACTTGGAAAATAAGTTTAAAGAAGGCAGATACACACAGTTGGTTTTATTTATTATTTTTTTCTTTGTTAAACGTCTGCAGCAGGAGGCCCTGAAAAAAAAAAACTAAGTTTCATTGTGACAAGAAACTTTTTTTTTATAACAGTGGTACAATTTAAAATAAATATAATAAAACACTTCTTTTTACAATAATCCTGAGACTGAAATAAAGAAGAAGAACAGACTGAGTGACCAGAGATGAGGAGGTGAAACTTATAAACTGTTTGGCTAGTGTTAGTTTGGATTTTACATGGTGAAATTTCTCACTGGAAGTTGAATATTTCCATTATTTCCATAAAAATTTTGATCAGCAGTGTAGGAACTCTTAAGGATTTCATTTGTGCTGCTGAAACCCAGAGAGTATAAGTTTATTTCAGCTGAGGTCTGGTTTTTGAAGCTCTGAGTATAATTTCTGCCGACTCTTAAAGGCATGCTTGCATTATTAATAGTTTTAATCTGTTTTGTATGATTTCAAAATGATTATGTAATTATAAAATGCAATACCAACAAATTCCAACAGAATCTGTACCGTGTCTTCCCTGAGTGAAATGGGCTTTACCACCGCTGAACTTTCTTATAAGTTAGATTTTTTATGTTTGTAAGGCGATTACTTTTTTCAATAATATTCAAATTTTGCACAGAGAGCGTCAACAAATCCATGAGAGTTAAAGTTCAAGGTGTGCTGTTGAGAAGAGGGAGTCCAATTTAAATGCATGGAGTGCACTCTTTGTGTGTGGGCACTGCAGTAAAAAGGCAGTTTCTATCTCTGAGAGGGCATGGCTGTGGGTCAGCGGTGAGTCTATAAATGATTTTTAAGGTATTCTTTAGCAACTTGAAATGTTCCACTGAAATGTGCAGGGACCTTATGCACTCTGGAGGGAGGTCTCCAGGACAGAAACCCTCAAACGCAAAAGTTGCAGGAGTGAAAAACAGCCGATCGTAGCTCAAGACAGTCAGATAAGGAAGAAGTCGATCACCCCCTGGGGTCGATCATGTGATACCAACCATACAATCCTCTTTCACACGTGCACGAAACTCCTGAAAATTTCCAACAAAGGCCATCTCCAGGGGCCCCTAACTGCATTGACAGCCATTGATTATTCAATCTTTGTCGGACCTAACATGATGTCTCCATACACTCTGTACCATCTTTTCCCCCCCTAGTTCATCCCCCTGCAGATATGACGGAAAACGGTCACATCTTTTTACCTGACTTGTCTGGGATTTTTCCTCATGTCAGGGTGTAAGTACACATCAGGGAATATTCAGGACACTGTTTGGGAGTGATTGGATGTAGTTTTTCTGCTATATAATCTTTACTGCTCCCCTCAGTTGTCAGTATGATGATTTTTACCCTTCTGTGCAGATGTCTGTTTATATTTTGTAGTGATATAAACATTGAAACAATGACCATTAATCGCCATGTTCTACTCAGACTCAGCCGACACCTTAAACCAAACGAAAATCTCCTGCTCTGAGGTGCATGCATGATCGGAAAATTCCTGAAAATGTCAGGATGTGAATTTCCTTAAATTATGAAGAAAATATCAGCAGTTTTGGTGTGAAAGGGGTTTTAGCTTTGGATTATTTGGTCCAAATGCTGTTCAAGCTCAAAACTTTGTTGAGTCACATGAACGAGGAAAAAATCCAGACAAATATGGATGGACACCAGTTTGATTCACGCTTCGCTGCCATTTTCCAACTGTGGAATCAGAGGGAGTATTTTTTTTTTAGCTGTTTAAATAAATCATCTTTAAATCAAGTGTGTGCTGTCTGGCCAAGTAATGTGCAGGATAATGTATCGTGAACATGTGGTTAGTGGGTAAATGACTGAATAAAAAGTAAAATATCACCTTTGTTATGTTTTTAATTCTGGTAAAATTCTTGTTTTGAAACTTGAATCTGGTCAGAAATATGTCGTGTCACCTCTTCAACATCTCTGGTCTTCGTCAGTCTCACATCCTGAGATGTAAATGAAAAAAAATGAAACTTTTCAGGACTAAAGATAGAATAATTAGCCATTTTCAATATAACAGGCTAATAATCAGCAGAGAGATAAAGTTTGAACAGTTCATCCCTCCAGAGCGTCCTCGCTCTAATTCGAGTCCAGACCGACGGACACATCACGGCCAGGCCAGAGGTTTCTTTAGGTTAGTTTCAGGCCGGCTTTAAGGCCTGAGGGGTCAGAGGTCAGGGGTCATAACAGATCTGAAGGGCCACTGCAGGGGGTGAGGAAGCGTCCAGATGGCTTTTGCAGGGTCAAGTTCAAGATGAAGGGTCGAGACTGGGGTCAACAGGCCTGAGGGGAGTCGAGGACGAGGTTTTTCCTGGGTTTCTTCTGGATCACGTTTGGGAAAACTTGTACAATTTGATTGGCTCCTACCATGAGCCGAGGACAGGGGTCGAAATTAGAGTTCAATCATGAAAATACTGATGGATTTCACAAAAAAAGATGAATCCTCCAAAGAGGAGAAAATCCTGTTTTTCAAGCGGAACCAGTTTAAGGGAGTAATTTTCAGATATTTACGGCCTCTGTTGTTGTTGTTTTTTTAAGTATTTTGGCACGAGAGGGGTCAAATCAAATTTATTTTCCACAAAATGACAAATTAAATAAGCTTTAAAATCAGCACAAAGGATTTGAGGAATTCATGGCTGGTAGAAGAAAGACAGCCAAATTCATGTCAGAGGAGATTTTAAGGGGAGTGTACTCGGTGAATCACACACATCAGGGGGCAGAAGTTCCAAAAATGAAAACAGTTTTCACCTGAACTCCCTCAGGACTTTGTAAAGCAGGCATATGAAGGTTTCAGCTCAGTTCCAGACCTGATGTGGTTTTTTGGGCGTTTTTTGGGGATGAAGCGGAGCAGCAGTGTGCAGCGCTCAGGCCTGTGGGGGCGACTGCGGGCCCGCCGGGTCGTGCAGCTTCCTGATGTGTTTCTTCAGGTCAAAGTTCCTGCAGAAGCCCTTTCCACAGGTGGGGCAGGTGAAGGGCTTTTTGTCATTGTGCGTGTGCATGTGGAAGGTGAGGTTGTACACCTGGTGGAACGCCTTGCTGCAGATGGAGCACTTGAACTGCTTCTCCCCGCTGTGCGTCAGCTTGTGGTTTTTGTAGTTTCCTGCATGAGGACGGACATCGAAGAGGAGTCAGGAAACAAGGAAATCCAGCACAGTTTGTTCAGTTTGAAAGTGAAAACATGAATGAGAAATACTCCAGAGATAATCCAATAACAGCTGTCATAAAGCATCATAACCCAGAGTATAATGGGTAAAGTTTGGGTAATATATCGTCACCAAAATGTTTTCCAGTATAAAAAAATCCACAAACTCAATAAAATTTTGTTGCAAACCCAAAACAAACTTGAATTCATTCAGTTTGAATGCACAAACACCTCTTTAGGAATAATTAAAAATCTATTTTATTGTGAAACGGCATTGATATAAGGTGTTTTGTCGACCTGAAGCATTATAGAAAAATAGTAATTGGAAACTCAGTTAGTTTTGTTGAGAGATCTTCGCTGCATTTAAAGAAAACTTCGTTATTTCCTTCAAAGGCTGACCTTCCTGCTGTGTTTGACGACTGAGAAACAACATAAAAGATGCAAACGCAAGACTAAGTCTTAATTAAGATTAAAATAAAACATTTCAGGCATCAATCAGCATCATTCTGCTGGGAAACTTTTATTGAAAGGCTGTGATGTGATCATTCGATCTTGTATTTTTACGTTGTGGGCAAACTCTGGACTTGTTTCTAGCAGAGAACAGAGCTACTGAAACCAAGTGTTAGTTTCATCTCACAGATCATGTTTAACATCATGACCGCTTTTGTTGACTCAGTTTGAACTCGGTTTTTAACAGGGGTGTGTCCACAGGTGCAGCCAGGGGTGGCCCTGCCCCCCTCTTGATTGGCTAATTTAAATGTAACAGATTTTCTTCTGTCTGCGCCTTTAATTTCGACTTCAGATTAAAATTTTACAGATCACTGATATTAACCAAAAGCTGTAAAAGAGGAAAGTGAAAACAGAAATAATGAATGTTTTTTTTACTGATGTTAATGTGCACACTTACTCTGGATATGTTTGGCAGGCTTGTATTATATCGTACTTCCTACTTTGTGTAATATTATTTTCTGTATTTCCATTTTATGTTTGGAACAAAATAAAATCATTTAATCCTGCCAATATCCAGACCCTTGTTGGGTCACCCCAAACGTCTAGGCATGCAGTGTGAAACATCATTTTTTTCTGCCAATTTGTTGCTCATTACAAAGAACATCCACATGTTGGTTTTTGTAAGTATCTACCCTGAACTTCTACATGGACTAATTCTGGTAGATTTATACTGATGCACGTTGCTGATGTTGATTTATGTGCACCATCCTTATTCGATAAAAAAAAAAAAAAAAAAAGTATTGTGGAATTTACAACGTCCAAATAAAACGGAAAAAATCGTCTTGTTCCCAAGTTTCCTAAATCAATTTTTGTATTTTTAACTTTTCAGGTGATTTTTTTACATTTAAATTTTTGTAAACTATTTCCAGTTTCATTAAAAACAATCAAAACATTGACTGACAGCTGACAGAAGCTGCTCCCTAACATACAGTCTGAGATGCTAATCTAAATGTCCGTTACCTTGCCTGTTATTATAATTTATTATTGCAAAAAAAGCAAAGAGTTCATCCTGAATTTTTTAACCGTGTCTTAAATTAACCCTAAAAATAAAAATGATTTATCAGGAGTTTTGTCTCTGTGGAGGATATTTCACCACAGATAATCACTGTTTGTGCCTCACATTGACTCACACTGGACTCAAAATAGTCGGTTATATTGCACATTATATTTTTAATACTTATAAATCTAGATTCTGCATTTTTATCATCCTGCACAAATGTAAATCTCTGCACTGCAACATCTATATTTCATATGCAGCATGTTTTGTTTATGTATTATTGTTAATATTCTCTATTTAAGGTTTCTGGACATGATGCTGCTGCTGAATATTTAACTCTTTGTAATGGGAATATACTTGACTTCTACCAAACTTCAAATTTGGAACAATTTTCACACATATTTGATAAATTACCACTTAAACCTCCTTTACTGACTGTTGTTTTTCCACTGATATTATCATTCAGAAGTCCTTAAATCTACGTCTTTAAGTTTCAGGTTGAAGAGTCGAGAAACAACAGGATGTGTTGTGGTATTTCCTCACCTTTCTGATGAAATCCTTTCCCGCAAAACTCGCACACGAACGGTTTGTATCCCGCGTGGATGCGCGTGTGCGTGTTGAGGGTGGAGCTGCGGTTGAAGGCTTTCCCGCACTGGTTACACTTGTGCGGTTTTTCCTGAAGACACGAAAAGGTAAATGACTCCAGTGCAGAAGAGAAAGAGTTGATGTTTTACTGTGATGGATGAGCAGCTGTAGATCTGTAATCCTAACTCACATGTCGAGATATTTACGGGGTAATTTAGAGGTGTTTCATGTGGAAATGGTTTTGTTATTAGTGTGGGAGTATTAAAGATATATTTCCATGTCAGGATGGCGCCACAGGAGGAGCTCAAACACCACAAACAGACCGGAGCAGAGAGCCAAACTCACAGTTTTAACCCGGTGTAAGTTAAATAAACCAGATTTATCCTTCGACACAAGATTAAGAAACACATCAGAGACTTAGATTAATGTTTACATATATCACACGGACTAAAAAGAAGGTTCATGGATTCACTGTAAGGTTCTGTCATGTTTAAATGAGCTCTACTTTTGTCTTAAACAAAATAAACACCCTCAGACTTTATTTATGAGCATGTCTCAACGATAGTTTACTGTTTAAAATAAAAATAATCAAAGTGTGTTCAGTAGTTTAAGCGAAGAAGAAAGAAAACCGCCATTTCTACTACAAGTCCCACCCCCAACAAATTAAAAAACATGATTGGAAATTACTGCTGTCACTCATATTTTGATTGACAGGTCTCTTAAAACTGGGAAATATGGCGGGAAATATTTCACAGTTGGTTTGACGTCTTTCGTGACGTCAAAACCACCTTAAATTTAAAAAAAAATTAAAATGAAATGGAACGAAAACAATTCAAGAAAATTATAATTTTGTAAATATTTCCTCAGAAGAAAACGTTCTAACGTGGAAAGGAACGTTCGAGCGTTAAAGAAAATGACGTTGTGACGTCTCAATGGGATCAAAAATCAAAACTGTTCGACATGGATGATATTTGAATAAAAATAAAACGTCCTTGGAGATAAAATAAAACATTGGCATTAACTGGATTAACAAACTGTGTGTGTGTGTGTGTGTGTGTGTGTGTGTGTGTGTGTGTGTGTGTGTGTGTGTGTGTGTGTGTGTGTGTACTAGGCTACCTGAGTGTGTATGATCTTGTGTCTGCACAGCGTGCTCGCCTGCCGGAATCCTTTCCCGCAAACTTTGCACACGAACGGTCGCGCGCCCGTGTGCACGGGCATGTGGCGGGTCAGGTTGTAATGAGCGTTAAACACCTGAGAGAGAAAAACAACAAAAAACATCAAAATAAACACAAAAATACTCAAACAAAAACACACACGTTTACAGAGCATCGAAGAGTCATGGATGTTGAACCAGGATTTTTTTTAAATAACGTCATACTAACTTTACTCGTTAATTTTACTCGGTTTAATATGATAAAATTTGAGTTTTAAGTGGTTAAAACATAAAAAAAACTGGTCATTTATTTCAGCCTGGCTGCTTTCCAAAATAACCCAAATTATAGGCTGGATTATATCGGCCCTCCTGAGTCCCACTTCAGGGATTATCCAGAGGATTTTAATCTGAAGTCACGAGTAGAAGGGAAAAATAAACAGCCCAAATCTTTTACTTTTTACAGTAAGATAAAATCTAAAAAACGGACATGTTTCAGTGGTGATTAATGGGCCTTCAAATGAAAATTAATCATTTACATCACTGTAACAAACATGAAAACACCACTGAAAAAAAACGTCTTTATCAAATAGTAAATATCGCTGATTTAGTTTAATTCACGTTTTTTCGCCCAAGTGTCAAAATATTTCACGTTTATCACTTTTGGAGCAAAAAACAATTTTTAGTTTTTAACTTCAATATTTCTTTCCGTGACTAAATATTTCTCTGAACAAGACTAAACCAAATGTAGAGTCACAATAAAACGGGAAAAGTTTCAGTTAAATAAAAACAATAATTTACTCTAATTAACTTGATGCTTTATGAAAATTGATGCCATTCTAAACTGTAATTTATGTAATTTTTTTCTCTCTTTTCTCGATTTCTTCTTCTTTCTTTTGTCTCTTTACTCAAATTAATTAAAAATCAAGCGTCCTTAAAACCTAAAATATTCAGAAACTGACCGGTTAAGTTTTGTTCACTATTTTACAAACCATTTTAATTTGTAGTTTTTCTCAAAAAAAGAGAGATCAAACTGATGTCAAAGGGTTAAAGTGGTTTTCTTGGTGATTATCGGATAATTTCAGTCTTTTAATTCGATCACTATCCCGATAATTTCTCAGCATCATGGAACCTATAAATTCATTTTCTTTCATTTTTTTTCATTCATCAATATTTTACTATTAGGAAGTCAGGAAAAGTCAGATTTAAAGCTTAATTTTTTCCATTCCTAAACTAAACTGAGAAATCTGAGGGCAAAAACCCAGAATGGACTCTGTGATCCGGTTCGGTTTCCTGGATCAGGTATAAAATTAAAAAATCGGTTCCTCACCTTTCCGCAGACCTCACAGGTGAAGACTTTGGGTTTGCTGCCGGGACAGGAGCCGCTGAGCCGGGCTGCTGCTGCCGCCGCGGAGCTCTTGAAGATCTTGTCCGTGAGGATCTGGTCCCGCTCCTTCATGTAGTGCTGGATCTGACTCTGAGACAGCTCCTTGAAGGCCTGGACCCCGGACACCGGGAACCGCTCCACGGCCTGCTGCAGGCCCGGTTTGCTCTTCTCCGCCATGAAGGCTTTGTGCCGCGCGCTGAGCAGGTACGAGGCCATGGGGTGCAGGTTGACCAGGCCGGCCGGGGGTGGGCACGCGCCGCCGTCCCCGCCGCAGTTCAGGTAGCACACGGTGCCCATGGTGGCGGGGAAGGAGGACTGGTTCACCACCCGGGGTCTGAAGAGTTTGTACTGGCCGCTCTGGCTCCCAGAATCCTCCTGCTGGTTCTTATAGTTCAGCCCGAAGCCCAGCAGGTCTGCGGGCGCGCCCAGAGAAGACGCGTCCAAGTGGCCCGGATCCAGCCCGCTAATGCTGAGCCGGTGGCCCGACTCGTAGCTGAGCGGTACCAGAGGGATCATACAATGTAGCGAGGACGGACACACGTCGGGTTTCCCCACGGGAGCGGACTGGAACCAGCTGGGGAGCGGTATCGACTTGGGCTCGGGCGTTCTGGCCATAATTCGGTCGATGGAGAAAGCGAGAGGCTTGCTGCTGCTGCCGCCCGAGGTGAGCATGTCGGAGCCCGCGGGCTGGCTCCCGGAAGCCGGGGGGGAGCCGAGGATCCCCGCTGGGCGGCGGAGAGGACCGTCCATCACCTCCGCATCAACAACAAGGAGGAGCTGCTGGAGGGAAGCCGGGGGTCGGAGCTGCTTCTCACCGGCCCGCAGGAAAGGGCATCATCTACCGGGAAACCCCCCCCCAGCCGAAACTCCGGCCCCGTTCCCCTGCTTATTGACGACAATCAGGGCAGCCGTGACTCGCTCGATAACGGCGTGCGGAGAGCCGGGACCTGCCGATCGTTACCGTCCAGGAAGGAGAGCGGAAAAGTAGATAATTTGCTCAATTCTCCTCCGTCGATTCTCTGCACTTGTCGCCGCTGGAAGAGGAGGAGGAGAGGAGGAGGAGGAGGTTGTCCCTCACTGGGCAGGACTCCTGGTCAACTGGAAGGTATTTGGTAAATCCCAGGTCTCCTTGTGGTTTCGCGTGACATCATTTTTTCTCTCTAATCGCAGAGAGGCAGACGCGCAGCGGCCGCGGGGTCAGGAGCTGCTGTCAGAGTTTCACAGCAGATTTGGACGCTCCTGAGAGCCAGCCCTTTTTACGCACGCCTCACAGAAGACGGAGCTGTCATGTTAGTGAACTTGAGACAGAAAACGGATCGAGATATTGAACGGGAAATGTATTTTCAAGTCACCGATCTCAGCCTGGGTGGGCTTTGGCTCTTTGAATCTCAAACTTTCACTCCGGCGTCTTTTTTCTTTCACTTTTACGCAGCAGATTTTTTCGACTTCCTCAAACAGACTCTCCGCAGAAGAAAAAACAACCCGCTCTCTGCTCTAAACTCGTCCCGATTGTTATTTTGGACGCAGAGACGCTCATTTTTTTTAGACTTTAGAAACTCCGCGGACAGTTTTCAGGATGAATCAGAGAGACCGGGGGGCGCAGGGAGCTTCATCCTCTCAGACTTTACGCGGAAGCTGAGCGGGTTTGATGCTGAATTTGGCGACTTAAAGATGGAGAGAAAGAAAGTGAAGACCGAGGGTCTGAGGAGCGACAGAAAAACCATCAGAAAAAGGAGAAAAAAACAATCATGGACTCAAACTCGGGGCTTCAACTGCGTTTATTTGGTATTATTGACACATGCTGAGCGTTCAAGAGCGTTAAAATGTTCATGTTTGTTTTTTTTTAAAGGTGGCAGAATTACGCAAACACTGTCTGGAAAAATGCCACAGATTAAAAATAAAAATCTCAGGCCTGCTGGTGACTGAGGAATAAAAAAAGGCCTTTTCTGAGGAGGAAGAGGAGGAGGAAGATGAGAGCAGTTAGATTTACAGGATAAAAACGACGAAAAGAGAAATGTAGTATAAAATAAAACAAAGTGATAAAAAAAACTAATTTTATGGCGCAAAAACATTTTCAGATTCATTTTAAATCGAATAAAGAATAAAAATATCCCTCAAAGTTTTTCGTAAAGATAGGATTTTCAGTCGTCACACGTTTTTAAAGGGGTGTTTAGTGTCGGTGTTGATTTCAGTGAATTTTACTGAATAAAAAAAACAAAAATATTTTCAGTTTATTAAACCAGTGACACGAATAATAATGTTGATTGTCTGTCTTTCACACATTTGCTGCTAAAACGTTCATAGTTTTCAGATCTGCAGACTCAGTGTTGTCATTTATTGGTTTATTTTTTATCCATAAAGCTCCATCTTTAACTTTTGATTTAAATATCCATCATTTCGTTTTTCTCTTGTTTTTTTTCTTATTTCATGATTTCTACTCAATACTCTGCTTTTATATATTTTCACAGAAATCAAGAAAATTACATTTGTGGTTACACCTGAACTATAAACCATAATAGTAAAGTGTTCATACATCTATGACTCATCATGATTATTGGTTTTATTGATCCCTTTCTTATACGTTAATAAATGCACATATATTTTCTTTGTATTTCAGTGTCTCGGGTCAGATACATCAGGATTGTACTTCACTGCACATGTTCACTGTGGAGTTTCACAATAAAAGGAAAATCTGTAAGCTTCAGTTTGAATAAATAAAATGATCTCAAATAATAAAAATGAACTTTTACAACAAAAGATTGTGGTAAAAACAATAAAACATATCAGCTAGTATAGTATGAGATATTATTACATTTCAATTCCCTTATTGCAATAAAGAATATTTCCTCTTCTTACTGTTTTTCAGACAGTAAATGAATTATAAAGTTCATTTTAGCACATATCTCACATACAGTCTATCCACAGACTCAGTAAATATAAAGAGGAAGAATACTTAGGCATTCATAAAGTGTGAAGGAATGTGTATAACATTTTATTAATTTTAAACACTGTTACTGTAAAATGAGCATTCAGTGGAAACATGTATTTTAAAGCTGTAAACCTGAGTCATATGAAGTAGTGGGTTAGTGGGTTAATTTCGCCCTGATTTTTTGTCTGCAGGCCAAACCGTCTCCTGCTCCTGTTTCCTGTCCCTGAATTTTCTCTCTGAAATTAAAACCTCATTATTGGGCTTTTTAACACGAGCTTGAACCGGCTGAGATCTTTGTTCTGACTCTTTTTCAACTTTGATCGTCTGCTGAAATGAAACAAAATGTGTTGGTAGACTGACAATCAGCTCAGAGGAGAGCGGTTCAGGGTTATCTCTTATTTCATCAACATGCTGAGGTGAAGTTTGTGATATTAGGATGAAAAAAAGAAACCCTGACTTTGTTTGATCTAAACTGATCCTTTATTCCTCTTTTAAATTCAGATATTTCAGTCACTGGAATACAAAGTATTTTTTTCATATACTATAATTATAATGTGTAAAAATGAGAACAGTGACGAGTCTTTGGTTTGTGTTTGTGTGTCTGTGGTGCAGCAGCAGGACTCAGACCGGCTTTTTGTTGTTGTCGGATAAAGACTGGATGCTCATTTTAATGAGGACACAAAAAAAGCTGCAGCTGATGGACGGCAGCCAGCAGACGCTCTGAGAAACACAAGCTTTTAGAAACCTCCGGAAACTGCAGGTTCAGGTGAAACAGACAGAGAGAGAGAGAGAGAGAGAGAGAGAGAGAGAGAGAGAGCAGACAACTGGAGTATGAAAATAAAAACTAAAAACAGCAAAGAACACATCGATTTCAATCAGATTTCTGTTACTAAATACCAACAAGGATCAAAGTGTGCTTTTTAAAAAAATATCAGACCTCGGAGTCCTAGTGCTGACCAATCAGGATCCAGTATTTGACTCAGCTGCATAATTATACACAATAACAACCTGAAAATTCCTGTACATTATCTCACTTATTAGATTTCCTCTAAACCAAAATGGAAAAAAGGGAAAGGCCTTTAAATGTAGGTCAACAGTCTAAATTTTTATAAATATTTTTAGTTAATTTATCTGCAAACATACGAATTTAGATTTACATTTTGGAAATCCTCAGTGACTAAACATACGACTGAGTATTTCTATATTCATGTCACAATTTCACCCTACGAAGTAAATAAAAAAAATCATAGCTTTAAGATGATTTCAATGTTCAAACACAGCCAAAGACAAAATGTGGTTCACTGAATAACAGCAGACCTCTGGATGCTGGAACCAGCCAATCAGGATTGAGTATCTGACACCGCTGTGTAATATAACAACCTAAAACAACACAAAATAATATTATACATTATTCCACTGAGTAAACCTTTTTTAATGAAGCTGTTTAAAAGAGTTCAGTGCATACAGGAAGAAACAGACTTTATAACTTAAAATAATACAAATGGTTTAAATACTTAGAGTATTTTAAATGGAGGTTAATGGTAGAAATCTGCATTTTTTGGTGGCGATTTGGTTTGAATTTCTTCAAGAGGTAATAAAAACACTGTATTATCAGATGTTTAATATATTCAATAGATTAATTGCTGCTTTTTTCTTAATGTCAGTCGACTGAAAATAAAAAAAAATGATGTCAAATTTTCTTTACACTGCTGTAGAGGAAGAAGTCCAGATTTTATATTTGACTAATACTTAAAAGGAAAAGTGCTCATTCTTTAAATGGTCCCTTTGATGACCTTCAGATAACTTCACCGCTGACTTTATTTTTGCATCTCTTTTGTACAACATGATGAGTTGGAAATGTGTTCATTATTTAAAGACATAGTTTCAAACATGTCAGAGAAACGCTGTTACCTTGGGTAAAATTACTCTGTTGGATACACGTCCTCATCCTGAAGGGATTCAATAATCGCTGCCACACCCTCCAAATATCACCCCTGAGAGAGTAACAGTAAAGAGTCATGATCATTAAAGAGTTGCTCAGGGTTTTCCCTGATTTATCGGAGCTGCAGTCGCAGATGTTGAGAAGTTAAGTCAGACTGAACAGCAGTAAACTGTAGTTCCACATGTGTCCACTAGAGGCTGGTTTTAAAAGTGTGTAAGTCCCCTTTAAACCCCATGAAAAAATGTTGGTTTTCTACCACAGCGGTAAACATGACTCTAGCTAAGTCTCTTAAGTTAAATATGGTTTTAATCTTACCTGTTTTACTCTGATATTATGACCTCATTTGTTTGTGAAACACCTTGTAACATCAGATCATTTGCTTTTGGATAAAGCCAATAATGAGGTTAATAAAAAAAACAGGGCTTATTTTGTTTGTGTGTAAATTTATTCAGACGTCGCAGATTTTGGTATTTAAAATGTAAAAACAATAACCACAAAGTGAGAACAGAGGTGCTTTAAAAACACTTTTATTTGTGACACTCAGATAAGACACCTGAACAAAACAGGTGCACAATGAGACAATATAAATATATTCTTCATATAGATTTTTGTCCTTTTCATTTCTAGCCTTTTGAACTGCACTGACACAAACTGAATCAGACGCTTGAAACAAACAGCAGGATGTTGCACGTGGTCGATCGAGGCCTACACAGTTTTTATTCTCAATGATGACACACAAACAGACGGAGATGAGACGTTTCTTCAGCTCACAGCTGACCAGGTCCTGTCCGAGAAGTCCAGACTTCTCCAGCTGGTTGGCACGTTTCTAAGACTTTGATCGATGTTCGATATGTTGCACATCAGGCGGTACGACCATATCACTCAACGGCTCAATATTAGTTTTCACAACAGTAAATATCACAATGAAGAGAGATGGCAGCTGGTCAGAGACGACTTCAGTCTGTGGATGATTCCCCAAACTGTGAGACTTGCAGCATTTTCTCATTTTAATCAGATCCATGAGTTTTTCACTTTAGGATGATTTTTCTACAGTTTCGCGGACTTCTTGACTTCCATGAAATGGTTCTTAGATTTGAAACAGCAGAAAGATTTTATGTTCATTTTTGGAAGCTTGGAGTTGTGAAGGAACCTCAGCAGAAAATTAACAAACAAAAAGAAGGCTTTAAGGACTTCAGGGTTTAGTTTTTTCAGAGTAATCCTGCTGCTGA